CATAGAATTGATGCTCTTTCCATTGTCCTGATTACACCGAGTTTCTATACAGTAATCTAGGTAGACTTGGCAGGCTCATAACCCTTAGGAGGGTTAAGTCCATCATTAACCTCAATAGTATCCTTGTAGTAAGTAGGGTTCTTGCTCTTCTTCCACTCCTTGCGAATAGGCTCAAAGATCTTGCGTCCAGAGAAACTATGCTCAAGATCCAAGTTGGGCGCAACATACTCCTTGTTTCCACCGTTAGTGTTGAAAGGACCAGCATACGAGGCGTTCCAGAAGTAGCTGTCAAGCTTGTGAGACTTCCACTTTCGGATCTTGTCGCCTGTCTTCTGCGCAACGAGCTTGAAGACGTTGGCGCCGACATCCCAGCGTCCGAGGGTGTCGAGACCCCAGTTTGCGGAGACGGTGGCGATCTCGGAGTAGTGGTTGTAGAAGCTGTTGTCGCTGGTTCCAACGAGATGCTTGGGGACTGCGTCGCCGAGAAGGATGCCGAGAATGTGGTTTTGACGAGCGTAGGTCTCGTTCTCATCCCATGTAACAAGAACAAGAGTGTTTTGCATGAAATGCTTGTCCTTGAGAAGAGGTTCGAGGAAAGTACGAGCCCACTGACCAGCAACGGTGACCGAAGTGTCGTGTCCATCAGAGGTCATGTTAGGAGTGATAAACATCCACTGAGGAAGCTTGTTCTCCTTGAGATCCTTGTGGAAGACAGACTTCTCAGTATCAACGAGCGAGAGGTTCTTGATCTGAGAAAGGCGCTGCTCAGAGGTAGCGATGCTGTCGTGGAGAACAGCGGGGTTATGCTTGCGAACGTAGTCATTCTTGCCGTTCTGGTGGTTCACCCAGGAGAAGCCCTCGAAGCCAGAGTAGGGCATGTCCTCTTGGTACAGACCCCAGGAGATACCGCGGTGCTCGAGAAGATCAATCACAGTAGAGACGTTGCGCGGGTTGCGGTTGAAGTCGTCGTTCTGCATGCCAAAGTAATCTCCCGCAATGGCGGCCATGTAGTTTGGCTCAGAGGGATGGGTCACTCCAAAATAGTTCTCTAGAGTGATACCCTTCTTGCGGAGCCAGGTGAAGTTGGCTACACCAGTCAGTTCTCATCCTTCGATTAATTGAGGGAGGGGAAACTTACGGTCACCGAAAGCCTTCTCGTAGTTCTCATTCTCAAAGTAAATGATGGCAATGCGATCAAATGCCTTGCCCTTCACCTTGGAAGTAGGACTGCTAGTCTTGGCTGTAGCAGCAGCAGCAGCGACTTCAGCGGTGCCAGTGGCAGTGTAGCTGGTCTCCCAGCCAGTCTCATGCTTGTGCTCCTTGGGAGGCTCATAAGAGTGGCCGAGGGCCAGACCAGCGACGGCCAAGATGGTAGCAGTTTGGAAGAGCATAACGATTGAATACAAACACAAACTTGCACTTGAGCTAAAGATCGACGCTCAATTGGCAGCAGCGTTATTGGGTTTCATATAGGAATGCAGATCAAACTGCACGGATATCGTGCCGTGCGTTTCTCCACCGTCGGTCAACGCAACGTTGTTGGTGCAAATCATATCGAACTTTTGTAATAGCTCTCGGTAGAATGTAACGCCAATGGACTGCATAGGCAGGGCACGTGTGAGTGTCTTTGGGGGTTCAGAAGGGTTCTGCTCGCGTGCCGACTCTTCCGGTTCCTCGGGTTCAACGTCACGCTAAGATGATCCCTGTTTAGGTGGGGTGGAGTATGCATTGAGGGTTCATCTCGGACTTGGGATTTGTTCTTTTGAACGAACGACATGACAACGTGGGCTTTTTCTTTAATCGTTGAGTGTGAGAAAATATGGATGAGATCAAGTCGCCTTGGGTGAAGGAAGATGAGAGCGAGGGTGAGGGGAGATGGTTCCTTGGTGATGAGGCTGCTTTGAAGACAGAGCAAGCGGTCGAGAAGGCTTCGTGGAAGACCAAAAGGCCAAAAAGCAAGGGCTTGACAATATTCATCGCTGTCGCTGGTCTCATATCAATACTTCTGTTGGCTGCAGTCACGCTCAACCTCCAGGCCCGACCCTCAACACACAAAGAAACGCATCCAAAACCCTCTCAACCAAGCAAACCAGCTCCAACGCCAGAGACAATCAAACACCAAGAAACCATCCCCTCAAAACCTCAACTCCGCGACACAAAAGAATACACCCTCTCACCAGCATGGAACTTTGGCTCCTCTCCAACAACAAGAGAATATTTCTGGACCATCAACGACGCCGTTCTCAATCCCGATGGCGTCTTCAGACCAATGATCCTCATCAACAACCAATATCCCGGACCTCTTGTCGAATGCAACGAAGGTGACACTATCATTGTCCATGTTGAAAACAAAGCTGTTAATGCGACTGCGATTCATTTCCACGGCATGTTTCAGAATGGCACGAACAATATGGATGGAACCGTTGGCATTACTCAGTGCGCCATCGCGCCAAACTCAAACTTTACTTATAAATTTGACGTCAAGGGTCAGCATGGAACGTATTGGTATCATGCGCATCATAGCGCACAGGCGTCAGATGGATTGCTTGGACCTATGGTTGTTCACTCCAAGAAGGAAAAGGACCTGCAGAAGATGGACTACGCGACTGATAGAGTTGTTATGGTTCAGGATCATTACCATAATTTGACCTCGGAGCTTTTGATGGAGTATCTTGCTCCTGATCAGGAAAACAACGAGCCTGTTCCCGATAATGGCCTCATCAATGGGCGGAATGTTCGCGATTGTGCGGACTTTGAGGGTTGGGCGTGCAATAACACGGATCTTGAGATACCGACAATTGATCTTGAAGCTGGGAAACGGCATAGACTGCGCATCATCAACGTCGGCGCCTTTGCAGAGTTTCAGATTCAATTCGACGAGCATCCATTCTACGTCACCGAAGTCGATGGTACAGACGTCCATCCTGAACCAATCCATCGGGTAAACGTCCTTCCAGCACAGCGATATAGCGTTGTCCTCGAGACAAACGTTACAACAGCTACTACGTTCTGGATGAGAGCTAGAATGGTGACGCACTGCTTCAAGAACAAGAATGAACGTCTTCAGTCTGAAACGAGAGCCATCATTCGATATACCGGCAAGGACGAGAAGACATCTTCTCAAGAGCCGACGAGCAAGGAATGGCCTGATGCAATCGAAGTCATCTGTCGAGATCTGAATACCACCGCTCTTCGACCCGTTGAAGTTATTTCTCCACCTCCAGCGGATGAAGTCATCGTTCTTCGCGCAAACTTTGAGATAGGCGATTGGCGCTTGGCAAGGGGGTTCTTTAATGAATCAACTTGGCATGCTAACGCAACGCATCCATCCTTACATCGGTTTCTCGACAGTGGACTACAGAGCACGTCTGTCAAGGACCCCGTCGCCATCAATGAGAAGGTATTTGAACGTCAGAAGGAATTTGTCTTAGAAACAACCGGCATTCGAACAATAGACATCTCCGTCAACAACTTCGACGACGGTGCTCATCCCTTCCATCTTCACGGCCATAAATTCTTCGTCCTCCTCCAAGGCCGCGACGGCTATCCGCCCAGCGCAGCTGCCTTACCAGGGTATCTGAAATCACACGGGCTTTTGGAAAACCCGTTGAGGAGAGATACACTTACAGTAGAGGGGTATGCTTGGGCTGTTATCCGTGTTGTACTAGACAATCCGGGTCTTTGGGCATTTCATTGTCACAATACTTGGCATGCTGAGTCTGGAATGTTGATGCAGATGTTGGTGAGGCCGGAGGTTATGAAGGATTGGAAGGTTGGTGATGAAGAGAGGAGATTGTGTAGTAGGGAGGGTGTTATGAAAGGGATGAGACCGGATGATAGTATTTGGTTTGGACAGTTCAGGCGGTAGGTCGAGGGGGTTCTAGAACTTTTGTAGGATATGGCGTATTTGGTCTGGGTATTTTTTATAAGATGAAGATTCTTCCTACCAGTCCAGTAGCTTTCAAGCTACTGACAACACTGCACTCCAAGTGACAAGTGTGAAAAGATGAGGCATTTCAAATATAAAAGGAATGAACTATCTCCCTTCTGATAATATTTACCATATCGAAAGACTGGAAGTCGGTTTTTCTCTGAGACATGAGTCTCCCTTTGGCGTGATAAATACTCAACTGCCTAACGTCAACAAGCAATCATTTGGAGCTCGATATCTGCCTACGAATAAGACAGTATCTGAACGCGGCGTCTTAGCAGCTCTGTTTCTAGCTCACCTAGTGATACTATCAATGATATCCAACCATTCTTTCAATTTGTGTCTTCTTTCAACGCATATTTGAAGGATGAGAACCGTTGTCCTGAGATCATCACCGGCTTGGGGGACATGGAATGTTACTCCATGGCAACAAACAAATCTTAAATTATGCAAAATAAAGGAATTCTCAAGCTTCTTCAACCCCACATTGGGTATGCCTGGTTTTGATCGAGGTGAAAGTTGACAATTGACGCGGATTTCACGATCCTGCACTCCAAGACACCGTAGAAGTCGAGAATGCAACAATCGCGAACTTACAACAAGTATCATTTACAACGGTAAGATTTCTCGTCTTAACCTTTTTGAAATCTGTTATTGAAATTATTCCTTCAATGACGGATCCGTGGGCCTTGTCTCCGAAGACCCGAGCATCGCTCCAATCTCAAAACAGCCTCGGAGGACCAACCTCCGATCCCCACACAATGCCATGATTCGACCCCAGAAACACGGTTCATGTCTCCTTACATTACCAGACTTGCAAATACCACATAGGTGCACTTTTAAAATTGATCATGTGCCCGTGATTCCCATAGCGCGGAGTCACCTCTTCCGTGGTCAGTTACGGATCGGTTGAGTGATGATTCCCGGATGGAGAATGGTTCCGGATGCTCAAGATGATTGTTCGATGGACTATCCAAGGCTTGGCGGGTGAAATTTCCGGAGACTATTACGGATCGCGGGCCGGTAGTTGGCTTTTTGCGGGATGATTGACAGTTTGTTCATCTTAGTGACGCCAGTTATGGTTCGACGGATGTCGAGCAACAGGTTCCGACATCGTCGAAAGATATACTCCCGATCTGGCTAGAAACCAATTTCCTACCCATAGCAAATCAGATATAAAAGATTCACGAATCCCTCAAGTCATCAAACTCCTCAGTTGACAAGTGCATTCAGATCAACCAGCATCATGAAGTCCCTCTTCGCTCTCAGCCTCTTCGCCGGCCTTTCGGTCGCTCAAAACGCAGCATGGGCCCAATGCGGTGGAAACGGCTGGACTGGCTCAAAGAACTGCGTCTCTGGCTACAAGTGCACCGTCGTCAATGAGTGGTACAGCCAGTGCATCCCCGGTACCGCTGAGGAACCTACTACCACCCTCAAGACTACTACTGGTGGTGGTAGCACACCTACTGGTACACCTGGAAATGGAAAGTTTCTCTGGGTTGGTACTAATGAGGCTGGTGGTGAGTTTGGTGAGGGCAGTTTGCCTGGAACTTGGGGAAAGCACTTCATCTTCCCTGATCCCGCTGCCGTTGATGTAAGTCAAACACTGGAATGGCGAGAACATGACTGACATGATATAGACCCTCATCTCTCAGGGCTACAACGCCTTCCGCGTTCAACTCCGCATGGAACGCACAAACCCTAGCTCCATGACCGGACCCTTCGACACCGCTTACCTAAAGAACCTCACCACAATCGTGGACCACATTACCGGCAAGGGTGCCAACGTCATTCTCGACCCTCACAACTACGGCCGCTACTTTGACAAGATCATCACTTCAACCTCTGACTTCCAGACCTGGTGGAAGAACTTTGCTACCCAGTTCAAGAGCAACAGCAAGGTCATCTTTGACACTAACAATGAGTACAACACCATGGATCAGACTCTTGTTCTGAACTTGAACCAGGCTGCTATCAACGGTATTCGTGCTGCTGGCGCTACCCAGACTATCTTCGTTGAGGGTAACCAGTGGTCTGGTGCTTGGTCTTGGCCTGATGTCAACGACAACATGAAGGTGTGTGCTCCCCCTCTTTCTCCAATGACTCCCGTAGCTAATACCACCAGGCTCTCACCGACCCTCTTGACAAGATCGTGTACGAAATGCACCAGTACCTCGACTCTGACAGCTCCGGTACTTCACCTAACTGTGTCTCCACCACCATTGGAGTCGAGCGCGTCAAGGCTGCTACTGAGTGGTTGAGGAAGAACAAGAAGATTGGCATGATCGGTGAACTTGCCGGCGGTCCTAACGATACCTGCAAGACTGCTGTCAAGAACATGCTGGACTATCTTAAGGAGAACTCTGATGTTTGGAAGGGTGTTACCTGGTGGGCTGCTGGTCCTTGGTGGGCTGACTACATGTTCAGCTTTGAGCCTCCCAGCGGTACTGGTTATCAGTACTACAACTCTCTTCTCAAGACTTATATCTAAGGGAGATACAGAGAGTGATGAGAGACAGTGGGAGGTAACAGTGTTTGTGTGTTCTTCAGTTGGACTGGGCAGATAACAAGAGTCTTGGAAATATTCCAAAGGTGCCAATGTGGTTTCCCATTTATGGATGTTCCTGGTAACTTTCAAGCAATTGATGATATGTAAAAGTTTATCCCTCCGGTGCTTGGGCGTTTCCATATAATTAACCCCTTTACTGCGTCTTTGGTAGAGCTCCATAGGCGAGCCGAAATACTCTGTCTAATATGCAGCCCAATTTTGCATCAACAACAGATCTTTTTATTGGGAAACAAGCCTTACAAAGCGACAACATGGGCACTGAATAGGCTTGGATTGCTATTGAGAAGTTATTTATGATCAGCATCTAATGAAAGTCTGTCACATTGATCTGCTCAAATGTAATTCCAGATTCTAGTAATATTCTATCAGCTTTATTCTTGTGAAAACCCATCCTGTATCTCTTGATGCTTTTTATCCACTAAGCTGTGCTCTTTGGGTAGTTCATAATTCGGCCAAGCACGAAATCCTTCTGCGAGACAACATAACCTTCGGTGATATTCGTCAGACACTTTATCCAACTACTCGACCCATCCCACATTGAAAAGTATGCAAGCACAGTTGGCTTACGAATATTGTTTCCAAGAGCAAGGCTTTTTACCAAATTGTTGACCATAAGCACCATACCATAGCGAACTCTGATATCCTGTGGGGCTTAACCTCCAAGTCCTACAATGGCCAGATATCTCATGACGAGCAGCTCAAAATCTAATCGAGGGTCAAACAAACCTGGGCAGTGGAAGCATCCGTTTGGCTTTGTGGGGCCGATACAGGCGCGTGTAGGGTAGCGAACTTAGATGCCAATTGAGTTTTGTGCTTCCAGCAATCAAGGTCATACCTTTCATGGTTTCGTGGTCTAACGGTTATGACTGCGGATTCTGATTCCGCCAGCGAGGGTTCGACTCCCTCCGAGACCTTTCTTTTGCACTTTCCAGATGCTGTCGCAAACATGATCTTATTTTTGTTCCTTGCATTTTGATCATTCGCCGAGGGCCCTTGGTCCTGTTAGCCAGATAAAACGTGATTGATTATGTGTTGTATAGTGTTGGTATCAGAAAGTCATGCGCCTCGCTGGAATACATTGTTACTATATGTACAGGTGAATGTGACTCCAATCCGCCCCTCGTCTATGGGAGCTCATGTCTCTGATGCTGACCAGTCGACAACTCAACAGGTCTCTGCTCATGCATCATCTCAGCCGCGGGGGGAGCATTGTTCTTCTCAGCTGAGTAAACAGAGCTGTACGCGGGGTTAGGCGACACAGCCATTGGAGAACTGTCAGGCTTTCCGGGAGAGTCTGGTGAGCCAGTACCGGCGACTTGATACTTGCGCTTGTTGCGGCGCCAGAAGAGGAATGCTGCGAGAGCGAGTGCGACGACGCCTAGGGTGACGCCGACGGATATACCAGCGACTGCGCCGGTTGAGAGACCACTGCTGCCACTGCCACTGTCATTGCTCTCGCTGCTGTTGTTGCTGGGGTCGCTACTTGAGTCTGAGGTAGCAGTGGCAGCTGTTGAGTCGGAACCTGTTGTGCCAGCTGTAGCGGTGCTTTCACCTGTTGATTTAGGCGGCTATGAATTCAATCAGTAAGACAGTCGCGTATGGGTACAGTTTGTTGACTTACCGCGGTGTATACCGTAGAGTACATCTCATTATTCACCTGCCCAACACTACTCATCAACCAATGCTGCCGCGGTTGTTCCCCCTCAAGGTCAGAGCTTAAGATAACCGGTCCATTAGGAATACAGTCCAAGTTCCATTTCGTGCCGTTCTTGACATTCGTCAACCGATATGTATCAGAATCCCATAGCGAGATATCCCATTGTTGCATTTCGCTGTCTTCAATGGGCATCAAGCATGGTCTTGTGCGGAGTTTCTCGTTGATTACCTCCGGTCGGTAGCATACGGACAGTTGTTTTTTGACGGTCGTGTCTGAGCAGCGGAGTTGGTAGCGGCCGGGCTTGTTTCCTATCTTTTGCTAAGCGACGTCAGTATCTTGACTTGATTCGCGAGAAAGATTACATACGAACTGCCAGTATGACTGCTTGTTAGCAGCCCCGACTCTCAAATCACCTCCTGGCGCGGTAGGTTGAAGCATAGACTTGAAGTCCCCATCGTTATCATCAACAGCCAACTCGGAGAGCTGATACCAGACGTTAGAGTCAAGATCAGTCGCAGGCTCGAGGGTCGGCATCGTAGCGAGTGGAGTCAAAGGGGCAAACAAATACACGGGAAAGAAAAGTCAAGCTAGAATTAAAGTTGAGAGGAGAAAGAAAGGGAGGATGAGAAGGAACTCGGTCGATGGGTAGGGCTGAGCTGGTAGACTTGCCAATGAGGACTCCATCTTGGCGGCTTACTGTGGGTTTAATCTCGTTAGGGATGGGAATAGACCGGTGATTGGGTAGCATCTGAAACGGTCGGTGGCATTTCTGTTGATCAATGGAGTTTTGATGCGCCAAGTGGGCTATGATGTTCGGGTGTCAGCCTTCTCCGTCGGACTCGGACTTCTCATGTCTCTGTGCCACGCCAGTTGAACCACATTTAGATATGTCTTTGAAGTGCCAATATAAGAAGTCACTAACTACTGCGACAAAATCGTAATTTTGACTGTTGTTCTCTTCAAATGGCCCCCTCAGCAGCCCCAAAGTTGGATCAGCGATCATCCTCCCATCCACAATGACTGTATCAAAAACCGAGCGGACCAATCAGCGCGATGATCTTCCATGCAGGTAAGACGCGATCACTTCTTTTATTTCCCGACGCGTCTAATAATGGAACACAATAAATAATCCACGTACCAATTATTCGTATTAAACTTACGATTCTTCTTACTCACATATCTGCCTTGCCGATCGTGGACAGTGCTGTAAGCTTAAATGCGGAGTCGCTGGATCCCTGACTTGTTTTGTCATGCCTTAGGCTCCAACTTCAAAGCCTCTTTTCGACTTGGCAAGTTTCAGCCACTGCCGCAAAACACGGGAATAAGACCGCTAATGTCTCGAATGGTGCTTCACCAAAATCGTGGAATATGTTCTTAGTTTGGCGCTGTAATTCCGAGCCGTACCCAAGCTATCGGGTTGGCGAGCGAGCCTCGGCTCGTGGTGGAGCCGGATACAGAGTCTCGATGCGTCTGAATCCGCCGAAGCCCGATCTCGCTATCATGAAGATACGGGGAAGACTTGATAGAGCAATGAGTTCGCGATGTTTCGACTATAGAAGTCGTGATATTATGTGAGATGTGATGAACGGAAACAGAATGTGTTTTCCTATCTGCGGATGTGGCGTGCTGCTTTGGGCGCCTGATCCGACGTCTACTTCGGCATCAAGCATGAGTGTTTGATAGCCTCTGTTGCTGTTAGGGCAGCCGCACAGATACATCTCAAACAATAATACGTCGGGAGAAAAGGGGAAGCATGCTAATTGCTTGTTCTTTGTCATACCTAGCAAAGTTCAAGGTGCTTCGACTGTCTTTTGAGGTATGGTCAAGACAACGAATGAAGCTCAAAGCGAAAAATACCCTACAGTTCGAGTACAGAAGTATGGTTACGCTCCACAACGCTCAAATTAGTACATATTATGAAATGAGGTGTATCCCAAAATATAGCGAGATGAGTATAGGGGGGATCGGTGTTCATAAAAGCACCCGTTAATTGGTTGATGCCCTTCAAGTCCCTGGCTTAATGTTGCCGAACAAATGGATGCCTTTCCAGCTCCAATCATGACCCACTATCGTCAATCTAGAATGAGCTTAATCCCAGATCTTCTTATCATCGAGCCGAGGCATCTTTTTTCATGTTCGAGAAAATCGTGGAGTTGACTCGCTAGAATACGCTCTCCGCATCCCAAAGGGGTGACGTGCTACTCGGCCCTGTTGGCGTATCGCAACCCCAGCAACTTCACCGCCTCATGCTTCACCTCAACCTCACCATTCTGTAAAGTCTCACCTCACAGTTTCACACTCATTCCGCAGTAGTGACCGAGCGCAAAATGATCAACAATGTAACAACAATCGCCTCAAACTTCAGCGACGTTCGCTTCACCACGCTAGAGCGCGACATCCTCCTCAAACTCCTCATCTTCTCATCCCGCACAACCGCCTGGCTTCTCGGCCGAAACAACGCCCCGATAACCTCAATCCAGCGCTGGCAGCTCTTGATGAAACAACTAGCACTAACGGCAAAGATTCTCCGAACCGGCAGATTCATCCAGCAGTTCAATTCCGCCGCTAGAGCACTGACGCGGAAGCACCAGGACTATTTCCTAGCATACGTCACTGTCATTCGACAGCTACTGATAGCGGTATACCTGACGTTTGATAACGCGACTATCTTCAATAGCATCGGCTTTATCCCCTGGAAAGGTGCAAGACGGTTGGAGATCAGGGCGTTTCGGATATGGTTTGCCGCAGGCGTTTGCGGGATCATCACCCAGATATACTCTCTGTACCAATTGAACCTCCCCAATCAAGTCCCAGAAAAGCAATTGATCTTGTGAGTATTTATTTTTCACGTGCAATCAAATTCTGTGCCGCATCTGACATAAGACCAGTAAGAAACAAGCCAGCAAGCTCCAATTAGTAGCTGGCATCTGCGACGTTACCGTCTCCTCAGCAGCTGCGGGCTTGATCAAATTGGACGAAGGAGTCGTGTGCGCGTGCGGCGTGCTAAGCAGTTTAATTGCCATCCATAACCACGTGGTTTTGGGTAGATTAAAATAATCATGTTGCATGTTATGTTTAGATAAAAGACCAACGTAAATAGAGTTCTTGGCTTCTGGGCGGCGTCATTCCAGAAAAGGGATCTAGGCGACATTTCTGTTCTTGGCCTGGACCGTGATGGCGCCAAAGTTAATTGCCGACCTCGGAGCGCTATTCGATAGTGCAGGTTAGTGTTCGAAGAGGTCGATGAGTGGAATTTTGGGGTGGAGAGGGATCTTAGGTGAGAGTGATAAGGCTGATTTGCGACATGTTACTGGGTGAGAAACCTATCACGTACAGAGAATGACTGGCTCAGAGACCCCTTCTTTTATCCGCCCGTTTATCACGCCTGTCACGGAGCATTCAAATCGCGGTCCCTTACTCGTCAGGGTCTAGACTTTGCAACCCCTGACCCCCCGCCCCCCTCTGCCACGCGGTAGCATGAATCACCTTCCTTCTCTGGCCTTTACCTGGGAGCTTGAAGCTTGTAGCGATAAAAAGCCTCTCGAGTGCTGGGCTCAAAGGTAGCCAATCCCGACATGTCAAAGTCTTGACCTGGAGGCACGCCACTCTGTACTCGAATGTCCAAAGCAGATTAGTTGAAAAGCCGTCAGGGGCTGGCCACACAGTTTCATCGGGTCACTGCCCAGAAAGAGGATCCCGTCTCCTCATTGCAGCCGAAGTGGCCGAAGTTCCCCTTTCGCCTCCGTACCTTTCATTCCTTCGCCCGTGCTTTTTTCTTTTTGCATGCATCTGCATCTTTTTTATCTAGTGGCCTCCCCGTCAAATCGTGTCGATCACTTGCTTTTTTCTTCCCTCGTTTTCTTTTTATCCGTACTTGCGATGACATGCGGCTCACGGACCAGACCATAATTCCCACGTTATTGTTTTTTACATAATTACCTGCATCTGACTCCACCGCATCAATTAAGGCTTGGCGCCTTTTTTTCACCCACGATCTTTCTCTCGTTTTCATAACATAATACCCCTCAAAATGTCACATGATAAACCCAAGACCACCGACATCAAAGTCGAAGTGGCACTCACTCGTGATGTCGAGATCATCGAGATGAGAAACATGAGCAATGCCTCGCACAAAGATGAAAACACAACGACATGGGCCATCTCAGCGCCGAAGCAGGAAGACGACAAGGAGCAGAATGATTGGCTCGATGGATTCAGAAGAGCGGACAGGAGAAAATTGAAGAAGGGTTGGGATAAGGGGTATCAATCTGAGCCGAAGCCTCATGTTCCGGGGGATCGATATTTCGATATTCGTGCGGCGAACGCAAAGACTGCTACGTCGGCGCTGGCGAGGGAATTGAAGGGCAGGCATTTGCAGATGATTGCTTTTGGCGGTGCTATTGGTAGGTGAAAGTCGGTGTTTGATTGTGAGAGGCTTGCTAACGTGTGATAGGTACCGGGTTGTTCATCACTTCTGGCAGTGCCCTTCACCAAGGTGGTCCTGGAAGTGTTCTCCTCTCATACATCGTCATCGGCGCACTTCAATACTGCACCATGCAATCGCTCGCTGAGCTTTGTGTCATCTTCCCCATCGCCGGTTCGTTCTCTGCTTTCTCGACTCGCTTTCTGGACCCTTCTTGGGGTTTTTCTATGGGATGGAAGTAAGTCTCACTCACTTATTCATGAGATGAGAGCATCGCTAACGTGCGTAGCTACTGTCTTCAATGGCTCTTCACTCTTCCGCTTGAGATCATTGCTGGCGCATTCACAATCACTTACTGGAACGAAGACATATCCAAATCCGTTTTTGTTGCCATTTTCTTAGCAGCCATTTTCATCATCAACTTGTTTGGTGTTAAAGCGTACGGTGAAGCTGAATTCGTCTTCTCCATCATCAAGGTCACTGCGATCGTAGCCTTCATGTAAGCCTCGTCCCACTACTCACTGAGAGTCTAAAAAGTCCAGCGACTAACAAACCCAGTCTTCTTGGAATTGTAATCAACATAGGAGGCGAACCTACCTCGGGCTACATCGGAGGCCGCTATTGGATCGACCCCGGCTTATTCAACAACGGCTTCAAAGGCTTCTGTTCCGTACTCGTGACATCATGCTTCTCCTTCACCGGCACCGAACTCATCGGCCTCGCAGCAGCAGAAACAGCCAATCCTCGCAAATCCCTCCCCAGCGCCATCAAGCAGGTCTTCTGGCGCATCACCCTCTTTTACATTGTAGCCCTGATGCTCGTCAGCCTTCTTGTTCCTCACGACGACCCGAGAATCTTGGACGCTAGCTCCTCCAACTCTGCGGCCTCACCTTTTGTCGTCGCTATCGAAACTGCCGGAACCACTGTGCTGCCCAGTGTTATGAACGCTGTTATTCTCATTGCTGTCATCAGCGTTGGCAACTCGTCGGTCTTTGGTTCTTCGCGAACCCTTGCTGCTCTTGCTGATCAATCCATGGCACCGGCTATTTTCTCCTATGTTGATAAACAGGGTCGACCTTTGGCTGCTATTATCTTTTCTTGCTGTATTGGACTTTTAGCTTTCATCGCTGATCTGAAGGCTCATGATGTTGTCTTCAACTGGTTGTTATCCATTAGCTCTCTCGCGACTCTCTTTACTTGGGGCAGCATCTGTCTTACTCATATCCGTTTCCGCAACGCATGGGCACACGCGGCACATACCCTCGAGCAACTACCATTCCGCTCACGACCCGGCACATACGGCTCCTGGTTCGCTCTGGCTGGATATGTCCTTGTCTTGTTGAGCCAAGTCTGGATAGCTGTCGATCCTGTTGATCACAAGACGAACGAGACCACAAACGACATTGTGCAGAACATTTTCCTTAATCTCATGGCTGTTCCCATTGTCCTGATCATGTACCTCGGACACAAGCTTTGGTACAGAACGAACTTTGTGGCTTTGGATGATATTGATATCCAGACTGGACGACGTTATTATCGTGTCCATTTGATGAGTGATCAGGAGAGGGAGGCACGTGTTACCTGGCCTTTGTGGAAGAGGGCTTACCGATATTTCTGTTAATGAAGCGTTGTCTCTATTTGTATTCCTCTGGCTTTGATATGAGTTACCAGATCAGCTTTTTTGAGAAGGCATAATTAAGGAATTTCATGACATTGACCAAACCCTGATTCTGTCGAACCACTCGTTTTGTGTCTTTTATGTCGTAGTTGTAATCATTGCAGTCATGGCCTAACGAATAACGATGCCTTCAAGCGAGGTGATTACCAAGTTCAGATGATGAAAATCGACCCATATACACGAGGCATACAGCTAGATATATAATTCGCCACTGCGGCTCAAATAGCCTTGCCCAACGGGTCCCAATCCATCAATTCGTAACATGAACTGCCGAATATGAACCTAATCTCGATCCGATCAAAAGTTCATTACCTTAGCCGCAGCGCATGAAAATTCATGTATGCAAATCTGCGGCGTTTGCAGGAATGAAACAGTTCTGTTTCATTCAATGATACCTGCTTGAAGTGGGGATGGCACCGAGATATGCACGACCCCAAGGGAGGCGTTGCAGTGGTTACTCAATGACATTTGAGTTTATGGGGCCTGGTGGTATTTATCAGATCATGGGAATAGATTTGACCAGGGCTCAAGTATCACAGTTACATTGCGGAGCCGAGATGTCGAAATCGCTGGAGTGTATCAATGCGAAAGAGGATGCATTGCTTTGCCAAGAAATTGAAGAAGAAGTAGACGTGTTGCTTTGAACATCTGCAAGTCTTCCAGGGCATTTCCTTTCTTGTTCTCTCTCGAGTTCACCCATGCCAAGCCGCACCCCAGTCGTTGAAGAAAATCCCTTGGGGATACGGCTGCACGGATCGATTATCCGAATTATTAACCCATTTACCCAGATATTAAGTTTCCAAGCATCCGTAGCCACAACTGAACTCTCCTATCTTATCGACCAGGGCTTCGCAAAGGAATCTTGGCTGAAACGCTGTACAGGCATCGCCCAAGATGCAGGAACGGAAACATGGATTCTTAGTGGACGCCAGCTTGTCTCCGCGGATCACATTACGGAGGATTTACCGGTGACCGGCTACAAATCCTGGACCGAGATACAGTTCTGTGCTGACACTTTATCGTGTCCACTCGGTCCGAGGGGCTGGATTTGCTTCGCTTGCGTAACGATGCTGGGAACCCCTGGTTTTTGTCTCGGGAGGTATCTGCAGCTGTGCCTCAGTGGCTGTAACTATCTACTGCAAGCCTTCTCTGTATTCACGGAGCTTTCACTATTTACAATGAGGCCGTCACAGTAAATCCCGCGTCGATCCGCGGCTGGCTTGGCGTATGTAGAGAAGCAGTAAGCGGCAGTGACACTGTCACAGGACGTGAAATGGAAACATTCTGCAGGCAAGGCAAGTTAAAGCTACGTAGTAGAGTGCCAGACGTGCATGTGAAGAAAACTTGATGCTGTGACTTGTCTCAAGTGTTGATCCTGGTAATGAGGTGCATACAAATATCTGCAGCGATTCCTTCACCACTAGATCTCTGTTTGCTTTCTTAGTTGATGCTTTTAAGTTTTGAACTATTAATTCACTGTGATATTCACGTATGTCAGGTCCTCCAAAGCCTCCCAGCGATGGGAGTCCTTTCTTCCCCATCTCGGAACGAGCTGCCAAACTTGCAGTTGCGCATCTGGGGATAACTTCGCCGCTTCTTGCTATTGCGTTAGCTATGTTTGTGGCGAGGATATGGTTGCGAGTAAGACCGGTTTGGAGAGTGAGTTGGGAGGACTACAGCATGACGATTGGAGTTGTAAGTTATATAATTGTATGCCTTCGGGGAGACCTATCACTGACGATTATTTGTTACAGTGCGCAGCTGTCGTCGATTTCGGATTCCTCATACCGCAGATGTATACATCACCACGTCTCATCACCGAATCTCAAGTGACTTGGTCACGAAAATACGCATTCCTTGCGATCCCCATCTGGGGCATTGCTATGATGTTCATCAAAGCCAGCATCGCAATGATGATGCATCGAATACAGCCTACAGTACTATGGTGGCGCGTCTTTTGCTTCTTCATAATGGGCATCTTGATAGCCTACGGTGTCGCAAACACCTTCTTCATCCTCCTTCAATGTCGACCTCTCGAAGCATCATGGGATACATCAGTGTTGGAAACAGTACAAGGAGCCAGCTGTCTTCCGCAAACTGGCATTCACATCATGTCCAATATTGGGTCCGGCATCAACATTGCAACAGACATCATGCTGTCTTTGGCACCGACACTGTTCCTTTGGAAGCTCAAAAGACCGCTGAGAGAGAAGATCCTTGTTGGGGCACTCATGGGTCTGGGCATGTTTGCAAGCGTCGCTTCCATCGTAAAAGCAACCCTTGTCAAAGAATTCGGCATGGCGAAAGATGCATGGGCACTCACAAACTCCATCGCCACCTGGACAGCCCTCGAGCAAATCCTCATCATGATCGCATCATCCGCACCCTTTCTCAAGCCCCTCGTCCAAAGCGCCTTACACAGAATGGGCTGGACGTTATCAGGAACATCAGCCGGTCGCTCCGGCTACGGAAACCGGTATCACGATGTTGGACAGAGTGCACGACAGTCACGACTGGTGAACAAGTCAGCGGTAAACTCGAGAAGGGATATCTACGGTGGAGATGAGGATCCTTTTGCTGCAGGGGGCAGCAGCGATGCTATTCCCTTGGAGGGGAAGGTCTTTGAAGTGGGCAAGCCAAGAGACGAACGAGATATCACGACAATGCGAACGACGCAGGGATCTTTGACCACAGGATCGTGGACGGAGAGGGGAAGTGAGGACAGGGAGCTTACGCCAAGCCATGCAGTGTAATTTGACTAATAAAAACCCTTTCAATTTACCCAGAACCAACATGCATATGTACCTTCAGGCACTTTTGACCTGTCGATGATCATTGACCATTACAGTATAGTGGAGTTAGTAAAGACAATCGGATCATCAAGGAACAACTCAAGCGAAACTAGGATTTTAACCTGCAGATTAGATTCTCCGGCGCGGGTCGTGGAAATCCGCCGGCCTTGGGGCCAAGTTTATCTCGTTGGTAAGGGTGATCCCTGATGTTCCGAGTCCCCGGATCCATCGCTTAACAGGGAATGTCACGGAGTCTTTTGCCGGCGTTTCAACCAATGTGCATGTAGCAGCATCTGCAATATCACGCTGCAGGTGCTGTTCGGTAACGAGGTCCAGTTTCGTGAACCCTGCAGACTGAGGCAAAAAAGTCAAAACATACAAAGGAGCGTTCCTATTCCTTTCTCTTGTCAATCGCTCGTCTCAGACACTTCTGAGTGACCAGGTGCATCTTCTGATACTGTCCCTGCATTTTGTCTTCTGGTGTTCTTTAGGCCTACATCATGGTTGCTATTACGTCTTTGTGGACTGCTGTCCTCCTTGCAGGCGTGGCTGTTTCTGAGGCAAAGAGCTGCAAGAAACCTTTCATCAGAAGGGAATGGTATGTAACTGATTCTGTTTGGTTGATCGCTTTCTGATTGGTGGTAGGCGCTCTCTTAGTGTCAAGGAGAGAGATCAGTACATCAAAGCCCAGAAGTGCCTGATGAAGAAACCTCCCCAGTCTTCTACTGTCGATATCCCTGGCGCTCGAAGTCGATGGGATGACTTCTTGGGCACGCACATCATCAACGCCGATGACGTGCATTTCACAGTACGTCCACACATCATTCGATTCACGTTTCATCTTCTAACTCCAACAGGGCGTATTCTACCCCTACCACCGTCTACTCATGTACTCCTATGAACAAGAGCTTCAGACCTGTGGCTGGAAAGGTGGCGTTCCCTACTGGGACTGGACTCTCGACGCCGCAGGCCCCGACAACGACACCTCTGTGTTTGTCAACTCACCTATTTTTGACAATAAGCACGGTTTCGGCGGAAACGGAGCTTGGATCCCTGGAAACTTCTCCAACCCCGAGCCTGGTCTGCCTGTGAATCCTCCTTGGGATGTTCCTGATCGCTCTGGTGGTGACTGTATCAAGAGGGGTCCATTTGCGGGACTCAAGTCGAACTTGGGGCCTGGAAATGGTACGGCGTATAATCCTAACTGTATCAGAAGAGACTTTGCGCCGTTGAGTTTTCGGGACATGAGTGGTCCTGCTGCTGTTGAGGATGGGATGCAGCAGGGTGACTTTGGACACTTTGATCGCCTTACGCAGAGCACTACTCACTCTGGTGGACATTGGGGTGTTGGTGGTTTGTATGGTACCATGACTGACAAGTGGCAGAGTCGTAAGTTCCCTCTCACTCTCATCATCTAACATGCTTGATGTACTGACTCTGATAGCTGCTGATCCTCTCTTCTGGGTCCATCACGCCAACGTTGATCGCTTCTGGTGGTCATGGCAGGTTCGTAATCTCAAGAAGCGTGAGAAAGACATCTCTGGGCCCCTCGTAAACTTTGATTACAACAATGAGGTTGCTGGTAATGTTACTCTTGACCATGGCATCTTTATTGGCGAGACTGTCAAGCTCAAGGCTAAGGTCAGGGATGTCATGCATATCAAGAAGGGCCTGCTTTGCTACGAGTATGATGATACTTATTAGATGATTGCATGAGATATGAGGCTTGTGATGACTTAGACATTCTTGACATTAGCTGTCCATCAATTTAATATCCATTGGCACTAGCTACCTGTTCAATTGACTGTGACCATGCTGTCATCAACATCTTCGTACTCTCATATTCAGGACACGTCTCCGAATTATTTCGGAGCTTACAACGGCATGTCTTGATCAACGTTATGCAATCCCCTCTTTTGGTGAACCTTTTCGGACACCTTAGGTAATTATGCCCGCTGACATACTTGCTGCACAGTCTGGAATCACCAGTAAGATGCGCCTTATTTGATCACGTAATTGCTTGATTCCAAACGCTGACTGCAGCCGAGATTCTGCCGCGAGAAGGGCGCTGTGATCTACGATTCAGTATAAATGATTTGGAGTCGTCGTGTCATTATCTGCTTCATCGACAGCAGCAGCAGCAAGAATACAACAGCAATTGATTGACTTTGAATCAAAACTGATCTACACTCGACCCTTTCAGCAACAATGTCCTCAGACTCAGTCGTTTACCACTACCTCGCCATCGGCAAGCTTGGCCGCGGAGAAGTTGTCAAGTGAGTATTGTGTCGCATATATCGACTCCCATTTGGACGGTCAAATGTTCTTGGACTAACCAATTGATAGGCTGTTCTTGAAGGATGCTGGCATTGATTTCGAGGAGAAGCGTTATAAATACCCTGATACTTGGCCAGAGACAAGCGAGAAGCTCAAGCAGCAGGGCATCACCCGCACTGGAAGCCTTCCTTCTCTTGAGTACAAAGGCCTCATTCTCACTCAGGTTGGTGAAATCACAGTTGAGTTGTGAAACAAGACTAACTCCTTTCACAGCATATCCCAATCCTTCGTTTCCTCTCTCGCGACCTCGGCAAGTATGACGGCCAGACGAACGAAGACAAGTACTTGGTAGATGCTGTCTCTGACATCTACATCGATTGGAGAGTATGACGCCAATTCCATCATTCATCGTGCAAGCTCTAATGTAATTGCAGTCCCAATGGGTTGCCAACCTCAAAGGAGCAACCGACGAGTACAAGAATGAATTTCTCCCCAAGTACTACGATCTCATTGCGAAGTACTATTCTGACCGTGAAGGTCCTTATCTTCTCGGTAATGAAGTCAGCTACACCGACTTTGCGATCTACCAGTCCATTGACAACGACACACGAACCAAGACCATCCCTGTAGGTTACATCTCCCTAGACAAATTTGTAATAGTTGACTAAGACTAACCGCCTACTAGTCTAAAATTCCTGATGTCCTTCTCAAGTTCAAGGAAGTTTTCGAGGCTAGGCCCAACATTGCTGAGTACATCAAATCCGAGTAAGACGAGCCATGCTAGGGGAGGCAGGAAAACTTAGAACCCCTATCCTAAGTGATGAAAATATTTAGGCAGCTCTAGCCTAAGCTTAGGGGGCTCTTTACTGAGTTTATCTTAGCATCCTCTTCTCAAGTCTCAAGTTTTCTTGCTCCCTGAGGCCATGGTCCCTGTGACTCAATGCATCTTCTTGGGGGCAATTAGACCAAGTTTACTGATATAAATACAACTCAAATTGTATCTACATTCTCGTTCATCGCTTGTGATAATGGTAGCAATATGGCCCCATCCCGTTTTAGCCCTGGAATCAGCGTTTTGGAGCTACCGCCTTATCTGCTACAGCCTACACTAACGCTGACTGCGCCACTGAACAACCCCATCTCATCTGCCTGCTGACATTCAGCCCTACGGTAAGACTTAAAGTATTTCATGCAACAAATCCCCGCATCGTAAAACAGTCAAAACACAAGGTGCTCTTCATGCATTTTTCAATAAGCACAAGACAAGATGAGTGACAATGCCCCCAAGCTTTGCTCGGCCTGCGCCGCCATCAATTTCGACAAGCTCTTCTTTCCAGACACTGCCCCATTCAATCCCGGCCTCAGACCGCCTCCGGATCCTTGTCTGGGTACACTACAAGAAATCTTGGATCGCTCGATAGAATGCGATGTCTGCAAGCTCATCATCGAAGCCCATCGCCAACGGTATATACGAGCGCCCTACGGCTGCTCGACGTATCATCCCGATTTCAGAAGTGAAGTCCCTGGCGAGGAGCCTGAAATCCACGAGGAAGTCAAGACACATGGGCTGCGACTTACAGTCAACAAGGAACCTATCAAATGTTTCCTTGAATCGCGAAATTTCTCCTCGGACAGAATTTTGCCGGATTCAGAGGATGGTCTTGATCCGGAGACTGGAGGCGTGAATCGTGTTCTGCTCAGGCTAGAACCACGTCCCTGGATGGCTATACTCGCCAACTCGATCACTTTGCAAGCTGTTTGGCCATCAAAAGAGAGCCTAAGTACAAGCAATGACATTCCACTGGACGGTACAGGTCGAATGATCGGGTCTCTGCTAGATCTCTCAATCCCTCAGCGCTGGATCAAGCAATGCGAAGACCAGCATGGGGAGGAGTGTCAAAAGCCGAAGTGGCTAAGCGATAGCGACACCGAATGGCCGGAGAGATGCCGAGTGATCGATGTCAAGGAACGTCGGATCGTTGACCTTCTCCCGACCATGCGCTACGTTGCTCTCAGCTATGTTTGGGGATCTAGCGAGAAGGCGAGGAAATCACGCTTTGAAAGACGTTTGACTCGAGAGAACCTGTCACGACTTCAGCAGCCGAATAGTCTCGGAGAGATCTACGTGCCTCAAACCATTAAAGATGCAATGTATGTTACGGAGCAGGTCGGTGAGAGGTTCCTCTGGGTTGATGCCTTGTGTATCGTGCAAGATGACCCTGCAGATCTTGGTCATCAGACCGCACGGATGGATCTGATCTACTCCAAGGCACTCTTCACGATATTGGCTGCCTGCGGTGAAGACTCGACTTCTGGACTTGCAGGGCTCCCCAGTAATCCACGAGATGTCTTTCAACGACAAGTCAAAATCTCAGCAAGCGGGCTGCATGTCATGCCCCTCGTCACTCTATCCGAAGAAGATACTCTCCAATTCTCGTCATGGAACACCAGAGGCTGGACGTTCCAAGAGCGTCTTTTGTCTAGACGCTCACTCATCTTCACCAACAAGCAAGTTTACTGGTGTTGTGATGGCACGACATGGGAGGAAGAGTCACTTCTCGACATCCCTGGATCAACAACCTTCGCTAGATCATATTCATTCGGATGCTACGATGAATGGGACGATAACGAAGCCAAATTCTCTCTGGAAAGCTTTGATACGTACATAACGCAATTCTCTGAGCGGAGGTTCACTTACCCTTCTGATGTCCTCCCCGCCTTTCTTGGAATCATTCGTCGGTTTGAGCATTTGAACAACGAGAAGATACACTGGGGTTTGAACGCGAGCACTTTTGATCAAGCCTTGACATGGAAATATGGACAAAATCGACGAGATGAGACGTATACTTATGTTTCTGGCGGATCGACACGCAGCATTCCTTATCCTAGCTGGTCTTGGCTTGGATGGACTGGATTTATCGGGGGAAGTTCGAGTCTTCGCATCGGGGAGGACTACAGTAAGAGGGGAGTCGGAGATATGAAGTCGCTCCTGGCGTTTTACTCGTTGATGAGTGATGGGAGCGTGTCTTTGATCAAAGGCACTTCAATGAGGAGAGTGAATGATTACGGAAAGGAAGAAGACGTCATGCCTACAGCTACTGAGAAGTCTAGCCACGATTGGGTCGGCGATACGAAAGTAACTGGACTGATAAAGATGGATGATGTCTCACTGGCTTCTGAGTTGGAGTCACTGTCGGTCGATCAATCTCATCAACCTTCGCCTTATGACACAGGACGGATAGTGTTCTGGACAAGCCACGCCAACATATCAATTCAAATCACCAACCGAGACGGCATCCACATGGAGACATCCGAGGGACTAGTCAAGCTTGACTTAAAGCTGTCATCGCCATTCATGAAGATATCTTACTATCGTTTTGAAGAAGCCTTGAACGAAGACAGCGAGCCAGGTGAGAGCAAGGTGATGAACTTCTTGAGAAGAAAGCCCGTTGCGACAAGTCATACCATTAGCCTCATTGTCATATCGAGGTACTATGGCTTTTATGAGGGTGATGATGAGGTGGTGAAGTTGAACGTCATGGCTGTTGAGGAGAAGGTGCCGGGTTCAGGTGTTTGGGGTCGGATTGGTTTTGGTGTTATGAAGGAGGAGGAGTGGGCCAAGTTGGATATTAATTGGAGAATGGTGATTCTTGAATAGCTTATCGTCTAGATATAGCAGAATGCATGAGGTGTTCGTAACCGACCGGACCCACGGAGGCCCGGGACCGAAAGCCCGATGAACATCGCCACAAATGTCCAAAACGGGCAACGTCAGTTCGACTCATCACGCCAACAACCCTATATAGGACCTAATATATAAACTCACTTACCACCCTTCACCGTGTTTTAATCTAGTCTGTCCTTTATATCAAACATCTCCAGCCCGGTCGAACTAATACTCAATCCCAGAGCACGACTCGCAAGACAAGATAATCGACCATGGCAGACACCAGTGTTGTTAACAGCGATCAGCAGCAGTCGCGCAGAGTCGCGCAGACTCCTTCATTTTGTAGACTCTGCAACATCGAGCTACGAGGACTGGAAACATGGAAAGCCCATGTCAAAAGTGACGGACAGTAAGTATCTCTCCCTCACACAAGACATGAGCAAAAGCTAACCATCGCTTGAAGTGTTCAAAAGCTACAAGAAAAGGTCCATGGCGTTACAGTGTCGTCAACGCCAACTTCTTCTTCGAAATTGCCTTCGTCTTTAAGACAGACAAGAGACGAGTTTGAGGACGATGACCCGGAATCCGAAAGTGACGTTGAAGATAATGATTTCGAAGAAGCCCAGGAACTGATTGCTACAACATTCGTCCCCGGTCACTGCCTCTTCTGCACCAAAGACTCTTCAACTTTAGACGAGAGCATGAAACATATGTCTACAGCACACGGCTTCAATATTCCCTTCCAAGAATTCTTAGCAGTCGATCTCGAAACGCTAGTCTCCTACTTTCACTTCGTTATCAATACATACAGAGAATGCATCTGCTGCGGCAGGCGTCGGAGTACAGTCGAGGGAATTCAGCATCACATGCTAGCCAAAAGCCATTGCCGTTTTGACATCTCACCAGAAACAGAAGAGTTTTACGAGATACCGCAATACGAAGATGCCTTGAGGGATAGAAAGCAGGATGCAGGTGATCCTGTGAGGCTACCTTCTGGGAGAGTCATCTCTCATCGCAAACACGAAGAACCGCGCGTCCCTCGTCGAGATGCACCAGATCAGAAACGTTTAGACCCTTCAGCGCCTGCAGAGCCAGGTATGGAGATTGCACATCGGCGAACAGTCAATGGAAGTCGAGAGGTAGTGCAGGCTAATGAAGCTATCCTCGCTGCACAGCTCTCAAGGCTCAAGGTTACCAGCGACAGAGCAGCACAGCGGGAAGAGAAGCGGTGGAGGGGAAGACTGGAACGAGCGAATAATTTCTTTGCGCTGAAGAGATTTAGGTTGGATGCTGCGGATAGTCGAATGGGCCGGCAGTTCTAGATACCAGCTCAGTAGATAGCTCATGGGACATGCGCCCTCGTGCATACCAACTGAATAATGCTTCCCGTTCGACCGGGCTTTTTGTATGCCATCGCTCTTCAATGGTTTAATCCCGATGCCCAGAATGGTGTCTTTAGCCTCGTTGCCTGGAGGCGCCATCTTTTGTGGCGTATCACGAGGCAGTCCCCAAGGCGTCGCATCCATGTCTCAGCCTCTCCGACCAGACACGGGGGTTCAGCAGCGATAGTCGGCTATATCAATCTAAGTATTCCCTCCGAACATTGATAGATCTCTGAAATCCAAGGGAGAAAGAAACTATCACTCCATGGTGGAGCATTAATTCTTTACTTTATGCGTTCTTATCAACATGGCGTCCTCACGGTCATCCAGCCCAGACACCGCTTCTAGCGCAGATCTCCAACTCCCAGTCGACATCAGCGCTAGTCCTAACTCGCCTGCCTATGCACCTGATATGGACAGTCTGAAGACCGTGAGTTTCGCAAGGTTGCGCGACTTCAGTAATTGGAGAGACAGCAAATTCTTGACGTATCGATGTTTCACTTACGCGGGAGATGGTTGGTAACTGTATGCATACCAGATCCATTGAATCTTATTGACAAAGAGCAGAAGTTCAAACGAAAGACTTCATCCTTGGAGAGTTTGAAGAGATACAGAAAGCCATGTCTGAATTGGATGATGATCATATACACATTCTGTCCGTCGAGTAGACTCACGATAAATTTTTTCCATGCTAATCATTGTCTAGCAATGCAACTCCTCGGAGTGTGTTTCTTCTTTATGCCAGCGAACTACGCGAGTTATCCCAAAGTCTCGGCCTTGCGCCGTGGATCTCATATGGTCTAGAGTACAACGTCCTCAGAGGACTAGGCCGGAGGCTTTACGGTTCCCACTACGGTAAGCTGCTCCCCAAGTGGATGGCAAAGGCTCATCCAATACTTAACAGATATCTGGTTTACCCTTCCACTGGTAGATGCCGGCGTAGATAACTTCACCCATCCAGGTCAAGAACTTCATTCTCTTCCAGTTGACTCTTCCGAAGGTGTGACCCATTTATATGAAGACGCAGGCATGTTCTATCTAAGCTTCGACAAAAAGACGAGACAAACACGTATTCTATACTCGAGCGCAATCCCTGCTGGTCAAAAGTTAGCATCTGCTTGTGACAACGCAGAAGAACTTGGTGTACGGGATGACCCGTTTACGTTTGTCACGTGCGCTTTGAGCTCAATTCTTCAGGATCAGGGCATGAATGCACACTCTTTCTCTGCTCTCATTAGCAAAATGGTGAGTATCCTATCTATCAGGTTAGCTGTCTCTAACATGAGGGGCTGTAGGAAGATTACAGCAATTCACTCAGGTTTGAGATTGCAGAGAATGAAGAGACAAAAGTGAAAGAGACGGCGATCCAACTGAGAAAGTCGTTGCCGTACCTAGAGAAGATCTTGGAGTCGGTGGACTGCACGATACAGATAATCGAGGATACCATCAGCGAGCACAAGGACTGTAGAGAACTGCTATCCATTCCCAAGCAGCATTTCCTCCGTGTCGAAAAGAACTTGCAGACTCTCCGCTCACAGGCGATCTCCTTCAAGAGCTACCAAGACACACGCATCAGAAGAATCAATGTCTGCTTATCAACGGTGAGGCCATATCAACTCTCTTGTTCTTGATCCGGGCATCTTGCTAACTCGATTGTCGTAGCTCTCATCTCTTTTGAGCCTCAGAACAGACAGCGCTATCAAGGCCAGTACTGAAGCAATGACAAGATTGACGGAAGCGAATCGAGAAGATAGTGGTAGGATGAACGACATCGCAATCGCTACGAAGCTCGATAGCGAGGCTATGATCACCATTGCCAAACTCACCATGTTTTATCTACCATCGACATTTGTGGCTGTAAGTGACCTACCATCTAAATGGGCTTTACAGAGAGATGCAAGAGAAGAACATTACTAACCGTCGATGATATAGACTCTTTTCAGCATGGGGATCTTCAACTTTGACTTTGACAACGGCAAGAATGGGCGTCTTGTCATGTCCAGCCAATGGTGGATGTACATCATCGTCGCAATACCACTGACTATTGGAACGTTTTACTGGTTCAGAGCAGTTACAAGATCGCACAAACAGGCAAGCCAGAAAGCAGAACGAGAAGCCAAGCAGCCTGAATGAGGCTCCTTGTCTCTTCCTCATATGCAGCGTGTACTTTGAAGCAGTTTGAGGATTAATACATGGATTACTTTTACGTACGACAAACCTTCTGTGCACCAGTCAATGCAAGCCATTCATTCAAGCCGGTGGGTAACTGAGTGGCTCCTCTTCACTTTAACGCCTAGCCGGGCCCGAAGGAGCAAGAAAAGCTTCTAACATCAGACCAAGGTGACAAAAAGAACTAGTCTAGAGATCTACTAGAGCCATCCTAACTGTACCTAAGCATTTTTGGCATCTAGGATAAAGGCCCTAAGTTTTCTTACTTCCCCTGGTGCTATCGATCTTGAATTGAGGTTCCACCCATCAGGTCCCCGCCAGTTGAAGAAAAAAAAAAGTTTCAAGAAAATTTTGTCGCAATTGAGTGAAGATACTGTACAGCAGATAGATAGATAATGTGAAGATATTCCCAAATGGTTCAGTGAATTGTGTGATTAATGGTGACGACATTGATTGCCTTAGGCACCTCATTCCTCAAAACGGCACAGCTGGTGTAGCTATTGCCCAATGTAGAGAGCTCTGAGCTGCCTATGACGACACTAAAGTAACCACCACAAATCTTTCTGTGACCCCTCTATTTACCTTCTTCCAACAACAACCACTTCACTCAATCAATCCATCAAAGGAACACAATCAATCAATCAATCCGACATCAGCTTCACGCTCACCGCAATCATGTCTCGCATCCCCACCTCCACCTCGGTCCTCGAGTCCGCCGTCATCGAAGCCCCCTTCAGCGACGTCTGGCACCTGATCAAGCTGCAAGATTTCTCCAAGTTCTACTCGGCCCTCTCCTCCAGCGAGTGGGTGAAGGGCGTATCCCCCGACACCGACATCGTCAAGTGGACCTTCAAGGACGGCACTGTCCTCGAGGTCAAGCAGGAGGAGCACTCGTCCATCGACCACTACATCACCTACAGCGTCATCTCGTCGCAGCCCGCCCTCAGCTACACCTCTGTCGTCAGCACTGTGCGCGCCTACCCCGTCACCTCTGGAAAGCACGAGGGCGCTACTTTTGTCACCTGGAGCGGAAACTTTTCGAGCGATGCTGATGCGGGTGTCATTGAGGATGCCAAGTTCAAGCGTCGTGAGGCTTTGGCTGACCTCGCCAAGGCTGTCGCTAAGAAGTAAACGACGATCGATGGGAGGCAAGGATAAAAAGAAAACAATGGGTATCATATCAAAGCTTATGGATGGGCAGAGCAGGGTTATCACATGTCGATGTAACTAGTAGCCCGCCGTCGTCAATCACATCAATTGTCAAGCTGTGTTTCGTATGAGATTGCAAACAAAGACCTAAACTTGACCCTAGACTTAGTCCTAAGGATTAGAAAACTTGTACAAAGTTTATGATAATATTATCCTAAGTCTTTGCCAAGACCTTATAATTCATGTCAGTCTTGCAGATGCCTTGGACTCTTCAACTGGTCTTGGATTATATTGGGTCGTGGATTGATCAAACTGCGTCGCATCAAGTACAGGGTACAGTGGTGCACCAACAGCGCTGTACGAAAGATTGCGACAACCAGCTATGGAAATCTGCATCGCACAGCCAAGATTATCGCAAAACTTGTGTTCCGATTGACGTTTCACAACATCTCACCAGGACTGGACCCTGAACATCGCACACAAAAGATTTGCGCTGGATTTTCAGGGTCTGGGGAACGGATCCATTCTTGGCGGAGAGCTTCAGGGTACCTGACTTAGATTTTCAACACCATCAGATCATCTTCAATTCTAGAACAATTAGAAGCTGCGAATCTGCTTTAGTCTACGGAATCATCGGCATATACATGCATGCTTCGATTCCGAGTACTCAAATAAATGGCTCATTTTTAATTCAGCGACGTTGCGTAGTGCACTCCCCATCCCGGAGAACTTCTGTACGTGAGATCTCAAACACGACATAAGAATCTCACACCTCGTAGTGCAACCGGCTTCGTCGGATGCAATGTCGTCCAGACAAGCAATGCAGGGTCCTTTGGACAAGTGAGTCTCTTTCACGGCGTGATTGGACCAAAGGAAATCGATAGGAATGAATGAACTGCCCCTTGAGTGAAAATTTGAAGCTTGAAAGTTAATTGAACTCTAATTCCAACGTCCGAGACCCCGATTCTCGACATTTTGTATTCACCGATGCCGATCAATAGTCGCCGTGAAACCTACGCGTATTTGGCGTATTTCGCTCGTATCTTATCTACGCGTATTTGTTCGTCCGCGCGTTCGTTCAGCCCGTCTCTCGTCAGCCAGAATTTAATGGTGCCACAAGTCGGTCAGATTTTAATCACCCCAACGGCGTTTCATTCAACCTCCGTCTTCCGTCGTGGGATTCGGCACGGTAATCTCGTCGGGTCCGATCCTTTAGCAGGCCCCACATTCAATTCCGTCAAGCGCATAAAGGGGATGGTCAAAACTCCACCATAATTTCACATACTCCGCACCGCCAGACGAGGCGAGCATGGGTCAAGCCTTGTTTAAAGGTGAGCACGTGAGCATATCGTGTTGTGGGATATCGTGAAGTGGGGGTTCAAGAGGAAGCGTGCGTGTATTGGCATTATTCTAGATTAACATTAATTTGTTCATTGCGATGAGTTGCTATGGGATATCGTTATGTGATGATTGAATAAAGCATGCTGAGTGTCATTTATTTTCCTCCCCGGTTTCCAGTCGTAGGGAAGGGCTTCTCCAGCTTGACACACCAGAGGAACAGATCCTCCAAGGGCAAAAGACCAAGCAAGATACGGTTCGACAGCCAAGCAACCAGAACAACACCTGTAGCAGCCAGAGCATCAAGCCAGTAGTGATTCGCCGTAGCAACAATGATAGTCAACACAAACGCGGGGTACAAGATGCTCAGCGCCACGAAGAACACCTGCCACGCCTTGCTCATGCGCTTCTCGCGGGGGGCAAGGCGTCGGCGGAACAGACCAGAGTGGTACAGGAGAACAGTGCCGATGCAGAAAGAGTACCCAAAGTGAAGCGAGGGGAACGCGGCGAGTTGGTTGAAGAACTTGTTGGTGGCGTAGATTGACTCGGCGTCTTCGCGGCGGACGGTGTCGAAGAAACCGTATTCCTCGGGGAGGAGACGCGGTGGCATACATGGGTATGTTGTGAAGACAACGAAGCTGAAGAGGTTTGTGAGCGTCATCATGCGACGAGCCTCAGCGAATTGGGCGTGCGTCGGTGCGGCGTAGTAATACCATGCAAGGAAGCTGAAGTTTGTTAGCCATGTTTCTCTCACGAGAGGGGCAGTAGCAAAAACAACGAACCTGACAGTGACGGGGATGTGAATCAGGGAGTAAGCGCGGTTCAAGATGGTCAGCATCGTCTGGTGATCGTTCCTGAAGAAGCTCTGGACATCAATCTCCCGCAGAGGAAACATCCAGCTAAACGGGCCCTCATGCTCAAACCACAAGACCGCCTTTCCATGGTTCTCCGCAGTCTGCCAGACGCCATCCGTGGCGGCGATAAGCTCACTCGCCGACTTGACGCCGACGTAGAAGAGTAGATTGACCACCCAGTAGAACATCTCCACGAGGAACGGAAACTTTTGTATGAAGCGCGAGTGCCAGTATTTGGCGTATCGGCTCGAGTTGGGCGTGTGAACCACAGTGCCGCAGCACGTTCTCTTCTTGGGCGGGTGTGTTTCCGTCGGCGACGCTGCGTCAGCGAGGTTGAGACGTTCTGTCTCGTCGTGGACGTCCTCCTCGTCCCATGGCTCCGGCTTCGATTGGCCGAGGAGACCTTGGTCGGCGCTCTTTGACGAAGGGATGATGGAGAAGTTTCGGAGGCGGTTGAAGTAGCATGAAGCGATCATGACACCGACGATGAACTGCACGTGAACACACACACAAAGTTAGCCTCCACGGCTGACCGAGTTTATCAAGAGAAAGAGATACGTACGATTGGCTCGACGACGGCGTGGTAGGCAAACTGCGGCTCACCCAAATCTTGTTCATCCTGTTGAGTTTGCGCTTGAGCCATGATGTCTTCTATTGCGGCATGTGCCGACTGCAAAGAAAAGAACGTAAAAAGAAACAGAGTATGAGAAGGGTGAAAAAAAAAAAAAGAAGCTTAAAGGTTGTCACAACAAATAGGTTTGGTCGGGTGAGTCGATAAAAAAAGAGTTTACGTTAAGATAGATAAAGAACGAACTTCGGAAGACGCGGAGAATAATGGACAAGGGGAGAAGATTTGCTCCCGGGTCAAAACAAGGGCAAGGATGCTTGGTTTGGGATCAGGATTCTTGATCACAGCTACCGACCGCTAAAATGCACTGGGGCTACAGAATAAAAACGAGCGTTAGGTGGTTAATGAGTTAGGGGGGATAAGCTTGGCGGGTTGGAGCGCTGTGTTATTACGTGTCTTGGTTGTGAATCTGGGAGGCAGCCCCTGAAGCGCCAGTACTAATTGGTCACTGGACCATCAGCTTGGTGACGTAGACGATCCATTTCCGCAGAGGCTAAATTTTAGATTGGAAGGGGGGAGGTGACAGAAACTCTGGAGCATGAAGCCACTATAAACTTACCACAAAATGCACCCGCTGAAATTGTCAGATAAGACGGAGTGGGGTGATGGTCAGCCAATCCCGTCGTCCGCGGACCCCCTAATCCCCCTCGGATTTTTCGTTCTCGCTTTTGTTTTTCTAGGGGGCCCGCTCCACTGATAATGAAAGGGTCACCCCCCCTTTGGCGCACTGCAACTGTACTGCCACTGTCCCTGCGGCGCAATCCACCATCTTTTTTCGCAGGCGAGCGTCAGATTTAATCTCAGCCCAAAAACAATCTTCCACTCCTTCAAAAGCTCACGCAACGCCAAGCCGCTCGCCGGTCCTTTCTCTCCCTCTCTTTTTCAATACTACTTCTTTTTAATAATATCTCTCCCGCAAAAATGTCATCCTCACCGATTCTTGGTCCCGAACGAAAAAACTCCTACGATGAAGAACGCCTCGAATGGGCGACGCCCTCTGTGCCAAAGAAGTACCTCCGTCTGCCAAGACTGCGCCGCTCGACCGTGATCCTCCTCCTCATCGACTTCCTCATCGTCGCTGTCCTCGTCCATGCTTTTTACCCGCTTATCACACTGCTGCGTCGGAATGAGGAGCTGTTCGGTGCGAGATTAACGTTGCCCCTGAATGATACCTCGTTTGGCGAGGATGTGCCCGCGCAGAGGACGATACCGAGGATTTTTCACCAGACGAGTGCGAATGAGACCATCCCTGACGCTTGGAAGGATTTGGTAAAGAGCTGTAAGGAAACTTACTCTGAGTTTGAGTACAAGGTTTGTTTGTCCTGGGTTGGTGGTCACTGGAGGAGATGGATGCTAATTGTCGCAGCACTGGACGGACGATAAGGCTCGCGATTTTATTTCGGAAGAGTATCCTTGGTTCCTCGACACTTGGGACACTTTCCCTTTCAACATTCAACGCGCCGATGCCATTCGATACTTTGTCCTTCACCACTATGGCGGTATCTATCTCGACATGGACACGCTCTGCAACGCGACAATCCCCCTGCACCAGATCGAGTCCGACGGCAGCAAGCACCACGCCGTCTTCAAGAGCACAACACCCACCGGCGTCTCCAACGACATGATGATTACCTCCGCGCACCATCCCGCCTTCACAAAAGCCCTCTCACGAATCCAACTCTACAACGATATAACCCGGCCCTGGGCACACATCCTCCCGCACGTCGCAGTAATGGTATCCGCGGGACCGCTCTTCCTCACCATGGCGCTGAAGAACTACCTTCTTGAACAGCCCTCGCTGCCTGAGACTACGGTGCAGGTGATCAATGCGACCGAGCTTGAACCTTATCTGACCGATTACGAGGGCGCGTCGTGGCATCACGGCGATACGAAGGCGATAATGTGGTTGGGTGATCGGCCGTGGGTTTGGTACCTGCTCGGTGCGATCGGGCTGAGTGGAGGGTTGTATTTGATCAACATGCTCATGATGAAGTGCTGGGGACGGTTTTTTGAGAAGGCTTCTAGTGATGAGGCCAAGGATGCCATTAAACTCACGTAGAAGGGGTTATGCTTAATTATATATGACTATAATATTTTTAATGGCAGCGATGTTTATTCACAATCTGTGATCCTCTTCAATACCGTGCAATCCCATGTCTTGGCTTCAGAAATGCTCAATCACGACATCGAAGCCCATTCAGACCGCCCCATTCAAGACACGCCAGCCTCGTGGCTTATCTCGACACATCAGTGCGTTCGCCAGTCCCTCAGATCCAAATCTGACAGTCCCCAAAGTCAATGCAACACTGCATGAGTTCATCACCCGACATACGCGCGTCCAAGTTAATCTTGGTCCAGACCGTTCCGTGACGTGGAGGAACTTTGTAAGATGACGTCGGCGCAGTTCTGATCGGTAGAACAACCCCGCAAAGTAGGCTGATCTGGTTGAAGCTAGGCTGTATTAGAGGTTGTGACAGTTTTCTTGCATGTCATTGGTGTTTTGGGGGAGCTTTATATGCAGAGCTCTCGATTGGTGCGGGCTTGAGGAGGGATGGCTGTTTGGTTGATGTTGGGTCAAGCTTCAATTGCTCTCGTGATGACTTTGTACTGTAGCCCCGGTTTTGGTGCTGTGAGATGCGGCGCGATGCCAGCCTCGCTCATTTCAAAATGGACGGACACTTGATGCAGAGTACAATACGAGGTCCAACAAATAATGACTTTTATTACCCGCCATGCTTTCTAACCAGCAATTCTGACAGCCAATCGCTGCGATGACTTTCCAACCTTCTAAAATACATATCCTACACTCCATCGTCTACTGAGACCCAGTCTCCGACGCCTCACCCTCCAATTCCTTCTTCTCCTTCTCTTTCTTCTCAATAGTCGTTTGCTTCTCCCACATAGCATGGTATCGTCCTCCTTGGGCCAAAAGCTCATTATGTGTTCCGCGCTCGACGATCTTACCCTTGTGAAGAACGATGATCTGGTCTGATGTTGTGATGGTGGAGAGGCGGTGACTGAATACTGTTAGCCGATGTTTGATGAGGCTTGGCGATTGACTTACGCGATTGTGATGGTTGTGCGACCTTCGGTGACGCGCTCGAGAGCATCTTGGATCTGACGCTCTGTGTGTGAGTCGAGAGATGCGGTTGCTTCGTCGAGGAGTAGGATGCGAGCGTCTTTGAGAATCGCGCGGGCGATGGCGATCTACAAATGTCAGTGACCATGTCCGCAATGCTAATCAGTAACGGTAGCTTACTCTCTGGCGTTCACCACCTGACAACTTCAATCCTCGCTCTCCAACCTTGGTCTCATACCCATCTGGAAAGTTGAGAATGCGCTCATGAATATTCGCCGCCTTGCATGCCTCATAAACGTCTGCCTCTGTCGCATCTGGTCTCGCGTACAGAAGATTGTACATGATCGTGGCGTTAAACAGAACTGTATCCTGGGGAACGACACCGATGTTGCTGCGAAGACTCTCGAGCTTGAGATCTCGAAGGTCGTGGCCGTCAATGGTGATGGAGCCATCCGTGACATCGTAGAAGCGGAAGAGAAGCTTGAGGGAGGTGGACTTTCCGCTACCTGATTCTCCGACAATAGCGGTCTTTGTGCCTGGGGCAACCGTGAAGTTGATGCCGTCGAGGACAGGATCGCCTTTCTTGACGTGATACGCGAACTTGACATCGTTGAAGGAGACCTCGCCCTTGGGTGAGGGCAACTGAATAGCATCAGGCTTCTCGACCACGCCAGGTGTTTCTTTGAACTGTTTCCATTAGCATACCCCATTATCGCAGAGGAGAGGGTACTCACAATATCAAGCAGTCGCTCAGCTTCAATGAGATTATTCTGAAGCATGGTATAGTACGTCCCAAAAAAGTTCAAAGGACCTTGAAGCTGAACAAAGTAATTGATCAGACTCACAAACTCACCAACGGTCTGCTCCCCGATTGAAATCTTGTACGCCGACACCGAAACGAGCAACGCCGTTCCCAATGTGAAAATCGAACTCTGCGTGAGATTCAACCCGTTCAACGACCACTGCACCAATCTCTCCGCGCGCTGGAAAACAGTAACATGGTCTCTAAACCGCGCCGTCTCGCGCGCAACAGCACAATTATGCTGAACCGTCTCATACGCCACGATAGCATCAGTCTTGACAGCTTCCATCTCACGGGTCTTGACGGTCATGTCTCTTCGTTGTTTTCCTCGGTACTTGGCGACGTAGATTGTGAGGAAGATGTATGACCACATTATGAAAAACACAATGATCGTGTAGAAGGCGTCATATTTCACAAAGAAAATCACACCAGCGACAAAAATGTCAAAGACCATAGGAAAAACCTGAAAGCAGAAACTCTCAAGGAAGGTGTTGATGGAAGCGCCGCGGCTTAGGGCGCTGGTGACTTCGCCGACCTTTTTGTTGAGGTGGAACTCGAGGGATAAGCCGAGGACGTGTTCGAACGCAGCAGAGGAGAGGCGGCGGAAGAGAGATTGGGATACAGGCAGCCAGAGAAGGGATCGCGCGGCGCCCAGAACGCCCTGGTTGCCTTGGAGAGCGCGGTATACGACGTAGAGGATGATTTCCTTGTAGGGAAGTTTGCCTTCGCCGAGGCTGTCGACGAGGGTACCGAGCTGGAGAGGTCCTAGGACGTTGACGGTGCGTTGGCAGATGAGGAGGATGATGCAGATTAGTACGATGGCTTGGTAGACGGGGGAGCCCTTTGGCCTGTGATTGTCAGTGGATGAGCGTGGTTTGAGTGAAGGGACTTACCAGAGGTAGGGGAACAAGACTCGGAATCCAGCAAAGTAATCCAGCCACCCCGTCCCAGAAACCTGCGTCCTTCTCGGCTCGGCCGCAGTAGGTTGAACACTTCCATACCCGTCCGCCGCCCCATTCCCATTCTCAAGAAGTCCCCGTCTCTCCTCGGGCAAAGACTTCGGTTCCAGAGCCTTCGTCTTATACTCCCTCAAACCCAACGCCCCAATCATGAGCGCCAGCACAAGAACTCTTGCAGCTCCGAGAATGTTGAGAGTGTCGACAAAACCAGGTGATACGCGGAGTTTCGGCTCAACGGCTGAGAGAGCAGCTGCGATGACAATCTCTGCAAGAGCACCGACGCACCATGCCGAAAGGTGAGCAGAGTTCGGATTCCACGGTCCTTCAGGGTCTGGAAGAAGACCAGCGACGTAGTAAAGCAAAACTCCAACGAAAGATGCCTGGTATTGGTTAGTTTTGCTGAGTATGAGAGCAAGGGGAACGTACGAGATATGCGCTAAACGAAAAGACAACACTGCCCTTCACACCATCCTGATCCGCAAAAACCTCCCTCGTAGCGTACACAATACTTGCAATCAACAATCCCGAAAGCACAACCTGAAGAACCCAAATACACCTCGCGTAAAACTTTCGAATCTTGTCAATATGCTGTTTCAAGTCATTGTCCAACGCGACTTTACGCGTCGTACTGCCATGGCGGCTTATGTAGAACTGAGCGGACTGAACGCCGAGGAGCGTGACGAAGAGGACGATGGGATAGGCGTAGAAGCCGATCTTCAATCCGAGCTCTGCCTTTGCCATGGCTGGGGAGGTTTTGTGATGGGCGTGAGCTTCGGGGAGTGAGTTAAGGATGATGTCAAGGGATCGGGGTTTTGATGTTCCGAGGGAGATGGGATTAGTCAGCGGATTTATCAGCGATGGCGAGATTGTTCTTTGTTTCACTGCATCATTCTTAGCAGAGATTAGTCGTTTGGGTGAAGGTTTATTCGATTTGGTGTTTGTTCTTGCTTTTGCTCGGTGTCATCGTATTTCCATCGTACCTGGGGCATAATTGTCGACAGCCTCTCCAAGTCTCCCTCGTGATATCCGTTAAAACTCTGTGAATGCCTTCCGCCATGCATACCGTTTCTGGACTCATGAATCTGCCAGTGACGGTTTGAGGCTTTGTTGGAGTGTTGCCTTATGTGCGGCTGCACTGGTCGCCTTGAATAGTGACTTGCTTGGTCATGCTGCAAGTAAGGCAACTGATTGAGGCGGGGTGATGGAAACCAGGCTATGCTGTTGGTTCCAGATTGTGACAATTGTGCAGCTCGACGTGTCAATCGTTGACTGAGCGATAGGCTTACTGTCTGCCGAAAGTAGAAATCCGAACACACACACACTTATCGAAGTGCGTCGATAATGTCATTCAAAAGCAGGCTGTGATGAGGTGTCAAATGACAAGCCCAGTCGCACAATAAGGCATAGAGGTATTAGATGGACTGGAAATAAATAAACTCAACCATCTCGTGCTCTTCAACATTGGACAAACTCATCTTTAGCCTTTTGAACTATTCGCCGACCCAGTATGGAAGCCCTTGGTGCTTTCGCCAGTGTTGTCACCATCGTAGGGTTAATACGACCGACTACCAAGTTCGTCAGATCCCTCCGAGGAATCACCTCCAACGACGGCCATGTCGCCAAAGAGATTGAAAGAATGGCGAGCTCAATCCAGGCATCGGCTACCAGCATAGACGTTTCTTTGAAAGCGCTTAAAGGTCACGCATCAACGCTTGAGAAAATGCAGCGAGCACCGTCAGAAGTCCTACAGTACATTATCGACAACAAGTCCATAGACATTATCGTTTCTGGTACAGAATCCATCAGAAAGCAAATGAGGGATACATCACGCGACCTTGACGATACGAATAATCGATCCGAAATCTTGAGAAAGATTAACTGGCTTTTGCTGGACAAAATGGAAGTTGAATCATTATTTCCCGAAATGCAGGTCGTCGCGTCTTGTCTCAACCTCGTTTGTCCAATCATCGGACTGGAGATAAATCGATACCTACTCAATAAATCCTCTGGCGAGGTGGCGGAGTGCCTGAAGCAGGAGATGTAAGTATAAGACTCGTGTCTTTTGAGCGACAAAGCGTCTAACGCCTATGAGAAAATCCCTGAGGGGCCAATTAAAACTAGTCGAGAAACAGTATCAAAGTGTAATGAAGGAGCTGTGGTCAAGTATAAATGGAGAGTCAGACTTTGAAGCTGCGACGAAATCACTTTTCTACTTGTCACAGAGTGTACGACGAACTAGTTCGACACCCCAACCTGACAGAGCACCTGCTGATCGAAGGTCACCTGTCCCAGAAGAAACATATCTGAGCCTGGCCCCCTCTAATACTCCACAGCCGTCCCCAGGATCAAGGCGTCAGAAGCCTCATAGTGTTCCAGTGCCTCGCGAAGCCCCATCGGAGGTAACACGGCATACCTCCAGTAGCCCTGAGTCTTCTCGACCTCACTCAGCCGTTCCATCATCATCGCCAAAGACCTCAGACACGCCTCCGACTCCGCAAAGCCCTGATGCGCCCAAGTCACTCAGAATAGACACCTCGACACGTGCGGGTGGTTCACGCGGGGGAATCGTCCGGACCATTCAAGGGCATATAATCAACCACGGGAAAGAAATTCCAGTGAAAAACGCCACAATTGATCAACATGGCTCCTTTAATTACATTTCAGTCAAAACAGCGAATCAGCTTGACCTTGATATCCAGGAGCTGGATCCTGATGAACCTAGTCACACGCATAGCGGTTCACACGAAATGATACTGCCTGGGAAGGTGATTGGCAAGGTTACAGGTGTAGGATGGAGAAGAGCAGGCCGGGCAAAGATTATCCCCGTTGAGTTTCTGGTCAAAGATTCCTACTGTGGTAGGATGCGAGAACATGTCGCGTTTGGGATGATATTTGCCGGCGACCTTGACACGGCTGGGAGAGGCAGTTGATGAACGGAGAAGAGAAATACCGGGTGTTTGTTCCTTGCACATTTCCCTTGTTCAACCCAGTGACCAAACTAAAGAGCAATGGTAATATCCCGAAAAAGTCCATGGGCGAGGTTGTTCGGACAAACAGGCACAACACCCCGAAGCAAAAGGGCATCAACTTAAGACGAACAGTGTCTGCCACTTGCTGTCACTTGGCATGACAATCAGGCAGTGCCATCACTCATTCACTTGACCAGGCAGTGGGGCGTTGTTGCTTTTGTGTAACCCGACCAGCTGCCAGCGGTTGTTGTCACTCCACAACACTTCTTTTCCCACCTCTCAACAACATATCTTCAATCCTCACCGCAACGCAGCGCAGCCACCATGGCTCTTCAGAGCACTCAGAGCAAAGCACTCGTAGAGTGAGTATCACTGCATTCAAGTATGATGCAGCTACTAATCGCTCTTCAGCCTTCTCAAGACGGGCGACTACTCTGATCTCGTTATTTCGTGCGGCAAAGATCAATACAGTGTTCACAAAGCAATCATTTGCCCACGATCCCACTTCTTCAAGGCAGCTTGCGATGGCAAATTCAAGGTCAGTGGTTTGTCCATGAGAGTGTTGTATCATTACTGACCTGTGCAGGAAGCGCAAACAGGCACAATCGACCTCCCGGACGACGATCCGGTTGCTGTACGCATGATGATCGAGTATCTGTATCATGACACGTATGCGCCGGCCGGGGCGAGTATTCACCGTGATGGCGCTATCGATGCGCATCTCTCCGACACCGAATATGATGACGAGAAAGAAAAGAGGAAGAGGGAACTCTATGGCGCAACTTTCATCGGTAACAAGAGAATCAAGAGGCTCACTGCACTGCCGGAGGATTCAACAGTTCGCGCCTCTCAACCCGCCAGATTCACCGGATTCGCTGCCTTCATCGCTTCAAGAGAATCGCAAAGAGGATCTGATCGCAACCGACAAGAACACGGTTCCTCCACAAGTACAAACTCCGTCTCAGTCCAGAGTCCCTCCCAGGCTTCGCCCAATCAATCATCTTCCCCACCCCGTCCATCACCTGCGCCATCACCAACCCCACACCCTCCACGACCCTCCGCTCCTCAGCGACCCATCCCTCCCGCAAACCTCCATCTCCACGCCAAAGTTTACGCCCTCGGTGAGAAATACGGCATCCAGCCCCTCAAGGCCCTGGCTCTTCGCAAGTTCGAGTCTGAAGCCCAGTTTCATCTTCACAGCGACGACTTCTTGCAGGGGATAAGAGAAGCATACACCTCGACCGTTGAAACGGACCGTCCTCTTCGTGATGCCGTGGTCACAATCTTGAGAAGCAACAAGGGCCTGTTGAAGAAGGAATCTGTGAAGGAAGTACTCAAGGAGACTGGTTTGGGTTTTGATCTGCTGATGGACTTTGCATCGAGATGAAGCCACTGGATACGGGTGCCAAAATTCACTGGTCTAAAGACATCCCAAGATAAACTAAATTTACCTAAGTATACTCATCACTTAGGATAGAGGTCATAGTTGTCTTACCTCCCCTAGCACAGCCAGCCGTCAGATGGTATGATTCCTCCTGAAACTAAGGGCTTCTTATCCCCGGCATCTAGCACATAGGCTTCTCAAACCAAAAGCAAATTGCAATCTTCACTTTACAGGAGCGGCCTGCCGGAATGGCGACCCCCCGTGCAATCCTTCAATGTGTATTGTCATGAAACTAATCAAGATTGTGCAATCCATATAGTTTGGTCAGTTCATCATTCATAGTCCAAATTCACTCATATTTTTGTTGAAACTAGGATGTTGCCTATGATATCTTCTTGTACAAACATGACAGCCTAGCCAAACAACAGCAAAGTATCCAGAATTGGCCAGGCAGTAACAACAACTGTTTGTTGTCACCGTCGCTGCCTGAATATAAACAAACACGTCTGCTATAAAAGGGACGCCTCTTCCTTCTCACTCTTTATCTTCTACCATCCCTATCGTCAGTAAATGCGTCTGTGAATCTCTCCGTCTCTCGTCAAGACCTCTGTGACAGCGCCCCTGTGCCAAGATCTGGAGAACCCGGCTGTATAGCAAGAAGAATAAGGTTCTTTACCTATCATGCCCCCTCGGAGTATTGAGGTCTATGACCACTCCGGCGATCAGAGAAGAGCCCTCGGAAAGTGAGTATTTCCAACCACAGCTTTCACGCTCCGATGCTAATGCAAAGGTTAGCCTCCTCAAAACCGGTGACTATTGCGACTTCGTCATCATCTGTGGCCAGGCGCGCCACAAAGTCCACAAGGCAATCATCTGTCCTCGATCTGACTTCTTCAAAGCAGCCTGCGGCAGTGGATTCAAGGTAACTTTGCACTAAATCTACCTGGGAACATTTACTTAATTGGTACAGGAAGCTCAGACAGGCGAGATCGAACTACCCGATGATGACCCGTTTGCCGTGAGCATGATGATCCAGTATCTCTATCATCAAACGTACACTATCCCACACGACTTGAGCCTGGTTCGGGAAGATCAGGGGTTTCCTACGGCTACTTCCAAGCCTTCAGCAGCGCCATTGAGAAGCACTCGTCATTCTTTCAGTGGTGACTCCTCTGCCATCCATTCTCTTCTGCATCCACTGCAGGCTGCCCCCGCCCCCGTCCCTCCTCCACAAGAACCAGCATCGTACGATTCTATCGTCCCCTATGTCAGCCTCAGTGTTCACTACAAAGTCTATGCACTAGGCGAGAAATACGGCATCAACGGCTTGAAGGCTCTAGCTGTTTATAAGTTCGAAACCGAGGGTGAAGATGAGTTCAGGAGCAGTATTAACTACTTTGAGGACTTCATCCAGGTGATGAAGGAAGCATACGCCTGCACTGCCGAAGGCGATCGCCCCCTGCGCGACGCAATTGTCAGAATGCTGAAACCGAAGACGATACTTTTTGAGCGGGAGGATATGAAGGAGTTCTTGAAGGAAGAGGGCTTAGCTTATGATCTGGTAATGAGCTACGTGCAGGATAATTCGCGGAAGGGAAAGGAAGCAGACATCTTCTACAGATATCAGCTGAACCAGACCAGGACTTAGTCTAGTCAAGAGCCCCAAACCCTCAGGCTTACAGTCTCTGGTGAATCTTTAAACCTTGCCCGACTCCTCATTCCCTGTGACATGTACAAAAGAACATCCAACGCAAAGTCAGTAGCCCGCATGACCTCCCGCACTACCACATGATCCAACAGCAGAATATCCTGCTCAATCATTTTGACAACCACATCCCTCAATCCTCTATCTTCGCTCACCGTCGAAGTGTACACCTCCTCCGCCGCCTCCGCAAAGTCGTCGATCCCAACATTGCCACTCTGGATTTCACTTTCAAATTTGCCCTTGGCTGCCTTCTTCAGGCCTTCTATTCCGTACTTCTCCCCTAGCGCATAAACCTTTGCATGTAGGCTGAGCTGTGGAGATAGAGGAGGTTCACCAACCTGCCATCCTCCCCATTCCAGCTCTTTGAGCTGTTTTATTCTTTTTCGTTCGATAAATTCTGCTCCAAAGAGTCTCATTCGGTACCGTGTCTCAGCATCGTATTCTGTATCAGAGAGCTCTGCCTCTACATCGTCTTCGTAGTCCGGCATCTGCTTTGTTGTGGGGTTATAGTCGATATTGTAAAGATAACCAATCATCTTTCGTACGGCAGCGGGATCATCGTCCGGGAGGTTGATCTCGCCATCCGATTCCTGTTGTATGCTGTAAGCCCCTACTTTCCAAGGCCTATGAATAACGCTGTCACGAGCATTACCTTGAAATTCCCATTGCAAGCGACCTTGAAGAAGTTGGATCGACCGCCAAGGATGAGTCTATGCACGCGATATCGATCGTTGCCGCAGACAATGATGAGATCGGAAAATTCTCCTGTCTTCAGAAATCTGTTTCGCAAATTAGGAGAAGAAAAGTGTTGAAAAGAACTATAAATCTTACACGGGAAGGGACTCCATATAGTCATTACGGTCCTCGTTTGCGTTGAAAAGTGGTGGTGGGCCGCCCCCTTGTCTATAGTCCATGAAATCCCCCATGGTGGATGAATCAAGGTACAAATTCAATAGATTCACGCGTGCAACGGAGCTTGACATACATACTCGAGTAAAAAGGTTTTTGGTTGACCCATATATGATAGAGTTTAGAAAATAGACTGTTGCTTGTGATGTAACACCGAGTTCTGTGTGGTCATTATAAACTCTGAGCCACAGGAAACGCTGGATATTGAAGTGTAACAGGCCGAAGGTTTCGTGTACATGAAGATGAGGTAAGTTGCTTGGCGATGAGAACCCCACAAACAAAGTGTTGAAATAACTAATCTACAGGTCCAAGCCACTTCATCGCTTTGAGTTAAGGTTCGTAGGGGATGGTGCTTTTAAGGAAGATCAGGTATAATAGGTTCAGCGTATCTGGCAACTCTATCGTTCCCAATAAACGTGGCACCATAGAGGTCACCCTCAAGCCTGGCAGTTCTGTCGTAGTTTAATGGGGACAAGTGAACATTTATCATCAGGCGTTTCGGTGACAAGAGGCGGGTAATCTACAAGTCCAAGACTAATTTAGACTTATCAAACTTTTTATGAACATTTATGAATTTTATAAACTTTAGTCCTTTTTATCATAAAGAACCCTAAAGTTCAAAGTTGAACCTCCTCTTCCTTTATTTATGGTTATTTTCCCTGACAGGCAACGCTTTCTACCCCGCCCGGCGCATCGACGTAATCTTCATCAGAAGATCATGGCCAAGATCACTGTACTTGACAACAGCTTCAAAAGCCTCATCGTTGAGCAAGCCAATGTTTTCCTCAACTGTACAAACAACCACATCCCTGAGACCTCGATCGTGATCAATTGTTGAGGCATACACTTCCTGCACTGCCAATCGAAAGCCATCAGTCTGAAAATGTCCTTTGGCGAGTATCTCAAACTTGCCAAGCGCGATCGCCTTCAATCCCGGAATTCCATACTTCTCCCCCAAGGCATAGACCTTGGCGAATAGACAGAGGTTTGAAGAAGGCCCTATGCGGGCTGCGAGCTTGGGAACCATGCCCTTGACTCTCCTGTTTCCGACGAACCTGTGGCCCTGAGATTGCAGGAATTGTTTCAGTGCATCGTCATGTTCAGTTGTCGATAGCTCTTCTTCAAGAAAATTTCCGTCCGCCGGAATGAACTCGTGGCCCGCAAGGTCTAGATGGTACAGATAATGGATCATCTCTCGAACTGCGTCGGGATCGTCGTCCGGCAGGTTGATTTTGCCCTCCTGACCCTCCTGTATATTCGTCGTCAGTGCATATTACGGGCCTAAGAGAAACAATGTTGATGCACTTTGAACTTTCCACTGCAAGCCGCGGTGAAGAAAGACGACCGAGGGCACACAATGGCTTTGTGGACTTGGTATGTGTCATTTCCGCATGTGATAATGAGGTCTGAGTATGTGCCGGTTTCGTAGAGCCTCACATGATAATTAGCTTTCGGTTTAAATCGTAAGAAGCAACTCACTTAGAAAGAGATGTACCGAGCATTTCGACATGCTGGTTCATCTTCTCCGAGGCCATCGTCGGCAGGAATTTGATAACCTTGATATAGGGAGAGGTTTCGAAGCCGGGCGCGGTGTTTGGAGGAAGATGAACAGTCTGCCGGGGCAAAATATCAGCCATCGGTTTTATAAGTCACGGTGGATAAGCAGAGAGGTTTCATGGCAGCGGAGGACACTGCAGGATTGTTATGTGCATGCAGAGACTGCCCGCCTATCACAACTAACCTTACTTCGACTTGACACTGGAAATGGATGTGAAACATGCTCCACATCAATGGTAGTGGTTATCTCACCACCTTCTATTATAAAGGCTCTAGCTCTCTTGACTAGACTCACCCGTTTTATGAGCTTTCTTCTCTAGATAAGCCTTCCTCCTCTCAGCATGCTGCGTTTTATACCACTCATACCACTCCGGAGGCGGCAACCCCTCTCGACTCTTCTTCTCGCTGGTCTGTCTACCCTCAAGTCGGAGACTCTTCATTTCACTCTATAGTTCTTTAATACGTGCCTCTTTACCTGCCAAAGTCTCCCACGGAGTCTGTGTTAAGCGAGTGCTCTCCAGACTCTGCAGGAGTTCACGACGACGGGATTCGGACTTTTCTTCTTCCATTACCTTTAGTGGCTGAGCAGCTTTAGCAGAAATAACCTCGTACTCCTCCATGTCCATGAACTTTCCCTCAGTATCCATGGTCGTGTTGGTGTGCTGTTGGGCTGGAATCAGGAGTTACTATTCCGGGATGAATGATCTTGTATTACTTGAGGATCCCATGCATATTTATATTCAATATGATGTTAAGACTAGACTAGATTAGGATAATAAATTGTAAATCAGTTCCTGAACCTTTCATTGTCGAGGCGGCTTAAACAGCGCTGCTCTGTCTTGTTCCTGCGAGTATATTGCATGTTCATCAGAAACCCTTACAAACCAACTCGGCGACGCTTTTTTTCAGGACAGCACAACGAGAAATACCAGTATACCAACTCCTGAACAGCCTGTATAGCAAAACTTGCTGTAAATGTTCATGTGTTCACACCTCATGAAGTCTACCGCCGTCCAAACTGCCACCGGCAGACTATAGGGCTGATTTGCCTGCCTCGCTGTACTCATTCTAGCCATGCTGCTTATTACATAATATACTGTAAGCTCTGCAATACCTTGGAGTAGGCGAAATCTCTCGCCTCAGCCTTGAACATCGTTGGGTTCGTAGTCTTATCGCAACCATGAGCCCCCTGGATCCTGACAACCTCAACATCACGGCCAGCCCGCTCCAACTTCTTTCCAAAAACCTCAATCTCGGGCGTGAAGATATCCCCAGAACAAGCAACAAGCATAACATGCTCTGGGAAAGATATCGCTTCAGCGTACATGGGCGATGCTTTGGGTGACTTACGATCTTCAACGCGCGGTACGTACGCTTCAGTGAGAAGATGCTGAAAAGTCACGGGAAGAGGTCGAATAGGTTCCGGTACTTTCTTTTCCTCTGGTGGAATACTGAAATCAACACCAGGATAGAAAGCATACACCGCCCTGATGTTCATCTTAAACTCACGTCTCAGTTCAGACGATGCAACAAGCGCAAGGTTTCCCCCAGAACTGAACCCCGACAAGGCAACTCTGTCAAGATCAAATATTCTCTGACCCTCAACCCATCTAAAAGTATCTTCGACGTCCTCTAAAGCTCCAGGAAGAGGATGCTCGGGTGCTTTGCGATAATCAGCATCAAGAACAAGGACGTTATTCTCATTGGCTAGTTTCTCGCAAAAGTGATGGTCCATGCCGAGATTTGGGAGGGTGTAAGCACCTCCGTGCCAATTAATCACAAGAGGTAGTTTTTGGCTGTCGGTGTAGTTGTTCGGGTAGTAAATCCATGCGTTGATGAAGCGATTGAGGTCGCGGGAGGGAATGCGGATGAGTTTGCGGATGCATGTTGGTGAGGGCGTGAAGTGAGGACGCGTGAAGATGTAGTTTATGAGACGGATGAAAGTGACGATCACTTTGAGGCGGATGTACTGCCAGAATGTATGATCAGCCATTGTCGTTGCAGCGTCTGAAAGAATGGTTAAGCGATACGATTTGGAGGATTTATGAGGCTCTGCGTTCCCTTTATGACGTTGGTTAAGACCGCCCTTTTATGATAAGCCCGAGTTGCCGATGAACCCATGGTGTAACGGAATTGGAGTTAGCGATTGGCTGGCCGACAACTCCACTGGTGCTGACCGGCCGTGAGTCATCTGGCGAGCGATATTTAGTACTAATACGCCAATACGACCATTTTACAACTGCAAATTGTATCCGTGGTATCTTTGAACTGAATAATTATGACATTCTAGTCTCTATTAACATAAATGATTATACACCCTCTTCCATAAAGGCCATTTTTTCCTGGCCTGCTCCTCCTCCTCATTCCAAACATGGAGATATCTTCTCCCCGTATTAATATCTATATCCTTATCCCTCACCACCTTTGTCCCCACCCAAGTCTTATGCGTAAAATAGAACAAGAAGATAATAGGGATTGTCAAAATCTGCAGAAAGAAGTTCTTGAACCGTTCCGACGTTGTGAGGGGATCTTCACCCTCCGGTTGAATCGGCGATATGGCAACCCAGATCTGAAGAACCAGAACAGCCCCGTAAGCTGCGAGTGCAACCCAAGACCCCCAAACTCCAACCTGTGACCGGAAGGCAAGTTGGGAAACATTGTATCCTGATAGCCGCCATGCTCTTCGAAAGCGAATGTGGCAGATACAAATGGAACTCCACGTGAAGAGGGTACTTAACCCACTGATCGCAAGGAGCCAATTGAAGATTTCGTTATGGATCTTCGAGTTCGCGGTGAACGCTAGTAATCCTAGCAAACCGCAGCAAATAATCGCAACGAGAGGTCGTCCCGTTCGATCAATGTACGCAAACACTTTCGGCGCAAGTGACTGCTCCGCCAACGCCGCCAACGTCCGTGACGCCGCATACACAGCTGTATTTCCAACACTGATCAGCGATATCAGAATAACAGCATTCATAATATCCGGCAAAACATCCGAGCCGCTCATCTCAATCGCAATGACGAACGGACTAGCCGCTGCATCAGAACCATACTTGGCCCCCAGTAATCTCGGCTCATTATATGGCACCAGCAAACCAATGAGTAGAATCGAGAGGATGTAGAATAGAGAAATTCTCCAAAAGACTTGCTTCACAGCTACAGGAAGGGACTTTTTTGGATTACTCGTTTCGGCTGCTGCGAGACCGACCATTTCTGTGCCGGCGAAGGAGAATGTTGCTGTCACTAAAACGCTTGCGAAGCCTTTGAAGCCGTTGTGAAAGGCGCCGGGGTTGTGCCAGCGGGTGAAACCGATGTAGTCGCCTTCTGGGGAGCCCGCGATGTTGATGATTATACCGAGAAGACTGATTTTGTTAGCGAAGGTGTAGAGGAGGGTGAGTTCGGGGCGTTGTTACATGAAGCCCACGATGGCTGTGACTTTGACGGCTGAGAAGATGAACTCAGCTTCGCCGTAGCCTTTGACCCCGAGTAGATTGATTCCGAGGATAAGGATGAAAAAGAGAACGATAAAAATACTCTTGCTGGCGTTAGGGTTCCAGTAGTTCGTCGTAAATGCCCCTGCAATGATCTCAAGAGGTAGCACAATAAGATACTGCAGCGTATAACTATCCCAAGTCAGTCTCATCTCATCTCACTCTCACTTATTCGCGTTCACTCACTTCCAACCCATAGCAAAACCCCAACTCGGATCCAAAAACCTCGTCGAATAATTCGCAAACGATCCTCCCACCGGAAACGCAACACTCAACTCTCCCAAAGCTTGCATCGTAAAGAATTGCATAGCACCCATGATGATAAACGCCAGTAGTAGCGAAACAGGTCCCCCGCGATACAACGCAACCCCCGACGCGACAAAAAGACCCGTTCCGATGGATCCACCAAACGCAATCATCTGCAAGTGCCGATTCTTCAATTCTCGTGCCAGTGCTGTGTTGGCAGAGTTGTAGTTTGCCTTACTCATGTTGAACAGACGCCCGTTGAAGGCGTAGCTGTTGTAGCTGCTAAGGCTATCATTTTCGCCATGTCGCGCTGGGGCGCGGGAGAAACTCGTGATGAGGCGGTTCCATGCTGACGGGGAGCCATACTCTGTTGGTTCGGGGCTTCGTGATTTGGGAGATGGCGGGAGGGCTTGCATCTCGAACTCGCGTTGGTATGCCATGCTCGAGACGAAGCTGCAGCTACAGCTGAGAGATATACAAGCTCAACTTGCTGATCAAAGACGGGAATTGAAGATTTTCCCCAGGGGGGAGCGGCATGCACGTGCCTTGTCGCCACAGGGCGTGCTATTCCCGGGCCGGACTAGATCGGCACTCAAGACAGGGGGATATCGCGGGTCTACGATATTGCTAGCGAATCGCTGGTGTTCCGCTCCGCACGATGCAGACGGTGTCTCCGTTTGACGGGCCGCGAATGGTTCACTGTTGTTCGGGGTCAGGGGAATTGAGCGGTTTTGTGATGGGGAAAACGAAACTCGTATCATCCATGGCGATAACGCGTAGGTGCATGAGTCGTGTACTCAAGCCACGTAAAGTTTATTGAGTTGCATTCCTGAATTTAGCGGGTGCGGAAAGAAGGCCGTGGCAGGGGTCGGCCTTGATTGCTGGAAGATAATGACGATGCTAAAAGTTGGGATGATTTGGGGATGCGACGCTGCGGACTTTTGAGCAACTTCCGGCCCATGAATGTAACTTCTCCTCACTGTGAAATGTTACAATCACTTACACGTATTGAGGTATCGCGGAATGTCTAGTATAGAATGTCTCAATATTTGCAGAGTCAGAACCCCGAAACCAGGGCTCAGCTGTCACCCAAATAGTTTCAGCCACTGCATAACCGGAATTTCATGACAACACTTTATGCACCAGTAGCTTCGCGTAGAACTCCCACGGCCTAACGTTCAGAGAAACCTTATCAAATTGAGTATGGCTAATTAAACGCTAATAAGCGAAGGTGCCTGGGCCAAGACTCAATCGGCATTCTCGATTCTCATCGCGATTCCGCGTGTCCGCTTGCGCGCTGAATCCCGTCTTATTTCCTTCAGCCCCTGAATCTACCCGGGATGTGGACAAGTCTTCGATTTCTAAGCCGCTTCCCAGACAGTAATTGTGTTTTCTCGCATGAGTGTAGAGTCAACCTGCGCCTGTGCAATTAGTTTGAGTGTTAGGCTTTGGGTGACGTGGTGATGATCACATCGCCCGGAGCTTCAGCTCCTTTGGCAAAACGGGACTATTTGGCAGCCTGCCAAAACTCACCGAGGGGCCTCTATCACCCGTGTTATGGCACAACGATTTCCACACGCAGGCTCGACTGCGCGAGCCCCAACCACTAACGCGTGTTCACGGCAGAATGAACCCTAGCATTTCTCTAGCATTGTATTTCTCTATGCCGTGTAATATCCAAGTGTCTACTTCAATCTATCCAAGAAAGCGATCAGTTGCTTCGTCGACACAACCCCCACCACCTTCGCCGTATCCTCCTCAGTGACGATCAAATAGCTGATGCCTAGCTTTCCAAACAACTCCACTGCATATTCAAGAGGTGCTTTCGCAGACAGGGTCATCGAGTTTCTATCAATAGAGTCTGCTAGTGCACCTTCAAGAATGTTTATGTCAGAAGATTCTTCAACGCCATCGGTCTTCTCAATCTTCTGCAAGGCTTGCTCCAGTTTATATTGTGAGATGTAGCCGTGACATACTCCACTGTCGTTGATAAACACAAGCCCAGAGTCGCTTGAGCCTCTGTGCTGAAGATGAGAGAGCTTGTGTTGGAGTACTGATGCGAGGACACGGTAGTCAGGACCGACAGACACAATATCGTTATCCAGGGTATCATTTGAAGGGAGAAGGGCGTCGACCGTCGCAGTGCCCTCATTATCTCTGAACTCTCTAACCTTGCTGATGGCACTTTCAGCCTCCAGGAAAGGATGCCCTTGAAGATGCTGAGCAAGGTCATAGACCCCATCGGCACTGATCGCATCAGCCACCCACTTCGCAGTCAGGATAGCGATCATGAAAGGCGGAATGAAGTTAACCTCCCCTGTGAGCTCAAACATGATGACAGCTAGACTGACGGTCATTCTGCTAACTCCAGCTAGGAATGCTGCTGATCCAACCATGGCGAAAATCCCTGGTGAGATGTTCGGAATGAGTTGACCAATCATTCGACCGAAGAGAGCACCTGCATCCATCGCGGGAATGATGATTCCAGATGGGACCTTGCAGCCGAATGTGATGGTCGTCAAGAATAACTTGACGAATGTTCCCGAGACCAGCCAAGCGTAGTACGTGCCCTTGCCGGTTGCTTGGGCCTCTTGTTGGCAAATCCAGTCCTCGTCAACATGATTGCAGTCAACAAGAAGTCGCTGCATGACAATATCCCCAGTTTCCCTGATTAACATATTCGGGAACTGTAGAACCGCTGTGATAAATGTCACAAGGGCCAACTCAAAGACAGGGTTGTTCTTGATGAGCGAAATCTTTCGGAACGACTTTGACCAGAGGAAATTTGCTCGGCAGAATACACCACCAAATATACCACCGCAGACGCCGAGAATGACGAAGACGAAATAATGAAGAGCATCATAGTTGACGCCGTAGTTCGTCTCAAACAGAACAAGCTTGCCAGTTCCTGTAGGATTGAGTTCCTTGAGAACAGCCGCCGCTACCACTGAACAAAGACAGCTCCGCCAAAGTACTCGACGAGGAAAGTAAGTGCTGATCTCCTCGTAGCTGAAGAGAACACCTCCGATCGGAGCACCGAAAGCGACAGACAAGCCCGCTGAACATGCGACGCTGAGCATCTCCCTCAGTTTCCGTTGGTTACTCGCGTATTTTGGAACGCAGATGGTGACAAGGTACCCAACACATGCTGAGATGTGCACAAAGGGACCTTCCTTTCCCAAACACATGCCCGTTGCGACTGCAAAGATTGATCCGATGGCCTTGACGATAAGGACTTTGAGATCGAAGAGATGAGGGATGGAGAAGCCAGATAGGACAGTCTTTATCTCGGGAATGCCGCTTCCTGCTGCCATATACATAACCTTTCCGCCGGGGCTTTGAACCTGATCTTCGATTGTAGCAGACAGTTCCTTCTCTGGAGCGACGGCAGTGAGATTCGACTTCGTAGTCATGGTGACACTCCCAGCGATGATACCAAAGGCCAAAGCAAGGCCGACATAGATGGCGTATGCATACACGTAGCTTTCGGTCCATGACTTCCAGTTCCGGCAGTTTGTCTCTGATGCACAGCATGCCCGGCGGCTCAGAAAGATGTTGTTGGTGCAATATCCGTCCTTCAGATCTGCTACCACTTCAACGCTGACGTCTACAAAGGCAGCGATGGAGGCAGTGAGAAGGCCGATAAGGAATGCTGCGACCCATCCTTGGGAAGCGTCCCATAGCTTCGCCAAATGGTAACGGATTCCGCGCCGGGTGTGAAGGCTGGAGTTGTCGCGTCGGTGACTATCTTTGACAAGGTCTTGAAGCCAATCGATGGTATGATAATCACTATACGGCAGGCTGTTTTGCTGTGATGCAGTGTTAGTCAACGGTGCGGCTGTGATGCGGCGTTTATGAGATAGTATCAAGGGAGTAGTCTCCGTCGCTTTGACAGGCATCGAGTCAGAAGCCATTTCGAGAGGGATGGTCAGAATAATACAATTTAGGCCATCGAAAGGCTGGGAATGCCATTCTATATGAGTCGTGCACTACTTGGGCACGGAAATACAAAGGAGAACTAGGCATCAAATTCTGTAGATCTGCCGGAAAAGAGAAGCACAGATCTTGGACCTGTGACGTCAATGTAGTGCATCTCCGGGTTTAACACAGCCCTGCAGGGTCTTGTGATAAGTTTGCAGCACCAACTGACCTATCGCTTCTGAATCAGAGATCAAGACTGGTGTTTCATTGGTGAGAATGAGGGCGGTAAGATGTCTAGATCGACTGCCAGATCATTCTCTCGGTCGGCATGGGCGAAGGCTCATAACAACTGTAGTACCTGCACTGATTCGACTTTTGATAGAACGGACACCGATGATTCGATGCATATCTGCCGAATCTGTATCTGGGAGTAATCTAGAACATTGAGTAGAGATAAGCAGCCACACCAATCCCGCCACTATCTCCAATTCTCACATCCAAAAGAGATAAGAACTCGTAGATGGTTCAAGATCCCGTCTTTGGCAGTTCTTCATAAATATTGACCAGAAAGAAAAATTCAAGGTTTGTACGCTGAAGCTTTGGGTTCCGCGGAGATATATATAAGCATTTATCATGTGCGACGCTCAGCACAGGAATTTCGCTGATCGACGTTCTCGTGAGCGGGGAGATTGTCATGCTCACCCCGCATAACATGGCACATGGCCTGCTCACATATGCCACGGTAGATAATCACTAGCGCCAGTCACATAAACCCAGATGAAACCACCAATGTATATTCTTAGTCAGGCCCTGCCTTGAGATATCTGACATTGGCCGTGGCGATCAGTTTCCTCATGAGGCTCTGTCTAATAATATTAATTCTGCCAGCCATCTTGTTTTTTCTTTTTCTTTTTAAGGTTTTGACAATGAGACGTTTATATTGTCCCGTCTTCTCGCATTATTGATATCGCACTTTCAATGTCTTCATCGACGTCATTCAATTGGGGTGCCCGCTACCCTAGGGGAGGCAAGAAAACTCATGATTTTGATCCTTAGTGACGGAAGACTTTGATGAATTTAGCATATACTTAGTACAAGTTTAGGAAACCTTTGACTAGGCATTCCTGGCATTATGCCCTAATGTCAGAAGTATTCTTGCTCCCTGAAGCTAGCTCTTCCATTTTTTGCATTTCGATAGCTCCCATCGGCCAGCAAGTAAAAATGCGGAGACAAAGGGAGAATCGTTGAAAGCCTACGTTGGACACTTATACAATCAGTTGAAGAACTCAACCATCGACTGGGATTTTGATGCTCCTAACAAAACATGTCATATCGTTAATCTCCCCTATTATGATAAAGTTCTATCACGGCATAAACGAATTGGGAAAGCATCTTAAACGTAAGAAAAACATGATAAGAACATACAATTGCAGAGTATATTGTATGTCTCAGTACGTAACTGTGTTATAGGAACATGATACAGCCTTGCCTCTGGAGTCACCAACAGCGTTCTGGAGATGTTGCAACGTCCTACCGAGGAGCCTCGATTTAAGCATATGACTGATGATCCAACTGGCCATGACCTCTGCCTTCCGCTCATTATTAATGGTGAGGCTCCTAAGTTGCCACGATCCTTGAAGTAACCCTTCTGGATGGAGATCCCAGACTCACAGGACGATTTGGTGAGGATAGCTATAGAGAGAAATGTTGTTGGGGCTGAAGCCTCATTTAACCTCTCACCCTTATCACAGTTGGCTGCGTTCAGTTCCTTCTCATAGTTGAAAACGCCAGGTTGTTGGCATACTTTCGATCTTGACATGCTGGTCTGATCCTTTCATACTGGAGAGCCACATCTTTGAACCGAGCTACGCTTTTCCATTTCAAGTCAAAGGTGCTCCATGTGCACTGAAGTCAATACAGCTTGTCTCCTAGGTAGGCCTCACTGATGTGCCGACAGCACAACGACATCAATTAATTAATATAAAAACTTCCAGCAGTCTCTAGATGATTCTTATTTTTTTTAATGGAGCTAGTGAGTAGTAATTTCGCGAAGTTTCTAGAAATCTGACATCCTGCCAATCACCCTCTTGCACCTGAGCCTCCAAGGATCATCATCCCAAGGCAGAAGTCCATCCTTCTTAGATCGAGTAAAAACGCATAAGAACAGTCAACAAGACCATTAAAACTTGTATTCCAAATCAAATTCGCCCTTTCAATCATCCTAAGCACCATAAAACCATTTTTCACCATGTCTTCTCTTCCCTTTAGCGCGCCGCCCTGGCCCATTCCCGCGTCAGCAAATCTTACATCATCCACTATTTCCATTCCCGACGGCGAGATCGAGAAACTCAAGACACTCCTCAAGCTATCGCCGATCCCGAAGGCGAATATCTGGAATTCGCATGAAGATGGCGCCTTTGGTCTTCCGAGAGATACTTTGACGGAGTTGGTTGAGTATTGGGCGAATGACTACGATTGGAAGAAGCGGGAGGCTACTCTCAATTCGATCCCGCAGTTTGACATCACAGTCACTGACGACGACTCGACAGACTACAAGATCAATTTTCTAGCCTTGTTTTCCAAGAAGCCTTCTGCGGTCCCCATTTTGTTCCTTCATAGCTGGCCAGGCTCTGTCGTTGAATACCTCCCCATCCTTCAGAAACTCAAATCTGAGTACGATCCTGAGTCTCTACCCTATCACATCATCGTTCCTCACCATATCGGCTTCGGTTTCTCTGATGCACCGCCTCTGGAAAAGCCATTCACCCATATTGATAATGCTCGCCTTATGTCAAAGATGATGCACTCTTTGGGCTTTGACAAGACGGGGTATATGACGCAGGGAGGCGATCTTGGCGGCTGGACCGCACCTGTCATCGCAAACATTGATCCCACTTGTAGGCTCGTCCACATGAGCATGCTGAACATTTCGCCTCCTGCAGGTGAAGATGTCGAGGAGGGCATCAAGGCCGGCAAGTATACTCCCGATGAAATGGCAGCATTCGGCAGAATGGCCGAGTTTCAAAAGAAAGAAACAGCCTTTATCCAACTCGACGGCACCAAGCCAGCTACAGCAGGCTACATCTTCGGCAGCAACCCCATCGCCCTCCTCGCCTGGATCGGCGACAAGATGCACCGCTGGTCCGACGAAACACCCGACAAAGACCTCATCCTTACCAACATAGCTCTATACTGGTTCACTGGTTGTTACCCAACATCTATCTACCTTCACCTCACTGTCCTTGAGGATCATGAGCTCATGATGAATGCTTGGAAGAGCCTCAAGGTACCGCTTGGTCACTCGGCGTTCAAGAAGGAGCTTGTCACTGCGCCGGAGAGATGGATTCAGCAGACAGAGCAGGTGAAGTGGTATAGAATGCATGACAAGGGTGGACACTTTGCTGCGCTTGAGGAGCCAGATGCTCTTTGGAAGGATGTGAAGGACTTCATTGGGGCGTTTTGGAAGAATTGAAGCGATTCCAGTGAGGACGCAGCGCTTGGGGAAGAAGCAGGCAGCGACAAGTGCCGAGACAAGTTTAGGCCAATTTAGGTAAGTTTAGTAGGTTCTTGGACTAGTTGTTTTCATCTGTTACGATCAGGTCAACTGTTGTCCGTGGTCTCGAGGCAATAGACATCAAATATACGAGGATATACCATCTCTAGTCTCGCTAGTCGAATAGCTCATCAGGTTAGGTCACGACGATCTCAATACCGCCCACATCACGACTCGGCCCTAAATGCATCCCCCACATTCTTCCTCCATTGGCTCTCTTACCACCGACCAACCTCTTCCAACATCTAATTTGTCCGCATCAAATTCGGCACTTGCGTGCCGGTTTATGGTTACATCAAGGCCCGGGCCACGCGATGCCCCCTGGGGTTCTTACCCCAGATGACGATGGCGCCGATCTGCATACCCCGCAGATTTGGAGAAGCGGGCGAATAAGGCTTGGCGCTGTTCGACGCACCATTCTTTGACGGATTGGTACAACGGAGGAATTTGTGAATAGCTACGCTTGGGGATAGTGAGCGGAATAGGAAGGTGGATAGCCGCTTCGTCTGATGTTGATGCGATGGGGTTTGGGGGAGGGCATCGGAGGGTTGTCGGACGAGAGACCCTCAGTATGGATATCTCTATATAAAGAGCTCTTATTCTGTGCCGTAATTTCCATTTCTTGTAACTCAGCAGCTCTTCTTCAATCTTCTGTCAAAGGCTCTTGGCTCTGGCTTTACCTACCTTCTCATAGTCCCCAGACTGAACATCGCAATGCTTCTCCAAAGCGTCTTCGCTCTTGGTCTCGCCACCACCGCCCGTCTTGTCTCTGCAGGACCATGCGACATCTACAAATCCGGCGGGACTCCCTGCATCGCCGCTCATAGCACCACGCGCGCTCTGTTCGACAGCTACAACGGCGCTCTCTACCAGATCAAGCGTGCCTCAGACGGTGCCCTCACCGACATCAAGCCTCTCTCCGCAGGCGGTGTCGCAGCTTCCTCTGCCCAAGATACCTTCTGCAGCGGAACTACCTGTCTCATCACCATCATCTATGATCAGTCTGGTCTCAGCAACCACTTGACTCAAGCTCCTCCTGGTGGCTTCAAGGGCCCTGAGGCAAATGGCTATGATAACCTTGCCGCTGCTGATGGTGCACCTGTTACTTTGAACGGCAAGAAGGCCTACGGAGTGTTTGTTTCTCCGGGTACTGGCTACCGTAACAACCATGTTAGTGGTTCTGCTACTGGTGATGAGCCTGAGGGTCTGTATGCTGTTCTCGACGGAACGCACTACAACGGCGCTTGCTGCTTCGATTACGGCAATGCAGAGACTAGCAGTACTGATACTGGCAACGGTCACATGGAAGCCATTTACTTCGGTGACAGCACCGTCTGGGGCTCTGGTTCCGGCAGTGGACCCTGGATCATGGCTGATCTTGAGAACGGTCTCTTCTCCGGAAAGAACCCCAAGCAGAACACTGCCGATCCTACCATCAACCATCGTTTCACCAGTGCCGTCGTTAAAGGCAAGCCGGGAACATGGAGTATTCGGGGCGGAGATGCTACATCAGGTGGACTGTCAACTTTCTACAATGGCGCGTATCCTGACGGCGGATACAACCCCATGAAGAAAGAAGGAGCTATAATCCTCGGAATTGGCGGTGATAACAGCAATGGAGCTCAAGGCACCTTTTATGAAGGAGTTATGACCAGTGGATATCCTTCTGATGCGACTGAGAATGCCGTGCAGGCCAACATCGTCGCGGCCAAGTACGCGACAACCTCATTGACAAGCGGGTCCGCCCTCACCGTCGGATCATCCATCTCCCTCAAAGTCACTACCTCCGGCTACACAGACCGCTACCTCGCACACAGCGACTCAACTGTCAACACCCAAGTCGTCTCCAGCTCCAGCGCCACCGCCCTCAAGAAATCAGCAAGCTGGACCGTCCGCACCGGCCTCGCCAACAGCGGCTGTGTATCCTTCGAGTCCAACGATACTCCTGGTAGCTACATCCGACACTCCGGATTTACTCTGTATGTCAACAAGGGTGATGGAAGCAAGTCGTTCAACGAGGATGCTACGTTTTGCCCTCAGAAGGGTTTGAGTGGATCGGGAAGCTCTATTCGATCGTGGAACTATCCTACAAGGTATATTCGACATTATAACAACCTTGGATATGCTTCTTCGAATGGTGGTGTTCATGACTGGGATGCTGCCAAGAGCTTTGTTGATGATGTTACCTTTGTTGTTGCCAATGGTTTTGCCTAAGCGGGGCCGCTTTGCTTGCGGAGGTTTTAGATAGTCTGTTTGAGGAAGCTGGTTGTGAATTGGTATAACATAGTGAGAAATACAGATATTCAGATCGCTTATGACAGTCTTGCTCTACTCTTTTGTCCCACCGCGCTTTCACCCATGCGCCTACTCTGAAGGCGTCATTGAGAATTCCATTGGCTTCGACATGGCCGACTTCATAAATGGACTTCGCGCCCTGATCTCCTTTCCCCAAATGAAGACACCAATTGGTGCAGCCGCCAAAACCAACGAGATGAAACCCAGCAGCGAACTCGCCCAGTGAAAGCCCAGGTTTGTATACATACTGCTCGAAGCAAGTGGCAGAAAAGCAACGCCCAAGTTTTCGCCCAACACGGTCGCTCCGATAGCGCTTCCGGCGTAGTTGCTGTACGCGTCGATCAGATAGTTGGCGATGCTTACAACGACAGCTTCGGTGCCAAGGCCAACGAGCATGAGTCCAAACGCGGGTCCAATCCAGTGCACTGAGGAATAACTCGTCCATGCGTAAACAAACATTCCACCAGTTACACCGATGAAACCTCCGATTACGGCAGCGTACAGGCGCGCTTCAGGAATAGGCGTACCAGGCGCTTCCTTGTTGCGCGAGGCAGAAGCATAATACCAGTTATTCGTCAAGACACAAAGGCCAAACCCAAGAATCTCTCCGATAACAATAGCAGCTTGAACATAACCAGCTTCAATGGCGTTCCAGCCATAAAGAGCAGTAAAGACTTGTTCAACAGACTGCGTGAAGACGTAAATGACACCCAAACTGAAGGCAGTCCAGATAGTGGAGATGAAAACAACCGACTCAGTGCAAAGCATGTAAAGGGGTCGTTGAATGCTTGTCCAAATATCATGGAGAATCGACTTTGATTCAAGCTCCTTCTGACTGTACGCATTCTTCCCTTGTTTTCTCAACTTCTTCGCCCTCGCAGTCAATATTGCTGATCCTCGTGTCTCAGGCATCGCCAGGATAAAGATTGGGAAGAAGACGCCGGTCCAGATAAGTTCGATGTATCCGATCCATCGCCACGGTAGGAACTGAAATATGGCGGCCCCAATGACTGGTCCAAGACTGCTGGCGTTCAGGTAGACCATGATGTACAGTCCTGTTGGAATTGTTCGAGCTCTATCAGTGGCAAAGACGTTTCCAATGATGCCAGCTACTGCATTCGCGAGAATGGTGCAGCATCCGCCACTAAAGAAGCGAGTGATAATCAGAGTCGCGTAGTTAGGTGCCACTCCAACGGGAATGAGAAAACAGAGAAAGACGGTATAGACCAAAAGAAACACGAGTCTCATCCCGAAATCCTCCATAATCGGCAGTAACACTAGTGAGAATAGTGCGCCGCCGAGACCCCACGATGCAACCGGCCAATATGAGTGCGGAAAGTTCTCATCGCTAACATTAAAGTCTTCGCCAATCGCTTCGTGGGCCGTAGTAATGATTGTCCCGTTCATCATTGAGATGAACGTCGCGAAGAGTCCAAGACCGACGGCAAACCATTTCTTCTTACGGGACCAGTTGTATGGGTTTTCTGGATCATTTGGACCATTCCATTGGACAATTATCGGTTGCTCTATCTCAATTAGCACTTCATCTCTCACCAACGATCTTAAATGCAACGTACCTGACGACTCGTTGCTTCGAGCGGCCTCAGGCCTCTCCGCTTCAGCAAACATGCTTCCTGATCGATTCGCCAAGTCAACCTCCTTGGCAAGATCTCTTGGCTATGAGGGGATCAAAGTTTTAGAAATGCCAAGTCAAAGATGAAGCAGCCAAGAGATGGACATTCTGGGGAATGCTTCTTATGACTTCATCCTTAGTCTATGATTTGTTCCCCACCGAAAATTCTTTGTAATTCCGGACCCATAGAATCGATCTTGTTACCTCATATTAATTGCATTGAGCCAATGAAGGGATCTCGGCTATGATGTGTTCATGGTTGCGCTAGCCTAGAACGCGGCAAAGTTTGGAAGCTGGAGACATCGCTGTGAATTGCCATTGTCGGTAATCCTCCACGAAGCTAGGTAATCTTTGGTATCGGACCCAAATCAATTTGGATCTGTCATGAGATGAGATGTGTTTGTTTTTACTTGCAAGATCACTTCTCTGGGGAGGAGATGAGGTTACATCGCTTGGTGTTGTTTGGCATGAAGTGGTCGTGACTGTGCGGTACTACCCTGGAGCATTGAGCTTTCTGGCATGAAAACATCTACCGCAGAAACTCCTCGTATGGCGAGCTGAATCGTCTGGGATTGTTGGCAAGGACCTGGCCTGGTGCTTTGGTGATCATGCCGACTATTTTCCGATGAGCTGAAATACCTCAGCTGTCAGCAGAATTTAACCCCGCTTTCGAGGTCGACTTGATACAAAGCTGTCGTTATCATTTTGCCGAGGAACTCAAGCCCAGACTCCAAGGAAGTAAAGTTCTGTGGCTCTGTGAGTACCTCGAACTTGCATCCCTCCAATTATGTGGTTCATCAACACAACAACGATCGCGCTAGAGAGAGCCGACAACATAGACATATTATCAACTCCTTATGCAATTCTGTCGCATACGTGGGGTGAAGATGAAGTCACATTCGAAGACATGATAGACGGTCGAGAAAAGGGAGAGAAAGGTTACATAAAGATCGTGAATACCTGCCGACTAGCGAAAGAGCGAGGAATATTATATGCATGGGTCGATACTTGCTGCGTCGATAAGAGGAGCAGCGCAGAGTTGGCTGAAGCTATTAACTCCATGTTCAACTGGTACAAGTTCTCAGCCGTTTGCTTTGCTCACCTCGAAGATCTGGATGTTCATAGTGGTCCACAGGATGACGAGCTTGACGGCTTGTCGTCCTGTCGGTGGTTCACCCGAGGCTGGACACTGCAGGAACTGATCGCGTCACAAAAACTCGAATTTTACGATAGCAGGTGGAACTACCGAGGAACCAAAGCACAGCTACGAACAGAGATCTCAGATATTACGGGTATCGACGTTGAAGTTCTAGATAACAACGCTAAACTGGAGACCATACCAGTTGCGAGGCGCATGTCATGGGCAGCGGACCGAGAGACCACGAGAATAGAGGATCTTGCATACTGCCTCCTCGGAATCTTCGGTGTCAACATGCCAATGCTCTACGGAGAAGGAATCAAGGCTTTCGGCAGGCTTCAAGAAGAGATAATCAAAGAGACAACTGACCTCTCTATCTTTGCATGGAAGGTCGATTCACGCCAACGATTTCGCGGGATTCTTGCTCGTTCTCCACACGAGTTCGCTCACTGTCGGAATCTCCGCCGCGCACCAACAATGAGATATGGGCATGAATACAGCATGACGAACAAAGGCCTCAGATTAGAGACATATCTTGGCGCAAGCGAGAATAAGGAATATCTGCTGAACCTTGCGTGCATGATACCGGACGACAATGGGGATGAGTCAAGAATTGGAGTTTATCTTACAAAGACGGCTGATGGTTATGTCCGCAGTCGACCCTCTGAATTATTCGAAACGCAAGATTCACTACTCTGGGCCGGTCCTCGTTACAAGATATTTATTCGCAAACGCGTCACGTTCTTTGGTTCGGCAAACTTGAAAAAGCTTCTCTGCATGAATCTTGCCTCGCAGTTCAACATCCGTCCTGGAATCCAACTTGCTTCCTTCGCAGCCAAACCAGCAGATCTTTGGGATAATCTACGTCAAGAATTCGTCACGGACAATAGCGAAAAATTCACCGGCTTTCTCAACTTTCAGCTGACCGATACTGCCAAGACCTTTATTTCTCCTAGGATTTATATTGTCTGCGGCCTAGCAGTGGATTCAACATCTGGGAATATGAAACCGTGGATGGCCATCTACAGCTCTACGAATAAGGAAAGATATGGGAAGATAATAGATTGCGTCGATGGGTACTACAATTCATATGGAGAGGAATACTACCTGCATCAACTGCGCGACTGCGTGCTCGCTAGGGGGAATATCCTACCGCAGGAAATCAGCCTTCCTTCCAGTGATGCCGTGCATCGTCTTTATATCTCTCTTGCGGCTCTTCAGCGATCTCCCGGTAGCCCGTATACTATCACAGTCAATGTTTCAAACATTGGATGATCTGCAGGTTTGCTCACTTTCTAGTTGTCAGCATGTCTCAGATCGAGTCGTGGTAAATCTGTGCTTATTCTAGCGATAAAGCGCAAATGGCAGTCCAAAGCGAAAGGTTTTAATGATTACTGATAACAGTCTTACTTCGATAGCCCCTAATACAGTCTTGAATGGAGTTCACCTAATATTGAATCTGCACGAATGACAGAAGGATCTGGCATAGCCTTCGAATCAGCCCAGTGAGACGTACAAGTCAAGGATGGGGAGATGAGATGCTGTTACGATTGGCCTTATGACAAACATCCTTGTGAAAGGCTGAATGACACAGCCAACATAACTCAGCCATGTGGTCCCGTATCTGCAAGGTTGTCCCGATCCTTTCGGTATTTGGGGGCCATAACTTCACCAAAACTGCAATGCCCAGACAATCCCTGTGCTGATGACAGTTTCTGTTGGTTGTTTCTAGGCAGAAAAGCTTTAAATGAGAAACAATGCTGTTTATTGGCCATAGCGTCGATGAGGTAGGGCGCAAGTAAGCCTGCAGTGTCTCCAAAGGGAAAAAGGTGTGATGCAGTAAGACGGAACAAACAGGGGTGACGGATGGGCTGAGCCGTTCTGATTTCTCTCCTTGGCCAATTCTTTTATGTCTCGCCATTTCTTGACCTGAAGATCTCGTCTCTATCCTTTTATCCTCCCCATAAACATCGATAACATTGTATACGTCGACTGCCATGCCAAGCGCACGAACGAACTTGGGTCCTCTCACAACAGAATGGAAGTACCCTGATCGATGTACTGTGCCAGTCACCGATTGCTCGACATGCACGAATGCTTGGCAAGGTCAGACGTGCGGGAATAACAAGGACAACACGGTAGGTCAACATTTCCTTGACGCGTCGAACTTGATCTGACTGAACCCCGTAGCAAGGCGTGCTGGACGATACAGACTGTTGGCCACCGAGAAAATCATCGATCGCCGCTGGAAATGCTGTGAATGGCTGGGGCTTCTACTCTCCCGCATTCGAGTGCCCTCAAGGCTACGAAACAGCATGTACCGCGACGGGCCCTGAGACTGGAAACTTCAATTTTCAGTTCTCGATACAGGATGACGAAAGGGTGATAGGATGCTGTCCATCGTAAGAACGCCTCGTAACTGCTATTTCACTCGGGGACTTACGGTAGTAGTGGCTATACATGCGCGCAACCAGGAGGCCCACAAACATGCACAACCATCGCGTCCAGAGGGTCGTTACAAGTCGCATCATGCTCAAAGCAAAAGACTGTTCTCAACTGGCTCACCCTTCCAGCGACAGTGACAGATGAAACCAGCACAGTGTCTTTAGATGGGATAACCATCTTCGCACCAATGATCCAGCTCAACTATCGCGAAAAAGATCTATCCTTGTCATCTGGGTCAACAAGATCCACGACAACAGTGTCTGTACCAGCGGAGACTGGTACAAGTGAATCATTCTCAGACGGATCTTCCAGCGGAGGACTATCGACGGGTGCCAAAGCTGGCATTGGAGCTGGGGTTGGAGTAGTCGGGCTTGCGATTATCGGAGCGGCGTTTTATCTTTGGAGAAGAAGAAAGAGGGCCACGCCGCCGACTGCTGAGTTGGAGACGAAGGAGGATACGAAGAATGCGGCATCAGTTTTGAATTATGGCTCCCCGCCACCACAGTATCCTCCCGTTGAACTTGATGCGACGAATTCGAGACATGAGATGTGAATGATTAGTATTCGCACATGAGGCAGAGAGTGGCTAAGATGGGTGTACTTTGGAAAGACAAGGCGAAGAGAGCGGGTAATTCATCTAAGATTCTCATAGATAGGCTATCATTTTAATATTCGAGACGAGCTCACCATCGCATATCCCTTGAGCCTCAACAGAATGGCGTATTATTATCAGCTTAATGACCGATTTGACACCCTTTCTGTCTAACAGGTGACCCAAGGCCACCGTAGCCTCTTAAGAACAGTTCGCAACTCTGCTGCCTTGAGGGCTGCACCCATTTCCTTGGACTCGGCAAGGGTTACTCTTGATGCGCAATGAATATTAGCAGTGGAAAGGAGAAACAAAGAGGTAGGAACACATACCGCCGAGCAAGCATCCCAGTTGCCCGTAGTACCATCAACGCAGCGGCCGTTATCGCCAGTACCTCTAGGAAGCTCGCAGTTCTGTCGATGTGTTAGAGACGCGCCATGCCGTGAAAGAGGAATACTTACCCACCAAGCAAGAACTGCTGGAAGGAAGAAGAGGAATTGCAGTCTCATTGTGTAGATGGTAGATGTATAGTGATGTAGTATATGGGATGATGAGATGGAAGAGGGGGTTAGGCACAGATTTGACCAAGCAAAGAGCTTTATAGAGACCGTTTACTGTAAGACCTTGATCTTGGTCCCTGCTTTGTGGAGTTGCATCTTGAATGGGGCAGCTAACCTCGACTTCATCTTGCATTTATAGTTTGGCACCTGTCACCGAAATCTCGGACTATCGGCAGAGGGAAATCCTGCCAAGAGTGTTACATTAGTATAGTCCTACATTTAGACTCACCACTCCGTTTTGCTTTCTAGAGAACCGACATTGGGAATGCGTCTACATTAGACTACTTCCTGCATATGCAGCATAGATAAAGACATATAATAGCTATTCTCAGCAGGACCTTTCGAGGACCAAGGCTTGAGAGACCTCAGGCGACACAAAAACGCATCGACGGAATTGGCCTGTACTAGGGACCAATTTAAGATCCCCAAGGCTTAAGTCACCCATAGATAATGGGGCCAATACGAAGAGCTTCATATTAGAATATCCACTTTAGTCCCTCACAAGTCATGAGCTCAGTTGTCGTGGTGGATTCTAAACTTTGTATATTGTTCGCATTACCTGGGATTGGTCAACGTCGTCGACTTACGGAAGACAGTAAATTGTCCAAGTGGGTAATGTGGATCATGCAGCAAGGTAGCTAGAAAGCTCGCATGGCAATACGCATACGTAATTCACGGATTTATTAGGGAATGAGAATAAGGTTTGTCCCTGACATGGGGTACGACATCACACCGACTCACTATTGTGGGGAGCAATAGTATTCTTCCGGGAATAATAGCCGATCAAGATTCAGACCGACTTGAAAATGTCTCGTTACTTCTATTCTGGAAGCATTTATCACCCTGAGGCTATGGTATCAAGTGACTTGGCTGTGATAGCCTAAGCAGGCTAGCAAGCAGTCCTTTAAAGGGGAGAACGCCGTATTTGTCCCTTCCCCAGTCATCGTAGGGCCAATTCGAACTTTGGCACATATGCACGGGTGTTTCCTGTCAAATGATTCAAGGTTTTGAGGATCGCCAAGCGACTGTTTCACCTATGCGATCTCCAGGGACACGTCACACAGTTGTCTGCGTATACATGTCTCTTCATTGACAAAGTACACGATGTTTCGGTTTCTGTTGATACCCGGCCTCTCGATTGGTTAATTATGCGCGGTCATATGGCCTTCACTGATAGAGATTATGATGTCATGATCATGGTACGTGTTTAAGATCCGAGGAAGAATCTACCTCAGTGTCGTAACTATTAGACTTAAACCTCACTCGTCTCATTCTTGCAAAGCATGTATATGTGTATGAGACTCTGAAGCTAGGACAATGCTCTATAAGTTCTCTCACCTCCCTAGTCAGGTCCACCGTATCTTCAATATTGGGACCACGACTGTGCATAGCACTGCCGATCCATAAGACTAGATTATGCCGTCCAGACACGAAGAGAAATTCGTTGCCCTCATATCATGTGCCGGTCCCGGCTCCCCAGGTTCAATCCATATGTAAAAGCTTCTGAGTCTGTCTTGCTTTCTTCCACCGAGGAACCCTGTACGCGATGGCCCAAACACCAAGCAGTACTACGACCGTCAGCACGCCCCCAACGGCCCAAAATATCCACCGTCCCTGTTCCATGTCTCTGATATCGCTAGTGTTCATTCCCATGTAGCTCGTCGCAAATGAAAGTGGGAGGAAGACAACGGTTAAAAGAGTAAAGACGTAGATAGCGACACTTTGGTCTTCGGCTTTAATCCTTATGAATAAAGCAGCCTGGAGTTGGACTGTTAGCTTCAGCTCCGATGTACTCATCGTTGAGAAATACCTGTGACTTCAGTCGCTCTGTAGCGTCTTGTAGCCTTTCGATATCATAGGCCAGCTGCCTATGTCTGATCTGAGACTTCCTTTGTAGTGAGTTAAAGATCTGAGTGGTTCGTTCATGTCCCAAGGCTCCCTTTCCTGTTCCCAACGATGCTTGGACATCAGCCGATTTTGGTGTTTTGCCGGTAACCGCTTCGAGAGGCCTGGAGCTGGCGATCGTCCGTGCGAGACTCTGTGCTACTTGTGAGACGACATGCATTTGGCTATGTAGGATCTCCTTGAGAATCCGCAAGTCGTCTGATGTAACGGAGATTTGGTACACTTGTGGCTGAGTTACGGAGTCGCGAACAAGCCATTCCTAGAGTAAATAAGCAATAATAGGTAAGTTTTCAAGAGTTTAGCGCTTATTTGTGATAAGACCTACCAGACGGGATATTCTTCGAGCAAATATATCTGTCATATCTTGTGAAGCTATCGAGTACCAGGTCGGTGTTCATATTGTGCACATGCGAAGGAGACATGCTAGGGATAAGTTTCCATTAAAGTTCTGTATACTCCGCAACATGTCCTTGTTCTCGTTATCTCTGGAGACCTGAAGCTCTGACTGTACAGTACCATGGTGCCTCTTAAGACTTGCGATGGCTGCCGTCAGTTTATCTTCAAGATCTTGAAGAGTTTCGCCTCTCTTGCTTGTTTCATCTGGCCTGTACAGAAGTTTAGTCTTGGCTGATCTTGCTTTAGAGTCGTTGCGTATGTAGTTTAGTATCCTCCTCCACATGCTTAATCGGTCAAAATGGTATATTTGTCGGTCTGAACTGGGATGGTAATTCGTACTAAAACGGATGGCGATTGCCCATAAGCTTCTCAGAGCACGTGCAACTTCTTCAGAGGCCTCTGTTTGGCCCCAGGTAGTTCTTTCAACTTCAACCCAATGTTTCATGTGCTCATCAAGGGCACGCAGATTTCGAAGCGGCTCTCCATTGTAGCGTCCCGGTTAAAAGGTGAGGACTGTCCTCAATGGACCGAACAACCGCCCACGAGCTTTCTTCTAAAGAGAATATCCGTTGGAGAACCGTCAAGATTTGGACTTATTTCTCGTAACTTACCCTAGTGGATCGATTAAGCACGAGAAAGAATGAGGCGGATCTTATCATGTCCATGGAATCGACTCCCAGTACGTGTTCTCCGACTTTGCGAATTAGTCGGTCCAGCATCCAGCCGCCTGGCACAACAGCTGAAAACATATGACCAATGATCCCAACACAGAATGTGATCTCCAGAACTCTTCTACCCCTTATCGAATGATCTAGTCGTGCTAATTGCTCATGGGGCGCGTTTCCGCCTTTTTGGAAATATTCGGACACGGCAATTTGCGTGACTACTGTCGACTGATCGTTATACTATGTCCCTTGACTCAGTATTGGCCAATTACTATTTGCCGGAAGCCACGAGACGGTAATGGGATTTTCTGAGAAAAGATGCCAGTCTATGATTGAATAAACGATCCTGACATACTGCTATCAAGTGCTAAGCACCACATCTGTCGGACACATGGAGAACGAATGCCATCGAGTATCGAGCCAAGGTCAAAATGGGGTTTCTGAACAGTGTCATTGTGCACCCCAAACCTATAGTGGTACTGTAGTAGGAACTTCACGTGGTGGGAGTTCCCAGGGAATGTTCGAGGGAACGGTTTATCCATATGTATTGTTGGAATCGAGACAAACGCTGGAAGATCGGACTTGGCTTGTTCAAAGTCAGGTATCCCTAGCATATTCTCTCCCTGGTCATCATCATAGAGTGGTACAAAGGCCGGCCGAAAGGTAGGTCCCTGTGAGCTCTTGATCTCATGTCGTCTCTGGATTCTTCGTAGTCTAGATAGAATCTTATCGCGGTCACCGGGGCTGTGATCAAGAAGAAGATCATGGACTATAGTCTGACGACAGTTAGCAATACGATCGAAGTTAATCCGCACCTCACTTGCCATGAACTCCCCAAACGTAGAATGTCTGGTAGCAAGATGGCTGCAGTTCGATTGACTCGGTTAGCGTTGCTCTCAAGGCAAGACCGGAGATGACTGTACATCCACCTGCAGGCGTAAGCGACTGAGTACTTTGGTTACAGGTCAGCTGGGCCTAGACGCTGTAAGCTTATTGGGTCATATGAGAATAAGGCCTTCTTCAACCGTATGGGTGAGAGCGGGGTTACAAAAACATGCATGCATGATCTCATGCTTCGAAGCCCAAAGATTCGGGCGAATTGATCTATAGCTAGATATTTATTTCAGCTAAGTAATCTTCCATACATTCTTGGATTTGGATGAAAGCAGCAGATGCTACCCCACGGCTTCAAGCAAGATCCTGCAAAGAAAGGACCGTAGCGCTACTTGAAATGATGCGACAAAAGTCAAATGCCATGTATTATCTATGTAAGTATAGAGAAGTGAACATTTCTAATCATAGAGCTTGGGACCCGAAGCCCCTAGAGTGACATAGAACAACTTCGTCTGTCCAGTAATGATCATCCTTCCCTTACCAGCGAACTGGAAGTTAGCAGCAACAGTTCCGGTGTAGATCTTGCCGATGAGCTTGCCAGATGGGTTCCAGACATGGACACCGTCACCGCAGCCAGCATAAACACGACCCTTGGAGTCAGTGTGGACACCTGGAGAGGTCAGTATATAACACGATAGAGGCACAGCATACAGGACTTACCATCGGGGATGAATGAGGCAACGTAAGCAAAGGTCTTGCGGTTCTGAAGAGTACCGTCCTGGTTCACGTCGAAAGAGTAAACAGAAGCGGGAGAAGAGAGGTTGCGACCGTAGAACCCGAGAGCGATGCCAGTGTCGGTGACATAAACCTTCTTGCCGTCGGGGCCAAAGCCAATACCTGATCAATATGAGTTGCTTGTACTTTACCATTCAATAAAAGACATACCGTTGGGAAGGGTAAAGTCATCAGCGACAACAGTGACAGCGCCGGTGTCAAAGTTGTAACGATAGACCTGGTTTCGCAGACCAGGAACAGGACGGAAGTCTTGGAGATATCCGTAGAGGGTATCGGTGAAGTACAGGTCACCGTTCCTGGGGTTGATACCGACGTCGTTGAGGGAGTTGAACTGGCGACCGAAGTAGTTGTTGAGAAGGGCTGGTTAAGGTTAGCTCAAATAATTGTGCTCTTAGGGATTCTTGTGACTTACTGGTGGTGTTGTAAGGAGGGAGAGGGTTCATGAGGTACAGCGCAGAGGGAACATCGTCGCCTTGGCCCTCACCAGCGAAGATGATGTTGCCCTTGTAGTAAGTACCACCTGAGATCAAAAGGTTAGGCTCGTTTCAGTCATATCACCCGTTAAACATACCATTGGGGTTGATAACCTGAGGGTTCGAGTCAACAACTGTGACCTTGACCTCATCCTGCTTGCCCTTGCGAACAGCATCGGCCTCCTTGAGGGAAATCTTCTGAATGATGGAAGATTTGTTCAGGCCAGTGCCTGCGGCAGGAGCGCCAGCATTCTGCACAAAGAACACCTCTTCAGTAGGAGGATACCATACGACAGCCTCATGGAAGATTGGGTCGGTGTCCGATGTTGCGATGAGGGTCAAAGAGGGGTCTTTTCCAATTACATCGTAAAACTCTTCATCGTAGACATGGAAAGGCTTCTCAAGAAGAGACTCCTCAGTTACACCAGGCCAAGTGAACACCTACTCATAATTATTAGTAACAATCAGCAACGAGGCTGCAGTGACATACCAGAGAGTCATTGGCCACTGCAGGAGGTGGCACATCCTTCAAGACATTGAACGACTTCTGATCAATAATCTGAGCCGTAGAAGGAAGCTTAGCAGCCACCGCGCCCAAAACAGGCACGAGAACCCCCGCAAGTACAGAAATGGAAGAAGGCATGACGAATGAGTGCTTGGTGTGACAGGACCCGAGACAGCTGGTTGCGGCACTTTTAATATGCGCAATGAATCGGTCGCTGCGAACTCATCATCTCCGCCTGAAATGACAGCGACGAGGCATTAACGAGGGTTGTCTCGGCGTTGTACTCCAAGAACGTGCAAGATCTGCAGCGTTAAGCTTAAGCTAGCGTGGGTCGCCGGTTTACGCGGGTCAATCAGCGCTTCGGCAATGGGGATCGGGGTAGTAGAATGTGGGGAAAGTAGCATGTTTAGAGTTTGGGAGAGTTACGTAGCGGAGAGGAAAAGCAGATGTTGGTCCGTCGAGCAGGGGAAGAATAACTTACGATTGAGGAAGTTCTAGACTGACTCGGGGATCTGGGGGGTCTTCCGGACAGGGCTGATCGGGGGAAAAGAAGGGAATGACCCTGAAAAGAATCGGTATAAACCCTGCTTACAGGGGCCTTGAATCAATGTCGAACTGAACCAACGACCAACAACCAATGCAACCTCCTATAACCTGCATCCACGCCACAACTACATAATGTGGTTCCAGTTCCTTGGCAGCGGCACATTCTCAACAAGAAGGGTTGTTTTTATTAATCACCGACCGAAACTGCCGCTGAATAACGGACACGAGTGGGAAGGGAAAGCACTGCGATTGGAGGTCTTTTCGACAGCAGCTGAAATCGTGGCTTACGCTTGGAAAGGCCCCTGCTGTAAATATTATGACTTGCTCAATTGAGTAGGTGTGAAATCCTGGTGTGACGCACTTTTGCGGCATATGGCGAAGGAACTTTCCGAGATGGTGCGTGAGAGGATTGACGATCTTTTCACTTTGCAGAACGAACGATGCAGATATGTCAGATCTCAGGATTTCATCTCATCTCTACCATGGCCTTGGTAACGATACCCTTGGTATTTACTTCTTCTGTACGGAGTAGCAAGACGACGATCGTAGTACAACTGTCGTATCAGCCCATGAACCCCTTCGACAGCTGAGGCAGGGATGTAACCAACATGCAGAAAAATAGAGTTTGAGTTTGATTAGCCAAAACTGCCAACCTTGAACTTTATCAGAGCAAAAGATCCAGTCACGAAATGAGCTTAGCATGGAATTGTCAGTTGCGTGATATGGAAGGAGGAAACTTGCTGGTGAGACCGCCACCAGAGGGAGAGAAGAAGGACGTTGAGAGAGATGGTGTTGTCAGTTTTACTTAAGACCTTTGCAATACCGACAGCCAACAAACTGTTGTTGGTTCTGTGTTTTCAATCCCAGTTACTGCTGAAGCAGGGCATCGCTTCCTTTTATTCCATTCACTTCACTCATTTTATTACCCCATTTCCCCCGTCTGCCGATCGATCTCTATCCCCGTCCCAACACCGCAGCGAAATGACATGGCCGAAATCAACACCAAAAGCGGCGCCGTCGCAATCGTGATCTGCGTCTTTATCAGCATCGCATTCTACAATGTCCTCGAGCTCAATGCCTACATCTTCAGCAGCTTCAAGAAGCGCAGCGGACTTTACTTCTGGAGTTTAGTCATTGCGACTTGGGGTATTGCCTTCAATGGAACGGGTTACCTTATCCTACACCTGTCGCTGTCGGCGCAGACGTATCTTTACTCGACGCTTATACTCATTGGATGGTGTACTATGATCACGGGACAGTCTGTTGTTTTATATTCGCGGTTGCACATTGTTATGCATAATCAGAAGAGGTTGAGGATGGTGTTGTATATGATCATCTTCAATGCCACCTGGTTGCATCTCCCTGTAATCATCCTTGTTTACGGCGTCGGATCGTCGAACCCGAAACCTTTTCAGAAACCTTACGAGGTTTTTGAGAAGATCCAACTCAGCGTTTTCTTTGTCCAAGAGCTCATCATCTCGGGCTTGTACGTCTGGGAGACAACCAAACGCCTCAGATTGGAGAAGAGCGTCGGCAACACCAAGACGCGTATGGTATTGAACCATCTCCTCATCGTCAACGTCCTCGTCATTCTTCTCGACGTCTCCATCCTCGCCCTCGAATTCGCGAACCTATTCGACATCCAGACCGCCTGGAAGCCACTCGTATACAGCGTCAAGCTCAAGCTCGAGTTCAGCATCCTCAACCGTCTCGTCGAACTTACCCGCGGAAGAAACGAAAGTTCTTACGGTCGCAGTCACAATGCCACACACCATGACGACGTCGGCTTGGAGACGTTGAATCGCGACCGGCGGAAGCATACTGGGCCTCAGGGAACGATTACTGGAGAGTATGAGGTTCGCGTTGGGAAGGGTGAAGAGAGCCATCGTGTATTCGGCAATGAGTCGAGTCTGGTCAAGACAACAGAGATATCAGTCCATAGCGAGAGATATCCGGGTCATGGTGATCACGACAGGGGTAGTTTGGAGGGAGAAGGATCGGGTGATCTGCAGCATGTACCGAGAGGAAGTGCATCGTCGGCGTCTTCTGAAGTACAATTCGCCAAGTACGGCAACTAAGATAAGATAATAATACAGCGTTTGTCATCTGCATTACCATTGTCGGAGTATGAAGTCATTGCGATGACGTGATTGTTACTCGGGCGTGACAGGGTTTCTCGACGAATTAACATATCGCAGCAACTAGACTATTGCTGTTGATGCCAAATCTATTTCTCTCTGATTCTTAAGCATGGCATAGGGGCTGATATCAGCCATTTCACCGCTCAAGCCGGGGCAGTCGTATCGTTAAAGTCCGGAGTTATCGGGTAAGCCAAATGGCTCACATCATCCAACCAATCGTACATCAACAAACTCTAAACTAGACTCCTTGAAACACGTTACTATTGTATCATCGTGCAATAGTATCTAGCTAATCCGTGGCTCTGGCTGATGATCACGCTTGCACCGCATACCCTGATCATGCCAAAGTTGACTGCCGAGACGTGGAGCCTGATGACCAAGCCAGGACTACTATCGGCACCATGAAGATCGAAGAATAGTTGGAGTCTGAGAATTATAAAAGCTCATGGGAAGAATATCTACAGGCTTTCTATTTAATAAACTCATCTCTTCTTCAGAGGTTTACCAAACAATCATCACAACATCTCCAGCATGTCTCGCTACGCTGAAGTTCACGCCAAGCCCCAAGGTCCTGGTGACGCAAGACCTACAGCACTTCAAATCGTCAAAAATGAAGACCTTCTTGGCAAACTCAAAGGCACGGTCGTACTCATCACAGGCGGCAACCAAGGTATCGGCCTCGAAACCGCCCGAGCTCTTCACGCAACTGGAGCAACGGTTTATATCACCGCAAGATCTCCAGAGAAGATTGAGCAGGGCATCAACGATATCATTTCATGGCCTGAAGCAAAGTCGGAGGCACCTGTATACGGAATCGAACTTAGGCTTGACTCGTCCAAGTCCGTACGAGCCGCTGCCGAAGACTTCCTGGCCAAGGTTGATAAGCTGAACATTCTTATCCTCAACGCAGGAGTCATGGCTACTCCTGAGGGTAGAACCGAAGACGGTTTCGAGACCCAGTTTGGAACAAACCATCTTGGACACTTTCTTCTGTTTCAACTTCTCAAGCCAGCTCTTCTGGCAGCCATCACGCCGTCTTTCCAATCTCGTGTTATCTCCGTCGCGTCAAAGGCCCACCGCTTTGGTGGTATACGCTGGGATGACTTCAACTTCGAAAAGGAAGCTTACAACCCTTGGTTGGCATATGCTCAATCCAAAACAGCGAATATCTACTTCGCAGCCGAGCTTGAAAGGCGATATGCAGATCAAGGTCTTCATGGCTTGTCAGTGCATCCTGGGTATATACTTACCAACTTGGGGAAGTACGTTGACCTGAGCACGATTGACTTAGATGGGCCTATCAAGAATGCTTTGAGGAACAAAGCTCAAGGCGCTGCTACGACTGTTTATGCGGCAGTTAGTAAGGACTGGGAGGGTCGTGGTGGGAAGTATCTGGCTGACTTTGTGGAGGAAAGACCGGTGAGGCCGGGGGTAGAGCCGACTTCGCCCGAGCTTGGGCATGCTGTATGGATATATGACGAGGAGGCAGAACGAAAGCTCTGGGAGCTGTCGGAGAGGCTCGTTTGATTGCATACTTCCCAGGAGTAATAAGCAGAACATTTGAGAAGACATTCGTTCGCTGAAGTGGAGTACCCGCATGGTGCCTGAACTGGTAGGGCTGGTGTTCGGAACTTTTCAAGCCTTCCTGGGAAAACTGGATTACATCGAGATCCATTTGTTGTAGTAATAGCAATAGATGATGCGTGATAGCCACCTCGAGTGAGAGTTGCAAGGGCTCCCATGAAACTTCATCATTCTATAGTCATTAACACGGTTCTTGAAAGAACTTCTGATTAAACTTGTAGGATAGAAACCCAACGGGTATTAGAAGTCGCTGTGTCTCCTCTCACGTGCTGGAGGCAAATAACTGAACCTCGGTACAACACTCGGGAAGGTGTTCACGAGGAACAATTTACGCCTCAATTGGGCATTAGACCATCCCTACTTAGTATTGCAGATCAGGTTTTGGGATGCATTTAGTAACAAATGCCAATATGGATGTGGAGAAGGGTTGCTTTCCCCTCCTGCATGTAGCAATATTTGGTTCTGTTAAGTGATACCTACTTGATGCGGCTAGCTTAGATCCAAGAAATACACATCAACAAAATGGAAGAGATCTACTTGATAAAATGGGATTGATGCTCCAGTTGCATCTGTACGAACGGTTCCCCGGCTTAAGACAGACTTCACTTCCTTTTAGTGTCAACTGTCTTTGTCTAAACCTTTCAGATACTGGTCTGGTGCATAAGTCCAAGCGATCCATATACAGTTGTCACCACTAGCATGCTTTCTGCTTCTGTAGCGGTATGGCTTTTGGCCGTATCGTGCACTGATATTTCAAGAGTATTGGCCCAAGATACGGAGGGCTGGTACGAGACTCATCCAGATATGGCCCGGATCAAGCATGTGAATCAGGAGACTCACCAGATCCTTGACGAGTATGGAAGAACTAGGTTCTTTCACGGAACCAATGTTGTCATGAAAGAGGCACCGTGGTACAGGCCGTTTGAGTGGACTCCGGGTGTCTCGTCATTCGGCGAACGAGATGTTCAGAATATGCAGGACTTGGGGCTGAATATTGTCCGTCTTGGTCATAGCTGGGCTGGTGCTGAACCAATTCGTGGCGAGTACAATCAAACGTTCTTGGATATCATGAAGAAGCAGACAAAGCTGGCAGAAGAACACGGTATCTATGTGCTGGTGGACGTTCACCAAGATGTATTAGCTAAACAGCTTTGCGGGCATGGTGTACCTGATGTGAGTAAGCAATGAACCCTTTATATCTTGCACCAACTAAAATTAAGTCAGTGGTTCGTCAAGAAGGACTGGGTTACAGGATTCAGAAGATTCCCGTTTCCTCAGAAGCTCAAGCCATTCACCACTGACAGAGACGGCTTTCCTTCGCCTCAATCCCAATGCAATACTATAGACTGGTCACTGAGCTACTTATCCGTGGCTGTTGGAAACGCCTTTGGGAGACTTTACAATAACTTCGACGGTCTGGGAGACGCATTCGCTGCGTACTGGAAGAAACTGGCCTCAGAATACGTTGACACTACTAATGTCGTGGGGTACAATCTACTCAACGAGCCCTGGGCTGGCGACACATACGCCGACCCGACGCTGCTTGTGCCAGGAGTTGCCGACCGTAAAGCCTTGGAGGGTCTTTGGAACCGAGCATCGAAAAAAATACGCATGGTTGACAATGATACGCTTATCTGGTTCGAGGGCACTACTTTCGATGTTCTCTCAGGCTTTAACAACGTACCTCTTGGGGATGGATCCAAGACAGTGCACTCATTCCACTACTACAATCCTCCGCAGCTGGGCCCGTTAAAAGATACACTTTACAACCGACACAAAGACAATGTTCGACTCAAGACCGCCGGTGTTCTTACAGAGTTGACGTTTTGGATGGGCGATGATAAGCAGATGACTGGCCTAGTGGAAGCCATGTCGGCGACTGACGCAAACATGGTATCTTGGATCTGATGGGCATATGAGAATCTGTATAATGGAACATCGGGAAAGCCATATCCAGAGCTGGAAAAGCACTACAGTCGTGCATACCCGGCGGCGATCGCAGGAACACCCACTTCCTTTGCTTTTGATGTGACTTCGGGTATCTTCAAGCTTAACTTCACAAGCGACCCAGACATCAATGCACCAACTGAGATAATTTTGCCGGTCTCTACCTTTCCAAATGGATACGACGTTGAAATATTGCCTAGGGGTAGTCTGAGACAGTACAAGCCTAACAAACGCACGTTAGCCCTGTTCACTTCAAGCTTAGTCAAGGAAACAACAAGCATATCTGTTACTATTACTACGAGATAGAATTATAGAATACTCTCTATCGCCTATGACTGAGTGTATATGGTGTTTCAGTCTTCACCTTTCATAGCAGGAGTTTGTATGATTGCCTTTCCCTTCAGAAGCGAGAGCAAGCTGTCTCAGGAATTGGATCAGCATGTGAGCTGTTTCGCTTTTTGGGGCATGGTCAAGATGAACTATAAGAGCCAAAGTGACTTGATCAGTTCCGTTTCAGTTGAAGCCAGGAAGGGCTTATTGCGCTTTATGTGATTATATACCGTGCTTCGATCACGTGGTAGAGTTGAAGACAGATCAGAAGACCTTAAAGAATATAGCAAGGAAACTATATCATACGGGCAACACAATATGTTGAATAAATGTTTACACTATGTCAGACTCTGGAGATACTTGGATGAACCTTTCAAGGCTAACTTGCAAGCTTGAATTCAAGACAATGAAGGTAATATGTTAGATCCCTTTTTACACCTTTCTTCAATAGCAGCCTCTTGATCGACTGGTAGTTCCGGGCTGCCGCAACCACAAGACACGGTTTGTCCTGGCTATTGAGTGCTTCATAGTTAGAACCCCTCTCAGGGAGCAGCTCTACTACAGCAACATGGCCTTCTGTTACCGCCTTTACAAGTGCAGTCTCGCCACCGAGGAAGTCCTTCGCTTCGATTTTAGTGCCATTCTTGAGCAAAGTTTCTACCACTGACACACGTCCTCGCTTTGCAGCTGCAATGAGCAATGTTGAACCACTATCGTCGCTGGTCTCAGTATCACTCGCAGCTTCTAAAAGAGGCATTAAACTATATTGGTACCCCTCCGAGGCCGCTATAAGAAGGAGGATGCATCCTCCATCGTCTCTTCTGTTGAGACTTGCACCATGGGAAATCAATAGCTTTGTAATGCTTTGACTGTTTACACAAACAGCCATCATCAGAGCTGTGTTGCCGTCATGATCTCTCGCATTAGGATTGGCGCCTTCCTTAAGTAATAGCTTTACAACTTCAAGATGCCGGTTTTGTATAGCCCCCATCAGGGGTGTAACTCCGTGTTCATTGCCTGCCTCAAGAGAGCCGTTGTTCTCAATCAGTAGCCTGACAACTCCTTCAGGGCCCCTTAGTGTGGCCAAAAGAAGTGGAGTTTGGCCAGAAGAACTTGTTACCTTGAGATCGATGCCAGAGTTAATGAACAACTTCATTGTATCAATCTGGTTTGTTTCGATGGCCCAGCGAAATAGTGTATAATCCTTCGAATCAAATACCATCGTATCAGCCAAACCGCCTCCACTCAGGGTCTTGATATTGGCCCCCCGGTCTTGGAGCGTATTATCCATGTCAACGTGCCCAGTCCTGACGGCCACAGTAACCTGTTCTGAGTGTTCCGCCTCAACTAGCCTTTGCGGTCCAAGCGTGAGTTGTAGTTTTTCAACAAAACTTGCATTCTCGATGGTCGACCCCGCGGAATCTGGGCGGCGTGAAGCCAACGTTAAGATCTCTTTGGTATTGCTGTCGAAAGAGCTCGCTCTAGATGATGCCTTCGAGGTCCTTATTGGTCAGAAAGAAATCTAAGGAGGTTTCGAGCCTCTATACTTACCGATCGGGAATAATGGGTACCGAAGCCTCGGTAAATAAGCCCCTTATCCATGCGTGGCGCATAGCCAGTCCGCAGTCTGGCCTAGCTTCCGCTTGCGGCTTTATTGCATCACGGATGAAGTCCTGACCACATTGGCTCATATGATTGTAGTTCAAAGGGCCACTAGGGAAGGGTTCACCGAGGTCGGTTGAAAACTCTATCGTGGAGGCTGGACTCCGGAAGGGGACAGAGTTCGTAAATATGAAAAAGACGGTGATTCCCAGAGCCCAGATAGTCAAAGGCTATGCTTCGTAGTGGGAGTAGAACTCTGAGTCTACACTACCATGTTTTGAAGAGTGGAATGATTGTTCAGGTTGGAAATTGTTGGCTGAATCAGGCTCGCGATTATGAGGCCCTCGGGACACGTCTATTGTTTTTTCCACTGTTTGGTGTAGCGCATCAATGCCCTCAACTGGTTGCGGCTCAGCAATATAGGTTTCTCCTTGACAGCTTCTGATTGTACATGCTCAGAAGGGCCCCCAGTTGCCTGCAGAGTGTTTGAGATCTGCGCAACATCACCACCGTCATAGTCGACAAGCGATTTCCAGAGCCCGATTTCGAGTAAGCAAACACCAAGGCTGTAGATATCGTGCCGCATAGAAAAAGTGACTCTAGTGCTGCTCATCTGAGATGGGTGCTGGTAGATTGAGTCTTTCGGGTCTGCCTGAGAAGTGTTTGTTGGTCCTTCGACATATCGGAACAGCTGGAACCCTTTAAGACAAACTACTATATCGGTGCATCTCTCTGGCTGTTCCAAAATCAGAACTGTCTCGGGCATAATGTCTTTGTGGACAAATTCATAAAGGTGGCCATAATAGACCGCAGTGACCAGCTGTCGAGCTATCTGAAGTCTCGTGGTTAGGGAGTCAGGGACACTGCCAGAAAGGAGAAGCCGTCTGCAGCTCTGTACCTTTGAGTAACCTTCTGGGACCCCAAAGACAAATTTTAGAGATGAATCCGTGGATGATTGTACTACGCCCTTGCATTTCAGCATTCCAAAAGTGAATGGACTTGAATGTCGAAGTCGGGAAGCAAGTTCCCGTGAGTCTCTCCACCCGGCTGTTTCCCGGGAAACATTTTCGACGACGAAATATTTTTCTACTTTTCTGATAGCAAGCTATGATTTGCAGTATGGTATAGCCTTTCATTCTAGTTCTTGCAGTACTTTCTCTGCAAGTTTGACAGATCCGCTGGTGTTGAAAGCTTGTCGGAGTTTCAAGCCTTCTCTAACAGGCTCTGCGCGGTCTTGAACCTCAGTCTGGGAAGCCTTTTTCAATGTCCTATCCAGATCTGCAGGCTCAGGCTTGATCATCTGAAACCAAGTGGGCTCGAAGCGCTTTTACCAGGACTCAAGTTCTGCTACAGTGCTTTCAAGTGTTTCTCGCAAACCGAGGAACTGAATCGCCTTGACTCTTTTAGAAGACGCATATTTTTCTGGCTTTGAGATCGCCAGTGTCGTGGCTTCGAGCTTCGATTGAAGTATGCGCAATGTTTGTGATTGAATCTCTCGCTGATCTCTGGCCATGCCTGATTCAAGCTCCTTCACAATCTCAAGTTGGCTTACCAGTCTTGACCAGCATATTTGGATACGGACAGATAGCTCGTCAACGACTGCGTCAGCCTACCCATAGTCCTTGTAAGCCTGAACTAAGACTTTTCCGAATCTGAAATCGTTAATCAATCTGTGAATTCCAAGGTCGTAGAGTGATGATACACTTACTTAATACAGGCATCCACAGTGCCAGCGATGCCCACGATACCTAAAGCCAGTTCTGCCATTATTTCTTGTGAGCAGAAGTTAACTAGGTCTAAGTCACAGACACAGTATTTCGAAAGTTGACTGTACAGGCTGAAGACTGAAACACCATCGTTGACTAGGCATTCTCCAGTGCAGATCAGCGCAGCCCATCTCTCAACCCTGCGTCAGCACGTCGCCCGCATAATGCGCAGCTTTTCAGCTCTTGGTGAGTTGTGAAACCTGTGTGCCAGTAATTGCTTGCTTTGGTGGTATTGATAGGTCGGTGAGACCCCCAACAACGCCATTGCGGGGCTATGCACATTCATCACAATCAGGCTTGCTGATAAAGCTCATCCATTGGCGCAACATTTTCGTACCAAGCATGAGGGCTTGACATAGCCCCCAGGTCTGTTATTCTCCGCTCGTGACTTGGGAAGACACGTATCTGTGGCACATGAGACTTCTAAAAACGTAGCAAGTGTACTTGGCTTCATGTTACTTCTAGTGGTCCGGTCTTATCAGAACGTACGTTTCTATGTGTGACAAAGGCTATGAAGACGATGGCATTAAGATATCGGTTGCACTGAAAGAGGTTCTCTTAGTACAGTAAAGCCTAGTTGAATGTTGCCTAACTTTGGCGTGCAACAGCAAATGGATTCGCGGTAAAGGTACCATTTGGATCAGCTGCCGCCCTGGCCTTGCCCAGCCTCTGGTACTTGGCCTCATCTTCATAATAAGTCTTCCAGACGTCAGGGCTAGCCATAACCCAGGAGCCCCAGGAACCCCAAAGAACGCGTCTGTCAGTCTTACTGAAACAGCTCTTGGCACCAATCATCACGCCGTCGTTCTCGTTCTGCCATTGATTCGCGAGATTTTGCGACATTTTATGATTTGGGTCGTTTATGTTCAGATACCAACAGTCCACAGTTTGGAGAACGGTTGAATCTCTCCAACTGTATGCAGAACTACCGTCCCCATTCTTGTAGAACATCGAATTCTCTCCGCCGAAGCACTGGATCTGGGCAGAGAGCTTACAGTTATCGTAGAGGGGATTCGGTACCGGTCTCTCGTTCGCATCGTCAAGCTTCTCGTATGGATCGCAGATCTTGCCAAGTCTTCCAACCAGCGTGTTGACCCAGCCATCTTTACCCAGAGTCTTTGAGTTGGTGGCATACGTTCGCTTGACATATGGACGAGGGAACTCTCGACGTTGGGGGAATACCCAGTGACCTGTCATGTTGGCCATGTCTGCAGGAAACTCATCGAAGTGAACACAACCATGCTTGAAATTGTCCAGATTCCGAAATTGCTGGAACCACGCATCTGTGCTTTCGTCATACTTCTGTTGATCCCCAACCGGGCACCATTGTGCGTAGAGGACGATGACAGGGGGCAGTTTACCAGCCAGTAGGGCACGGATGTTGTCAGGGAAGAACCGAAAGACTGTGTCTTGAAGGCCTTTCCATACTTCATCGTTCTTGAACGAAGGAAAAAGCTTGGTGATATCAAAGTCCGTGCTAAGGACGTTGACGCAAAGATCGCGACCCCGGGGCGCGTTGCCTGCATCAGACATGGCTGCAACAAATCCCAAAAGAGACTTAAGAGTGTTCTCATTGTAAAGCCAGAAGGCCTTGACTCCGCGGGGTCCCTGGAACTTGACTGGGCCTTTGGGGGTCTTGATCGTGTTTTCGATGCCCATGTAGCTCTTGGCTTTGAATACCATGATGGTATAGTGCGTAATAACACCAAAGTTGCCAGGACTACCACCGCGGATGGCATAAAACAGCTCAGCATTCTGATCTTTGTTGATGATCTGGACTTTGCCGCTGTGGTCGATCATGCGAATCTCGGTGATGTAATCACCAAGAAGGCCAAAGCTGCGTCCAAGTTGGCCATAACCTCCGGTCTGTCCGTGGCCACCAAGGCACACATAGGCGCATTGACCCGTGGGAGCAAAGAGCCCATGACTGGCGAGGTAAGCCAGAAAGTCCTGTAGCTGATTGCCGACACCAGCAAATACCAGTACTCTATCATCAGGGACGGGAATAGTTGGATTGCTGATGATTTTCAAGTCCTTGTACGCGTTGCTCACATCAAGCTGCACATTGCTGCCTGAACAAGAACAAGCGCCGCTGTACTGGTGACCGCCACTCTTGATAGCAATGCCGACTTTGTGTTCAACGGCATAGCTGATGGCGCTCTTGACATCATTGTCATCCTTTGGTTTGAGAATGAGAGCGGGATCTAGGTTATGATCTGCCACATCTATGTAGGATGAGGTTGCGTACTGCTGATTGAAGAAGTTGTAGTCCTCTTTTTCATACTCGTTGCCTTCACGGGCGTATTGCATCCCAATGAAGTTGTTGACCTGAGCCGTAGCCATGGTTTTGGAGAGAAGATGAGATGTAATATTGAAAAATGGGTGGAGAATGAGAAAGAGGTTTAGTAATGAATCTTATGGAAAGATTAACAGGGCAATCAGTTCGTTGTTATATAGTTTGTCCAAATACCTGAGACAGTTTTCTGCATCTGCTCCAAGTTGAGTTCAGAGCAGTCAGTTGCAATAGCAATGCCATTTTCGGTTCGTCGGTGAGTATCTTCCCAAGGTAAGACATGGCGTTGTGCGGAGAGGATCTCGACTGGTCTACCTAATGGGATCATCGAAACGTCGAACGGTTCTCGACCGCCTCTTGCTTTTCAGCCAGCCACCATATCTCTGAAACTAGATTTTCGGCCAGTCAAAGGCAAAATAACCGAGACAGAGAGGAGTTGGAAGATGCTGCTTGTCTTTGCCACCCTGGCTGTTCACCGTCAATATGCCACGACCGGCTTGGGCAATGATTATCAAACATCGTGTATAAGGAATGTTGGATTTGCTGTAATGCCCAAACCTATCACACCAGGGCTTTGACAAGGTTCACGAAGGTTTGACGATGAAAACGGCCCAACTTGAATTGTGGCCTCCGCTAACTGCCGCAAGTGACTGCTAAGGGCTTACACTCCCTTCAATAACTGCTGCTTCGTGGCGCGGGAGCTATCGTCCCGCTCCCGTGAAAAGCACACTAACATTTTCCACTAAACTTAACCCAATCGAGGAACGCGTGTCTCAGGTCTCATGCTACCACAGGTCCAGAACCCGCGCCCCAAACTCAGTCTAGAGACAACGGCCGCATTTTTAAACTGTGTACCTACTGGCAATCGGCGGTCTAACTGGGTCCTGCTTGCATGTTGATATCCTAATCATTGGTTGGTTTGTCAGCCCGAAAACCGTCAAACAATGCGACGGTGGAGCCTTTTGATACCAATCCTAATCAGGCTTGCTGACCCTTGGTTCGACTTACAAGTTCCTCATAGTAATCCTGTATATTGCCGTTGGAATGTAAAGCCCGTCTTCAGTGGTATTTCGTGGCTGGCGGATCTTATAATCAAGTATATGCTGCATGTAAAGGATACGAAGAACCCGCCAAGGTGCCTCTCAAGTACGGTCAAATCGGTTTGTGCTCCGTTTCGTACTCCTACCCTGCACTTCATGTCGTCAAATTCTATTGAAGACTTGAGGAGGTACGAATCATTCCAAAAGCACGGTCTTTCTGGGTTCCTCGTCGATCTAAATGGCACCATTACTGATTCAACGACTGCAGTTGAGAACCACTGGCAGGAGTAGGTTCTCAAAATCTCAATTCTGGAGGATGAAATACTGATGAGACTCCTGTAGTGTCTGCAAAGAAATCGGCGTAGATCCCAAGGTCATCCTTGAGACATCTCATGGACGACGTAGCCTGGATGTTCTTGAATTGTTGGCACCTGCGTATGCTAACTGGGATTGTAGGACGCAAATGGCGCTGCCGATGTTTGCTTAGCTAACACTCACTAGTTGCCAAGCGAGTCGAATTTGCCATTCCAGTAAAACATGGCCATCTTGCTACCACGATACCAGGTGCCGCCGCATTCTTGCTGTTGCTCACATCTACCTCAGTGTCATGGCCATTGTCACATCCAGCAGTTTCTCTTTGGCAACAGGTTGGCTAAGTACCTTTGATCTTCCCTCTCCTGATCCCGAGCGGCTAATTACCGCCGAGTCCGTCAAGGTCGACAAGCCTGATCCAACATGTTACTTTCTTGGACACAAGAGCCTGGGATCCGATGGCCATGATGGAGAGACTATGCTGGTCATTGGGGATAGCCCTGCTGGAATTAGGGCCGGCAAAGATGCAGGTTCTAAGGTTCTGGGCTTAATGACGAGTCATACATACGAACAAGTCAAGTTCGCTGGGCCAGACTGGATTGTCAAGGATTTAGAATCTGTCAAGATTTTGGGAAAGAACGGAGACAAAGTTCTGGTCGAGATATGCAAACACAATTTAACATGATGATTGGATAGATATATATGCAGTGGTTTGCCTCGGCCTGTCAAGTCCCAATACTTAATTGGATAAGCTGTTAGACACGTTGCTTCTCAACCTGGTGTTCCATCACCCTCGCTATCTGTTCCTCTCCTCCAACACCTTCAGAAGCTTCACATACTCCCGCTGATCCTCACCTGCCTCAAAATACTTAACATTATCATCCGACAAGTCTACAACCCAACCATACTTATAATCAACCCTAGCATATCTCCACAGCACCAGATGGCTATCCTCCTCAAGCATCTTTCGGATCCTCGCAGCTTCCACAGAATCCTCAATGGTCTCAAACTCCTTGCTATCATCCTCCCGCCACATAAGCGGAGGTGTTCTGCTTTGCACGACAGACACCTTGAAAAGTCGTATATTGCTCTCCCGAATGGCTTTCCAGAGACCAGCCCAAGTCACGGGGTCTAGTTCTCTATCAGATCCGTATTCCCAATCAGGCCCGTCACACATACAGTCATATAGCTCAAGCTCCTCAAAGCTATCGACTCGGCTGGTGAGAAACTCTACCAGTTCAGGTCCGATCATGATATTCTTGAGCGTGAGCGAGTGGAGGAATAGGAAGTGGTCTTCCTTCAAGGGCAGAGGGATGCAGTAGTTGGCAGATGCCCCTCCAAATAGACCGTCAGGGCTGGCTTCGAGAGTAAGATGCCGAACGTTTCGCGCATGCCTCATGACGAAGTGCGGCAAATTCCCGATAAACTCTGCGAATCCGGGCTTCGTGTGCCAACAATCGCCGTCATCGCCGCCAAAGACACCAATCTCCAAAACCTGCAGCCTTCCGAGAAAGGACTCCCATTCCGGCGTTTCCCATGCCGAAGCGTTCCTGGGAATGAGGTTTGATATCTTGAGGTTTGTGATGTTTTGGTTTGTTGAAATGGTCTGCATGACATCATTGTACTGCGCACGCCATACAATCTCGCGTTCTTGTTGCAGTGTCTGATCCCAGTTCTCTTCATTGTCAACAATGCTGCCAAGCATATTTGGATCTGACCAAGATGCGGTTTCTCCCCACCAGCCATCATGCTCAAAATTTCTCGCATTAAAGTCGACGACGAAAGAACTGACATTGCTGAGGATATCGCCTCGCACGATTCTCTTGAGTGTGTCAGTTGGGGCTGTCCCCCATACGCTGGGCATAGGACCGTCGTGGGGTTTTTCCTCTATGTTAGGTTGGAAGTATACATGTAAGTGAACTCTAGAGATGAAGTTTTGGTACTTGTGGATGAGCTCTTCTAGAGCACGCGTGGATGCCAGCGGGCAAGGAATGTAGAGGGTTCGGAACAGGACCCCAACAACAGCATGGCGCATGAACCAGCTGGTGCGGCTCAAGGTTTTGACATCTTGAGGTGACAGATAGCTGGCGACATTTGTGATAAGTTCGATAGGTAGGGTATCAAGAGCGGCCATATTGAGATTGATGAAGAATGAAGGATAATGAGTTCAGAGAACGCAAAGAACAAACGGTCAAGTAAAATACTATACGGGGCTCATGGTTGCCTGTCGTCGTGCGGTTCATCCCATCATGAGCTTGGCGTCACGATATCGTTTCTTACGACCAAGGTAGAGTGACATCAAACGCTGCACAATTGCTGACTGCGTTTTAGTCCCTCTACTTATTTCCGACCAACGCTTAACGCATCAATAGTCTCACCACGTTGTGGAGCCTAATGCGCCACCAACCGACCTCGCGTGTGAGATTTTAACCTGAAGGAGCTGGAGCTCGGCACGGCTCGATAATAATTGGACGACGACCTTGAGGCTGAAATCACGATTGCATTCCATTCATACGATAACTGATTATTACTCAATATTCGGCTAATTGTGGCCCAATCTGATTCATGCAGTATAGAGCTCGGTCTGAGAACAGTGTTATTGGTCTGAAGGATGAACGACTCATGCGATATCCTTGACATCGTCCCACTGATAAATGATATGCCTCTCTCCTAGCGCTGTCTTGAGTACAATTAGCAAATCATCGATGCTTCCCAGGAATTTGAGATACAGCGTTACGGCGACGCAGTACCGTCGATGGTCTTCATCTGCGACTAACGTGGTTGTTAAAAGCACTTCACTTTTTGAAGCATAAAATGAATCAATGGCGCGTCGAACAAGTGGTGCTGGCAGTCGTTCTGGAAGAGGCGATCCTGTTCGTAGAGCCTGTTCAATGATGCCGAGAACAGCCATGACATCTCCGATGGATCGTTCATCGAGGATGTTCGCAACGCGAATGAGACGATCTTGCATCTCTTTCGGTAGGGTAGATGCGAGGTTGAGAAGACCGCCAAGTGCTTGGTTCATGTACTGTAGCTGCTCCTTCGTTTGTGCAAGAACCTTTTGATCGAATGGCCCGAAGCTCAATTCGCCTTTCAGCAACGCGATGGAAGGACTCACGGCGAGTAATATCTCTGCAACTTCAATCGAGATATGCTCCGCGACTGCACCCAGGGCATGGTTTCTGTCCGTCCGACCCCAGTGAGAAATCAGAAGAGCGTAGTGATCTGATAGACTTCGCACCGAGTTTGCGAGAATCTTGCAGACGTGCGTAGTTCCAGATGGTGGACTTGGGAATAATTGCACGACAAACGCAGCGACGAAGCCAATCAAAACTGTGACGACTCGCTTCCAGAATGCTTCGTAGCCTTTGCCGGGAAGGCCATACTGGATAATATGATCGTGATCCCAACTGAAGCCAAGAACAAGGCAAAAAGTAGCTCCACCCATGATGGTAGCAAATGCGAATGATGGGGGAAGATAGAGGCGCCACCAGAGCATAGGAATGATCATGACGCCAGTTGAAGCTGCCATGCCGTATGGATTGCCAACACCACTCCCAGCACCGATATACCAAGCAACCATTCCCATGGCTCCTCCGACAATAGTTCCGATCGTACGCGCGATGAGCGAAAAGATAAAATCGGCCAGATATACGAGCAAGACTGTTTGAGCACTGATAACGGCCCAGATACCCTTCTCTCGGTAGAAGAAGCCAGCTGTACTGGGGAGCACTGCCGGTATTGATGTAGCGATCGTAACCACAACCATCCTCAAAGCATACATACCAGAAGGGTTGACAAACCAGTTGTACGTCGAGATGAATACACGACCAATTCTACTCCTTTGTGCGGAAGAGCCTTTATATCCTCGACTGATATCTAGTCTTCGTTTCGTTTCCTTCGTTTGCTCATCGAAAGTCTCAGCGTCCATCATTTGATCAGGATCCTCCTCTGTTGAAATGTCGTAACCTGGAAAGGTAATTTGTCCATGGAATATCCAGGCCAAGGCATATTGTAACCGTGAAGGAACCCATATGCGATGACTTGTTCGTTTTTCGGAGAGGTGGAGTATGTACTCTAGTAGCTTCTCAGTTGCAATGGCCATGTTCAGAATTCGTTCCTCGATAACCATGGCTATTACCATGCTGGGCAGAAATGGTCGATCAGTTCCCTCCATTGGTTTGAGGTGGCCACTTTCGTCGAACAGTTCCGCGTGCGCCTCGAGAACACCCCTTGTTGTGTTGATCACGCATGCCTCCCTCGCCTGCCGGGACCTTGCCAAAGTATCGTGAAGGTTTCGATCCAGCTCCTCCCACTGTACGGGCGATGGCTTTCCCATCCACCGGCAGGAATTGACAGCATGGATATAATCTGCTGCAAGATTGATAGCTTGCGGTCCGATCTCCAGCAGGTCTGATGTCGTATCCCGAAGCGTATTCCTCGTCCTGGAGCGTACCTCGGATCCTTCAGGCCTTTGGAAAGCACTCAAGATCGTGGCATTTTCGTGCCGATGATGTTGACCAATCTCGTATTTCTCCTTGTCCGTTGCTGGGCCAATTCGTCCATCTCCTTGAGCCTTGATATGTTCCTCTTCCTTCTGCTTCCCGCGAATTTGCGCAATTTGAAAATCGAGAAGATAAAGACTGGAAAACATGACTTTGCGCGCCCTTTGGTGCAAACCCTTAACATCATCTGCGTTCCATCGACCACGCGAAAAGTCAATCGGCAGAAATGCGAGTGCTGGCTGTCCGGCCTTGAAGATAGCGATCATACCAGCCCTGCTTCCTTGAAGCTCAGCAAGCGGGATGGCCTCATCAGCAAATCGCCTCTTCGTCGCAGACAGAGCTGAATTGGACATGCGGACTAGCTTCTCAATCTGACCGAGGACCATGTACGATGTCGACTGAGGGAAGAGAAACAGGCAGCATGCTAAGCCCAGACCGATTCCAATGGCTCCAGGTTTGACGATAATCGCAGCGAGGTCGCCTTGAAATGTCGGAAGTGTCGGGCCAAAGAGGATGAAGATATCGATAACAATCGTTCCAAAGATCTGCATGAGAACAAGCTTCGGATTCGCGCACCGCAGTCGTGCCAAAACATAGATGAACAAACAGCCCATACTGAAATACACAGCGGTGACACTCGCATCAAGCATGAAACCGTTATGGATCAACACCTGCGCCTCCCACGCCGGCGCTTGTCCCGTGGTCTTCGCAATCTCCTCAGCCTGCTGCTGCAGCGCCTGAAGCTTAGCCTGCGTCTCAGCATCAGAGCGTGTCGCAAGCGCCGCTTTCATCGTCAAAAGACCCCAACACCAAGCAAGACACATTCCCAACAATAGAGAAAACGCGGCGAGTAAGTAAATGAATAAAATACTAGCTGGTGGAACTGCAAAGAGAAGAATTGCACCGAGGAATGTCGCTTGGCCGATTTCAACGAGACTGGGGTGGATGAAAATGAGGAGCATCATAACCCATATTGCGATCCAGCATCGAAGAAAGATCTTCATGTCGTGGGCGTTGAAGTGGTCCAGCCATGGCGGGAGTTTCCGCTTCGGACGCGCTTGGGCGGATTCATTTTGGTGAGCCGAAGCTTCGTCAGAAGAAGGCATTGTTCATCACTCCAATTGACGCGTGTTGAAAGGAATTGAGGTCAGCGAGTGAGGCCTTTTTGGAAGAAATAAACGGCAACTTTAAGGCCGGAGCTAGAGGTTGGAACTTGGTCTGAGTAAGACTTGACTATGACGTCTGTATGGAGAAGGTCAAACTCTATCGGCGAGACTAGTCTGAATGTCGTTGGGAGACATTGGAGGATCAACGACCAGATAAGCCATTTTGAAGATTTAGTTCCTGCAGAAAAGGCGGTTTGTTTCATCCTTTCAGATTGGTTCTCGCTAAGTTCGTGAAACCATGCTGCGATGTCATATGCTGAAGCTGTGATGAACCTCGGCGTGAAGTGGAGGGGCGGGAGGATCCATCTTAGCGCGTTGTCCCATCTTTCCAGCTGTGGAGTTGATGAACTACTAAACGGTGCCGTAGCCGAGAAGACGAATCAGACGAGCAGCAAGGCTACCATGCACATCGGACATCAAGAAATGGGGCTCACGGGCTATTGAAGTACATCGTTGCAGCGTGGACGTCTCAACGAGTCGATGTTGATTGCGAGACGACCTATGGGATCCAGCTACAATCGTATATCAATAGAATCACATCGCGTTCTCAATGACCCGAGGAACTGTAGCTTTCAGACCGCGGATAAGAAGTACGAAGTCTGTCCCTCTGAAGACTCTCATCATGACGAATCACAATGCTTGCTCGTGGATCCGTTAGATCCAAGTCGTCCTTTGGAGCAAACATTGGTCTATTTTATATATGGCAGATGCAATACTTTGTTTCTCTTCTATTTTCACTTCTCTGCCTGGGAGGCAACGAGAAAAATAAAAATTATCGCAATATGATACAGACGGATCCCAAACAAGGTATTCAAAAGCCGATCCAACCACCGAAGTAGGCATAATATTAAGTAAGGTAGTACCACTGTGATTACCAGAAGCTCATACCAATTGATTCCAAACCAGACCTGCAAAAGCCGTTCTGACCACTGAGCCAGGAATACTATCATATAGGTCACCGCTAAAAGAAGCAGTATAATCCCTACCATCATTGATAGTTGCTGAATCGGGTGGGTCCCCTGGACATTTGCTGACTGGTGCTGTGTTGAGAGTTCGGAAACACGAAGGGATGTGAGTTTAGCTCGGCTTATTTCTTCGTCATGTTTCACCGTCGGACCAAGGTCGATTGGCTGCCCCTCGATGCTACTCTTCTCATTCTTGGGCTGATCTTGGGGATCCACTGAACCTTGCCGACCTGCATCGACCTTGGTATCTGGGCCTTTTTCTCGGTTCTTTTCAACCTTTTCCCCGCTGGCGTGACTCTTCTCAAGGCTCTCAAGCCACCGTGCGGCATCATTGTTCTGGTTTTTATAACTCTCAATGTTAAGATCATAGTTGATTGGCCCATTTTTTATATGCAGCGAGATATTTCGCCCCTCTGCATGCATCAAAGCGGTCAACCGCGCAAGATACCTCATCTGCTCTGCATGGTGTTCTCCGCCTAGCCTTTTGCCAACCTCGCACGGTTCCGTCAAGAACCATTATAGGAAATCGAGAAACGGGCCCTTCTTGTTGAAGATAATTGTTAAGCCGTGAAAGGCATGGTCTAGCAGAAGACCATTGATGATGCGTGCATGATGCGTGGGGAGTTTAAAGAAAGGGAATGAGAAGGTATCAGTCTGACGAAGCTGTCCGTCCCATCCCGGTCGTTTTCTCAGTATTCTATTCACCAAGGTGGAACAGCTGTTGATAGCCTTGTAAACGGGGAGGTCTTCCAGTATTGACTTTGTTCCTGGGCCATAGATCGAGTCGATCTCGATCTGTCGGTAAAGCTGACGCCCAGCATTTGTCTCAGGATTGTTATCCTCATGTGGCTCTGGGAGATATTTGCTTCTCAAAACGATCATTAATAGGGGAGAGATAGGCGCGAAGAGGTGAAAGCGGGGTCCCAGGCGAATGAATTCTCCTGTGCTCTTGTCTTGAAAGTCGACGGTTGGTCCTTCGTACACATGGCTTCCTGGGTCAGGAGGAATAAACTCTTCATCCTCGCTCAAAGGGGTGCAGAAGGACATCCAAAATTCGGTAATATGTTCTTGGAAATGACGAGATAAGCCATAATAGACGGCCGACTTGAGAGTTTCTTGCCAATTTGCTGTCACACGCATATCGAGATCGATGATAGAGCTCAAACCCTGCAATCAAACATCTAAAGGTCGTTCAATTCCGTTTCGATCCATAAACTCCTTCAAAAGATCACGATCAATATTTTTGTAGTCATCGATACTATCGCAGTTATAGGTCTTAAAGAAACCCAAATTTCATTGGTTAAGCAAATAAACGAACTTGCATAGTACTATTTGCTGTATCCTAGTGATTTTAACCTTCTCATCTCCACGATAGTGAGAAGTGATTATCCTGCGAATCACGGCACTCGTCTCGCCCTCCAACTTGCTGAACTTGGCCTCAAGCTCCCGAGGAAAGTTTTCGTCTAGTGACTGGACCATATACATGTTATTCAGACTGCATACTCGTCGGATAGAGTGCTCCTCAATCTTATAACCCTGGGGCAAAAGTTCCAAGCAGTTCACAACCCAGTCGCCGGGGTATTTTCCTTTTTCGTGATGGTGCTTTTTGCATTTTAAGCCATTCGTGGGGGCCTTGGGACAGCTGAAAGGATGGTCGAAGTTCTTTAGGATGAACTGCGGGATGAAGTGCTGGTACTGCGGCGCGTCGGCCGACATGATACCGATCGATTGATAGCCGATCAAATCACGATTTTCTTTCGGTTATCGCGTTAAGGCGGTGATCTACGAGATACCTGTTGTCGCTGGGCAGCACTTCAAAATCTGAAACTGAAGCTTGATGAGAAAAAGAAGCGCGTAAGCAGCAGCGTATCTGATTGGGGACGAACAACTTCAGCCGCAGTCTAGATCTAAGGCGGGGTAAGGACTCTTCCACCAGTCGGTCAGCCAGTTGCTAGGATTAGGGGTCTTCAAACCGCCAACAATCTTGAGAGATACGTAACATCGGGCAGAAAGGGGAGGCACAGAAATAGCAATCAAAGTTATTTACAGTCCAGGGTGGGGGCGAAAACTTTGATAATACGGCGCAGAGATTACACCGCTTCGCTGCATAAATATCGAGCGTGTTTTCGTATTCAGGGAATAGTTTAACAAGCTTAAGCATATCTTCAACCTTGCAGCCTCATCAAACCTTAGCACTACCTCCTGGAAATGAAATTCACTCTCAGTGTTTTGGCGTTTGTCACGTCTGCCAATGCCTGGACCATGCAGTTCGACTGCCCAAGAGGCTCTCACTTCGAAGGGTCCTATTCGGGCTCTAAGAACAAGGGCTGCACTTCCATCCCAGCATGTGTCCCAGGCGATCATGTAAGTTAAGACATTTTTCATAGCTTCTCAGGTACTTGTTACTGACTACCGTTGGGCTAGATGGTTTGGGGTAATACAAAAAAGTCCAACTGTGTTCTGAGGCTGTACGCCGCTGCGCCTTGTGCCGCTGACCAGGAGATTGGTCATTCTAAGGAGAATTGGGATCATAAGTTTGGTCAAGCTGTTTTTGCATGGGGAGTTACGAACTGTTAGTCAGAAGTTTTACATGGCTGCAGAAGAATATGTTCGTAACAACATGACGTCTTATGCGGTTCTCCAGATAACTATTGAAGATATATACATGAGATGATGTTCCAATCACCGTTTCACCAGACGCGACCAGTATATTTCGTGATACATTCTGAACTCTCTCTAAGATCTTAAGTGGTGCACTGAGAGTAGAAGTCGTTGAGCGCCTTGCAAGTTCCAGTGGCGCAGCACTTTGGACCGGTCCAGGTACTTCCGCCGCACTGGCCCCAGAGAGAAGCGCACTATGTCAGGTCAGCACATTTTAATTACCTCTAGATATCAGTGGACACTCATGGACATGTGACTTACCTGGCCAGATGGTTGAGTCGACACGGGAGGAACCTGTGTAGATGACGCTCGGGTAGAGGTCTGTAGAGTCGTAGTGGGGCCGTTGCCGCCACCATCACCGCCGCCAGCACCGTTGCAAGAGAACTTCAGTTACAATTAGACATCATAACAGCGTCTGGGATAGTTGCTTCGCTTTACATACCACTGCAGGTCCAGGGATGGTGTAGCTGTTAAAGTTGGAGTAGATCTGAAAGGCCAAGCGTTAATATACTTCATTATCATCTTGATAGGATACTGTCTTACGTTGGCGGTGTACCCAGGATCGGTTTCCTTGAAAGCACCAGGAATCTTGACCTGGTTGCTGGGAACAGTACTGCCTCCACCAGAAACGCTGATCTGGGCGCAGCTGATGTAGAACTAGAGATCCATGTGAACTTCTGCAGCGAATCATGTGCTGGTCACTTACCTGAGGAATACCTGCTGGCCAAGGGTTGTGAATGCCTAGACTCTGGATGCGAAGAAGATATTCGCCGTTGGCAATGCAAGTGGGAAGGTTGAACGTGTAGCTGACTAAGAGATAACGAGGTTAGATTCCAGGAAGAAATCTCTTGGCGTCGAATGATAACTTACGGTACATAGGCCAGGTCGAAGTGCTGCCACTGAAGGTAGGACCTATTCACTTGTCGTTAGTCGTTCTCCTGTTTATTCAGCCGATTGGGAGAGACATACCCCAGTCCTTGATCTTGAACCAGCCGCCGCTGCCATCGTATGATGAGGCAGAGCTTGGTGCCTTGGACATGTATACGGAGATAGGTCCCTGGTGGTAGACTGCAGTATCAAGAGTGAAGGTAATCGAGTCGCCAGCCTTGACTCCAACGGTCTGGGTGTTGGTTCCCGAGGTGCCGACATTGCATCGAAGGTCATTGGAATCCAGGTCTAAGACATAGTTGTCAGTGTGTTACTCCATGAACGCTCTTATTGGGTAGGGAAACGAGACATACCAGTGACAGGAGAGTTGTAGTTCGAGTTCTGTCGAATGTACTGGAAGACTGGATATTTGGTCGACCCAACACTAAGCTGCTGGAAGATGTAATGAGCAGAGGTGCTCTGCACCAAAGCCACAACAGCCGCGAGTGAAGTAGCGATCTTCATAATTACCTCTCGAGATGATGTTATGACAGCTGATTGAGACTGGCCGAAGGAGACGTAAGAGGCGATTCAGGTTCAGGAGCGAGGTATAAAAGCATACTGCGGGTGAAACGGCACGGACTTATGAATGATCACGTTCCTGATGGCAGTTTAGTCGTCCCCCAATGAGAATGATATGATGGTCCTCCATTATAGCTCCGTTATAGAATGTGCGGTCTCAATGCGTCAACTGACAACGCTGTTGAGTTCCGAGAGCCCAAAATGGAAATGTTTACTAGCGAATCTGGACGAGGACAATCCGCCATGGTCCAGAGATGGATGGAATGGAAGAACATGGTTGCTTCTCTCGGTAGTAATGCTCTGGAAGTCTAGCTAGATGAATGCCTTGTCCTCCTAGCATGGGCTTTTGCTATCGTATAACAAATAACTGTTACTTCGTCGAGCGACCTTGCTATAAGATTCCAAAGTGTATCTTTTGGTTCGATTTTGTTACAGTCAACAATTACAAGCATTGAAGCATCCAGCACCGTCGTTTCGGATCTTGCTTGCAAGGTCGTCGATGGATTCACCGGGTAATTTCGTTTCGGAATGACATCCTCCGTCCTCAGATCCGGGAACATGGGCAGCCAACAATGTAACATTCATCTCGATATTAGGCATTTCGCCTTTGGTCAATGGAAGTCACAAGGTCTATTTCTGTGCTTCGAAGGAATAAAGCTTCGTCTTCCAGCTTTTCTCACCATTGAGATAGCAAAGCATGGTCGACAATCCTATAGCACAGAGGTCCCACCTTACACATGGACCAACGGTAGCGATTTCAGCAATACCCGAGCTACTCAAATTTCATCCTTCCTTATTCAAGGTGGGCGGCATTATCAGCAGATGCTGTGGAATTAGGCTCCATGCAGGTAGCACTGTTTTGGTTAGTCCGAGCTAACGCATTTGAGTCGGGAAGTTTTAGACGACCGATACCTACGCCGAGTTGAGCTGATTCTCGAAGAACAGTTTTTCGCTGACAATAATGAAGGCATAATCATGACTATCTTCATGGCATTGAAAAAATCAAGGTCTCTACCTGAAGATAAGACTCACTTTGTAACCCCGCCCTGACGATCTTCGTCGCAATGGCGATCTTCAGGGTAGGCTCAGCCAATGAAGTGACAGGATAATCATGTCCAAGACTCAGGAAACACCAAACCCCGCATCGCGCCACCAAATGAAGTGAGTCACATCAGCCAAGACTGCTGAATAAAAGAGGTATTGCTCTTCACAAATCTTGATCCGGGAAGAGACACTGCCCGTGATCGTATCTGCAACCAACAAAGCTCTCGTCAAGCATCCTTACACAGTTCCCAGCCTCATTTCAGCTCCTCAAGTTACCTCCAACAACCAAAACACCATCAAAATGGGCGAGAAAACTTTGCCTACCAGAGAGCTTGATCTAATTGGTAAAGTCGCGGTCATCAGCGGTGCATCACGAGGCATCGGTCGCGCTATCGCATTCAACTTGGCATCTCGAGGATGTTCTATCCTGGGCACCTGTGTCAGCAACAAAGGTATTGATGCTCTATCATCAGGCTTGAACGATGAGATCACAGAACGTATCTACAAAGCCACATCAAGAGAGCGTCCAGCAGGTCAACAGATCAAAGGGATTATCGCCGACGTATTCTCTAGCGACTGCGCCAAAACAATTGCCGATGCCCTTGAGAAGTCCTTTGGCGGTCGCGTTGACATCCTGGTGAACTCAGCCGGTGACCCTATGCCTGGTGTCATTGGTCAAATGGCTACTGAAGAGATTCAGAGAAGCATTCTAGGCAACGTCCAAACCCCAGTTCAGATCGTTGAAGAGCTCGTTCGTCGAAAACTCTTCCAACTCAACAGCCGTATCATCTACATATCATCAGTCCGCTCGCGCCTCCCATGGGCCGATCAACTGATGTACGCAGCTGGAAAATCAGCCGGTGAATCACTTTGTCGAACATGGTCACAGGCCTTTGGTGGAAAAGATGAGCGATACGCTTTTATGGCTGGAACGACTGCGAATGCAGTCACCGCAGGTTTGACGGAGACTGACGCTGTTATGGATTGTGGACCGGAGGTTGTCAAGACGTTCCAGGATGAGTTCTTTCCCTTGCAGAGTATACCTAAGTTTGGACAGCCTGATGACGTGGCTGATGTTGTAGGGATGCTTTGTGGGAATGATGGAAGATGGATTACTGGATCTGTTATTAGTGCGAGTGGTGGCTGTATCAAGATGCAATAAAGTTTTAGCATATCACAAATGGCAAAATTGAACGAATACTTTTCCACGCTTTTATTGACATAGAGCTTAACTAAACAAGCAGACTCCGGTAGCTCTATACAAGGAAGAAATAGCAGAGTGGCGAATATGGGGTGGAAGGACCAACAAAACCTCCAACATCAACCGGCAACATTAGCTTCCACAAAACGCCAATCCCTCCATCGACTTAAGATGCCTTCAACTGAAGTTTGGCAAAGGTCTCAACCGCGAGCAAAGCATCACGGGCCCGGTCCTCGCCAAGGATACCACCGTCAACCAGATTCTTCAGGACATCACGCACATACTGGCGATTGAACGCCGCCTCGCCTTGGGGGTTTTCCTCAGGAAGCACGGAACGAACCCGAGCTTCAACATCACCAAGTTCAGAGATCGGAATGCTGGCAACCTCAAAAAGCTTGGAGTGTGCGGGGGGACCATCATACTTTACGAGAGCGTAGCGAGCTTCATTCTGACGGCCTTGGGCGGTGAGCCAGGTCGTGGTGATGGGGTTGAGGGCGGCAAACATCCAGCGGCTGGGGACCTGAAAATTGATCTTGGGTTTAAAGTCCAGAGGGGGGCTGACGGCGATGAAGAGTTGGGCGTGTGAAGGGCTGGTCTCCTCGTTGGAAGGGAGCTGTGTGCGGTCGGACATCTTGCTGGTTTGTGCGAGTAGGTTTGTTGATATGATCGGTGAAAATTGTGAGAAAGGACACAGTTTGACTGTCCCATGGAAAGATTTAAGATGATGATGATGTTGTTGTTTTGTAAGCGGACGATTCAGCTTGCTATTAAAGCTGTCTCATGTCACACAAATATATTTGATGTTGCTGGTGAACAGACGCTATTGCCAGTGGTACCATAAACCTGTTACTGTGTCTGATTCTAAACAGGCCAATTTCCCCCTGCGTTTTGCGAACATGCCGGCTTGTGCCAGTGCATGGACACCAAGCTTTCTAGGGTTTCCCTTTGTCAGCATTATGTTGTAGTGATTGGTTAGATATCATGGTATAATGTCTAAACAGTGAGCTGGATGTGTTATTTGTAGTTGAGACCTGTGGCTGAGAGCTTAGATTCACCACACAGAGCTTAGTTCACGAAGGGACAATAAAACCTTGTGTAAGCCTGCTCATTGGTCATCGTGGAAGCTTTTTGGGTAGAAACTTATATTCTGAAAAAGAACATCGAGTCCTCATTATCTGTGTTAGCAGCCTAGAGTTTAACCTTATGGCCCGCAATCCAGTACTTAGAGCACCAGAGCTACTATCCTATCGCAAAGTTAATACAAAACTGTCTAAAGAAAACAACAACATCGACCAGCAAAGTTGGTTCCTAGAGTGCCCTGATGATTCCGGCTACCTAAGATCCCTCTGATTGAACTTCAGAGCTCATGTCGAAGTTCTTTGCAGTGACGAAAACTCTCAGCCACAGGTCCGAACTACAAATAACAAATCTGGCTCGCAGCTCAGAGCTTGTTTCAAGCTCCAACAAAACATTATCAACCTGCATCTGACTAATCATAGCACCAGCCACCAATTTCTTGAATCTATCGCGAACCTACTTGCGGCTACACTCCAGATCGTCCTGCGCGTCCAGGATAAACAGAATCGATCCTGTCTTCAACATATCTCAGCCACACACTGGGAAGCTGGCTATCTAGAAATGCTTCAGCTGTCGTTCGGGACGCCCAATTGTCATGCGGTCCCCCGTAGAGATTGATAGATTCGCCAGAGGCATGGGCCCTCAATTACGATACTCCAGAGGTGGCGAGTGCTGAAGAAATGGTCACAGAGCTGAAGAAATTGCTCATAGGATGTAAAGGGGTTCACTATGATGTAGAGCTGAGCGCGTGAAGAATTTTCCGGAGGCGGTTGCGAATGGTCAGGCATTTTGTTGATTGAGAACGAATGGGTTTGTTGATATGATGGAAGTGGGCTGTGATGATGTCTGAATTGGCTGCTTGATGACTGAGTGGTAAGTCTGTTGTTTGAAAACGATAACACTTAGCTACCTCATTATAGGCTCCTTTCCACGTCGAACACGTATCTACAACTTCTCATGCAATGATGAACAGGCCTTATTATGGCTAATACTGTGAAGCCACGGGAAACTGGACAGGCAAGTGAATAGTATGCCTTGTATTTTCTATGAGCATGTTGGATAGTTCCAATGAACTTGAACATCTCGCAACCAAGAATTCGAGATACTAGTGATCTCGTGGTACTTAACGTCTTTGCCAGGATGACTGAAACTTAGGTTGATCTTGGGGATGTCGGTTTCGCGAGCTTGCGTTGTTAGCCAGAGGCTTTTTGGCGTGGTTGAAAGTGGTGAAGCTCTAAATGTTGGAGGTGTGTACGATTATGAAGAGCTGGGCGTGTGAGCTGCTTCTTGGGTTGGTCTCCTTACGGGTCAAGAGGTCAGACATCCTTCCTACTTGAGGTAGGTGTATGCGGAAAGGGGACCAGTAGTTTGACTTTTCGGGTTCGAGTAAAGAAGTGAAGGTATTAGTTCACAATGCGCTTGACTAGACGGACATTTATGGACTATTCTGGACCTACCAAGTTGTTTGGAAGAAAGCTGAGGAGCATACCGTGCTAGGGTGCATCATATCACTGTTCGTGACCTTGAACAGCCGGGCCAATTATCTAGATACCTACCTTTCTTAGGAACACATCAAGTTGTATCAGCGCACGTACATAATGTTCAGATGATGGAGTGAATATGCTAGTAAGGCGGCCTCTATCCATGGCAATTGATATTTTCTGAATATCGGCCACAGGTAATCGGTGCTTGAACTTCGCTGTCATTCCATCAAGACCTCATTCTATTGATAAGCACCTAATGTCAAGCGCCGTAAACCAACTTCCCAATCTTGTCCCTATCGTAATTCCCACTACACAAGATAACAGTACTCGTCTCATGTTTCACCTTCTCAGCAATCTTATTGAACCCGGCGAGCGCTAACGCCGAAAATCCATCGACATACTGTTTCTCCTGAATATGAAGCTGTCTTAACGCAGCCAAAATCTCCGCCTCTGTACACGTAACAACATGATTAACCGTTGTCCTGGCCAACCGAAGGTCAATTCCATTCCGTATAATATTATTGTCCGATTCGGACATAGCAAGCGTAGGCGAAGTTTCTGTCTCGATTGGAAATCCAGCGGATAAAGATGCTGCGAGTGCCATTGAGTTGATCGCTGTAACGCCCCAGACTTTCACCTTTGGTCTTAAACTGCCGGCTTGTTTTTTTGCATCTCTGGCAAAGCAGCCTATCCCGCTTATGAGTGCACCGTCACTCATGGGGGCGAAGATATTGTGGATTGGTTTGTCGAGGACCTCGAATTGCTGAAGAACTTCGACGCAGACGGTGCCTAGACCAGCGAGGACCATGAACTCATCGCAGGGTGAGAAATATATATGACCTGACTTTTTAGCAAGGTCTTTCGCATACGCTCTCGCCTCGTTCAGATCATTTCCGTGGTGTACAATCTCAGGACCATACTGCTTCACCTTCTCAAGCAAATGCTTCTCCACAAACATCGGCATGACAATAGTTACTTTCGTTCCTAGTGCATGCGCCGCGAGAGCAGCGCCCATGGCATGATTCCCCGTCGACGCTGTAACGAATGGCTTTTTTGTAGGATTGTCCTTCATTCTTGCCATGGCGCCTCGGAAGTGATACGACCCTGTAAACTGGGTATGTTCCAGTTTAAAGTAAACTTTTGCACCGTGCTTCTTACCAGCGGTTTTGGCTGGGACGAGGGCTGTGCGGAGGACGTAGAGTTTGTTGAGCCTCCATTGTCCAAGGGCTCTTTGGCCGACAGCGAAGATCTCTGGGTCGATTGGCATTGTGACGCGTTTAACATGGCGCTTGACTTGTGGTTATGGGCTGAGGAAACATAATGGAGTTTGCATTAGTGAGTGTCGTCAATTGATGAGATCAGTCATGCTCTGGACGGGTTTAGTCGCGTGTTTGATGCCGACGCCAAAGATTGATCGCGTCCTGGCAAGGGAGCTAAGACGAATTTTGATTGGCCGGTGAGCTTCTGCCGATTTTTCAACCCTGTCTGCTTGACCATTTGCGGGGTCCATTCACATTCACTTCTCTGATCGTATCTCACATCAATTCTCATCGCCACGATGAGAGACCGTCAAAAATCTCATTCCATCACCCCGAATATAACTCTGAATTACTTACCGAACACAATTCTCATTTCTTGTGTCTACCATCCCCTGTGCTGAGTATATGACGCAAGTTAGGGCCCATGGAGCCGTCCCAAAGACGACGTGCAGGATGCACTGAATGCAAGAGAAAGAAGGCCAAGGTCTGCTCGCTATCATCTCTCACAGCTTATGCTTACTAACATTAAACAAGTGCGATGAGAAGAGGCCGTCATGTTCACGATGCTACAAGTACCCTCACCTTTGCTCGTATGAGTTGAGCGTCAAGAGCTTTAAGGTGGCGAAACGCAAGCCAGCTAACAATGCTCAGGTATGGTTCATTTATCTTCCTGTAAGATGATTCAATTGAATACAGGCTCACTCAATCACACTTCCGCAGATATTGACACAGCCATCTTCAACCGATGAGACGGCCGATGAACAACAAGTGTCTCTGGCACCAAGCTCAGTTGCCACTTCCAACCAACTCATTTCTTATACCGATATGTCTGACACGTTTGAGAGGAACTTTGTTTCATCATCTATGATAGATGACCCTTCTGACTGGCTTTTTCATTTTCCTGCCGAAAGCCCGCCAAGGCACAGTCTCTCCATCTCTTTTCCATCCAGCCCTCCACTCCGGAGTGATCCTCGGCGGATCTACTTTCAACACTTTGTAGCCCATACAGCAATAGTATACTGGCCGCTACAGCCGGACATGGCTCTAAGCTTGATTCTACCAGCCGCTGATCTCAGCCCTTGCATAATGGGGGCAATGATCGCCGCCAGCAGCAGCCAACTCTTCAGGATGGTACGGAATCCAGAGTCACGAAGTGCAGCAATAACGGCAACTGTGGAGTGTCTGGGAAACCTTCGCGAAGCAATTACTACACCGAGATTCGGCGACGTTGGAGTGACAATACTGCCGACGACGTTAATGCTGGCTACAACGTGCGTCTGTGCAGGAGATACTACGACCTTTCGGAAGCATCTCAACGGAGCTCTTCATGTTGTTCAACGCGATAAGTCGAAGTATAGCCTGGATCCTTTATGGTGGATGAGTCTCAAGTGGCTGGTTCACCTCCTTTTGATGAATAGACTTTCCGGCCTGCCCTTACCTTCACGGCAGACGAAAGGGTTCATTGACTGGGACTACCTTTTGACATGTATGCCTGACCTAGGTCGCATTGATCTTACTTCCGGCTTTTCTCGGGAGTTGGTGGCTGCTCTTAATATGGTATGCGAGCTATCTGAGCCAAGTTGCATGAATGTTAATGCAAGTGGCCAATTGTATGGCAATGAGCTAGCAAGCAGTGTGTATTCTCACGAACTTGAACTTCGATTGATTGAGCTTCGGAAAAAAAGCGCTTCAACAGTAACAGATGTGGTGCTCCGGACAGAACTAGAAAACAGTCACAGACTGTTCACTGATGCAACGCTACTATGTCTATACAGACGAGTTGACGAACTACCCAAGGACAATCCGAAAGTCCAAACAACAGTGGACTCAATCATCACCTCGTTACAGAAGATCGACAAACAGTCTCCTGTTCACGCTCAACTTTTGTGGCCACTCCTTGCAGCAGGCTGCGACTCAACGACTCATGCCGAACGCACCATCGTCGTAGAGACGATGGAGAGCATGACTGCACGTGGCTTGGGTAGCTATGAAAACGTCCTCGAGTTCATGAGGGATTACTGGAAGAATGGGGGCGACATGAGATGGGACCTATTCGCCAAGCAAACAGGAAAAGACCTCGTACTATTCTGATGTCGTCAATGGCCAAGAAGGATGTGAATAACACCGAACTCACAATTGCGCCTTCACGTCTTCATCGGACCAGCGGATATTCACGGATGGCCTCAAAGCCGATAATAGACTGGATCTTGACTTCAGTCGGTCAGAATACGCCGCTATTCATGCTTTACAGAAGGAGTGAACAAGCTCGCTTGCAGCAAGAATGAGCTGCATTGCTACGTCGCACGGCCATAGTGTTGAGTTTGGGAGGTAACCTCGGCAATCGAGCATGGCGATCGGCACCATAAACACCATAAATGGACCCGACACCTCGAGAAGAAAATTTTCACGATACTCATGCAATGACTAAAACCAACATCTGATATCAGTTCATCCAAGGCTCGGCTCTTCGCCGGCGGTGATGAAGCAATCACCAGCCGAAATATCCAAAAATTTATTACCCGCAACGCCCATCATACTGATAGGGTGAGATACGAAAGAAGAAGTCGTGATTATTTCCACCACGGAGAAACATTCTTGGCTTAGTGAGATCAAAAGAGTAGGACCGAAAACTGCCGGTAGGGCATATTAGTCAAGGAAATCATAGGCTCAAAGAGGGATACAACACATGCAGTTCTGCTAGAAATCCGGGGTTGAGAGCCGAGGATGTATGCTAGACATCTGCAAGTCCACTCACACTTGCGGGGGCGGCCCGAATAAACGGGTAATAATGCTAAAACGGTAAAAGTGTTGAAGTCTATCAAGATGTTGTTCCAAACGAACAACAGGAACTTTTACCTAGTTTGTGCTAGTCAGTGCGACGCTGTGAAAGCTCCGTGATGGAATAGGGAGGTGAGCCAGTTGAAACACTTGATCGATGATGAAATGGGTCTACTACCCATGCAGAGGAAGACTATGCGATCATGAAGAACAACGTGGTGCATGATAAGCGCAGGGAACACGCGGAAACTCCGCCTGTCAACGTGACACCAAAGACGATCGAGTTTCGGGCCGATACCAAATAAAGAGGTCATCTGGTGTACCCCTGTCGCGATGATCATCATTGGAGCTACGGTCTCAACCTCAAACGCTCGTGCACTATAACGTTTAATGACATGACCCCGCAAATGCACCCAATCAGAGGGGAGAAGTCAGCTCCGGAGGTTTTTTGATTGATTCGGGGCTTCTGGTCGGCTGTTAACCCACTGTTAACGAATCCTTTGGTCCTTGGTGCTACAGCTGAACAATGCTCTAACGCTGTAATTAAATCCTTCGTCACTCGAAACATACTATTCGTCTTGTCTTGAACACTTCGAACTTTACGATAAAAGGGCTTTGTCCCGCCAGGTCTTGGGATTTAGCAGCACTCTCATCTTCATTCCTCGCCTCAGTTCAACATGAAGTTCTCTCTCCTTGCGACCATCGTCGCCAGCATCAGCCCGCTCGCTCGCGCAGCGGACGCAAACGCTTGGAAGTCGCGAAACATCTATTTCGCACTTACTGATCGTGTTGCGCGAAGCGCTGACGATAATGGCGGTAGTGCATGCGGAAACCTCGGAAATTATTGTGGTGGAACTTTCAAGGGTCTCGAGTCGAAGCTTGATTATATCAAGGGCATGGGATTTGATGCTATCTGGATTACTCCCGTTGTTGACAGTAAGTGTCGCGGATACGAGGGAATGACGGTGGCTGACTAGGGCGATAGATACTGATGGAGGATACCACGGATACTGGGCCAAGGATCTTTATGCGGTCAACCCCAAGTATGGTACTGCAGATGACTTGAAGAGTCTTGTCAAGTCTGCTCATGACAAGGTAAGACGCCTTGATCCTTCTCATGCTGTTTTCAGTGCTGTTGAGAATCACGTTGTTGGTATCCATGAATGATCCCGTGCTGACTGTTCCAGAATATGTACGTCATGTGCGACGTGGTCGCAAACCACATGGGCAAAGGAATCTCAGACCACAAACCCTCGCCCCTCAACGAACAAAGCTCATACCACACTCCCTGCGACATCGACTACGGCAACCAGAACAGCATTGAACAGTGCGAAATCGCCGGTCTTCCAGATCTCAACACCGGCAGCGACACTGTCAAGAAGGTCCTCTACGACTGGATCAAATGGCTCGTCTCTGAGTACAGCTTCGACGGTATCCGCATCGACACTGTCAAGCATGTCGAAAAGCCCTTCTGGCCTGGTTTCCAAGACGCCGCTGGTGTCTACGCCATCGGTGAGGTCTGGGACGGAGGTCCTGATTATCTCGCTGGTTATGCCCAGGTCATGCCTGGTCTTTTGAACTACGCTATGTACTACCCCATGAACCGCTTTTACCAGCAAAAGGGCGATCCATCAGATGTTGTCGCCATGCACGATGAGATTAGCAACAAGTTCCCTGATCCCACTATCCTCGGAACATTCATCGACAACCACGATAACCCTCGTTGGCTCAGCCAGAAGAATGACAAAGCTCTTCTGAAGAACGCCCTCGCATACGTTATCCTTGCTCGAGGTATTCCCATCGTCTACTACGGAACAGAACAAGGTTACGCAGGAGGCAATGACCCCGCCAACCGCGAGGATCTCTGGCGAAGCAGTTTCAGCACCAACGCAGATCTCTACCAACACATCTCGCGTCTCTCCAAGGCTCGCTCGGCAGTCGGTGGCCTCGGTGGAAATGACCACAAGCATCTTTACTCTCAGAACAGCGCCTACGCCTGGAGTCGTGCGGACGGCGATCTTATCGTGCTTACGTTGAACCGCGGCCAGGGATACTCAGGACAGTACTGCTTCAACACTGGAAAGAACAACAAGACTTGGGACAAGGTATTTGGAAGTGGCACTGTTACCTCCGATGGCAATGGACAGGTTTGCGTTAGCTACACTAACGGTGAGCCTGAGGTCTTGGTTGCCTCTAGCTAAATGGCATAAAAATGGGGTTGGCTTAGTACTGGTTACGGTCTTTTTCCTCGACTCTTCTTCATGACTTTCTTATATACTGAGCTCAGTTTCAATTCTACTTTTTCCTCTTCCAACTGTACCTTGTTGGTGTGCACACTATGTCAGCGCCAAGACGCGCTGCATGAGATATCGTTACAAGGTGGCTGTAATTGTAATTGTATTGATTTGCTATTCAGCTCAAGAGTGTCTCTGGCAACCTATAACCAGAATGGCTGTTCTTACTGTCATCTTGATTGGCTCCAGCTTTTTCAGAACTGAAACGTTGTGTCAGCCATCCAATATTTCAGGTGCTTAATGTTCTCAAATTACCATTAATGCAGCACTGTGCATGTAGCCCCTGCGGCTGACTGCCACATTTGTTTATGACACTGGTCCCATTGTTGATAATAAATCTCCATTCCTTCGTCTTCTCCCACTCGACCAACACTCGGATTTATCAAGAAAATGTCGCCATTCCAATATCCTCCGTTACCCCCCTTAGAGCTGCGGCTTCTGGTACTGCAACCCGGTTTGCCAGAAGATCGCCTTACTGGGACCCTCTTGCAAAGGAAATTGTCTCCTGAAGACGATGAAGTCCCAATTTACGAGGCTCTGTCTTACTGCTGGGGCGATCAGTCTCATCCTTAATCCGTCAAACTCGAGACGAAATGGCGAAAAGGTAAAGAACAGCCACGTCCGGCGCCAGAGCCGGACAGCTCCAGCTACCGGAAGTTCATCCTTACAGCCTTTGGTATTCACTCTGGGTATCTTGATATTGGGCCGAACCTGGCCTCTGCGTTGCGGGCTCTACAATACCGTTACTGTAAACGGTTACTATGATGCGACTCTATCTGTCTCAATCAAAAGGACGTCGCAGAGCGCTCTACTCAGATTCAGCGCATGGCAGATGTGTATCAATTAGCCCAAAGAGTCATTGTCTGGCTAGGTCCTGTAGCGCCCTGGAGCACTACAGACATGGAAACTATGCGTTGGGTGAGAAACCAACTCTCGTCTCCAGCCATAGGCATTTCGTATACAGAAGTAGCTCCCAATTTTGCCCCAACAAAGGACGGAAGCCGGCAGGAGATCGATTGCAAAGGGCCCCTCCCGCTTGCCCAGGATCAGTGGCTTGCATTTGAGCAGCTATCGGCCGTGGACTGGTTCCGACGTCTTTGGACGTTCCAGGAAATAGTCTTGGCAAATCAAGAAGCATCGATTGTGAGGTTAGGCGACGATGAAATGTTATTGAATAGGTTTATTGAAGCGACCCTGTTCATATGTTTCAACAAATGGTCGGCATCACAACCGTTCTTCGTTGATCTGGCCAGGCACACCATAGATATCAAGGTCTTTTGTAACAAGGCTGTGAGTGGTAGGAACGCTGAGCTGATCGGCAGGGACAATACCGACTGGGCTTTTCTGTTACCGGCGACGAAATTTTATGATTGCTCTGATATTCGGGACAAACTCTATGCGCTTCGAGGGTTTCTTGAACCTGATACTGCCCGATCAATCCCTGTAGACTACACCAAGTCTGCCAGGCAAATTCTTGCTTCAGCTTGCGTCAGTCACCTGAAGCAGAGACGAAATCTTCAATTTCTGGAACTCTGTAACTCGACCATATCTCCCAGCTGGGTTGTGGACTTACAAAAACCCCTGGGCCTCCTACAGCTCTTCAGTAACGCAAGTGCAAGATCTGCCGCTTCAGCGAGGTTGATAAAGACTGGATTATTAGAGGTAGCGGGCGTTCCTTGTGATGAAATATGCAACAGTATAATGGATCTACCCCCGAGAGAAGATTACGAACTACTAGAGGACTACATCACCAATGTTCTCAAGGTGTTCCGAAACCTCACAGGCAAAGATTACTTTTATCGAGACGATAAATGCCTCAACGAGCTGATAGCCATGGTGACATTTGGTAACCTTTTGGATCACAGTACATTAAGAACTGAATCTACTCCTTCTTGGACAACAATCTCCCTGGAAATTGGACGACAAATGATACGTCAGTGGATTACAGGCAACGCCATCTCGGACGATTATTTCAGTATACCATATAATCACAGGAGTGCTGTGGCAACCGCTTGCACAATAACGCGCCATGGCGCCCTCGTGTGCGTCCCTTTAGACAGCTGCGACGGTGATATAATAGTAACTCTGCTTGGCCTGTCCAGCAACTTGGTTCTCCGCCCTCAGCCAGAAGATGGATCCTACAAGGTCGTTGGACCGTGCTATCATCCGGGATTTTCTGACGGCCAGGCCTTACTCGGTGATGACTTTCACGGCTGGGAGAAATTGTGGTGTATCAACACATGGACTCTTGCATTTTGGAAGGAGGGTGAGCCTCTAAGTTTTTCAGATCCACGGCTTGACGGGGTTCCGTTGCCCATTGGGTATGCCGAGCGTGCAGTTAAAATGGATGAAAAATACGTTCCTTTTTGGATACATAAGTTTGAATATGAGGAATACATGGATAACGAAAGAGTTTACGATTCACGGATGTCAGAGCATAGGTTGAAGGACAGAGGCGTGCCGATACAGAGATTTCGGTTGATATAGGAAGAAGATGTTAACGAATTTGGAGAATGTAGAGGGGAGTCTTGTTAGTGATACTGCTTTGATGACTTGCAGCGAAAGTTCAATCCTGTTTTTATTAGTTATCTTGCTCATGATAATACATAAGGATTTGGAAACAGACGGTGAACTTGTGCGTCGAGAGATGCCCTCCAGGGTCATTCCACGTGCGCAAGCGGTATCTCACCATTGGCTGACCGTCGCCAAGAAAACTAACATTAGCAATAAAAAATTCATTTATCGATCCTGGCTCAAGATTGCAAGGTCAATTATTATCACGGTGAGAGAACAGGTCTCTGGCACTCCCTCACGATAATTGGTCAATCGCGGCCAAGAGTTGAAAGAGGTTTAGATCCAATGACGTGACCGCCAGAAGTTAAAATGAAGCTTAAATCGCCATTGCGTGAGTCACTTATCCCATTGCATCCTCCAAATACATCAATTGAGGCTCTGGTGCTGGCTCAAAGAGTTCGAAATGGTCGTCGGCGGCTGGGAAAACGCCGTGCGTAGAGCCGCAGATCGCGGTCTGCAGACGCTGAAGGTCAATTGGCATCTCGGCTTCACTTCATTTGGTGGACCGCCTGTCCACTTCAAGATTGTTAGAAACACTCACCCTCGCGATTTTGCGTGCTTTTACTGACGAAACAAGTTCCATGATAAATTCGTTAACAAATTGGCTTGGATCGATGAGCAAATTGTAGGCTTGCGTCGCCCTGCAAATTGAACAAAGACTAACAGACACGAACAGTACCAAGAGCTGTTCAGCGTCGCTCAGGCCCTCTCCGGTCCGGGAAGCACCAAGATGCTGTACTGCATCAACTTGATCCATGGCGGAGTACTCGAAGCTATCTTTGCGTTTCTTATTTGGAGGTAAGTTCACGATCCAAGTCATGAAACTCTGTACCAAACTAATTTCCCACGAACAGCTTACCTGGTTGCTTTGGCATGTTTGGCCTCTCAATTGGCGTCTCCAACATCGGCGACACTCTACCTCGCGCGGTATACGCCCTCCTATCAGGTCTGAACGCCGCGACAGTCGGGATCATCGCCTTAGCAGCAGTTGAGCTTTCAGACAAAGCAATCACGGATCAACCTACTAGACTGGTCTTGTCAATCACAGCCGCTGCCGGAATGCTGTATAATGCTCTCTGGTACTTCCCTGCGCTCATTGTTGCAGGCGGATGTTGCATTGTCATTTACGACTACCGCTGGCTACACCGTCCGGTTCGAGCTGTCAAGAACACTATTCTTCGGGTGAGGAGAGGAAGGCCTACCGGAAATGAGAACACCCAGGGCGCTGAGAATGGAACGGGCAACGTCAATAGTTCAACAGTTGCTCTTCGCGAACAGGAATCTACCGAGCAGAGAGATGGCGAACCTAGAGTCGTACCCCAGGAATATCGCCTCAACTTCTCATGGAAATCCGGCACCGCGATCATCGCAGTGTTCCTTGTCAGCTTCATCGTCGTCATTGTCCTACGAGCCACACTGACCGATGCACCACTCCTCTACAAGCTCTTTGCAAATTTGTATCTCGCTGGGACTATCATCTTTGGAGGTGGTCCTGTCGTCATTCCCCTGCTTCGCGAGTACATCGTCGCTGAGGGTTGGGTTACACCGCGTGACTTTCTCATTGGTCTAGCTATAGCCCAAGCTTTCCCTGGACCAAACTTTAACTTTGCTGTGTTCCTGGGTGGCCTTACAGCTGCGAACAATGGATATCCTGCCATTGCGGGAGCGCTGATTGCCTACCTCGGTATATTTGTCCCCGGTATGGTTCTCGTTCATGGAACAATGGGTGTATGGGGAGTTTTGAGATCTCGACGTTGGGTTAAGTCTGCGGTGCGAGGCATCAATGCCGGTGCTGTTGGATTGATCTACACGGCTGTCTATAGGATTTGGCAGGTTGGATATATAGATCAGGGCTTCCAGTCTGGCAAGAGTCTTGCTGACGATCCTTGGTGGGTTGTTGTTACTGCAACGGCTTTTGTGGGAGGACGATTCTTTGGTGTCGCACCGCCGTTGGCGATTCTACTTGGTGCTTCGTTGGGGTTGCTGAGGTATGGCATTGTTACAGCATGAGTTGGGATCAACTACCCGGGAGTAAACATTTGCACCGGCGAGGTTCGACATGGAGTCGCCAATTGGACATTTATCGACAGAGGAAACTGAGGTCTCGAGTCATTATGTAAACGATGAATATAAAGTTCAGAAGTCGCAGATCAATATGGTACGATAGAGATATGAAGGCATCATGCTCTAGTGGGGCCGAGCGGCGACGGCTCGGGATGGCTTCCGTGATACAAGGCTTGGACCCAAAGTTTGAGTCCTGACCGGCTCTCGGCAACGAAACCGCAGACAATTAGAGACAGCAAAGAATTTCTAAATGCGTAAGTTCCATCTGATTCGAACCGGCATTGCATGCGGTGAGATGAACAGTCAACATATAGCAATTGGCGAAAGATAATGCCTCGACTCTCAAAAGCAGACCTTAGCATTAGGTGGTTTCTCACACATCATAACATATCTTTAATGGCATTAGATAAGCCTCAGAGATACATCTTTAATTCCACCGGTGTAGTATCCCAATGCCATATTCCCAGACCCATAGACCACATGATGCCCATAATCCGGGGTAGACACCGATGAAGCGGGGAAGAAGTGGAGGTTGAGTTATCTTTGGTGGCGGACGGTGTATCTTTTGCGGCGGCTACGCTAACGAATTCTGTGGTCCTCGTGAGGAGCTCGTCTCCAAAATTCGTTATCTTATCCAACCAGATGATGCCGTGATGTTTGGCGATATCGGATGACGACCCGATGCGGGCTTGCTAGCCATTCTTCCAGAACAATTGATGGCTTGGAGGTTTTTAAATGCAGCCATACCCTTCGTCTATCTTCTCCTTTGTTTTTACTGCAATACATAATTATAATCGCTTTTGTATTTCAGTAGAAGCCTTGGAATCGAGTTGACGATTGGCCACTCACCGGAATAGCCCTCCGCCCCATCACCGCCAGCAAAGCTTATAATCTGGCAAAATGTCTACAGAAAACACAAACCAATCGATCCTCATCCTCGGAGGCGGCTGTTTCGGGTTGGCCACAGCATTTGAACTCGCTCAAAAGGGCTACAAGAACATCACAATTCTCGAGAAAGATGTCGACGTGCCGAGCCGCTTCTCCGCGGCTTATGATCTGAACAAGGTCATCCGTGCCGAGTACGCCGATGACTTTTACACCCAACTAGCTCTCGTAAGTCGATTACCTTGCAGCTTGGACTTGAATTCCATGCTCAACAATAACTTGTAGGACGCAATTCGAAAATGGCAGTCTGATCCGCTGTACACTCCTCATTACCATCAAACCGGCTTTCTCAACGTCACTTCCGGCAAGGCCGCACAGAATACCAAAGGAGCAGTGGAGAGCTACTTCCAATCACTCCAGAAGAATCCAGCATTCAATGGCCAAACCACCCGTGTGAATAGCAGCAAGGAGATCAAGAAGCTCGTCCCCAAGTTCAGCGGTCCGCTTACTGGCTTTACTGGATATCACAACAAACTCGCTGGTTACGGCCACTCCGCTAACGCCTTGAGAGCTGTGTATGAGCAGTGCGTCAAGCTTGGTGTGAAGTTTCATCTCGGAACCAAGGATGGTGAAGTTGAGTCGCTATTGTATGCTTCAAGTCGAGAGGGGACGAAGTGCATAGGTGCCAGAACGCGCGGGGGCACCATCCACTCAGCAGACAAGACCATAGTGGCATTAGGTGCCGACGCGGCCAATATTCTTCCCCGTATTGGAAAGCAAATGACAGGTCGTGCATGGGGTGTCGCGCACATCCAGCTCACAGACAATGAAGCCGCCGAACTCAAGGGCATCCCCGTCACCAACGTTCGCGACCTCGCCTTCTTCTTCGAACCCGATCTCAAAACCAAGAAGCTCAAATTCTGCCACATGGGCGGTGCTTTCACAAACTACGCCTTTTCCAAAGACGGCCTCTCAATCCCCTTCCCCGAACTAGCAGATTCACAATTCATGCCTCTCGAGGACGAAACGCACATCCGTCTTCTTCTCAAAGAAGTCTTTCCCCAACTCGCAGACCGTCCTTTGATTGACCAGCATCTGTGCTGGTTCGCTGACACAGATGATTCGGATTTCATCATTGACTACGTTCCGGGTACTAATGCGACTTTGGCGGTGTTGAGTGGTGATAGTGGACATGGATTCAAGATGTTGCCGATTTTCGGACAGTTTGTGCATAAGTTGCTTGTGGAGGAGAAGCAGAGTCAGGCGAAGTGGCAGTGGAAGGATAGTAAGCCCAAGGCTGCGGCTGTTTGGAGGAGTAGTGAGAGTCAGGAGCTTGCTGCCGTTCCGCGAGCGAAGTTGTAAGAGCTCAAAGTATAGAGTCTATGTCTAATATGAATTCCTATTTGTCTTATCAACGGTGTCTCCGTTATATCTCTGTATATAACGCTATACCCTGCAGCTCGGTCACTTGATGGGTGAGTGTAGTCGATAGACTAGTTCAACCAGAGCAGAGGTTAACTTGCAGCTGCAACACCAAGATCTCTCTTTTCGGTTATAAACAGCGGACAACTAGCGACTGCAACAGTTAATTCGTCAGCAACGTAACGAAATGAGGGGTTGATATCTCGTCCGAGTCTTACAAATCTTCAATTACACGACACCATCAGCTTGCAAACGATGTGCTCTTATTTCCGCTTTGAGCCAAGATCCCTTTATTGCGCGATCTTTCACGAAATAGATTGGATAATTATTTATGTTGCAATCAGTTTGCATATCGCATGTCGAATGCTGGCCAATGAGGTTTGTCGCAGTAAGTCTTGGTCATTGTGTGCCATCATGGCGTGACTGGCCGAGTTGGGGTCATTGCAACAGTAGTGAGGGGATGATTGTTGTATATCAAGATGCTGTATGCTGCTATAATTCCAGAGAATCAATCGCAAGGTGCAAAATTGAATCATCAAATAAGAATCCTAAGCCCAATTAGTCCAAAATGGTCCCAGCCCCAATTGACCCCAGCATCAAGGATGTCGCCGAACCCATCAAAGACACTCTCAAAATCCCCAACCCAGCCAAACAGCGTCTGGAGAAATCGGGTATAGACCTCTCCAAAGGCTATCCCTATCGTCCTTCTCGCCCCTTGTATCTTGATGATGTCTACAAGATTCGAGACAAGCCTCGCGATCACATCGATGCAGGCGCTCGAGCTGACAAGTCTAAGAAGAGCCTTTTGTCCGCTGCGACTAAAGTCACTGATCTGACTGCATACATCGGAACTGAGATTGAGGGTCTTCAGTTGAAGGATCTCACTAATCAGCAGCGAGATGAACTGGCTTTGCTTATTGCGGAGCGAAGTGTTGTGTTTTTCAGAGACCAGGATCTTTCGCCGCAGCAGCAGAAGGAGCTTGGAGAATGGTACGGTGAAGTTGAAGTTCATGTAAGTGACACCTATCCAATCCTAATCATAACAGGTGCTGACGCAGCCACAGCCCCAAGTCCCTCACGTCCCTGGCGTTCCAGGTGTAAGCGTCCTCTGGCCCGATCTCATGGCCACAGAGCGCCCAGCCAGTTTCCGTCAACCTGGCGGTGCATCTCGCTGGCACACAGATCTAGTGCACGAGAAGCAGCCAGCAGGCATCACGCATCTTCACAACGATACTATTCCATCTGTCGGCGGAGATACTCTGTGGGCTTCAGGTTACGCTGCATACGAGAAGCTGTCCCCAGAGTTCCGTAAGATCATTGATGGCCGGGAGGCTGTTTACCGCTCTGCTCATCCCTACCTGGACCGTGATCACCCCGAACAAGGTCCAAAGTATATTGAGCGTGTTCATCCCATCGTTCGCGTTCATCCTGCTACAGGCTGGAAAGCTCTTTGGGTGAACCGCGCAATGACGGATCGAATTGTCGGTCTTGATAGAGCGGAGAGCGATGTCATTCTCAATTACCTGTATGATGTCTATGAGCAGAATGTCGATATCCAAGTGCGCTTCAAGTGGACACCAAGAACTTCAGCGCTTTGGGACAATCGGTGAGTACCTTGATACCAAATGTTGAGCAACACTGACAAAGAAAAGTATCACTATTCATAACGCCAGCTGGGATTATAGCGGACGCGAGCCGCGACACGGTACGCGCGTGACTTCTTTGGCGGAGAAGCCGTACTTTGATGCATCGGCGCCAACTCGTCGTGAGGCGTTGGGACTGTTGGGAGATAGTGAGAAGAAGGAACTGGAGGCGTTGAAGTAAACCAATAGTTACTACTATAGCGTAAATGACATGACAAACTTCACATAACAGTGCATATCATTCATGCTCTTTGAACAATTTCGCCAAACATGAACATTCCGCCTTCCGGTTTCAGCTTTGCCTCGGATCAGTCGGGTTCTTTTGTCTTTAGCCTCGAATCCTTCACACGTTGAGTCATTCAACCCCGACAATTGCAAGGTTTCAGCAAGCCACTTTGTCTCACATTGGTTCGCTTGGTGATGGAAGTAACGCCGCTAATTTGCCGATCTGATAAGAAGGATCTGATAATCAGACATCACGTCCGATAGCTCCGCGCTACCTCCGTAAGCACTACCTTTCCAGGAGGAATCGGACTCCGGCTGTGAATTTTGCGTGTGATGCGGGGTATAAATATCTTCACGTTAGCAACGTATCTTCGATTGAGCATGCTATCTATGCTATTATTGAGATGACTGCGGACGTGAAAGAACCCGTTCTCGACACTGAGCTTGGTGTACTCAACAGTACCCCACCAGATCCATACCTCGTCGCTTTCAATGAACTCGACAGCGATAATCCCAAGAACTGGCCAGAAAAGCGAAAATGGGCTGTAACAAACGTCCTCTCCATAACAGGTTTCAACCGCATTCTCGTTTCAACAGTAATGGCCCCCGCGCTCTCCGTCATCGCCAAAGACCTCAACATGACAGCTACCCAATCCGTCATGGCCCTGAGTATCTACCTTTTAGCAACTGCCTTTGGTCCTCTTGTCATTGGACCCTTGTCTGAGGTTTATGGGCGGAGGACCATTCTTCATGTCTCTAATATTTGGTTCCTTGTCTGGAATCTCGCGTGCGGATTTGCAAATAGTAAGGAGATGCTTATCGGTACTCGCTTCCTCGCTGGCTTTGGCGCAAGTGCTGTTTATGCACTTGGAGGTGGTGTTTTAGGTGATATCTGGCGTCCTGACCAACGTGGCAAGTCTCTTGGATGGTACTCTGTCATTCCTCTCATCGGCGCCGCAACAGGTAAATCTAAACCTCATTCCCTTGAACATCACGTTGTTAACTCTTATAAAAGGCCCAGTTATTGGCGGTTTCATGACTGATAGAATTTCATGGCGATGGATGTTCTGGTCGACCTCGATGTTCCAAGTCGCCATGGCTGCTATCTCTTTCACCACGTTCCGCGAGACATATGCCCCTGCAATTCTCAAGAGGCGGGCTAAGAAATTGCGTAAAGAGACGGGTCAGCCATATTACACCTACGCAGAACGCACACAGGGGGGACATACTTTGAGAAAGGTCCTAACCCAAGCTGTGACCCGTCCCCTTCGTCTTCTAGCATTCCACCCCATCATCCAAGTGGCGGCTGTTATCTCCGCTATCGGCTATGGTCTTTTGTATATCGTGCTCTCAAGCTTCGCAGAGGTTTGGGCACAGCATTACGGACAATCTGTTGAGATAAGTGGTTTGCACTACATCTCTTGTGCCTTGGGTGAACTAGCAGGATCACAACTCGGTGCTCCGTTGATGGACTACTGGTTTCGCAGAACCGAGCGTCGCAATGGCCAGCATTTACCAGAAAACAGAGTACCACTGATGGCAATGGGCGCTTTCATCGCGCCAATTGGCTTCATCGTCTATGGCTGGTGCGCTGAGTTCAGAGTTCACTGGGCATGGGTCGATGTAGCCATGTTCATCACCATGTTCGGCATGCAGATCTCTGGTATGCCGTTACAAGCGTACTTGATCGATGCTTATCCGGATCATACTTCAAGTGCTATCGCGGCGCAGCAGTTTCCTCGCAGTTTAGCTGCTTTCTTGTTCCCGCTGTTTACGCCAAAGATGTATGCCGCGCTTGGATATGGATGGGGAAACAGTGCGATGGCGTTTGCGGAGTTGGCGCTTGAGTTGGCTGCACCGTTATTGCTGTGGAAGGTTGGCGCTAGCCTGAGAGCAAGGGCGACGTCGAGCCTGTAGGGACGAGTGGCTTGGTGGAGAGTGCATGTTGCTACGTAGTCGGCTGGAGGGTATTGGCATTTGGTACTGGCAATTTACATACTTTTTGTCTGATCATCGTTACTCCCATGAACCATTCTCAAAGCCACCCACCGCCATATTCCATACTATTCTCTTATCTCTCGCTTCAAGTTAATACTCGAACCTCCATCGGGGATCAGTGTCGCCTCTCCAGTCCTCCACCTCTCCAACGTGCTTAATCTCCTCACTCACCGCTGCCCGAGCATCATTCTGCTTCTTCAATCTCCAACCAAGTATACTCACAACCACAATATTAGCAACAAGATATCCTAAAGCCATAGAGTGCCCAACTACAAATCGAGGCCCATCACCAGATCGATACAGCTGCGTTCCCATGACGGCACCAAGATTTCCAATACTGATTTGCATAGCATTCGCGATAGCGCGCTTCGTCTGTCCAGACACATTGATGGCTGGCCAACTGAGGACAAGAGCAGTAGCAGGGTAGATTCCGGCTGCGGCGAAGAAAGTTCCAACGTACGAGACTCCAGGTCTAGCGGTGGGGTTGGTATTGGCGAGAAGGATGATATAGCCAATTGCTGCGACACCAGCGGAACCCGCAATGAAGACGGCACGTTTAGCGAGTTTCTCAGAGGCGATAGCGACGCCTAGAGTTGTAACAAAGGCGACGGCGTATGGCGGGATTGTCAAGAGCTGTGCGACTGCTGCTTTGTATCCCAGGTCCTTAATAATGGTCGGCTAATTCCGTTAGTAGGACTTCTAACCTAAGAGCAAGGTGTCTTACCAGGAAAAGCGAAAGTGTGTACAGCGGTAGACTCATAGTGTGAAAGCCCAGCCCATAGAGCCAGCAACTTGGATCACGGAATGCCTCACGTACGGCAGCCCAGCTGAACTTCTCTTCCCGAATCGCGTCACTGTCTGCATGCAGGCGTTCGTGAATGAAGGAGCGCTCCGATTTTGTGAGGAACTTTGATGTATCGGGGTAGTTTTCGATGAACCAGTATGCCGCGACGGCGACTACTACTGTGGCGATACCTTCCTGCTTATCGTCAGCTTGACCTGGGGAATGTTGGCGAAGCGGCTTACCAAGATGAAGATCCATCGCCAGCCATTATCCCAGACGACACCTGCCATCTTACCAATCCCCTGATTCCTTTAGTCTAGCTGCCTGAATGAAGTCAAGTTGACTTACATATGCCAAGATACCACCAAAGGCACCAGCGAGTGATGCAGCGCTGAAGAACAGCGAGATACGATATTGTCGCTCGCGTCGCTTATACCACATAGAGAAGTAGTACACAACACCTGTTCACCATCAGTACAATTATTCCAAACAGAAGCCCTCACAAGTGAACCTACCGGGAAACAATCCGCTCTCAGTTACACCCAGGAAGAATCGAGCAATGAAGAAACCCGTCTTGTTCTGCACGATACCGAGCAGAGTGGCGACAATACCCCAGGCCACGGTGAGTGTTGGAAGCCAAAGCCGGGGCGTAGTTCGCTTGAGGATAATATTGCAGGGGATCTGGAGCTGTCAGATACATGCTTGGAGGCAATGATAGGCGACGAACTTCGAAGAGAACATAACCGATAAAGTATAGCGTTAGACCGGTGAGATACTCATTACCCGCTGTCAAATGTCAGAATCCAGTTTCCAGGCACGCACTTGTTGATCTTACACATATGAAGATCGTCAATCATTCCTTCAATGCGAGCATTGCCAACTATCCGTTTATGTCAGCTCGACATCACGCCGTTCTGTTGCGATCATCCATACCATTGCTGCGGTCCAAGAACGACAGCAGATACAGAATCCCAACTGCCGGCAGAAGCTTTAAGTCAAGCTTGCGAAGCAGTGCCTTCTCATTTATTGGCGAGCTAGAATCGACTGTGCCGGCCTCATCACTGAGGTCCGGCGGCGAATCGTTCTTCAGGTCAGCGGCCATCGTGTAGAACCGCGTCTCGAGATTCTGTGAGATAAATTGTCAGGAACTTGAAAGTTAAGGTGCAACTTGTCGAATAAATATGCTTGCGGGGTGAGAATGGTGTCTCAGTCTAGTATTATTGCACCATACGTCCCTTGTTCAGATCTTCATGAGGTTTCATCCATTTCAACTTGTCATTTCGATGCAACGTCGATACACATAAGTAGCGGTACATCCACTCTCACATTAGCCACTACCGCATCAAAAGTACCTCGACAAGATCTGCAACAACTCTTGCTCTTTCTATAATTAAGAGCGATGCACAGAGAGATTAGAGTACAGTGATGGATGCACAATCTAGATGCATCGATCGGAGCATTTTCCCCAAACGACCCAAACATGACGTTGACGCGTAGAATGAACCACTGCCGGGACTTTATCACTTCCATGACATCACCATTTTCGTGAAGATTTTGTCTTTAAGACGTGAAGTTGACATGTCGCCATGTTAGTAGCCTCTGTCGTGATCTCAATCGAGCCAATGGGAGCGTTTGTGATAACGGCTTGGCTTACCCACTTGGGGTAGCGTGGGGAACCAAGAACGTGGGATTTCAGTGGAATATCAGAGTAGAGCAAAGACTTCCAACATTGGACTTTTGACGTCTATATTGAATTGAGCGAATGAGACTGGAGGAGATAGCAAAGCTGCATAACAAATCGGAATAGAGCTCGGATTAGTGCCACTAGCAGCCCTGGAAAGTCTATCGGGTTCAATATTTGGTTCTTCCGCCAACCTACAGACATCAGTTAGCAATCCCATCTATTTCGAGTCACGAATAAAACCGTAAACAATAGGTATAGAACGTATGTATGGTCTCGTATTTTACTGGGAATCAAGCCCGGCCAAGAGCGCATGCATATCGAGGCCTCGTGCCTCGAGATCCTACTATTTCACGTTTAACGATGACTATTACTTCAGGTATACCTTCGTGATTGCCAGCTGATACTTGAATGGTAGAGGGTATCGATACATTTACATGTTGTTACTCGTTTTGTTAAGATTCCTTCTCCTTCATCGAGGAGTCATAGACCGCGATAGAGATGTTGCCATCATCACGATTCAAGCAGTGGTTTTGTGTATCTGTTTATGGAAGGATAACCAATTACTAGTTTTTGAGCCTTTCTAAATGCGGTTTATTTCCAGACTAAATACATCGTGTGGTTAACCCCTCTTCACCTTGTACTACCGAAGCCCTTTATATCCGTGCAACATATCGTAGCCAGGCCAAGCTAACCATTATCAATATACTAAATACTACTCTGTAGCTTTCAGACGACTAATCGGTTTCAATTTCTTTCCAAAATGAGAATAACCCATGGAGTGCTACTGCTGTGGCAACGAGATAGGAAATAATATTGAAACCTTATACGATATGCCGAAAACTTTGTTCATCTGGGAACCCGGTCCGTTACACGTTGCGGGGAAACGATGTTGGGAAACCGTACACGAAAGCAAGAACACGTATTCATTCGAACGGACGTAATATCTTCAAACCGGCATACAGTGCTGTTTCCGACGGACGATCAGTCTGGTGGAAGTGAGATTCTCAAAGTTCGTTCCAGAATCCATTGCCTACTCATAATCTTACATAAACCCGACTGACACGGAGACTATACTCTTCTCTCAACGCTACGCTATGATCCTCACCCACTAAGCCCATCATTCTTTCAGCCCTGTGCACTTCTCAGCTTTAACTCTTTTTCTCTTACCGGGTCGGAATGGCGTCCCTCGCCGCTAGAAGCAGCCCGCCAAAGGACGGCATAAAAATCATTCACGCAGGTCTTTACCGCACAGGAACAGCGTCCATGGCCGCAGCATACCACATCCTCGGCTACAAAGCCCATCACGCTCTACACAACGAATGGCACGAACCCTGGGGGAAACTCGAGCAAGCAGCGGAAGCTACCTTTCCTCACCTTATCCATCTCCCAGACTACACTCACAACGGTCCTCGCCCAGGTTTCACCAGAGAGGATTGGCAGAGCTTATGGGGTGATTACGATGTTGCTACTGATATAGCGTCGACGTTTACTTTGGAGCTCATCAAGGTGCATCCCGATGCAAAAGTTGTCATTGTCCAGAGGAAATTCGAAGATTGGTGGCCGTCGTTTCATTCGGAGATATTGGTCTCTGTGTTTGAGGCAACCTGGCTTCAAAAGTTCTTGACGTGGTATGTTTTGCGTTTTCGAGCCTTGCATGCCATGAGGAAGATTCTCGCCGGTTTCTTCTCTGTGGATGAGTACTCTGTGGAGGCCATTACGCCCGCTAATGCGAGGCATACGTATGAGGAATTTTATAGCAAGGTTCGGGAAGCTGTACCAAAGGAGAGACGGTTGGAGTATTCGCTTGGTGATGGATGGGAACCCCTTTGTGAGTTTTTGGGGAAGGATGTACCGGATGTTGAGTTTCCTAGGGTCAATGATCGGAAGACGCATAGTGAGGATATGGAGAGGCTCATGGCGAAGCTTATGAGGGTCTCGATGGGGGTTCTTGGACCTTATCTTGTTGGGTTTCTTGCTGTTGCTGTTGTCTTTTATGCCTGGTAAGGGTGATGTCAAAATCATGAGAGTGCCGGTTGCCCTTCAGCATCTAGCGGCCTCTCGACAGTATTCACAGGTAGTATAGAAAGTCCCCAAAATAGAAATAGCATTAGTATGTACTGATAGAATATTATACGACATTATGTAGAGCAAGCAATCGATCTCGACCCAGAACACCGTCATATCAGCACCAGACCCAAGCATCATAACTTCTCATAGCCCATTACCACAAATCATAAACCCTCATAGGCATACCTCTCTTCCTCAACGGAAGAGCAGTACTATTCCTCGTGACATTCTGGATAGTGCATCCCTCCGTCTTGTACGCCTTGTCATACTGCCCCGTCAAAACAGTAGCTAACCACTGAATAGCCGTAGCAGCATTAAGCACGAAGTTCTGCGAGTGCGTACCAACAGTATTTCGTTGATACAAGATATTAGCCCCTACATCACAGTATCGCTCAATGAGCTTATCTGTGTTGGCAATAGGGCTGATCTCGTCATGTACACCCTGGTACGCAAAGATGGGCCATTGGGGAACGCCGTGGTAGCCCATTATACCATCGCGGTTGACGATGCGCTGAACGCGAGGATCGCGGAATAATTTCTCGCCGTCCTTGAAAAAGTCAAATATATCGACTCCCGCAAATGCAGCGCCTGCTTCAGCGAGGGTGTAGTTCTCGGCAGCTAGGAAGGCAGTCTTGTTGTTTTCTCCGGACGTCTTCAATTGCGAGAGAACGTACTTTTGCACGTCAGGATACTGGCTCGTCAATCCGAGGATGGAACTTGGAGCAAGACCAGCAGCGTCTTTGCCGGAAATAGCATCCAAGACAGCAGTAACATTAGGTGTCAAGCCACCAAGCGCAGCACCAACGACTGTGTCTTGAAGATCAGGCGCATATTGCACAGCAAGTTCAGAAGCCCATTCACTAGCCAACGCGCCACCAGAGTATCCCCACAGGGCAACGCGAGGGTTTGTTGTGTTCAGACCTAGACCGAGAGAGAGAACAGCGCGGATTGAGTCGAGGGTAGCGTGGCCCGAGATGACACCTGCCGTGAACGACGCAAGAGGACCTTCGTAGTCAGGAACGCTGAGAAACACGCCAAGACCTAAAGCAGCGTTGAAAAGCTCGAGACTGCTGACGCCATCGGCGGAGTACACTGCGTAACTGGGGCTAGCATCCACATCTGCTGAATCATAGGGAACTTGGTACGAGAGCAAAGCGCTCTGGTTGAACAGGGTCGCAGCAGTGCTGTTGGCCCCAAGCTTAGGCACAAAGAGCGTTGTGACGGCCCATGTTGGCTTGTACTGGCTGTCTGTAGTGCGGTACAGAATATTATACGTCGCAGAGCTGTTTCCAGTGATGCGAGTCAAATTTCCCGGTGCAGGACGTAGACGAAGAATAGTGCCGGGCTCTTTATTCTCATAGCCTTCTGGAGCCGTGTACCATGGATCCTCGCTGGGTGGGAGAGGTTCAGAAGAAACAGCTCGTTTGTGAAGATGGCCTTGAGCAGCAGCAGCTAGGCCTAGCCAAAGACTCAAGAAGGTGAGGACACGATGAAGAGCCATTGTGAAGTATGATGTAATGAAAGTCCACCAAACCTTGGGTCAACGGCGGACTTACTGTCTTTTTAACTCAATCCCCCATCACATTACGTATGACGTCGAGCCGAGGTTTCCGTCAGCCGCGCCCAGAAAACATGGTTCAAAAAGGCTTGGAAGATGCCATTTCGATAGTTCACAGCCTAGTTTGGCAGTCATGACGATGAGTGTTTGGTGGCTGGACGAACTAGCTTGTCCGACGTGACCAATTAGAGGAGCTAAAGTCCGCAAGATTGGTCCGGTTTTCCGTTGGAGTTGCGGGGTTGAGGCAAGGGTAGGTACAGACTCCGACGGAGGGAAGGGTTTATTTTTGTTTCCGAGGATGACGTTGGATGGGAGATGTGCCTTGTGATGTTTTAGCGGAGAAATACTTACTGGGCTGTTGCTGGGCGGTGTTTTTGTCTTGGTGATATTGATATGATGATGGAGATGGATGAAGCCACTGTTGAGTGGCATGGCCCAAACGGGCATCGGTATTAGGCCAAGGCTGGAAAGTTGAACCTTGAAGTGGCATACACCATTTAACAAAGTTCATCGGCTTCCATTCCAGTAATGGCGTCGCCCGTTACGCGTGCGTGCATGCGTTTGTGCGTTGGCATCGTTAGCTCCGTCGTCAATTGCGGGGTTTCAATCCAACGATTCAGCTGCCCGATTTGTGAATTGGCAGAAAGTACATGTGCAAATGCGAATGAAGGGACTGACCCAGAGCTCCGGAAACTTTCATGTTGCAGTATAAGGTTCTAGAGTAATCGGTAAAATCCACGCTATTCTGTAGAGTTTAGTTGACCTCAATAGCACTATATCATTGATGAGGCAATGGGCCTAGTAATCTTATGCGTTGATGAGAGCTTAGGTGTAGATAACAAGTTGTTAGGTGCGTTAGTGCTATAGCCAATCTCCGCACTATCAGCACGTCTTCATGTCAAGAGGTTAGCGTTAATGACTGTCTTATTCTGTCGATTAACTGGCCTACCCGGTAGTTAATGGAGAATTCTTTGCTCAGGCTACCTCGATGTAGACCTCATGCCTACACTTCCTACTTTGTAATTTGCTATATATTGTGCTTTGATTATAAGTCTGTCCTAGTTTATATAAAAAAAAGCTCAATTTCTATTTCTCTGCAGAAATCGTGCAATAGCTTAGTTTACTTAAAAGTCTACCTATTGATATTTCATAATTTAAAGATTGTTAAAAGTGGTTTATGACACTGAGCGGGTATTTAGAACTGGTTAGAAGTTTTTATAATTTCTTTATTCCAAGCTCATATCTGTTCTAAAAGTGCATTCCACAAATTCCTTACGACCTAAAAGTCCCGCTACATCTCATCAGGTTTCTACTCAGTCTTCCAGCAGGGGTTGTTGATGGCCTCTGCAATGATTTGCCTCAGAGGCTTCCAGCCATCCTGACCAGCCCACTTCTTCAAGAGAGCAACGGACTCAGACTGGTCAGTCGACAGCTTGAGGTAGAACGTCTCAGGGTAATTAGGAATAAACTTCCTCTGCGGTCGAAGCTCCCGCAGAATGGGCAAAAAATCGTTCCAGTGAGCTTTATGGCCCCACGTCTGGAGGCGCGCATCCTTGACTTCGGGATCCAGGAGGGCAGCGACGTGGATGAGGGCGACGTCTTGGACATCGACAAAGAATGCTTGGTAGTTAAATGTTAGTGTGTTGCGAGGGAGGGATTTGGGTTGATGAATGGGACCTACCAGTTTGGAACGTGTCAATCATCTCCCTCTTCTCGGTGAAGAGAGAATAGATCCAGTTCCCATATGAAGTTGCATGTCTCTCGTGAAGCGGCTCGCCCAAAATACCTGAAGGGCTGACGACATTGGTCACAAATTGAGGCTTGTTCTCGTCGACGTATTTCCATAGAGCTTGTTCTGCAGCGACCTTACTAGCAGCATAGACTAGCATTGCACGCGAGGGTTCGTAAGGTGGTGGAGCCCAGGCCTCTTTGACAGCAAATTCGTTCCACGAATTGCGGTCGACGACACCGTCTTGGTCAGCGGTAGGGAAGACTGCTGCGACGATGGAGCTAGTGAAGACAAAGCGGGTGACAGATGACTCTTTGGATACACTTTCGAGGACAGAGGTTACTCCTGCGACAGTCTGGGGAACGACATTGTTGGGGTTGGGATCAAAGTCAAGGACACTTGCGATGTGAGCAACAGCCGAGACACCTTTTACTGCCTCGTCAAAAGCTCCAGCAGCAGACAGGTCAGGAACAGTGACCAGCTCATAGGTGCCACTCTCGGCATAAGACTTGAAGTGATCATCAATGAGCCATTGGGCTTTGGCTTGGTCACGGACTGTGCCTCGGACCTTGTAGCCGCGCTGGAGAAGCTGACGGGTAACGTGGCTGGCGACAAAGCCTGTGGCGCCTGTGACGAGGACCCAGGAGCTGGTGGGGATGGCAGTTGGAGGTGAAGACATGGTGATAGACTGGTTTTTGAAAGATGAGAAGGTTATGTGAGTTGTGAGTTTGAGATGGACGAGTTCAAGTGGCGCATCGATATACATATATATAAGCTTGCAAGAGCTGAGAAGGGACAGGACATGTCACCATACCATTCAGCTCTCATGAGAGAGCTTACAAACCAGCTGATGCTTGATAATGAGGGAAACACGCTCACCGAAACCAAAAGAATAGAAATGATCTTGTGGATGGCCTGGACTGGTATGTGTTGTTGGTCATATTCTCGGTGCCGGCATTCTCTACTTGAATAGGAAGTCATAAGGCTTGGCAAAGTGGACACTAACAACCGTTAGGACCACTGATACGAAATTGCAGAGAAGATTACATGTCGCAGCAAGACTGTCTGTTGTAATTATATGTATTTAAAACATAAACTGACGTAAGGAATTGAATCATGGGTTCTATGGTGCCGGTTCTATGGTGCCTTACCAGCAGTGGCTGGAGTAAGCAATACCCTTTGGTAACTGTAGCCCTGGACCTTCCCGCATTTCGAGAAATCTAAGATACATACGCTTCAGCAGTCCCGTCCCATCAAGACACTCAGAACCCCCCGCAGCTTCTATCATCGCAAACACACCCTGAATATGCTGTCTCGCAACAGTAGCCTCACCAAAGTTAACCTACTCATCTATTAGACGAAACCTCTTCACATAGCACAAAACTTACCTCATCCAAAGCCATAGCACAAGCTTTTGCAATAGTCAACGCACTAACAGTCGGTGAAGCGCCACTAACGGCATGGCGCAGTGCCTTGAGACCGTTGTATTTGTACTGTAATGCGACCTGAGTCAAACCAGACTTGGGATTGCTGTTAAGGATGTGACGGCATGCGCCGAGGAGAATTACGGAGCATAGAAGATCGCTGTCTGTAATGGCGAGACCGACCCAATCGCGCATTACTTGTGCTTCATGGTCGTTCATCTGGTTAAATAGACGGCATGTCTTGACGTTGTGTGGAACGACGACACGGACATCTGCAGAGTAAGTATTGTTAGTGGTGGGCATGAACGAAGGGACGAACATACAATGGTCGAGAAGAAAGTTCTCATGAGACAAGAGTTGTTTCGGAAGGGCGTCAAATGGATCACGGCCATAGCCAAGGACCTTGTTCAGAGAACTACTCTCCGCATTTCTGGACATGTCTTTCTGGTGTTTCTGCATTCGTAGTCTTCTCTCCTTGGCATGTCTTTGCCGAACCGCATGGGAGTGAGTTAAGCTCCTAACATGAGAGGGGACAGGCTCTGTTGGGTTAGAGACGGTGACGAATTGGAAGTTACGCGGCATTTTGGTTCTAATTCTCAGTACAGTCCGGGAGATGAGAAGCTGGGTCGACGGAAGGTTTGATCACTGGAGGCGGAGTGTATGTTTCGTTAGTTACTAAGCACCATGGAATGCCAAGACTTACAACTTCTTGTTTAGGTTAGTGTGAGTTTCAGCCGACACGTCTGAGCTATTTTTGGCTAGCGTAGGGTAACCATCTGAACGCAGGCGCTCTTGAAACCTTGAGAAGCGTGGTCAAACTCTGCATAGAGGATGTCGATGTAACACCCATATCGCACAGGTACTTCTCATTCCGGAGATTGCGGAGTGTATTACAGGACTTCGTTGATAACCCCGAGTCACGTTGCTTAAGATTCAGAGCCTGTATTATAAATCCTGTTCTGTGCCCAACTATCAATAGTCTCTTGGATCTTACATAAACTACATAATTCCTGGGACAGATTGTCTATATCGTACAGTATAATACAGTGAGATATTGTTCCTTTGCCACTGCTCCATCGATCCACCAATGCTCAACGTTCTCAGACTCCATATCGAAACTCACGGAACTTCTTCTGGTAGTAATATGTCGCAAGTCCGCCCGCAGCACCAAGAAGAAGCGGTACGGGAGCTCGGCCACCAGTCTTGATGATTCTAGGCACAGCTGAGCCGGTCAAGAGGACACTGTTGGCGAGAGCAAGCTCAGATCCGTAGTCCTTGTTGGTTTTGAGAAGGTAGCCTGCATCTTGTCAGCATTAGACACCTCGTAAGGAAGAAGAGCGCTTACCAGCATAGGCGTATGAGACACCGAGACCAAGACCAGCGACGAGAGAAGGCGTAGAGCGAGTGCGGATGTAGCCAGCTGTACCGCCAGCGGCAACTGCAGATGAAGGATGGTCAATTGGGGTACAGATCACATGGTGAGGTCGTGGGGTGACTTACGAAGACCGGCGAGAGTGAATGAAGGGTGCTCAGCCATTTTTGCGATGTCAATGGCGATCAATGATACACTGGAAACAAGCTTTTGGGTTGATGAGGCTTGTCGGCATCAGCGGCATTTGGTGGGCTGATCTTCGAGACTGGCTGACAAATGGACACGATAAGCCCGGAAAAATGCGGTTCCGAATGTTATCTGGCGAACGCGGTCGCGTATCGATAATGCGTTATCACGACATCGTGGTTCTCTGAATGATGAAATAAAAGGCATCTCCTTAATATCCTCACATCAACAGTATTTTAGTGAGATACATCATTCGCGATGCTCTCTTAATGCGTTTCGCACCCACTCCAGACCCGCAGCCAACCCTTCCCCGGTCAAGGCACTCGTGGGCTGAACGCGCTGTAAATTACGCGTTAGCATCAGCTTTAAAGTGCGATGTCAGGCTGGTACTGACGCATTTCGATGATTTGTCAAGATAATGTTGTATATCGAGATATTCAGTCAATTCCGCGGCGCTCATGGCTTTCTGTCTCATGTCAGTTCCCAAGATGGCACCTGTCAGGATGCTTCTCTCACTGGATCATCCTGCTTATTAGCAAGCACCAAAAATGGCTGCTGTTCAAGCATTTCTTCCTTCAACAGTCCGACCAATTCCAATTTTGCTTCCTGTAGAGCCTCCCTGTCTGTGCTGTCAATAACAAACACGACGCCTCGGAGCCTGGACATGAAACTTCTCCAACATGGCCTCCAGTGAGGGTTTCCAGCGTAATCGAAGAGTTTGAACTGTTGGTTTCCCTGGAACACAGGAGTGATCTCGACAGCTATTGATGTCAGTATGATGACTCCCACTCGTAGGAAAGGGAGACTCGCTTTCGACAGATGGCATCGCTGGCTCTTGGTTCCCGCTTAGTTTGTGCACAATCGTCGTTTTGCCCGCTGAGCGAAGGCCAATGAACCCAATTGCAATTGGCTCTGGAGCCCATAGCTGAGAGACTGTAGCGCCCATGACAAGTTTTGTCACTGAGAAATGATGGTTCGTAATATACGTAAGGATTCGTTGTCAGAAGCATATCACAAAGCTGCGTGCGCTCAGTACTGAAGGGCCAGGCTGTCTTTCGAGGAAGATATCACCAGGCATCAGCAGGTCGGTAAGTAAGCGGGAATCTAATTGCTCAGCCACTGTAACCACTTACCTCGTAGAGGAAGATGAGCACTATTACAGTGGGCCCATGTCATTGCAATATTCGGGGGTTGCTCTACGGGAATTTATTGAGTTTGTGTCCATTCAATCCTTGTAAAAATTGTCATCACAAGAGTAATGAACAACTTGTCGTTAGCACTGTTGATTTGCGTTTCGTAAAAGCTGCCCTTTGCAGAAACTAAAGACAAATATGTAGCGACACTAACTCGAAGCGTTTTCACCGATCTCGCTGGGTGAAAGAAAGAGGCGTCTAGAACGATACCACTTACAAAGGTTTGTGTCAGGGAACATCTGTATTTATTTGTGATTTACACCTTGCCGGTATGGTATTAGCGGCATAGTAACAGGACAATAAATGCTGGACCAAGCAATCCCGCCTCATCTCACGGGTACATCCAAGCTTGGAGTTAGGGCACAGCACATATAAGCCTCCAACCTCATCCATTACGCCCTTGGCAAGCCGTATTCTGTTCGCCTGAAGCCTCCTCCTATCCAGCGGACAGCACTGGCGTGTTCTATGATGCTTCTGTATGCACTCCAGACAGAAAAGGTGCCCGCAGGGCGTCATTATTGGAGTTACAAAAATGCCAATGCATATGGGACAGACGAGCCGATCCTTGATCTTATCCGCGTATTTAAGGCTGCCAAAGTCCACGAGGTTGTTTACATCTTGTTGTGTTATACAGTGGCGCTTGGCTTCACGAGACACAAGACATTCTACAGGCCACGCAACAGCAGCTGGTTGAGCTGAACTTGTCAGCTATGGGACGACGGTGATTTGCTTTTGTGGTTTCTTACAAGTTGGTTCCCAGTGAACAGTTGTGTCGTCGCCGCCGCGGAACATATCGTGGATCAAAAGGTTGGTGTTTTGCTGACGGCCTTGCTGTTGCTGGACAGGCATATCCTAGCTATGAACGCGCCCAAATGGGGAAGTAACAATAGGCATCCGAAAATGCCATGTGATGTGATGGGTATGCCAGGAATAAGAAAACGGGGGAAAAATTTAGTTTGGGTCATTTTAGATGCTCGAGGGATAGAGGCTGGGCAGGGTCACATGTGCCATTCCATGCTGGGAAATGATAATCAGGATTACATGGGGATTTGGCAGGTACCGGATCGACCCGGGGCTACATCATTATGAGCGATGAATTACGGTCCATCAGTCATAACGTTTTTTCAGACACTAGCTCTAGGTTTATATTCTTGGACATCAGCCAACTTCCAAGGTTTGTAGCACTCTTGATTAGGCATGGCATGGAAGCAGATACTGACCGACTGTGAAAGAATGACAGTGCTGGCCGTCCCTCCTGAGCAGCACCTTGTCTGTTACTCGACTTTTGTCTACCGTGCTTCACGGAGCCAGGTACATCTGACCTACCGAGTCAAGCTAGTGTAAGGGTGCGCACTGTATGTTGGCGCTTAATTCCCGTAGTACGTCTAAAAGCTTAACTCTGAGAATCTGTTGGCACAATGGGCGGAATTAACGGAAATGGAAGTAATTACATAAATATACGCAGAGAAATATTATTGGCTGTCTTTACGAGACGCCTCTGCATAAAACCGAGAGAGAGCTACGGGGAGAAGGTGCCAAGCCGAACGCGTCTTAGGGTCAGGGCTTGGGCCTGTAATATCCGTTGTCCTCCTTAGGGTGTTATCTCCGAGACGGGCGTAAACTGTACTCACCTGTTCGGATGAGTATTGCATTTTCATAATTAAATGATTCTTTTTACTCACATACAGCACCTCCGTCTGCCTCCCCTTGTGGTATAAGAAGACACGAGCCTCACCAGCGTCCGCCAGCTATACTGACAGAAATAGAATACCCATGCCGACCTGTACAGGATTATCCCCGCTGCCCCTGCCGGTCTTTTTGACACGATGTTCTGAACCCCGTTTCGATACCCCTAGAGGGGCGTGAGCGTGGGGTTTCAATCCAGGCTGACACTGTGCTGAGTGCACATCGCACCAGCCATGAGAACCCGGAGCAATTAGATCACCCAAGCCCAAACCAGCCACTGTGGAGCGGTACATCCATGTATTACATTTGTACTGTACGGAGTATCCTCTCCCCATGAAGGTGACATCATAGAGGACGAGTTGGGTTTGTGGAGGTGCTGGACCCTACTGATACCCCGAAATCCATAAGAAACAGCCCGATCCCAAGATCTTCCATGTTTCATCAAGATCGCCATACCACAACGCCATGTGCTATTCACTCACATCATCCTATCTTATTCCCTGTCCCGCTTCACCGGGTCAGCCGGTACAGTTGAAAGCTCGATGTCAAGGCCGTCGCTGTCCGCAACAACGTCCCTCCCGCCCAGAAGTCGGCTCATCATCAAGATCACCCGTAACAAGACCAGAACACAAACAGGCACATCTAAAAGTAAGTGACACTTACCAAGACTATATATGTTTACTTACAGAACCAGCATGGCGTCCAGTCATCTGAATGCGTTGGCCATCCGCTCGGCGATGTCAATGTCTTCCAAACATCGGCTATAGCGTCTACATTATCCAACGAGACGAAATCTTCTCATAGTACATGCCACGCCGATGCGCCATGCCATCTACATAACGATCAGAAACCGCTGCATAGTTCGCAACACACAAGCACACAACAGGGGATTATCAGCCAGTGTCAAGATCTAGGAGTATCACACAAGAGGAGCAGACGGAAGAGTTACCAGTTAAGACAATGCCACCAACACCGACAGGACATGTGGCACTGGCAGGAAAATGCCCTGCCGACCAAAGTGTCTTGCACATCCTGCCATACTAACACGACGCCACAATGGCGTGAGGGCCCGTCAGGACCTCGAACGCTGTGCAATTTCTGTGGTCTAATATATGCGAAACGACAACAGAAACACCACGCCGGAGCGTCAAGTCACTGCTTTAGCTCCGACTAGAGCACAAATGTCCACAAGAGATTCGCTTTAAGAAATGCAGTGGTGTGATTGCGAGCTCTTGGGGACTGTGTTATGTATCAACTTTTACGATTGTATGTCTGTTTAAGCAAGGGAGCAAAAGAAAAGGAAAGGAAAGGAGTTTCCGGGTCTCTTTACGCATATGAGTTATCAAAAGGCAACAATAATAATACATGTAGTACACGAATAATTACTATAGCTTCTCAGTTACATACCTTGGAATTAGGCACAAGAAGATAAAAACTTCAAAATCTTGTGAATATAGAGACTTGAACAGTGCGACAAACAGACAGCGAGGTCTCCATATTTCTCAAGGGTCTAGGGGTCCAAAAGGGTTCTAGGGTCCATGCGTCTCAGGGTCTCACGAAAGACACTAGCCAGGGAATGTGATCCACCTGGACCAACCAGACAAGCGACAGCGACGGAGAGGGCTCCGGAACCTTGGCTTTACTCCAGGGGGGCCTCGTCTCCTTTGGATTTATGAGCTCTGGATGACGAAATGGCTTTCTGTGGTTTGCTTCGCTGTACTGCATTATGACCCCCCAACAAATAGGGTAAGGGGAAGGAAACCAGGTTTTTCTGTGCCCTGAACTTTGACTGTAGCGCGAGCCGGAGGGTAGCTCCGGGTGCGGAACAGGCCACATTTACCTATGACACAGCGTGCGTTGTCCCTGAACAGAGACTAACTTGAACAATCAGTTTTTTTCTCTTTTGTATTAGGCAGCTGGATGGGCCGTGGTATTTTGGCGAATTCCTGTAGTAACTGAGAAGAATTGTCACCATGGTCGGATGGGATTTTGACGGAAAGACCATGGACGGACGCGCTCGGCAAACGCGGGAGTCTCCTTCAGCTCAACGTCTTTTGGTGTCCCTGGGCCAACGTTCTAGACCGTCAAAAGACTCTACCTACGGCCCGGGCCCAGGCTCTCTGCTCATCCTTTCCGGCATAGTGCATCTTCATCCACGGCCAGTAATCTCTTGTAATGCTCCCTTAGCTTCCGTCGTGGTGGCGACACATCCAATGATAACAGGAGAAGCTTTCCGATTGACTGTTGCTTAATTCTTCCCTTGGGCTTTTTTCCCGCGCCTTTGCCTCCCCTCAGTTTGACGACGAGTTTGATGCCTATCGTCAATCCAACAGGACAATGTCGGGCGCCAGGGACCCTCATATGTCTGAAGACAGGCGTGAGAATGAGACTTCTCGGTACGTCTTCTTATCGCAGCCTGTTCATGTACACGCCATTGCGGTACTTACCATGACTTCGCAGGTACGATGAGTTGCTGCGCACAACATGTAGGCCTCTCAGCCAGATCAGTGCTGCGGGGCCTGAAAAGTCGCCGGATTCTGTCCTCACGGGTCTCGCACAGTTGGCAACTTGTCAGACGAAAACAGAGCGCTCGCTTGTATCGCTGTTTGACAAGACTAGGCAGTACATAGTCGCGGAAGCAACACCTTCCACGTCACTCATAAACAGCCCATCGTTGGACAACAGCGACGAAGAACTCTTGCTCTGCGGGACGTATATCCCCCGCACCGATGGGGTCTGTCACTACACCCTACGCGCTGCTGAGGAGTCATTGGATACTCCTACATCGCAAGAGCTGCCGGTCATCGCCGTCCAGGATCTGGCCAAAGACCCGAGGTTCGCAGCCAGCCCATACTGCCGCCCTGGCAGCATCGCCAGGTTCTACGCCGCCGTGCCTATACGGTCTCCTCGGGGCATCAACATTGGAGTCTTGTGCGTCATGAACTCTACGCCTGGTGGGGTCTGGGAAGAGAAACACTCAAATGTCCTTCGAGGGCTGTCGCAAACAATTATGGATCACCTCGAGGGCAATCGAATAAAGCATTCCTTAAAACGCAGCACGGCGATGAGCCTTGGGCTTCAGAGGTTCACTGAGAGGGGTTTGACTTCACGCAAGGGTTCACTTCAAGATTTGCATCCCGGTGCAGAGCATCAAGCAAGTGGAGACCAAACGCAATACAATGATGGGCATGCACCGCTGGAGATTCCTAACTACCAAAGCCAGGAACACACGCTATCAAATCCATTTCTCATAGCAGCAACTGTTATTAAAGAGGCTCTCCACGCAGATTACTGCGCCTTTTTCAGAGGAGATTCTCGGGATCTCCCTCTAGTCCACTCACCCGAAACAGCAACTCAGTACGACTTCTCCCTCGATGGGTCATGTCAAACTCCACGCGTTTACAGCAGTGCGAGTATAAACGAAACCCCCACTGCCAAATTCCAACCGCCTTGCCAATTACTCGGATCCTCCAAAGACCTCGGTTCAAGCTCCACTCAAGACGTCAACAACATTTCACAAGCGCTTCTTTCTCACATGCTTCGACGATACCCTGAAGGTTACATATTTGACTTTGATTCACAAGCTCAGCGATCATTCACCGATAATACGGGACACTTTGGCTCAGGTTTTAGCCAACCAGAGCAGCAGCCATCACAACAGAATGCTCCTCCAAGAAGCGACCATGAAAGCTATGAGAAGCGGGAATTACAGGAAGCCTTCAACGGAGCCCGATATGTAGCTTTCATCCCTATATGGGACCCCCTCAAAGGCTTACTTTCCATCGGCGGGTTTGCTTGGTCAAGGGCACCTCGACGTGAGTCCGACAGAGACGGAGAACTGCCGTTCTTCAGGGCCCTCGGAATACTGGCGGCATCAGAGGCCTTCCAGATAGAAACCCTGGCGGCCGACAAGGCCAAGTCAGACGTTCTAGGTTCTATATCTCACGAACTACGCTCGCCGCTCCACGGAATTACGCTAGGCCTCGAACTGCTCAATGACTCTGGGTTGGGTGCAGCGCAGCAGAACATCGCTCACCTGATTGGGACATGCTGTCGTACTATGCTCGACACCACAGAGCATTTACTGGATTTCACCAAGGTGAATCAGTCGATGCGATCAGATACCACGAACGACGACAGCTTAGAAAGATCCAAGCTGGGCATTGTCCCCCCGAACAGGGAGCAAACCGTGAACAAAACGGTCCGCCTGGACCAGATCGCCGAAGATGTAGTGGAGAGTGTTTATGCTGGCCACAGCTATCAGCACGCATCGATCGCTCACATATTCAGTCCCTCCAAGAGCAGAACGAGCACCGATGTTGGAGCCATGCGACGAATGGACTCCATAGAAGCCGCTGAAGCAAAAGCCATCGACCAGAGGAACCAACCTCAAGACGGTGTGGTTACCATCTTTTTACTCTACGACCCGACGCTCTCTTGGAGCTTCCAAACGCGGGCCGGTGCGATCCGTCGGATTATCATGAACCTCCTCGGGAACTCACTAAAGTACACCTCTCAAGGCTTCATCAAGGTCTCGATGGCACAATCTCAGCCACAAGGTGCTTTGAGCGGCGAACGCATGATCGAACTAGCAGTTGAAGATACAGGCCGGGGAATCAGCGAGGACTTCCTTCGGAACAACATCTTCAAGCCTTTCTCTCAAGAGGACCAATTATCTACCGGAGCGGGGCTGGGGCTCAGTTTTGTCCAAAGGATCACGTATCAGCTTGGCGGCACGATATCCATCAACAGTCAAGTTGACGTTGGCACCAAAGTCACGGTGTCGATACCCATGCTCCCAGGCACAAGCTCTCCAGCATCCGAGTTCGCGGTCTATCAACAGAGCCCATGCCACGGTCTACGCGCCAGACTGGCCGCCCTACCTCAAAGCCTCGAAGCTACACATCATGGGTCTATGACCTCCAGAGCTTTGATGAACGAGCTGTGCTTCGAGCATCTAGGTATGGTACCAGACGCGCTGTCAGAGGTGGAACGGCTAGCTCCCGATGTCGTTATCGTGCAGGATAATTCAGCGAGCAACCTTTCAGAACTAGCACAATCATGGCCCGATGCACCAGTGCTGGTGGTGTGCAACAACGCACTTGTCGTTCAACGATATGAGTCAGCACAGGTATCAACTGGACGCACGAGATTATGCGACTATGTTGCCCAACCGTGAGCCATCTTGATTTGTAAAATGCTCAATTTCGCTAACTGGATCTCAGCCTCACTCCGAACAAGCTAGAAAGGGCAGTGTCCAGAGCCATCACCTTCTGGGCCGAGATAGAAGACAACCCACATACCCCGGGAACAATACCACTACCAACGCCCTCAGACATGGTATCATGTAGCCAACCACCAACCCCTGCCGTAGAGAGCCCCCTGGGCGGCCTCGTCCCAGCGCAAGACTACTTCCAGACCCCACAGTTCCTCCTAGTAGAAGATAACCCCATAAACCTCAAGATGCTAACTCACTCTATGAGGAAACTCCAAAAGCCATACCGCACCGCAGTAAACGGGCAGGAAGCGGTGAATGCGTACAAAGAGACGCCGGGGCAGTTCAAGTATGTACTCATGGATATATCGATGCCAGTGATGGACGGCCTAGAGGCTACGCGTCAGATACGAGCGTTTGAGCTATACAATGGAATCGCTGCCTCCAAGATCATAGCTATAACGGGGCTTGGGTCTGAGAGTACGCGGGAGGAAGCAACAAGAAGCGGTGTTGACGTTTTTATTACAAAACCTGTCAAGTTGCGTGAGCTGGAAGTAGTTATTAATAGTTGAGGAGGAGATTTGCTACACAAGTGACATTTTCCAGGAATTTGCCTAGGCTAACTCGACAGAATAGGAGGGGAACACCAAGATATGTTCTAACTTGTGTTACCAGCGACCTCGGCGACCTTCAAAGACTCAACATTGAGCATATAAAACTCAGATAGATGATGCAGTCATGAACTGCAAGTATCGTAGAAATATGACAAGGCTTGCACTGTGTAATGAAGCTCTAGCCGCGCTGCAGGTCTAAGTCAAATCTGCCTATAAAGCCTCGCGTGCATGACACATATGTTATCGCGTCTTGAAGCGTGCCACTGTCGGGTAGATACCAAGTTACGATGACCAAGATAAAGCATAAACAATTCAATGGATAAAAGGTTGACTTGCCACGGAATACCAACACTTCAGTGCTGAAGCCGTGTTGGGCGGCCGCAGAGTTGATACTCAATGCGGGAGGCCGACCAACACAACGTGAACGACCAATAGGCGCCGCTGGTACAAAACAAACAGTGTCCGAGAGAAAAAGCCTTCCATGAATACTCTTTGTTGAATGGGGCTGGTGGGAAACACCATCGTTTGCCATGCCACTTTAAATAATCCTGTTTTATTTAGGGAGCCTCTCAGGGCAGCATTTTGTCGTGCAAACGGCCGGTGATAAGTTGCGGGCGGCGCTTTGCATTTCCCCGATGTTACAGCTGTTTGACAGTGACAAGTGACCGCCATTTTCGTTGGCACTGGCACACCTGCGAGCGGCAGTGCGTGATGTTTACTTTTCGTCATTCATGCAAGCTGCTGCACCCCTCTCTTTTCCTCGCCATCTCCTCTCTCTGGTATCTCCCCTCTCATCTCTTCCTTCCAAGATTCTCATTCCTTCCTTCTCATCCCAGCCTCACTGACACACTCGACACAACCAGCATCAGCTAAGTTGAGCGGCCAAGCTTCGACTCCCGGGCAACATCAACGGTAACCAACTCACGACCCAGAAACAGCCAGCGATTGATCCATCATGCCAGGCAAGAGAGGAAAGAAGCCGCCCCGCTCGTGGTCCATGTTCCCCGATCTCCACGACCAAGTCGCCGACAAACTTGAGGAAGACCAGCTCGACTACACCTTCTTCGAAACAGACGAGGATCTCGGCGCCATCCGTACCTACGACACCAATATCATCGGGCGGTTCGTATGCCACAACAATAAATGTGACTCTCGCGGCTGGAAGAGCATGGTCGTTGCCATCACGATCCGCGAGTACTCCCGCAACCGCTACAATGTCCGCGTGTACCACCAGCGATGCATTGAATGCAACCACCTGAGCAAGCCGAAGCTCAAAGAAGAGACCTATGTCGACAGAGTCACATACCGCATCAAGAAGTGGAACGGAGTTGAGGTCGAGAAACCCAAGTACTCTGACAAGTCCAAGGCGCCTCACGAGGAAGATCACTGCGAGGGATGCAAGAACGGACACTGCAGGAGAGGAAAGCAGAACAACGAGGGCGACATGTATTTCGCTTGAGCTGGCGGTGACTTGGCGGTAGACGTTGGGTTTGGACAAGCAAGACATCTACGATATGGCATGTCCGACAATACCTGTAGCTAAGATCAAGTTTGCCAACTTCAATTGATCGGACCAACTCTTGAATCATTTACGATTCCCAGTGACATCGCATGAGGCGCACTTTAAGCATAGACCAAGAACAATTGAAGGGCTGTTGGCGACACAGAAAAATATTCCATCCAGATTGTGAGTGGGGATTCCATTATCTGTAGCAGTTCACTCGACTTCACCAGCATAACTTTACAACGAAACAAGTATAGGGAAGGCCATATCATTTCAATTCAGATTTTACAGTCGCATCAATGTTTTCACAAATGAGCCCCGGCCAGTCTCCCCTCCCAATTTGCCCAGCCCTGACTTTGACCCCGCAACCAACCCAGCAGCCCAGATCGTCAGTCAACCACGACACATTCTCTACAGCCAACAGAACCAGCAAAATAAAGGCACAGTAGATGGTGGAAAGGGCAAAAAAACATACAACAGCGGGGATTCGCTGGTCGTCACCGACCCAACTACTAATCCGCCCCTTGCGGGCTTGACTATGGGAGAGCGGACGGGATCCCGTATTCTACTGCAGGTATGGTCGTATGTGACAGAGTGTGCTGCCGTTGGGACTCAAGAGCACGGACAGATAGTCCTCTGCAGCCCTCCTAGGAGACAAGTATATCACCAATCACAGAGAACCATAGCAACATGATATACCTGCACCCCATCCCCAAGGTCCTTACAATACTCAACATCCTGTCTTCCTGGGTGCTCTTCACAGAAATGTTCCTGATCACGGCACCAGATTTCTCCTTCACATCATTCTTATACTAACAGTCCTCATCCTGCGCCTTGATATCATACGTACCATGGTGAGATTGTATATCTCGCAGAGCGTCGGTTGAAAAGGTAGCAATGGGGACATCGGCTGGATCTCAAACCTCGGGGGTACCGGTATAAAGAGCTTTGTTTTCGTGTTTGCCTTTCTTTTGCCTTCTTACTGTCTGGCCTATACTGCTGTATCACTTGGAACATTCACCTCTGGCAAGAATCTATCCCTTTTGAGCGACTTCACAACACAGGGCAAGTGTAGCTATATCATGTGCGAGTTTATTAGCCTAAATATCTCTATGAGATAGAGAGAACGGCCCTCTTGATACGAATTCGCTAAATTAAGGACTTGTCCAGTGAAACAAGGCAAATCACTGTCGGACCACGGCTGCATGCTTCCCTACAAAGCTAAGCTTTCTTCGCCGCTTTCGCAGCCTCTTTCTTCTTTGCCACACAAGCCTCACAGTCCTCGGTTACAACTTTGAGAGAATAATATCGTAAGGGACATGTTTTGGGACTTCCTTTGCCCTCTCCAGATTCTTCCACCTCATGCTTAGTCTCTGGGGTTTTGCAACTACGGACATATGTAACGTCCCTGATCTTGCACATGATTGTGTTTTGTCGTCTTTGTCGTTGTTCTTTGGGTTGGGTGGTTGGTACTTGGTTGTTGGTAGCACTCATGCTTGAGGAGTCGCTTTTTCTGTCGGAAGAGCGGGTTTATGTAGTGAGATTCATTTCTCCTGCTCAGTCACTAGTTCAATCACAGTCCCACAGGCTTGAGGTGGTATGATGTTAAGGTGCGGTTTTTGCATTGATTGTCGTTGAGTGTTGAATGTTCTCTGTGACCGAAGCATCACTCACTGTACTTAGCCCATCGATCCGACTCACGCAAACCAATAACATTATATCAAGCCTGGGAGTTTCAGAGTTACAGCAGTCGTTTCGTAGTGAAGCTCTACTCATCTAACCTACTGACCTCATGAGCTAGGTGTACTTAGCGACGGATTGCCCTTTATAAAGGAGCTTACACGCTTGATGCTTCATAGGTCACGTTGATTGCGAAAGATTTAGTCACATAGATCTTACAGGCTGTGAGAAATGAAGGGTTTTGATTATACCTTGTGGTTCTTTGTTATTTAAAGGTATCTCTTTGTAAACAGCAAGGCTTCCGGCACTTAACAACCTCTACTCCCTTACTTGCGTCGGTATGCGTTTCTCGCCGGGTCCTCAATATCTCTGTATCTGTAAGTTTGCATGTCGGCAATCCATGCATTTATATGGTTGCAATATATGTCTTCCTTCTCTGAGCTGAGGGCAAGCACCCAAGTCTTGGTCTTTTAGCTTGAGCTGGTTTGCTAGGTGGCAACGTTCCCATTGTGTTTCCGTCCCTCTATATTCGCAATGGCATATCTTGATAATCTTATCTGGCCAGCACATGATCGTTGTATGCTGGGTAAGCGGTCAGATGTTGTTCCTTCTCGTGGGAGTTGATGTGTTGTGCTTGGGGATTGATGTTAGTGAACGGTCTGTTGGTGGCCAGTGATATGTGTTTTATACACCAAACTGGTCTTCACTTTCTTATTCACTGTTTAAGAGATTCTACTCACAATCACACAGTGGTGTGCATTCACGTATTGCTATCGCAATGGTTGTCTGGAAGGTTAACTGTTTGTGATTCCTCAAGGTTGAAATCTATTACTGCGATTCACTTTTGCTGTCGCCGGATAACATATCAGGTGTCCGAGATACTGAGAAACCAGTTACCGATTCTTTCCAATACTGATCTTCATTATCTTTTATTTTTATTCTTTCTTAGTTCACCTGGGCTTCTGTCAATTGCCCTTAATGAATAGTTCTTTGCTGCTGGGCTGAGATACTTCAGAGTCAATTTGATCGAGATCAGTTAGATACATATAATTACTCCTAGAGGAGACTCTAATTACCGATGCTCGATTTTGTTCCCGAAGACCGTAAAACAACCTCGAGGAAAACCCTGGAGGCATATGTCCGTGTGAACAGGGTTGTTATTAGCGACCTGCGCTAACTAGGGGCCTATCACCTCTACACTGTTGATCATAACACTATCCCATATGTCCTGTATGACCTGGGACAAACTCATGACCCTGTCCCTTGCGTCGTCTTTTGCTTAGCCTTCTTGAATTTCATGCATTCCCATGGAATGGTATTAGTTGGTCCCCTTTGAAAGGCAGGGCACTTCCCCAATTTCGCAAGATTCTTGCCTTTTGAGCAGGTCTTCCATTCTGCTGGGAATATGCATATAGCGCCGCATGCGCACTTTCCATCCTGCGGATACATAATGCATATGATGATTATGTAGTCTCTCTAGCGGCTAGCGTCTTGAAATTCTAACCGATTTCCTTAATGTTGTATATTTGTAATTATGGTGGAGGAAGATTAGTCAAGAAGAAGCTACATATTTTATACTTTGCAAAGTGGTTGCTCTATCTGGCCATGGAGTCCATAAATCTGGCTCACAGTTCCTTGAAGGTACTATCTATGTAGATCCTCATCATAATTATATCTGAATGGCTAGAGAGAGGGTAGTTGTTAAATGTAAACCGTCATCACACTGCTTCTGCTTCCGTCTGCTCCTTGCAATTCGGCAATCGACTGATTTACACTCCGTGATTATGACAGTTTGACGTTCTGTACACTTGGAGCAATCTTCAAGTCCTTCAGTCTTTGCTTTATCGCATGCGATTCATTTATCAGACTCGTTTCAGTTGCCGCAAGCTTAAAGTTTCTGCATATCTGAGCGAAGGCCGTGTGACATTCATGGCGTGCTGGATTCGAGCGATATATCACTGCTTGTTGGCACAGCCAAACACATTGATCAGGGCAGATGTCCAGAGTTTACTGGTCGTTGGTAAAGCAAGGGGCGTTGACTCAGCACGGGGTGTCATATAGCTGACGAGGAGCTGAAGTGAAGCTGGGTGCATTCTTTGCACGATTAGGTTCATCGCGAATCGGAACACTTATCATTTTACACGGTTTCGAGCTGTAAATAATAGTATGCCGTTCGAACTCCTCAAAGCTCCGGACTTTTGAACATCAGTGGGTCCAACCTGAACAAGTGACATGGGCTTGATCACCGACCGCATCAGCCGGCACGGGAAAGGCTCCGACAGCGCAATTAAACGCTGAACATCGATCTTTAAGGCTGAGGGAACAAGTTTGTTCCCATATACGGCTATCTGTCAGTTCGGGTCATCCTTAATTAAACCCTGGCGGTTAGTCATGAACTAATCCACTGCGATGGGACTTACGCTAGTGATCGGAACTCACCCGCGGCAGCCACTGTCAAGTCAATACTCTGAACACACTGAAGTCAACGTCAACCTCGAAATTGACAACTGCTCACTGTGCAAGGTAAGCATATGACTTGTAATAAGCCACGTGTTGATGTTCGTACATGCGCTTTATCATGATCTGATCAGACTGTCAATTGTAGAATTCTTACCAACACGGTTGATGACGAAGCCTCAATCCACCAATAATCTCCCATAATACGAGATGTCGACATGAACTGATCGAGCAAACCCCTGAAACACTCTAGGCAACTCTATCCGAGTGCGAACGATGCATAGCCTTGTAGGGTAAAGCGACCCCCCTCAGCCTCAATCAAAGGTCCCAGATTATTCCCAAACGCGACTGGAGTTGGTGCCCGCGGACGCCCGACGGAATGAATCAAGCCATGACTAGCCAATCACGACCGCGCTAGCGTCACCATCCATGAACAAGGGCCACGACGACCAACGGAAAAAGACTAGCTGATTGGCTAAACAACCCTGCCAATTTACCTTGAAGCCAACCGAGCGTGTCACCGTCTGACAGTGGTAGAACTATTCTATTTTAATAAACTTTGTATAAAATTGTTGTGTTCATGCTTCTGAAGGTTTATAGTTAAACCCTTAGTTCGCTGATCTATACAGACTTTAACTTTCTTTCATCTGCCGAGGGTTACAGTTGCACTATGTCGTCAAACATGATCGACCGCCTTCGTAGCAAGAAGAGCGCCAGAAATCTAAACGACAAGGACAAGGTGTTGAGGAAGCTCAGCCCTGTGTGAGTGCTACCCCGTCCTGTAGTCTCAAAAGGTCGAGCTAATGCTTTGTAGTGAATGTCTCCAAGCTGCTCATTATTCGTTAGGAGCAATTATTGGTTGTGCGATATCATGTCGTTATCTTATTCCCGAAGCACTCCTCACCTCGGATGCTGCATCATTCCAGAAGCTTGTTGAGAATGCTTTCGCCCGCGCTATCCTGCAGCATCCGCTGTTCACGGTTGGACGAATTAACGCGGACTCTAAGAAGCAATACTGGGTACGGCTGGGTCAGATCGACTTGAATAATCACATAGAATGGCGGACGGTCTCTGATCAAGAAGCGTACGAATCGATTCTCCATGCTACCTTGGAACGGCAAGTCAATGAGCCCTACATGAATCTCGAGACACAGCCCGGCTGGAGAGCCGCGATACTTCAGCCCGCCGCTTCCAACTTCATCGATGTTGTCTTTGCTTGGGAGCATACAGCGGCTGATGGGAAAAGCGGAAAAGTCTTGCAAGACAGTCTTTTTACTTGTCTCAATACACCAGACGACAACGCCGCCATTTTCAGAAACCGCATCTTCGAGGTCCCAAACACCGAGCTCACGCCTCCATTGCATCACTTGATCAAGCTACCCGTCTCCCTACATTTCATCGTCGGTGAATTCGGGCGCGACATCATCGCTTCGATGAAAGCGAAGGAACTACCTCATATGGCAACTTGGGCACCAATACCGACAGAACCATCGAAGACAAGCATGGTGGCGATGCAGGTGACGAAAAAGGCACTGAAGCCTGTGCTAGACGCTTGTCGTCAGCACGGCACGACTTTGACGGGGCTTATGCATGCGCTCATTGCGGTATCGATGGCGAGAAGACTTGCTGAGATCAAGGCTTCTGCGTTCTTATGCGGTACTCCTGTTTGTCTGAGACAATTCCAGAAGCCAGGACATCCCAGCATCGATTTGAATAAGACGGCGATCAACAGCGTGGCATACTGGCCGTTTACGTTTGACGAGGATCTTGTCGCCAAGTTTCGGGAACAAATTAACGAGGCTGAAACACAGCGAGATATGAGCACAGGTCTGGAAGCTACAGTTTGGTCGTCCGCGAAAGCTATCCGAGACGGGCTATCTGCAAAGCTGGACTTGGGTACCAAGAATGATCATATCGGGCTGGCCAAGTTTGTCAAGGACTGGCAGTCTTTCCTCAAAGACCATGGCAAAACGCGATCGTATTCATGGGAGATCAGCAACCTTGGTGTCATACAGGGCAAGGCGGAGGGCGAGGGTGATAGCTGGGCTATTGAGAGTGCTACGTTTACTCAGACTGCGCCGACGTTTGGATCGGCCTTGACTTTCAGTGTCATCTCTGCTAAGGGCGGAGATTTAACCGTGACGAATACCTGGCAAGATGGGGTTGTTGAGGAGGAGTTGGCTTTGGGTGTGAGTTCTGATGTTGAAGGTTGGCTGAATGAGCTGGGGAATACGGGCAGTATCAGATTTGGGGCGGTTGAGATGTTGAGCTGAGGATAAGGAGGTCGATTGTTGGTGTCAGTGCAGGAGATTTGCCTCATCGCGGATATAGAATGATACCACTTGTCAGCGATTCAATGTTTATACTCAATATACCTAGTGCTATGTCGCCTACACTAGCCAACTATTATTGGATCAGAGCCCCAAAGAGATCTAAAAGAATACACCTGTAACCTGTTTTTGTCTTAGGATGTTTTCAACGATTTCCTAGTTGGTCGTTCTCGAGATTTCGTCACAGATGCATATTTGTCAGGATGCCTTGATCGAGTCCGTCGCCACGTGCGATACAACCAACAGACCATAACAACACTCCATGGTAGACATATAACCATGAAATTCAGTGTTTCAATATATTTTACCTCTAAACCAACAGACCTATAGGAAATTCCCCAAGAACCAAGGTCGAGATTATCGCTATAGGACAGCCCTGGAGGAGGTGGCAACGATTTTGTCAAGGCCGCCTCGCATTCTTCAGAGATGTTTCCAGTTTTCTATCAGATAAAATTAGAAGGGCTGAGACCTTTGATAGTGAATGGGCCACTTACGGAGTCTTCTTTGCACTGATCTAGGTAGTCCTTCAGGGCTGACCACTCGGCGAGTCTGAGCTGTTTGTCTGAGAGCAGCAGGCCACGGAAAGCTGGAAGAAGAGCGGCAATTGACACAGCTGTGCTGACAAGAGCAAGGATCCAACCACAGAGAGATAAGAAGTGCTTTTGAAATAGTATTTTGAAACCTCGGGTCTTGGACTCGGATTGATGGCCAGCCGGCCCCAGCTCGACGTCTCGCGGCAGAGGCGTCGAATCTTGGCTCGTCCTAGGTTCGTCGTCTGTTGGCATTGAGATACACAGTTTTCTAGAAGACTCCTTGTAGAATACAAGTGCTTTTATATAATAGAAGGAGAGATTAAAGAGCGTGATTAACGGGTCTAGATGAAAGCGGAAGTCATACAGCGCGGTCAATTGTCAGGAGGGGCAGCTGAGCCTCGTGGCTTGCTATAGCCAACCAGAAGCTATAACCAACCTGGCATAGCCACCGGCAAGACTAAAAGCGAAGCAAGAGCATGTTTTACTCACTGGATTATTTACCACGGTCCTAATTCTGCCTAGTTCAGGCAAATGATGACACAATTGGTTGCTTCGGTTAATCTCCAAATCTGTCTTGAACGGGGGTTGATTATGGAGGGCGCAGGCTTATTCATCGACGACGAACTATTGCTTGACGACATCGGTTGCAGTCTGTCGGTGACTTGCTAGCTGGTATAGGACGCTAGGCTAAGCGAATGGCTCACCCTCCCCAGGCTCATCAACACCAAGCGCAATCTTCCCAACTGTAGTACTACTCTCCACCCTCTTATGCGCTTCCTTCAACCCCTCAAGCGTTAACCTAAGACGAGTTCCAACTGTAGAGAAGAGTGTACCGTCTTCCATCAGACGAGAAATAGTGTCTAGCATCTCATGATGATCTTCGACGCCAGTGTTATGATACGCAGCAGAGCCCAACCAATCCCATGAAAATGTCAAGGACTTCGACATGAATTCTGTTCCGTAGAGACTCACGTCTGCCTGAACGATGGTGCAGACCTTTCCGAATGGTGCGCAGATTTTGGCGACGGATTCGGTGTATTGCTCGGTTCGGGCAACGATGTAGACGTATCTATGCTTGTGAGCAAGAAGATCGTAATTGAAGGAGTATAGAGGACTTACTTGATGGGAACGTCGAGATCCAGGTCTTCAATCTGCTTTACAGGGTCTTCCCGATGGTTGATAACATGAGTAGCGCCCATCCGCTTGCAAGAGTCGATCGTCTCAGGTCGCGATGCAGTAGCTACCACGACCGGAAGCTTCAGAACTCTTCTCGCAAGCTGAATAGCCGCACTTCCAACACCACCTCCACTATTGATCTTGTTGAACACGTCCTGTCAGCTAACTTCACTGTCTCGGATGCTATGTACTCACGATCAAAATACCCGCCTGCTCTTCAGGCTTAACCTCCATCCTCCGATACAGCGACTGATATGCCGTCATGAAAGTCAAACCGTAGCTCGCAGTATCAACAAAATCGAGGTTCTTCGGTTTCTTCGCGCAGGCCAATTCGCTCACGAGCTGGTACTCTGCATAACTCCCCTGTTCAGTCGTTGCGCCAACCCAAGAAACTTCATCGCCGACTTTGAAGAGTTGGCAGTCAGGTCCTGTTTGCTCAATCACGCCGGCTCCGTCGAAACCGATGATATGAAAATCCTTTGGGACGTGTTCATAGTAGTCTATCAGTTCGTCAGTCATACTCCGCATGGCGAGAGCGGGTAGAAATACCGGGCGCATCGTCATAGGTTCCAGATCGCACTTTGTGATCGATCGGATTCACGGAACAAGCTTTCACTCTGAAGAACATCAGCACTTTTAAATCCGAGAAGCGGTGGCATTGGAAACTGACTTGACGAGAATCTGTCGGCCGATTGGACACTGGGCTTCGGTACCTCTCGTGATTGAAGGTTGTCGACCGGGCCGTATTTTGAGACTCCGACAGCTTTCATAGTGGTTATCTTGCAATAGTGTGACCAGAAATCTTATTTGATATAAAGGATTTATGTTTTGGATGTAACAATCACAGGTCAATGAGTCAAGACATTAAAGCTAAAGGTAATGACATATTTGTGTTTATGACGCTCAGTGACACATTTTAGAGTGGAGTTAAAGATATCAGAATGCGGGTACAATTGCACGACACTGTCGTCATTCTACCATGATGGGATATACATATGGCATAAAAATGCTATTCAGACCCTGAAATTGTCACATCCAAGCATATGATGTTCTTCTGTTAATGTCGCATCTAGTCTAGACATACTACAACCAAAAGCCAAGCTCAACCACATCACAGCTTTCGCCTCCTAATCCGAGCAGCAACCTTCCCCTTAGGAGGAATAGTTCCAAACGGAAAGTAATCCATATTGGGCCTAACCTTACGCGCCGTTTCAGGGTCAATAAGTTCAATGTCAAATGCACGCAGAGCGACCGCCACAGCAGCTATGAGTTCCTGTTTGGCGAAGAATCGACCAGGACACATTTTCGTTCCGCCCCCATAAGGATACCAATATCCCTGCGTTCCATCAATAGTAGAGCGCGCTTTACGGTCATCCTCTGAGGTACGCTTTGCAGGCTTTTCGGCAGAAGCGGTTGGTCGAACTGGGCCGCTGGCTGGGTCATTCTCGTAGACCAGAAATCTCTCTGCCCAGAACGATTCAACGGGGTGCTCTTCGACTCCGCCAGGCTGTACATGTCCGGTATTCCAGAAATCGGGATCGTGGCCGCCGACCCAGGATGAAGATAGCATGCCGACGCCTTTCTTGAACTGCCATTTTCCGAATTTGAGATTAGGAATGATGGATGTTCGTCCAACGGGTGAAGCAACGCGAAGACGCAAGGTCTCGAGGTAGATGGAATTGATCAGGGGACCGGAGCAGAGCTTATCGATGTCGAACGATAGAGACTTGTCGATGAATGAAGGTTGCATCTCGGCCATTACTCTGTCTTTCAGGTCCTTGTCGAGCAATATATCAAGGAGAATCCACATGCCCGCGGGAATGGCATTAGCATTTACCCTGCAAATCATTAGCCGGACCCTTGGGTTAGTAGAGTACTCGACTTACGCCCACATGAGCCCTAGATCAAGAGCAGCGCCACCTCGCGGGGTCATCCCAACGCTCTGGAACATTTTCTGTCTAGCACTCATCAACCGTGTACCAAACTCCGATGTCCAATCCTTCTTGACGACACCGTCTTCATCAGTAAAGTCAAACAGCTGGTTTCCGTACTCGTGGTACCGCAGCATGCTCTCGACGCACTTGTCTCTGGCCGCATAACTCTTCGGAACAAGCCATCGAGGCATCCGCTTGAAGAGGCTGGGAAGATGATAGTCAAACAACCAAAAGTCTTCAAGGAAGTTTGGTGAGATCTCAAGAAACTTATCGCCGCACAGAGCAGTTATTGCAGCGCGGAGAAGATTGTTTTTGAGCCACTCGTAAAGATCATCGACCTCAGTCCAATCGTCCTCATTCAACCTGGTATCTCTCTCAATAATATCAGAGTAGACCTCAACAAACTTTGCAGTCATTGAATTCAGTGGCCCTCCTGTCAAAAGAGCATGTAAATCACGATGCTGAACAAAGTCAAATCTCTTCAATGGGTCAACATGTCCAAACTGAGAATCCTCATCAACATAGATCGGCATATCAGACTCTGGTAAGCCAAACGCATCTCGAACAGTCATGACACCAAGAGACTTGGTAGTCAAGTGTCGCGACGCCTTGAAGAGTTCAATGATAGGCTGGCCATGAGGAATAAAGTACATAGGCTCTGCGCCGACAAAGATACGGAGCGGGACTTTGCCGAATTTGGATCTGGACCCGGAGATCAGTGGAGGAAAAGATTTATCGGTCCGGGAGAACTTACAGAATAGACGATAAAAAGCGTTCGGTGTCAAAAGCGAAGCCAATAGTATTGCCTACGTACGGAATCCAGTACGGAACCCTCGGGGGCTCTCGTGCGCTATGGCCATGCTGATAGCCCTTGTTGCCAAAGGAAGTGAAGACGTATGTCACGATGAAGGGGAGAATGACGAGGCTGAGAACTTTGAAGTAGCTTATTGCCTCTGTCGCTGAGCCTGGATTAGCTGCGGCAGTCTCCGTCGCGTTCATTGTGCAACGGCGGACGCGTTGAGTGGTTGAAGGGTGAGATAATGGTTGGAAGCTGACATTGTTTGATTGTCATTTTGACCGCTATCGAAAGAAAGTGATTTGATTGGTGAGGTGGGAGATTTGATGTAACTTACTGAGAAGGGTTAGCGTGTACGGGACCCTCGAAGGCTCATGTGAAGCTGGATAACCTAGAGCATATGATTTGAAACTGATTTTGTTTCTTAATCCTGGCAATAGGACTAGACATTTGAGACCGGGGAAATAAAATGATAGAGTTTATTTTTACGGATCGATATAGGTTCTATAAAAGCACAAGTATTAATTATTGTATAAGCATGATGGGAACAGTTCTGAAACTGGAGTATCATTGCGGCGACGATACCATCAGTCGAGAAAAGTCAGATAAGACTTATGGATTAATATGCTATACTTTTCAAAATGGGTTAAAAACCGATTATTCCCAGTAGACCTATCAACGGCATTCTTCCAGAAGCAATCCTTCCCGCCGATGCGCTTGGCATGTGTAATACATGCATGACCAATTCCGTAACCTCAAGCTCAAGATTAGCCTTGAACTCAATCTCACCATTTCCGTATTTACATGTAACCTTCCATCCCCGTCGCCATTCCACAATGCACTTTTGTCCTCCTGATCGCGTGATTTCCCTAACAAAAAGTCCATCAAAATTGTGCAAAACCAACAAACGTTCCCCCATAGATAAGATAGTGAATGCCGTTATCCGTGCGTGACCCCACAGCGTGCCCCTGAGTAACTTCCCATATCGGACTAATCGCATCATGATCTGCATACGGGATACGGAAAATGCCCCAAATCGAGAAGCTCGGCGCCAAGAACCCCGGAGGCCTTTTGTTCAACACTGAGACCTTTTGTGAATCGACATCTCCATTTCTTTGCCGTGTTATCCAGAGGCGCGTGAACTTGACAGTTCGTGATAAGTGATATCAAGTGAATATGTAGATAAATGAGCCAGATTCACATAGATCAGAAGTTTTATCTGTCATCCAGTCTCTGGTCTTGTCAAGTCGTTCTTTTGTTTGATAGGTGCTCCACGTCACCATGTATATCTCCTCCCAAAATCTGGTACTCGCCTTATCGGCGCTGCCTTCAGCATTTGGCAAATCCTTCTCTCACCATGCTGAAGCTCCTCAAGGCTGGCAAGTCCAAAAGACTGCCAAAGTCGCTTCCAACACGCAGCATGTCTTCAGTCTTGCACTAACCATGCAAAACGTGGATCAGCTCGAATCCAAGCTTCTTGACCTCTCCAGCCCCGACAGCGCCAACTACGGTAACTGGCTCTCCCACGATGAGCTCACAAGCACTTTCTCTCCTTCCAAGGAGGCGGTGGCTAGTGTGACAAAGTGGCTCAAGTCAAAGGGCATCAAGCACTACAAGGTCAACGGTGCTTTCATTGACTTTGCTGCTGATGTTGAGAAGGCCAATACGCTTCTCGGAGGTGATTACCAGTACTACACTAAGGATGGTCAGACGAAGCTGAGAACGCTGTCTTACTCCATTCCTGATGATGTCGCCGGTCACGTTCAATTTGTTGATCCTAGCACAAACTTCGGTGGCACCGTTGCGTTCAACCCTGTGCCTCACCCCTCGCGCACCCTCCAAGAGCGCAAGGTCTCTCCCTCCAAGAGCACCGTTGATGCTTCATGCCAGACAAGCATCACCCCTTCTTGCCTCAAGCAGATGTACAACATTGGAGACTACACTCCCGATGCCAAGTCTGGAAGTGAGATTGGTTTCAGCAGCTTTCTCGGCCAGGCTGCTATTTACTCTGATGTCTTCAAGTTTGAGGAGCTGTTTGGTATTCCTAAGCAGAACTACACCACTATTCTGATCAACAATGGCACCGATGATCAGAATACTGCGCATGGAAACTTTGGAGAGGCTAACCTTGATGCTGAGAACATTGTTGGAATCGCTCATCCTCTTCCTTTCAAGCAGTACATTACTGGAGGTTCACCGTGAGTTTCACCTATCCTGGATTACATGTGGAGTTGCTGACCCGCGCAGACCTTTCGTTCCCAACATCGATCAGCCCACCGAGAAGGATAACCAGAACGAGCCCTACGTGCCTTTCTTCCGTTACCTCTTGGGCCAGAAGGATCTCCCAGCCGTCATCTCCACTTCCTACGGCGATGAAGAAGACGTAAGTTTCATCATCTTGTTCCTGATATAAGTGCCATCTAACTCTGAAACAGAGCGTTCCTCGTGAGTATGCTACACTCACCTGCAACATGATCGGTCTTCTCGGTCTCCGTGGCATCAGTGTCATCTTCTCTTCCGGTGACATCGGTGTCGGTTCCGGCTGCCTTGCTCCCGACTACAAGACCGTCGAGTTCAATGCCATCTTCCCCGCCACATGCCCCTACCTCACCTCCGTCGGCGGTACCGTCGACGTCACCCCCGAGATCGCCTGGGAGGGATCCTCCGGCGGATTCAGCAAGTACTTCCCCCGACCCAGCTACCAGGACAAGGCCATCAAGAAGTACATGAAGACAGTCTCCAAGGAGACCAAGAAGTACTACGGCCCTTACACCAACTGGGAGGGCCGAGGTTTCCCTGATGTCGCTGGACACAGTGTTGCGCCTGACTACGAGGTTATCTACAATGGTAAGCAGGCTCGAAGTGGAGGTACCAGCGCTGCTGCCCCTGTTTGGGCTGCTATCGTTGGTCTGTTGAACGATGCCCGCTTCAAGGCTGGTAAGAAGAGCTTGGGATGGTTGAACCCTCTTATCTACAAGCATGGACCCAAGGTCTTGACTGACATCACCGGTGGCTATGCTATTGGATGTGACGGTAACAACACTCAGTCTGGAAAGCCCGAGCCCGCTGGATCTGGTCTTGTTCCCGGTGCTCGATGGAACGCCACAGCTGGATGGGATCCTACCACTGGCTATGGAACTCCCAACTTCCAGAAGTTGAAGGACTTGGTTCTCAGCTTGTAAGATTATAAACTATATAGATAATGAATCTGTCCTGTAATTTATTCGCACTCATATACAAATGGTCCGTCCGTTAATATCAGTTATTTATGAGCGAATTAAAACATTGACCCCACGCTCTTCTGCCAGATCCTTAATTTCTTGTATCTTTTCCCTCATCGGGTCGTCCACAAGTGCCTTGGAACAATCCAGTGTCTGAAGATTTCTCAATCGCCCCTGTGGTCCCGTCTCCCTGACGAGATTAAGAACAAAGTCCAAGAAAGGTGAGATTTCATGGTCGGGAAGACGTCGTGCGTTAGACCACAAGTTGATGTCCAAGAGCCTGAGATGCTGGATAGATCCCGGCAACCGCACAGGACTTTCCTCTCGAGATCCTGAATAAACCCATAGTTCGTGGCCGGATAAATGAGGCATCGGAACGCTGAGGACCTTGAGGCCTGTGAGATGGTGGTAGCAATCTTTGAAATCAATGGGCTTAGAATCGTCTGCCGCATCATCAACAGCATCTCCCACCCACTCAACATCACAGTTATTAACACACAGATGCAACTCCTCCAGAGATGCAGCGTGATGAAACAGGCTCCTAGCTAGTGTTATCCAGCTGCGCTCATTCTCATCAAGGTCGAATGAGAAGTGGAGGTAGAAATGTCTTAAGCTGCTACAAGATCCGAGAAGGTCTGAGAGTCCATTACTCGATAAGGTTGTCTCTTCGATAGTGATAGACTCAATAGACGAGGTACCCTTCGGAAAAGGCATGCAATACCTGTCTTTGATATAGCGTTGAACACTGTCCTCGAGATCGTTGTAGTCCTGATCACCAAGTCTGTACGTTTTGAGGTCCTTGAGATTTGGGAGATAGAGAAACGGTGTCAGGTACTTGAGCGCAACAATGCTTTCAATATTATTATGTCGAAACTCGAGCTCTCGAAGCTTTGCCAGTGGTAGCGGTGCACTTGGTTTGAGGTCTTTGCTGTCAAAACGAAGAGCCAGTTGTTTTGCAAAGCGCAGAACAAGAGGGCCTTCATCATATCCTGGTGTCGGATCGAAGAAAGGAATCGTCACGCTGAGGCTTGTCAGATTGGTTGCCCAGGCCAGGACGAGAACAGCAATGGCGTCGTCGTTGTCTTCAAGGATTCGGGCACATAGGTATGTGGACTCTGCTAGTGTCGGAACGACTTCTTCAGCTGCCCATGCAAGCATTTGGAGGTTATCGGGTTTCATGGGAACGCGAGCCGCGTCGCGGTCATGAATACTTTGAAAGTATGAAAACGATAGAGTCTTGACTTGTAGACGGTATTCAGGATGGCGCAAGAGTTCGAGCGCTAGTCTTGAGATTGGTGGACATGGCGAATCGCCGTCGTAGTAGCCGTAGTATCCTTCATCGCTCCAGTGACGGACGCGAAGAGGACTAGCGAGCTGTTTGAAATGCTTGTTGACGAGAGTGACGTTAAAGATGCTGGAGTGGTTGATGTCAGAGAGATGTGTGAAGATACTCGTGAGGATCTCATTCGGGATATCTTTGAGGCGAGTCATGGCGATCCTCATCCATCAGATTGATAAGTGCGATGGAGGAAATTATTTCGCGCTATTTTGGACATGTAAGACGCGGAATTAGGCAACAATATCACGTGCCTGAACAGGCTGTTACACAGAGTCGTTTTTACACAATGGACGGTAACAGAATATGGTCATACAAGTATTTCAATTGATCCAAGTTTGAAAAGCGGTAATGTGAATATCACAATAAGTTTAAGCGGGGACTAAGATGGTGCAAGTTTTACCAGGCCCAGGACAACTTTCGACGCTTACTGACTGCATCAATAGACGAATTACAAGACAATGGAGCTCATTTGGGCTGTATCTTCAAGTGAGACCTCATTATTGGAGCGGCTAATGCCGTTACAAACCTCGGACTCACAGCAACTGCAGTTAAGACTTGGTTAGAAACCAACATAGGTCATAGAGCTATACCATTTGATCTGGATTCGTGATAACTACCTACAGTGGCTGCAGAAGTGGGATATCAGCACTGCAGTTCGGGCTTAGTCAAATCATACACTGTAACTTGTAATAGTGTTGGGAAGGATGGTTAACTTGCTATCAACGATGTAAGTCAACTTAGGTAAGGCCGGCGGACCCACGCTCTCGCTTTGTTGGCTCGCCAAGCTTTCATATAGCTCAGCTGAAAACCGACCGGGAGTTAGAACCGGTAGTTATAATCAGCCCTAATCTTTAGCTGGGCAAGCTCAGCTCCAAAATGCTCCGATGGGATGACGAGCCATTCCACGCATCAGCAACGCAGACTGATGTCCCCGATCCGACGGTGTCCTCGCACTCCGGTGGCAGTTCTCCCGAGTCTCCGTGTCCTTATCAAAACTTAATTGAGCCGAATTGCGTAATAGGCAGTCATTTTAAACATGTGATGGCCATGAAGCTATCGTTAGTCATGCTCCCCAAGACCCAGTTAGATCATGACATGTCTCGCAAGCTAAACCCCATTCTGACATCTCTGCCAAACGGAGTTTATCTCTATGGACGATTTAACACTTGCGGGTCCCTGCATATCGATATCTGTTAGTAAATACCTCAAACCATGATTCAAAACAGTCAAGGTCAAGGTAGATCTTAATTTATCTTTATCGGCGAATACCCACGTGGCTCCAGAGATAAAAAGCCAACGGGCTTTAGCCAGCCTTGCGCTCCGTTTTCATGTGTCAGTGACACCTGCGTCATGAGGCTAAAAAGTGGCATGTCATTATAAAATTTTTAATATGGAAATGTTGGGAAATCAGTCGTCGGGAGCAGCGGTGCAATTTTTCGCCCGTGTCTTATGATCATTTTACGTATTCTACGGCAGCCTGTTTTCCGTTGGGAAACCCATAAAGAGGCGTAATGGCATCGCTATGATGAATGGTCTTACTGTAGGTCAACTATGCTTTGTTACTTATCTTATCAGCCCTGTCAATAAATATGGACTTGGAAGACGATCCCAAAACCGCGATTTCTCAGCCACAGAAGCCACCGAGATTTAGGAATCTCGGTCTAGCTCTGCGAGTTTTAGCTCTCCTTGTTTCGATCTCCGGCATTGTGGTTGCAGCTATCCATGCGTCAAGGAACGCCGTCGCTATCGGAATACTAGGTCCTGCAGTAAGTCTACTATGACTCTTTGTCAAGCTATTGGCTAACCAGTCAGTTCATCACGGCGCTCTGCTGGGCATTGATAGAACTCGTCTGCTCAGTGACCAAGACTCTCCCAACCATTCGCCCATCATTCAGCCTCGTTATCCATTGCTTCATTGCCCTTGGATCAATTGCTTGCCTTGCTTGTTTCGGATGGTTCCAAGATTGGTGGCCTGGGGGCAGCGCTCTCGATAACGATACTGAACCATCAGAGCCTTTGTTCCTTGCCGCACTGACGCTTGCCTGTGTGTCGACGTAAGTTCCATCTGTCTCATTTCACAAGTGCCTTTTCTAATTCTTATGTCCGCACTTAGGGTCGTTGAAATCAGCCTCTGTATTATTGGCCTTATCGAGTGACTTGTTGAGGATGACCTTCACACACCAGACGGAACGAACGATGATGTAATGATAGATGTTGGGAGTTGAATGTAATGATTTATTGATGAATAGGCATTTATTGGAGTATGGTTGACATCCTTCAAGGATTTTGTCAGGATATCAAGAATGACCGCCTGGGGCCCTAGAATGTTGGAAAATTGTACTTATTTCCCTAAGCTATTTACTTAGACTTTAAACATTGGACTAATCTTTAATTGTTCTTTGTGTATCGCAACGGCTTCGACCTGTGTTATCCTTTTCTATGTGCTTCCGACTCTTCTCGCGGATATCTCGGATGATCTTCCTCCAACGCTCCGGGCCGATGACATCTAGTGCTTATCTGTGCTTATAATCACTGCGCGGCGCCGCTATGTCTTAGGTGAGATTACCTGGAATCGGTAATCATGGAGCGACATTTAATGTGACGTGACACGAGCACTAAACAAGTCAAGCCACCTTATAAGAGGCTTTCGGACGTCAACCTAAGAGACATTCACCTTCAGCCTTTTTCATTACTCAAGAAGGCCGTACGAAAAACCGCAAGCGTCAATGGATATGAAGAAGCAGCGCATTGTCATTGCAGGCGGGGGCTTGGGAGGTCTCACTGCAGCGTGCCGATTGGCACGCGACGGCCACAAAGTCGACATATTCGAGAGATCACAATCGCTATCCACCGCGAGCGGAGCCATTTTTGTGAGATCAAATGGCGTCAGATGTTTCTACCGATGGCAGATGCGCGAAGCCTTTGAAGCTGTGACTGCCCCGATCAAAGAGCACGAGACTCGGAATGGCAACACGAACGAACTGTTGCATACTCTCAATCCTGGGATTTACTCTGAGTTTCCGGAGTGGTCCACTGACCGCCAAGCGCTGCAGACTGTTCTGTATGATGAAGCGTGCAAAGCCGGGGCCAAGGTTCATTTTGGAAACGAGATCGTCACGGTTGAGGAAGACAACCAAGCCGCGTATGCAACTTGCAAGGATGGCACCAGAACCACGGCAGATTTGATCTTAGCAGCCGATGGAATATCCTCCCGTCTGCGGTCTCAGGTTCTTGCTCATGTTGACCCGTCTCGCCTCACCGTGATTCGAGCGCCTTCGACACATTACCCAACTGAGATTCCAGCCAAGATGCTCGCCAACGACGAGAGGACCAAGTCTCTCCGTGAACAGCCCGAGTCAGAGAACGGCATCATGTGGGCTGGCCATGGCGGATATGCCATTGGCAAGTACAACCATCTTCGAGGCCTGTTCAACATCATGTTCTCGATTCAACACGGTGCTGCAGATAGTGAAGCCAGCGAACAAAAGCTCTTTGACGCGACTGATGACAGTGAAGTGGTTAAGAAGTTCTTCTCTTCGTTTAATCCTACGGTCGTTGCTTTGGCAAATATGGTGCAGAGCTGCTCCCGCTGGCGGCTAGCTAGACTGGAGCCCCTCGATACGTGGTCGAGTCCGAAACGGAGGTTAGTTCTTCTTGGAGACTCGGCGCATGCTATGCTTCCGAACTTGGCGGAAGGGTTTAGCTCTATTGTCGAGGACATCGATGCCTTATCCATTCTACTTTCAGAGACCAACGAAGACGTGCCAGGAACAATTGAGGCGTGGGAGAAGATTCGTATTCCTCGGGTAACAAGGCTTCAGAATGGCTCGACGTGGAACTACAAATTGTACAACTCTGGCAAACCACCTGGATCCGAGTTGACGGACGAGCAGAGGGCATTATCCATGGGTGGAGGTGACGGCAATGCACCATTCAATACACTGCCTTTTGATAAGTGGATGTTCGATTACGACACAGCTAAAGAGGTAAGTAACGCTTCCTTATCAATGATTGTACGGGGCAAGATTCTAATAGTGACCAGGTTAGACTTGCAATGAAAGCCGAGTTATCATGATTCAGTACACTAGAAGATAGCGTAGCAGGCCAAAGCTTAGTGATAGTTCTTGGTCTTACTAGCAATAAACTGCAGTTGATGATGTTTGGTCTGTTGCGAGCTCGAAGGAATGTAGAGTCTATTAAGACCAAAGGAAGGGATTGTGCTCCAACGAAAGCCTATCAGTCTCCAAACTGCTACAAAAGGCGCCCATACCATCTCACAATGTATTCATCAAAACCATTCTTATATAATCGATGAGTTTTATCAAGATGAGCTCCAAACTCATGCAAGTTGTAGACATTGTGAGGACCAGGATAGCCATTCACGCAACCTCGACACATGTATTTTGTATATCCTAGGGCTCCCTTCGACATGAGACCAGAGAACACCGCCCAAGCTGAGGATGTGAGACTTGAGGAGCTGAAAGCTGCCTGCCTTGCGTGCTTGATCCTTCCAGCCGCAGTCGTACACGAAGGTGCAAGAGGATGTCTGACGCATGGACGACACCATCGAGCTGCTCCTTCGGCTTATCAAAGTGCTGATACATGATGAAACCTTCTCAATCGCCAAGGCATGATATGTAGTGAAATCAACTCTATTATTATTTATTATAGCTCTATTACCTTAGCTATCAAAGTTGCGGTATGGGCATTGAACCGATTCGTTCTTGTCCTGCAGGCACAACTGGCGGGCCTCGCTAGTGCCAACTGCGCCGTAAGCGGTCAGATCTGGGCTGACGCCTATAGTATCGTACTTCTGCAACAGGTTCCGAACTTTGTTTTGCGCAGCCTTTCGTTTCTCGGGAGTTCCAAGCAGATTGTCCAGGACCCATTTCGGCTGCAGGGCTATTACCGGCACGCTCATATGTCTGCTCCAGCGTTTCTGATGCGCTGGCGTTAACATAACCGGAAACACCGGCTCTCCATTGAAGCAAAAAGTCCATTTAGCATCCTCTGTGTCTTGCGGAATATCGTCTGGCCAAGCCTTTGGGTCGCAGATACGAAGGCCTCGAAGCATGTCCCAGAAGGTACGGTTATGCTCTTCGACAGTCCGCTGCTTCTCGGAGGGGGCGCCGATGATGACGAGGGATGTATTAGGACCCAGAGAGGTTGATATGCGTAGATAGAAGGCTAGAGATAGAGCTACCTTGCGTACATTACGGGGCTCTGATGGGTTGTCCGACTCGAGGAATACATAGCGATGATCATCTGATCGATAGCCCATGGTGGCGTATACGCAAGGAAATGTCTTCGTTCCCCTTCCCCTGGCTAATATTGTGTTCCTAAAATCCTGGTATGCAAGGCCTTGCCAAGAATTCTCGTTGAAACGACTCTCAACTTCGTTTCTATTGGCATGTCAGCCTTACAAGTACAACGAATGAGTATTTCACGAACCTCGTCAGCAGCTCCGCGTGTGAATATGACCGGGTGTCCTTAACGTCATGGTTGCGTAAGGCGGCCACCTCCTGTTCTGTCGTAGGCGTCTCGAGTTTGAAGCCATTCATGAGAAATCTCAACTTCTTTATGAACCGATTGATAGGAGCTTTTCGAAATTGCATCAGCCTAGTAACCACCGTAAAGGCAACGGCAAGGATAACGGCGTTGATTGCGAGCTGCATGGTGATGACAAATTGAGGATGTGGAAATAGCACGTCATATGTTAAAAGAGAGGCATCTCAGGACAACGCGCAAAACCTCAGTTCAGCACCAATTTTAAGTGGACATAGCTCAACTTATATGTAATGCCATAGTGGCAACGTGAAAACGTGCATAGCACCAACAGCACAGAGTATAAGACGAATGTCATTGACGTGAATTGACTGAGGTGCTAGGATCGGCAGCTAGTCTTCGATCGAGCTGTCAGGCTTCTGGGAAAGATCCGTGGCATGGAACCCCTGATAGCGTCATGGTTATTGCTGACATTGTGTGGTTTATTGATAGGACTCATTAAATCAATATGATGTATGCGCCAAGCGATGATGCACACATATATCCCTGCCGGAACTTTTCCTCCGATATGTACACAGGCTGTAAACCACTTGGGGGTTAGGTGCGGGATGCAAGCATCAGCTGTCAGGTCTATTAACTCAAAAGAATAGCGTAGGATAGTTTTTTCAGCTTATCGTCTGATCAGGGTGTAGACAACTTCACTGTAGTTCTTCGTGCATAGTGCAGGCGTCTAATGTGTGCTCCCCCAGAGTGTTCAGCGTTCGTTCGATGCTAGCGCTATCGGGATGACAGATCTGCGAGTCTGGGGAAAAGTGGATCCTGGGGTTGTTAAAGCATGAGCCGCTGAGGTCATGACCCTTGATCATCGCATCATCGACAGTGGAATGCTGCTGTCACCCCCTGATCAACATTACCGTGAGATCTCGTAATATTCGTCACAGCTAGTAAGCAATTCAACTGCTATGGGTTAGGTGACTCAGCTGATTGATCAGGATCCAGTAAATGATCTACGCTAGATGGAAGGAAAGCCGTAAAGCCTTTTTATGCTTCTATAAAGATCAAGTCTCAATTAGGCATAGCTTTTATGTCTAATGATGTGAGGCTTGCAGTAGAGCAAAACTAGCCGTGATGAATATTACGAGATGTCATGGTAATCTGCCGACTATTGAGGATGCTGAACACTACAAAGTCACAGAATATCTCGTAGCACGATAACCGTTCCGTGTTTAGAACAGCTTCCACGTTTGCCATTTGATTCATCGTTCATACAAATTCAAGGCTTAATTTACCATACTCGACGGATCACAGCCCCTGCGGAGCTCCCGGAATGGAGGATACTAGACAATTACCCGATGGCATCATCGAACTTGCGCCGCGGACAGGAACTTCCTTCGTTGTCAACAAGGGCCAACGCCTAACAGTAATCGATCCAAAGGGCGGTCAAGTCTCTGACCTTGTGGCATTCAACCAACACGACACAAACGAAGTCATCTCCAACGGACGCACATTTGACTATGCAGACACAATATACCTGACAACCAACCACCCGCTGTACTCAAACCGCAGCAATGTCATGCTCAAAATAGTCGATGACACTTGCGGACGTCACGACTTTCTACTTACGCCGTGTTCCAAAGATACCTTCCGCATCATATACGGCGACAAAGAGCCGCACCACGGCTGTTTCGGCAACCTTTCTCTGGCGCTAAGCAAACATGGCATCGCGCCAGACCGCATTCCATGCGCGTTCAACTGCTTCATGAATGTGCCTGTAGACGGCAAGACGGGCAAGTTCACAGTGGAACCGCCTATCAGTAAGGCTGGTGATCACATCGACTTTGTCGCGGAGATGGACCTTATTGTTGCCATTACTGCCTGTTCAGCCGGCAAGTCCAATGGCGGTAGCTTTAAACCCATTCAATACAAGATAGTTTAAAGAACAAATGAGAGCAATTCTAGGTATGCATCCCTTCACAAGCTTTCTGTGGTTTCACAAAGGGACTCAGAAAGGACAGTGGTGATGCTGATATTTGACGGCGCGTCATTGATCTTCTCAAATATTTTACTCGAGCTTACACGCGCAAAGGGTAAACTGCAAAAGGCCCCGGCTGCTTTCTACCCGTCCCCAAAATAGACGATACTAAGCTATCATGTAATTTGTCAAAGATCAAAGTATCGAACGTCATGTGACAGTACATTATTGGATGTAGGCGTGGAGGGACGGGTAGGAAGGATGATGCCTACACAGCCGATCGATCACTAATCCGGCTGCGGCCCGTCGGATCGATCGACTACGGACCCGATGCAAGGGTTCTGATGTGTCCCCTATCTAGGCTGTCCCTTTCACCTTCTTTCCTGCGACCTTTCTCAAGATACATGCATAGGACTTTGAACAGTGGTCATTGACAGCAGCTTCTTTGTCGTAGACACTGTGTCAGACTCGTCAATTGTGATGACTCGCTCTGCATCATCCACGCGGGCATCTTTAGAAAACACAATGCCAAACAAAGGCTCACTTCAAGATGCTGTGCAGGGGAAAGGAGTTCATATCGACAGCGACAATCATATCTGCTGGGATGAAGATGCTGACCAACACCCCCGGAACTGGAACTTCGGAACAAAGACATATACCGCCGCCCTGATATGCTGGTTGGAGATGTACATGACGGCAATCAGCTCCTCTGGGGTCAGTTTGGTTACTGCCACTGATAAGTCTCTGCTAACGATGTTCCAGACGGCTACTGCAGACTCAGCACGGGAGGAGTATGGTGTAAGCAGAACGATGGCCTATTTCGCCTTCGTCACTATGTAAGCTTCGAGGCAGATTAGGGCGTCAATAAATTTTCTAACTTTGAAAAACAGATACTTGCTGGGTCAAACCATAGGTAGTATATTCTGCTCACCCATCTCGGAGGTATTTGGACGACGAACCATATACATACTTGCGGCAACCATATTCTGCATATCCTCAGCGATAGTGGCCGCGGTGCCGTCAATAATCGGCGTCTACTTTGGTCGCTTCTTCCAAGGGGTGGCTGCGGCGATACCTGCAACTGTCGCTTTTGGTAACTTTGACGACATGTACAATGCTGAACATAGAATCTGGGTCGTCTACGTTTATACCATCCTCGGTATGCTGGGGCTGGCACTGGGCCCTATTTACTCGACATACATCACTTCGAGCATAGGCTGGTAAGTCTCGATGAAGGCGAGATACTTGCTGGACTGACAAAAGTAGGCGTTGGGTATACTACATCTCTACAGTGGTCATGGGTGCCACTGCCGTTGCATGCATCTCCACGAGAGAGTCAAATGCAAACCAATTACTCGACAAGATTGTCAAACAAATACGGGAAGAGACTGGCATTGAAGACATAAAAGCTGGCCATGATGAGGGAGAAAAGTTCACCATAGCCACTTTTGCGCAGAACGCTCTCTTCCGACCCTTGCAGTTCCTTGTTACGGATCCCCTGGTCTTCTTCTGTGCCATACTATGCGCCATCGCATTCGGTCTTATTTACGGCCTTACAGAATCACTGACCATCGTCTACACCGCGCCGCCCTTTAACCTTTCGCAAAACATCTCCAGCCTGGCATTCATTGCCATCGCGATCGGTGAGGTGCTCAATATCCTGCCCCGGATCTACGACGCCTACATATACAAGAAATATCGCAGGACCCACCGACGCATTCTTCCAGAGAGCAAGATCACTTCGTTCGCCATCGCAGCTCCATCTCTTGCTATCGGTCTGTGGCTCTTCGCCTGGACCATTCCACCGCGGGTCACGCATGTTCCTTGGCCTGTGAGCATGATTGGTCTGGTAATGATCGGGTTCAGTCTCAACGATTTTAGTTACGTGCTTTTCGGATACGCCACTGATAGTTATGGTGAATATGCTGCCAGCGCTGTTAGTGCCATCAGCTTGACGCGCACGCTGACTGCTGCGGTCTTTCCGCTCTTTACACATCAGATGTATACGGGGCTGGGCAGCAATGTTGCGACGAGCATCTTGGCGGCGGTGGCGAGTCTGTTTGCCATTACACCGTTCTTGTTCTTGAGGTATGGACAGAGATTGAGGCATCGAAGCAAGTTTGCGGCGGACGATGAGAAGGCTCTGGAGCTGGAGAACCTTCACATGAAGGATAAGGATTAAAGGTTGCCCTTTCTGTAAGCTTATTCGAATACTGGGACGTCTGCCAACGTCCTTTTATAAGAGAATAAATAAACAGTACAAGTAGGCTTGATGGACATTGGAAAGCTCCCCTGTTACACAAATCTTTATTGAAAAGTGATAGGATGAGGAATGTCGACAGCCTGATGAGTGCCACGTGGCGTCATCAGCCAGGTTGGGAAACTCTCGCAACCTGTTAGGCCTTACTTAAACATGAGTCGTTGGGTAGAAACGCATTGTAAATCTGCAATATGCTAGAGATCAGGCGCGCGATGAAGGTTTAATTACGAGTTACAGGCTTTTGGCTGAGACCACTGCACTTGGCCAGTGCCTTTTATCATGCTTGTGATACGACCCAGTCTTAATAAACATATTAATGTATGTAACTGCTCGAATCCAAACCTTCATCACTGAAATTGTGTCACCCTCGTCTTGCTCTCTTAGGTCCGGCTGCAGGATCGACAATAGGAGGATATGGGTCAGGCATCATACCCACTGTCTCCCAAGCATTACCCCCTCCATGAGGTAAGTTAGTAAATGTGAATTCAATGCCCTTCTCCCGCGCTAGTTCTTTGACCGGATCATATATGTTCTCGTCTATTCCACCGTAGACAAACAGCCATATCCCCAGAGTTTTCAGCGCACAAAAACGTTGACCAGGTCCGCAAGCCTTCAGCACCGTGCACAGTATTTCGACATACCCCAGAATTTGTGGCCGATAACTCGCAAGATCGCACTCGAGACCAAGATATTCAAGTGATCTCGGTAGAGAATCCAGCATTGACTCGTTTCGTGAAATATCATGGAAGTAGAGGACATGAATATCCATAGTGAGGCGCTTGAGCTTGTTCATCTGTTGAAAGCACTCTTTAAAACAACTTAGACCAATATGAGACGCGTATTCTAAGCTCCCGTCGGTGTGCCTGAAGCGGTGCGTCTCAAGATTGAACGCGAGCTCCTCCAAAGATGCTGCATGGAGGAGCAGCGCTTGCCGAGTAAGAGGGGCGCTATTATGTCCCTCGCCAGTCATTCTGGCGGGGTTTCCACAGGTAAAGACGAGCTTCTTTAATCGTTTGCAAGCGCTGACAACAGTGAGCAGTCCATGGCTTGTGAGGCAAGCGGCTTCTAAGAACAACTCCTCGATAGGCGAAGTCCCAACAGGAAACCGCGTCTCGTAGATATCAGAGTCCAAGCCCAGGTTGGCATGTTCATTCCGATTCTTCTCATCTGAGATGCTCTTGATCGGTATCTCGTCAGATAATGCTGAGAGAGCAAGAATTTTGACTTTTGGAAGGTGAAAGAATGGTGCCGCACATTGAATGTGTCCGGGGTCGTCGTCATCGTACCATCTGAGCACAACGAGCTGAAGGTTCTCTAATGGCCGATGAGGACCACTATACTTGAGAGCCAAAGACACAAGTTTTAACACCAACAGTCTTGACTCTTGATAGTACGGAATCATAAGGTCAAGGCTCTCGAGTCTGGCACATAGAACTAAGAGAAGTGCTGCTACAGGGTCTATGCATCCATTGAGCAATCCTTCGCACCAGTCAGGATCATTAGCAAGCTCTGGGAAACGTTGACGTGCTGCTACAGCAAGTTCCTCAAGCTCGCCATCCCCAGCCCAGGGGTCATCTTCCTCGATAGTAATCAGATCATCGAAGACAATTGATTTGACATTCCTTTGGAGGTGAGGATTCCGAAGAAGATGCACTGCAAAGCGAGCAGGTGCATGTTTGTGTATGATCGACGGACGGAAGGGCCAATGGCGGACGAGAAGCGGTGAGGCAATTCTATGTAGTCTCTTATTGACATATATGACTTCGAAGAGCGCCAGACGATCCGAATCGCATATCAAGGTGCAAACATGAGTGAGTATCTCATCTGGGAGTTCAAGCAGTTGTCCCATTATGCGTGTCGTAGGACGTGTCGTGAGTGAAATCGACAGAGTATTGCGGGGTTGATGAGACTGAGATGAGATGACATTGTCACGTGCCAATTCGCATATATTAGAGGGTGAAGAATTCTGGTGTTCAAAATGTTGCACAGTAAAGCAGTTTGAACAGTTTTATAAATTGAACTATATAATGAAGAAATATGTAAATCGAGAAAAAAGTGTCAAAGGCGACTGAGGAAACTCTACTACTTGGTCTACTTCTCAGCCTTGACATCAAAGCGGTCCAGGTTCATGACCTTGGTCCACGCAGAAATGAAATCCTTCACAAACTTCTCCTTCGCATCAGCGCTACCGTAGACCTCAGAAATAGCACGCAGCTCAGCGTGAGATCCGAAAACAAGATCAGCGCGGGTAGCAGTCCACTTAACGGACTTGGTGGCACGGTCAGTACCAGTCCAGAGCTCACCCTGGCTGTCCTTCTTGGCCCATGAGTAGGCTGGGGAGAGAAGGTTCACGAAGAAGTCGTTGGTGAGTTGGCCCTTCTTCTCGGTGAGAATACCGTTGGATGAACCGTCGTAGTTAGCGTTCAAGGCACGGAGACCACCGACAAGGACAGTCATCTCCGGAGGAGTAAGGGTAAGAAGAGCAGCGCGGTCGACAAGGATCTCCTCAGTGCGAGCACGGGCAGTTCCATGTCCGTAGTTGCGGAAACCATCAGCAAGAGGCTCAAGGTAACCGAACTGAACGAGATCAGTCTGGTTCTGAGTAGCGTCAACGCGGCCAGGAGTGAAGGGAACCTCGACGTCCTTGAAGCCAGCAGCCTGGGCAGCCTTCTCAATAGCAGCAACACCACCGAGGACAATCAGATCAGCGAGAGACACCTTCTTGGAGCCGGACTTGGAATTGAAGTCCTTCTGGACCTTCTTCAGGGCAGAGAGGACCTGCTTGAGCTGCTTGGGGTTATTGCTGACCCAGTTGACTTGAGGCTCAAGAGCGATACGGGCACCGTTGGCACCACCACGCTTGTCAGTTCCACGGAAAGTGGAAGCAGAGTTCCAAGCAGTAGAAACAAGCTTAGAGACATCAAGACCATCAGCAGAGAGGATAGCAGACTTGAGGCTAGAAATATCAGCCTCGCCAATGATGTCGCCCTTTCGCTCAGGGAGAGGATCCTGCCAGATGAACTTCTCCTTAGCGACCTCGGGGCCAAGGTAGCGAGATACAGGACCGAGATCACGGTGGAGGAGCTTGTACCAAGCGCGGGCGAAAGCAGCGTTCAACTCCTTGGGGTTGTCGTGCCAGCGCTTGCAGATCTTGAGGTACGAGGGGTCGTTGATGAGGGCGAGATCGCTGGTGAGCATGGTGGGGCGGCGGAACTTGCCCTTGACGAAAGGGTCGGGGTACTCGAGCTTGCCGTTGAGGGCTTCCCATTGCTTGTGACCTGCGGGGCTCTCGACGAGGGTCCAGTTGTTGCCGAGAAGAGACTTGAGGAAGTGGTTGCTCCACCTGGGACTTGTTAGTAAGAGTGAGAGTAGAATGTAGGGAGAGGAACGTACTTGGTGGGAGTGGTGGACCAGATAACCTCGAGACCGCTGGTCATCTGGTCAGGACCGTTACCTTCGTTGACGCTGTTGTGCCAGCCAAGACCCATCTCTCCAAGGTCAGCAGCCATGGGCTCAGGGCCAATGTTCTTAGCAGGAACAGCACCATGAGTCTTGCCCAGGGTGTGACCACCAATGATGAGAGCAGCAGTCTCCTCATCGTCCATACCCATACGGCCAAAAGCAGTACGGATATCAAGAGCAGAAGCCTTAGGATCAGAGCTTCCATCAGGACCCTCGGGGTTAACATAAATGAGACCAAAGTGCGTAGCACCAAGAGGCTTCTCGAGCTTATCGGCACGCTCGTAAATGTCTGTGCTACCGTTGTAGCGAACGTCGTTACCCTTGGGGACAAAGGTGGACTCGGCACCCCAGTAGATGGACTCATCGGCCTCCCAGGTGTCAGCGCGACCACCGGCGAAACCAAGGGTCTCGAAGCCGCTGTGCTCGAGGGCGACGTTGCCGGCGAGGACCATCAAGTCAGCCCATGAGATCTTGCTGCCATACTTTTGCTTGATAGGCCCTGTGATTTGTTAGATTTTGGGGGTTTGTGTGACGGCTGTGTAACGTACAGAGCAGACGGCGAGCCTTGTCCAGGTTCTGGTTGTCGGGCCAGCTGTCGAGAGGAGCAAATCGTTGTTGACCCTGCGGATGTCAGCAAAACACTCGAGAATATGGCATTGAGCTCATGACTCACCATTCCGGAGCCACCTCGGCCATCCATTGCGCGGTAGGTACCAGCGCTGTGCCATGACATGCGGATGAAGAGACCGCCATAGTTACCATGGTCAGCAGGCCACCAATCCTGAGAATCAGTGAGAAGCGCGTTGAGATCCTTCTTCAAAGCAGCAACTACCAAAACAGTCAGCAAAAATCCTTCAATCTCAGGATGAGTGAAACTTACAGTCCAGAGACTTGAAAGCCTCAGTGTAGTCGAAATCAGCACCCAATGGGTTATACGGAGGCGAAAACTGCCTCAAGACATCCAATCTCAAAGCACAAGGCCAAAAGTCCCTGGATCGGGTACCGCCACCAGCCTGGTTGCTAGCGACGCGGCAGATGCCAAAGTCCTCGGGGATTTCTCTCGGGGGAACAAGATTAGTGTCTGTGGCGCGCTTGGCAAAGGGGCAGCCCTGGCTAGCGGCCAGAGGCACGAGGCCAGAAGCCAGCAGAAGTGATTGTACGTGCATAGCTAAGAGTATGTGCTGTGAGGTGTGAACTGACAGACGAACAGACTAGAAAAAATGGGCGGATTTATGTTTGGTTTTGTACCCGTAGTCAAGAGGCAAGAAAAAGAAGGTTACAGTGACGATCTACAGGGGCTGCTACAGCGCCAAGTCGGCAGTGTCAGTGGTATAGGGCCTTATGCAACAGGTCAGACGCTCGGATTAGCAATCGAGGCTCAGTTGCAGTGCATCTTAGTCTAGCCATTCGCGCATGGATCAAGGCCAGGCCAGGGTTTAGCAGTGCTGCGGTATCACAAGGATAAACCCAGCCTTTTCTTGCCTCTTCTAAGCAGTGTAATCCACACCAACGTCACTGACCCCTCTTGGATGTTTCTCAGATAGTGATAGGCGGTGACGATACTGGAATCAGATGTCTCGTCCGTGGATTTGTTCTTGTGGAGACGGAGAAATCTTGGGTGCTAAGGCAAAAAGATCCCTGATAAGCGGCAATGCCAATTGAATCACACGCACCAACTGCCGACAGGGATGGTAAATCACAGGATTTCTATTGGTTTACGTGAGACTTGGTCCATACTGAGAAGGTGGTAGCTTAATATAAACTTTTGGAGAAGAGAGCAGTGAAACACATGGTTTAGAGTTTATCATTTACCCTTGAGGAATTGAACTTATGCACGTTGTTTTCTTTATAATTTTCAGTGGAAGCTGATTAAGCTGTCTCTGTTGGAGATAGATTGGGCAGAATAATTCTCTAATCGCCCTGCCAAGAGGTGATTATCCCACATATGATCCGACTACCCACTCTTGCTCACCCTGCCGTACCGCGACCAATCGGAATATTGTGAAACAGATTAGCTTGGTAAACGATCAATGCCGCGAGCGCGGGCCGGAGTAAAGGTCCTTGCGAGGAGCAGAGGCAAACATCTTCGGGTGCAGTGTCACCTCGGGCTCTTCCCAAGTTCCCGATTACAGTGCAGTACGTAGTAAGCCGAGACAAATTGAACTGGCCTCGTCTGCTGTACAACCCCGTATTTTGCGAATGCAGATGACTTTTGTGTATCTGCTTTACTGTAATTTGCAAATTATCTGACCGCAGGGCTCGAGCTTGCTGACAATAAGCTCATCTCATCCCTGCCAGTTGTCCGGTCGTCAGCAGTGAATATTCGTGCTTTGATTCGCACAGCTTTTTGCTTGGCTCATTTATCATCACAACAATCAGAAAAATAAGCATACGCAGTCACAAACTGCGGTCGCATTCTGGGTCCGGTCGATCCATGTACCCGAACCATTGGGCCATACAATTCTCAACAAGTCATCACCAACAAAGCAATTAAAATCTGCATCCTCACCTTTTACCAAGACATTTTTTGCTAATAATAGCAATGCCCTTCTGCAGCCGACATCTTGGCTTCACAAATCCCGCAGGTCAAATGGTCTGATCCAGCGTGGTAATTCCCTTGTGATCGATCCTGTAAACCATCCAATATCACGTTCAGAAAAATGAATTCTTGGGGTTTCATGCAGCGGCAACTCTATCTAGAATGTCACATCCCGCTTTGCGAGCCCATTGGCCCTCGCTACGCAGTGGCAATTTCGCCCGGCCGTCCTATCCCTGATCCCAGGCCTTTATCAACGATTTATCAGTAGGATTCAACGGTTTTCCCCTCTCAAAGAAGAAGCTGCAAAGATGCAAGTTCCTCTTCCTTTCTGCATCGACATGGCGCAGCCGCAGCGATGCAGCTTTTCTCAACAGAGCCGCGACCCTGCATAAACACATAATCACGATCCCAGCCACAAAACGGTGAATCAATTCGTGCGATTTCTTAACCGACCTTAGCAGGAACTCTATTATTAGCTCTGCGCGCATTTGGGTACCTGCATTATTATTGAGTGCCACTTCATAGGATCTTTGCTGCAGCAGCAAGCTTTCCATGGATGTCTTTTTGAGCAGTGCCGTGAATGGACATACCGTAATGGTGCAGGTCCAGAAAATTGATTTGGAATCATGCGGAGTAAATTAGGCAGTCGAGGTAAGCTAAACAGAGCAGAGGTGAATTGTGCGGGGGGAGAAACATCATCACGCGAGGGCAGGGGAGCAGGGATTATAGCGCTCGCTTCGCCACTGTTGACCTTGGAATTGCTGAGCGCTAAACCTTTTCCGGTTGTTGGAAGCGTTCTGAATGTCTTCAAAGTTTATGGTTTTCGTCAATAGTCTTTGCTGCTATTCGCTCGTCTCACGATGGTTTTAGTTTAAGTACGGATAGCGGCAAGTATACAGCTTGACATGGAGCCAGGACGCGTTGCACTCGTATGACGAGATGGGCCTTACCCTAAACCGTAGAGTTTAGTTGCTTTGCGGGGAAGTGACATGCTCCGAATACCCTCAATTGGGGGATAGTCGCGGGATAGCGATGATAGCATTTCGGCATGATGATGCGGTAATTGATAATTCAACCATATCTTCGGTCCGACAGTTGTCCTGCTTTTCGGCATCATCGGCAGCATCATAATATCACTGCAATATAGCCATACTCGTCGTACGTCGTTCATTAGAGTTTCCATCATTAGTATTAAACATTAGTCGCCACGGTATGTCCCGCATCAAGCTCCAGGGTATATCCTTCTCTCAGTACCTGGTCTATCCCAATTAAGATGTCGCTTATCGTGATATCCTCTGTTCGCACCCAATTCTATCCAAATAGCCTTTTCTATCCTTTGAAATAGCCATTCCTCTCGTTGATTGAAACACCGAAGATGTCCCTCTCCCACCGGAGGCATATTGCTTCGGAAATTGGAGTTTCTCGGCATCGACCTCGACTTTGATCGGCATATCATCCTCGTATTGCTCTTCCTCGTTGTCGCTGCGTGTATCCTCTGCATTTCCACCACGAAGCACTCGGATGACCAACTTGACAATCATAACAAACCATACAAGCATAAGTACCTCGAGGAACAGAAGTCCGCTCAAGAATAGTGTCTTGATAGTGTAGTCGTAACATACCCTCCCATTGGTGTAGATCAATGGTTCAAGCATATAGAAATAGCCATTTGCCGGAACCTCTTGAGGACCAATGATGTTCTTTCCTGAGCCAATGAAGCACTTCGGTTCAGCGATGACCAGACTATGCGCGTAAACAGACCAGCATACCATCGGGAACGCAGTATGGCGGCACAGCACCCAGCTTACAACGAACGCGCCAAACGTAAAGTCGCACAAAGACTGTAGCTTCATGTACTTCAGGCACTTCGCGATCGAGAAAACTAGATCATTAAAGTCCATGAGGATCAGAACAACGTTGCCAACGCGAGTGAGGCCATATCTGTAAGAGCAGTACACCAAAGCAATCGTGACAACGTGGTGAGAGAGCATCTGCCAGTGATCCTTGCGACGCTTTTCAATGTTGATGACAATCATCTGCTGAAGCCAGAAAGCCAATTGCGCCAGCATGTAAATCTTCATCAGCCCGGATATTTCGCGATTCGGCCAATTCGTCCACATAGCCTGAAGATCCAACCAATACGACGAAGACGCATAGATGCACTGCCGACATTAGTTAAAACCCTTTTAATTGGTAGAGGCCTCAATCATACCATGCCAACAGACCAGCAAGTGGAATAGTAAACCACCATCCAAGCCTGTTCCTTGAACCGCATGGATCTAGCCCTCCCCAGTCCCCAGGCGGCCGCCAACGGGTCCAGAACGAACCGCATAGTAGCATCCCGCAGACCCGTCAACACCACGATCAGCACGGCCACCAGGTAATTATCGTCGAACCCGACGCCATACTCCCCCGTGAATTCGTCTCGGTACGAGAGCGACGTGAGCTTAGCGGTGAGGGGACGTGTAATACTGTTGCATTGCGCGATGAGCAGAGGGGCTAGAATACCGAGGCATATGCCTAAGAAAGTCAGTATTGTGGAAACGGCGCCGAGTGGGATAGTTTTTCGTATATTTACCGATTTGGTTATCGATAAGCCATTGCTTGAGGGATGTTTGTTCTTGATATCGCTTTGAACGTAGTTTTGCTGCCATAGCGACTTTTCCTAATTGATGCAGAGAGTAGTAGGAGAATATGGGGAGGTTGAGATTTATATGATTTCGGAAATAAAATGGAAAAGCTGATCATTTAAAAGATAAATTTGTCTTAAGGTTTTGTGGCCGTGAAATAAGGTGATCATCGACTCACGTATGGGACCATCACGCCGCCCGCGGGGTTCCGACATGATTTGCGAAAAAAGAGCCGAGTAAATGCGAAAAAGATTGGATGTTTAATTGTGATGCGCGTATGAGATGATCGACGTGTTCGTGTTCGGAGCTAATGGGTAGACTTTTAAGGGTCGCATCTTGGATCATGAGCTTATCTGGCATGATGGGAGATCTGCTGAAGCTTAGTTTGCTCAACGTTTGCGCTTTGACGTTGATCAGCTGATGGATGACTGAATGGCAGCTCGTGATCGGATTGAAGAGGACTTGGAATTGTTGAGATTGCAACTACATCGCTGATTGCTGGATGTAAGGTTAAACTTTAGGCTGCTAACACATATGACGAGGACACGATATCCATTTTCACAATATAAACTTCTACCCAAAAAGCTTCCAAGATGACCAATAAATTTTTTAAGATTGGGCTAGAATACTATGACGTTCTTACCGCTGTTCCTACCAGCCAGATATTCTTTTCTCATCTTCTCAGCATCTTCAGGCTTCCATTCCTTGATCTTAACCTGAATGTTATGCTTCACTACCAAGCTCAACAGTTCTTCGGTTTCATCGGTATCGGTGACAAGAGAGCCTATCAGATTGATATCACGAAAGATGACGTTCTGATAAGACATGGTAATGCCCTTCTCAGGCTGACCCAGAAGAACCATAGTTCCGTGCTTGCGTGTCAACTTTGCTGCGAGATCAAATGCAGCGGGAGCATCGGTTGCGATTATTGTGGCATCAAGACCAGGGTAGTCGCCTTTTATAATGTTGGTGGTCTTCTCCATGGAGGTTTCAGCTGGATCGGTGGAGAGAATGCAAACATCGGGCTTCAGATTGTAAGATGCGACAAGGTCTAGGGCATCTTGCTTCACATCAATCGCGGCGACCTCATATCCCTATGCATGTTCAGATAAGTGCTGACATATTATCGAGAGATACGACATACCATTGCTTTGGCAACTTGAGTCCCGATATGGCCAAGTCCACCAATGCCGACGATACCAATCGAGCCACCGGATGGGACCTTTGCTCTCTTGATGCCTCCATACACGGTGATGCATGCTGCAGTGGGAAAATCGAGTGATTCTGGAAGTTTGACGGTAAATCGAGCGTCACTGAGAGCAATAAGTAATGCGGAACATGGAGTACAGGCATGATGCAAGAAGTACTCACGCTGCCATGTACTCTGCCCATGCCCCATCAGTCGTGATCCCTTTCATCAGTGGGTTGTCGCAGTATATCGGCCTCCCAGTCTTACAGTCGGGACACTTCCCTATCATTATATAAGCTTATGTATCCTTCTGCAAAAGGATGCCCTACCGCAACAGCTGTCAAAGTTCAGGCATCCACGCGATCGCCCTCTGCGAATCCTTGAACATCAGAGCCGACTTCGACGACAACACCAGCCGGCTCATGCGATCCAATGAAGGGAAGTTTAGAGCAGAACGCATTGTCAAGGGCCATACAGTCAGTATGACAAAAGCCGCCCGCCTTTATCTGAACTAGAAGTTGATGGGGCTTAGGCTTGGGTTTATCGACTTCAGAGACGGTATAAGGTGCGCCAAACTCTTTAATCTGAATAGCCTTCATGATTATTTTCTGGTGTGACGATTGTGGTTTGTCAAAGGTTGACTTCTGTTGCATTTTGGAGTCAAGAGCTGGGTTGGTCCATTGATGTACGTCAGACAATGTGCCACCCAGGACGGGGACGCGCTAGCGACTCGACTACACGTCTTCAGATATATCTATACTATCTACAGTTACAAGCTCTGCAAAATAAAAGCAAAACCGAACTTTTAGATAGTGTATGATACAAAAGGATTTAAAGATGCGGAAGCCATTGAAGATTGAGTAAAAGATGCGAGGTTTCATGATGGGAAAGAATCCTTGGTCATGTTAGGCTCCAACTTTGTAAGATGAATGAAGCGCCACTTGGTCTTCTATTGCATCACAGTAACATTCGCTTTCTTGTGAAAAGTTGCTTCTCACAGCTGGAATTTAAAGCATCATGTATTGAACTCAGACTCAAGCGCTTCATGTCCCGACACGCAGGGCATCAAGGAACTAAAGCGCAATACAGTATCATCATCGTTCGTGTATTGAAAAGAACAGATTTGCTACACTTTCGGGCTGTGGAGAACCCGCATGACGAACATGACGGTCCGTCTGTGCCCCCAGTTCCCAAGGAATGTAAATTTGAGCTCAGACTGAACCGTTCGCACCACCCAGGCCTCACGACACCGAGGATAATGCGGGTACGACAGCGGCATCATCGCGCGTGACATCGAAGGATCAAGAGGTTCATGTGTGTTATGGCATGAACCCGTATAAATGCCTTTGAAGGGTCAATCCCCCAGTCATCGAAACCCCCGGAGGGATATAAAACATCGAAAGAAAACTAACGAGTTAGGCGGATCAGACCTTAAAATAAATAAGTACATTCAGAGCGTGCTGATAGAAACAGCTTAGTGAGGGCCGTTCTTTAATGATAAGAAATATTCTTAGCCTGCGCTGGGTGGTGACGACCTTTTTATACTTGCGAGGCATGGCGCGTCAGGCTTTTGGCCACAACAATTCTTAATAATACACATCTCTTTTTTCTAATCTACAGATAATTATGACAACTCTATCCTTCTCACCGTGCCACGTCGCGAAGTTTACAGCGCAGCTGCAAGTATCCGCAAACTCAGACTGAAACCTTGGCATTTCTCAAGACAGAAGCCATCGAGAGTCGCGTAGGTACAACAGAATCATCATTGTTCGCTTTCGCACCAGAGCACTTTATTTTGTTGACTGTATCTTTGGATCAGGAAGATACGTCCCCCCGGATTACAAACATTTGCTTAATACAAATCAGGTTCAATGCATCGTTTCCTGATTTCTGTTAGTAGGTTCTTCCATGGACCTCTCCCGCTGCTGAGAACCCGAGTAATTGAAGGGCTCAAATCGACAATATCAGACTGAAAAAGCTCACTTGTTGTCGAATCCCTTCGCATTCAGCTCAGGGACGTTGTGGCGTTCTCCAGGGCGGTGCAGTGGCTGGTTATCTTGCCAAAAGATGAACGCACGTGATAACTCGAAGCGTCAACTCCGCAACGCGCATAATGACAATAAGAAGGGAAGGAACGACAACAACATTCCCCCACCTGCCCAACAGAATGAAAGGAGAAGGGTACTTAAGTTGAAAATGGTCAACCACTTACCAACAGCAGTCAGTGATGAGAACAAAAGTGACTAAAGGATCTTCTGAAATGACCATACTGTAAAGTGAGGCCGTTCTTAATGTGAACTGAAATTCTGAGACTGCAATTAAGACAGGCTGGGCCTGTCTCCCTTTTTATACTTAAAATCACCACCGGAAACTCTTTTTTGAGCACGCCACGTCGCAAAGTTTGTCGCGCTGCTGCAAAATCGTGTCCAGTTGACCTTAACAATTTCACACCAAAGTTTGGTGGGTGCGCGTTAGTGGGGTTTGCGCGGAAGCATGTGACAGGTACCTCCTGTTCCTGCTGTCACTCTGCCCTGGATGGTCGAACTGGTAAACTGCTGAGAATCAACACGAAGATAAATGCGATGGACGGAGATTCAAGTGTCGCAAACGCCACAAATTCCTCCTGTATCAGCATGTTCAGTGGCTTGGTTGAGCCTGAATGGAATTTTTGAAAGTTTTTGTTCGACTTGCGCCCTGCGAAACGTTATCTCGAGGGACCATCAAGCTTTTTTGACACAAACTCTACCATCCATCAACCTATGAGATAATATCTACATGCGAATTGATGCTCAAAATGTCATTACTGCAAGCCTACATCCAAAAGTTTGACTAGGGGCAACTGCCGCCATTGGTCGTGTCGCATGTCACACAATGCTTCGGCAACCAGCTTTCTTTGCGGTACAGACAGAACATACCACAGAAGAATATTTAATGAGCTGAATCTTTTGTGTAGGCATTCTACGACAGTAAGAACGTTTCTTGAACGGGGCCGTCAGTTACAAAGCGTCAGAAGGAACAAGACGCCCCGGCCAGACCCTGATCGGCCTCATGTGAATACGGGCTGGAGCTTCTCACTCAAAGCAGCCTTCGCTATTCTCACTTCTGTATTGAAGGTTATTCCAGCCTGACAGGAATTTCTTCTCGCATGGTGAAGACACTTGGTACCTAGGCTCACCAATTATGGTTGCCGCCTGATGCAACAATAGCTTATGCGATGTCTCAGAGTGACAACAATACGATTTAAGTACACTGCTGTAAGATGAGCTTCAATTATAGAGTTAAAGCGCCGCATTGTGTATTACATCAGTCAGTGATGGAGTGTTGGCGAACAGATCTCTGACTGGAGCATCACTGCCAAGTTGCCAACTCCATGCAACCCGACCAACGCTACTACTCCGGGATCTGACCAAAGGTGAATCCATTTGATACGACAAAAGGGCAGAAAGTGCTTACAGCTTGCCCGACAGGACGTCAAGTTTGCTGGAATTGGTTTATAAATTGGGTTTACTTGACCAGCTCGGTGGAGAGGTGAACACCAACACCAGCAAGTCCTCAGTGAACTTGAGATCATATACCTCCTGTAGTACCATATTTTACTATACTCTCTTCATTTATTTAGAGATTCACCTCCTTTCTATTCCCCTCCTGCTGTCCTCCTCAATTCAGTCATTGACCCCCCTTTTTGTTGTTGGTTGTGCGCATTGCCAAGTTATCCCATGTAAGCCGGATGATAAATCTTCCATTCCACGCTGCTCTTGATTGGCCGGAGCGATGCTGGTCAGTCATGCCTCGTCACTTATAAGACGCATTTCGTGTCGGAGCACAGAATCTTTCCCTTCTTCTTCTTGTCTCTCGTATCACAAGTTCAAATCATATCAATTTATCCTCAAGATCACCATGGCTTCTACCACAAACACTGTTTGGGTCGTAACTGGCGGCAACAGAGGCATTGGCCTTGGTTTCGTCAAAGCCCTCTTGGCTCGTCCCTCCGTCACCGTCATCGCTACAGTTCGTAACGACCAAGCCCGCGCATCTCTCGAAGATGCTACTGCAGATCTCGCCAAGAGTGACGGCGCGGTCTTGAGCATTGTCCAGTTGGACTTCACCACCGCGCTCTCCCCTGAACAGATCCGCAACGCGTTCCACTTTGATCACGTCGACATTCTTATCAACAATGCTGCCGCCAGCTTCAAATCCTATCCTGTACTCGACATCCCAACCGATGACCTCCGCTCCGCCTTCGAGATCAATACAATCGGCCCGCTGACTGTCGTCCAGGGACTTTGGCCCTTGTTGCAAAAGTCATCTTCACCGAAAGTCGTCAACGTCTCATCCTCTGTTGGCTGCATTACATACCACGAAGTTGCCGCTGGCGCATATGGGCCCAGCAAGGCTGCCTTGAACTGGCTTACGCGTGCTCTTCATCAGCAGAATGAAGGGCTGATTGCTTTTGCACTTCATCCTGGATTCGTTAATACGGAAATGGGCGAGTCCGCTGCCACAGAGTGGGGATTTCCCCATGCTATGCTTGAGAGTGTCGAGGAAGCCGTCAAGGGAAGTCTTGGGATCATTGACGGTGCTACGCGAGAGACTGTCTCTGGCAAGTTCGTTAGTTACAAGGGACAAGAGCTTCCTTGGTAGACCAACTCTGAAAAATGAGATATTTGAATGAGCTGTTTAGACACCCTGGAGAAAAGCTTACATGTAGCCAGTTTGCCGGTGCCTTATGAAGATTCTGGCCAAGCTCCATATCGCCTTGGCTCAACCTATTATTATTGCTACTTGCATCCATCAGTCCTTCTTTACCCTAGCGGCAATTCCACTGCTTCGATCTACATAGGAAGACAGTAGATGGACTATTGTACTGTAACCCCTCTTTACAGCTATCGAAAGTGCTGTGTCGCCCCTGTTATCCACTGCATGTATATCAATTTCCCCTGCCTTGAGAAGTACCCCCATGGCCTCCTCAGCACATGTATCAGCGGCGTATATCAACGGCGTCCTCCCTGAGGAATCCTTCGTGTTGATACCGTACTTACCAGATTCGTGAAGCATATTGATCACACCACCATTGCCCCTTCCGATAGCCCACCAAAACAATTTCCGTGAAGTGTCATTGCTTTCTCGGTGGATAGAGAACCCTTTCGCACCTAGTAGTAGCAGAACCATTCGATCCTTCATATAGTCTAGAGCCCACGAAAAAGGCGTTCGTCCCAGTTTGTTGGTGAAATGCAGATCAACTCTAATACTGCTGAGAAGAACCTTAACAACGTCTTCTTTCCCCCTCTGCATAGCCCACATGAGTGGCGTTTGTCCTTCAACCGTCTGATTGGTATCAACCATGCTCTCATCGAGAACTAGTTTCATCATTCTCAACTTTCCACCTTTGATAGCCCACCAAAGAAAATTCTCCATTACATCACAGTGCCGCATGCCCATTCTGCTATCAGATTCAGAAACAGCCTCGCACATATCTTGGTACTCACCCACGATAGACTCTGCAGAGAGTGCTCTTTCTTCAAAATCCTCCTGATTGACACCAATCTTTCCTGTGTCAAGCAGTAGCTTGACGATACTCAGGGACCTAAGTTGAACGGCGATTAAAAATGGGGTGTAGCCATCTTCGGTTCTGACACTGATATCAATCTTGCCTGTACGGAGAAGGAGATCGACCATATCGTCATCACTATCGGACACTGCTACCAGGAATGGTGTGTCCCATTCTCCCCACTTTTGGTTGGCTATTTCTATGATGTCTGCGTCCCTTTGCAACAAAGCGTCCACAAAATGACGTTGCCTGTACTCGATAGCATCGTAGAACACTTCCTGTAATGTCAAAATCCCCCCGCCCTCTTTCACAAACAAAAGCGCAAGGTCAACCTGAGCAGTCTGTATAACAAACTCAACGGCTGTCATACCTTCGGCGTCCTCTGAGAAAATTGTCTTAGGTGAATCCCGAAACAAGACTGTCGCGATATCGACTTGGCAGCTCTCAACAGCTAACAGTATTGGAGCTTTATTGCTTTGGTCTCTCAAGGTTGCCGAAGAACCGTATGACAATAAGAGGCTGACCAACGCCGTTTTACCCCCGCGTAAAGCAGCAAAGATCGCCTCTTCATCTCCATCCTCTTCCTCATCGTCATCGATCTCGTTGTAATCGTCAATCTCGACACCGGTAAATCGCCTTGTATTCCCACCTGCTTCAAGTAGATCCTTCAAAAGATCGATTAAGCTCTGGTCATCATCATTCGTCCGAACTAAACATTGTGTTGCAAAGAAGACAGCTCCCTCAAGTTCTGAGCCCCCTTTGATGAGTTGAGATACGAGTGATTTATTCCGTTGACTTATGGCATAAAACACTAGCGACTTCTCGTGTTCGATCTCGGCACCTGCATCGATCAAGCTTCGGATTATTTCGTCTGCTCGAATAGAAACGGCTAGGCTCAAAGGAGTATCACCATCAATATTGGTGTTATTTACGTGACTGAGGTATGTGCTTGGTACTCCGGGTCCACTTGGTCTGTCTGCTGCAGGAACGGCGTCATCCTCAATCTGCCACGTCCTTGATCGATGCAGTATCATGAGGGCCAACTCTTGACGGTCCTCTCGTAGAGCAAGTTGGAGAGGCGTATTTCCTTCAAGATCCTCAGCACCTAAGTTTGAGCTTTCCCTCTGGAGTAAAGTATCCAACAGACTGGCAGAACCAAACGCTATCACGAGGTGAAGAACCGAGGCGCCGAGAAATGGCCAGCCCCTAGGCGCATGAGTGCCCTCAGGGTCCATTATTCTCCATATCCTTGCGAGCATACCAAGGCGTTCTGGTTGGTTCCATTGAATGAGTGTCACTAAGTCAGCTTGGCAAATGGCCCCCTCCTCAACGCCTCTAATATGGTCGAGAAGAAATGTCACTCCGTATGGCATCAGTGGGAAGGTCGCTGAGAGTTTCTCCCGGGATAGATCGTTTCCGTTGAGGATTTCTTCCAAGGTTAAATATCTGAGAAATGACCTCGAGATCTCATAATGGCCGGCTCCAGCTGGGGACCTAGATAACGACCCTTTGTCAATATTGGTGAGAAACTTCTGAGCAACAAAATCCGCAGCCGACTGATGTATGAACTGAGCCTCCCGGCTCCATTCTTCACCTCCAGGCTCAAATTGCTCATAGACGTCACGATTCTGAAACTCCACAAGGCCCCTGGAGATATGCCGGACACGCATCTCGAACTGGGATACGCAATCCGACCAGTTACCATGAGTTCTGAGCTCTGAGACTGTCGTATAGGTCATATCTTTATCAGTAGCGAGTGCCTCTCGAAGCTCTTGGGCTGATAAAGGTCGTTTGGCATACACAACCCACTGAAACAGCTTTGCCATCTGCTTGTGCTTATCCTTGGTCGCCCCCCTCAATATGACGTCGTACAGGTCGTCGAGATCTGGAGGGGTAGTCGATATCATGTCAAGTAGATCCTCAGTTCTGGCGCCAGTTGCGTCTTCATCGAGTATCATATTTGTGATAAGCATTGCCCATTGAAAGCCTCCATGAGCCTTCAACATGATCTCTTTCTCGATCTGCCGACGCTTCTCAACTGGCTGAAGCTCCTTGAGTCGGCCTTCAATGACAAGTCTGATGTCGTGGTCATTCCTCTCTTCCACGTAGACCCTCGACATCGTCTCATGGCCAAGTATAGGGAAATGTCTCGACGAAAAACAAATCCTAACCAAGGATCCCTCTTGCTCAGCATTCTCTGAGAGGCTCTTGAGGGATACTAGTAGGCTTTTGGCATGATCCCCACACTCATCAAGTGCGTCAATGAATATCACCACCGGTATCTCCTTAGTCCCCTCGATCAAGAGTCTGGATAGGAATTTCTCCAGTTCCCTTTCATTCCATTGCCAACCATTCTTCTGTTCATACGATCCGTACCGCTTCTGTTTATCTTGAAAGACTTCTGTAAGCTCGGCAAGATATTTTGGAAACAACATGAGCAATGAATTTAATAAAGCTCGAAATATCCCCAAAGGTGTTCGTTGCAATGGTATACCACGTCCGTGGATGAAGAAGGAAGCGATAGTTTCCCCAGACTTCCTGCGGCTCATAGTATCAACTGCAAACTTCATGAGGACAGATTTGCCTGTTCCCGGACAGCCCTTAATCCAGAAGAGTCCACGAGCTGTATTCATCCATTTCTGATAGTTGTGGTCTTCTAGAAGCCAATCACAAGTGTCGCTGGCGTAAGAGATTTCGGAGTATCTGTGCTCTTGCTCAGGGAATGACAGCGATTTCAGGCATTCTACCTAGTATTAGCGGCATGTTACAGATTTCTATCGTGGCTCGTACCCTGCTCGTCACCTGAAAGTTGAACACAAACTGAAAGACACGTAAGTAGGTTGAGCATTTATCTATCGAAATCTGGCTTCAAACCTTGTGGCCCGCCTCCTGTACCTCCAATACCAGGCCGTCCTCGTGATACACCAAGTATAGGACGGAGGGCAACCACCACTCTTCGGTACAGTTGATCATGCACACCACTGTATTTCACCATCTCAGAGTGATTACGGTTGATGGGATGCTGCTTTTGACAACCGCATGTTGCCGAGAATACTTCTACCAGCACTTCGCTGGAGCCAGACATCTCCCATTTGCCATTTATCTAAATTTGGCGTTAGAACAGACAATGTTTCTCAACGTGTAGACGACGCACCCAAACCGCAGTAGGGGATCTTTCTGTCTCATAGAAAGACACAATAAAAAGGCTCCTCACTTTCGATATTTTGCCGAACTCGTTTTGTAGGTGCTCGAGAAGCGAAGAGTTCTTGTTGAGGGATTCAAGAAGTGCCCGATTGGGGTTATCTTTTACCAGAGGGACCAGACACTCAACTGCCAAACCTCGATGGGGAACCCCAAAGAAGGCGAAGCCGGAAACGGCGTTTAAGAGCGAAAGGTCGGGCTCAAGAGGCTCGTCTTTCAGTAATCGCACGGTCTAGGCCAAGATTAAGAGGCGGGCTTTATGAATGCTTCTCACGAACACTTACCTCTTTGATGACAAGCCCGCCAAGACTATGACCTATGAAGAGTATTGAACGGGCTTGATTTAGGTCCTTCACGATGTCAGTTGACAAAGGGACTGGGGGAAGCATTTCGGAGACACATACATGAATGCCCTCAAGATCGACCTGTAAAGTCCTTCCCAAGTCGGTCAAGCTTTGGAAGGACTCGCTTCCGACGAGCTGGCTATTGTATCCGTAGGTTAAAATCCTTGCATTGGGGATATCTGATGGAAGGGCATCTCGAAGCCAAACGAAACGGCCATCCTTTTCTTTAAATGACCCCAGTGCATGTCCTCCAAGGCCACAAACTGCAATCACACTCGCCGGGGTGTCAATACAGATCACGTCAATGGATTACTTTTCGTCCACTTACTCTATATGGCAATCTGCATCGCTTGCACGATGAAAAGGCGTGAAGCCTGTGAAATGGGTATCGAAAGCAAGAGACCTGCCGAAATCGATATTTTCATCTTCCGATAGGTTGAAATTCCACTCAACCTTTGAGCGATCAGATAGGCAGTCTGGTATAGTGGGAAAGCTGAGCGTAGCTATCTTGCTGTTCCGATCGGTAGGAGAAAGCGCAAGCGAGTAAACAGTAGGGCTAGCATTTGGCTCTAGTGCAAGGGTCTTCTGAATCAGGCTGCAGACCTCACTCCTTGTCTCGTATTCTAGTGGAATGCCTCGTACTCTGAAATTCTTGTGGCTACTTGCTGCCATCGCTGATGCTGCCTGTGTGGCGGGTAGCGACTACCATGCTCGAATATAACTGAAAGGAAGGGAATGAGTTTGATCGTGAGTTGGAGAGGCATGAATGTCGCTTACCGGCACTCTTTCTGCGGCTGAAGGCTGGGATAAGCGCACAGAATGCCTTGTATACATGAGTTAGGGGGCGGATGGGCGCCCGGCGAATGATAGCCCCTGCAGTCATGCATGGGAGGGTTGAAAATAGGCAGAAATGCAATTCGCTGTGACCGCAACTTCACCGACTCTGCGCCACTAACGTCACAGGGTTGGTTGGAAAATTGGTGACTGACATGTCAGATCATGGTTAAAAAGAGGAATAGGTATTGTACTTTACTATCAAACCACGACACGTTCAGTCTTTATCAAACGGCGCCGTTCTTTGATAGCGAATTTCCACTCTTTAGCAATTTTCCAAGACAGTAGAACCCCAAACCCGATAAGAAGCCCAAAAGAGACCAAGATGGCCAAGACGCTGACACCAAGCGCCAGTCCTTGCCAGTTGGCGCCGCCACCTGTTTCAAGCGACGTCACGACTTGTAGTCCACTCAAGGTTACAGATGTGATCCCGAATGCGAATAGAACCGGTGCATAGAAGCGCGCAAAGTACTGTCCGTATTGGAAGTCGACTCTCTGGAAATAAGACTTGTTGAGAATAACCGGAGCGTAGAAGTTTAGACGAGTGAGGCGGATTTGGCCATAGGCATAGCGCAGGGAAACATCCTTATCGAGAATTTTGACTAGATCAGACGTGAAATCGCAGAACTGCTCCCAAGTGATCCTTTCTGGTATAAGACAAAGAGTAGGATCTTTGGCGATGCGAAAGTCTGATTCGTGCTGGATGAGATAGAAGTATGTGCGTAGATAACCCAAGGCGGCTCTTCTAATACGCACATCTTCGCTTGTATTATTACTGCAAAGATGATCTTTCCAGAAACCGAAGGATCCGATGAACCGTGGAAGAGGCTTGATGAAAATACGGTCGTTAATCCATACAAGATGTAGCTTTGGATTCTCTGTCACCACGATAGACCGGCCTTGTAGTAACTGTCGATGCAGTGGCCATATACTTGTGCTATCTTGTTTTGACATCCACCAAAGCTTATCTGAAACTCGATCTAGATCATCCGAACAGAGTTCAGATGTAAGTAGCTTCTTGACCTGATCCCTGTCGTGACGACGGACGCGGGGGAATCCTGGTACACTTCCGCTCGATTCGTCCCGAACCAACGAATGTTCTGGTGTAAAGGGCGGTTTGAATATAGTGGGAAACATAGCGATGTCAGGGTTGGAAATCTTCGAGATACATCCTGACGTGCGAGCTATGCAGCATGTCACTTAGCTCCCACATGACGACAAGCCAGATTTCTCTGTGCTAGAATATTGATCAGCTGGGAAGACTGATTATCTGGCTGGAGTGCCACCTCTAGAATTGTGCCTCGGCGCTTAAAGTCGCGTTATGATTGGCCGACACTCAGTGCCTCAATGCCATTTCAACCCCCCTGCAAATCCGTATTTGCTGTTGTCTTTGTGTACCTAAGGTATAGCCCATCGTGGCTGCGTCATGACACCATCTGATTTGCCTTGAAGAATTGGAATCTCTTGTTTTATAAGCCACTCTTGCACGTTTAAGCTTGTAAACGGGAAGGTCATCTCCTTTACATAAATGTTTTTCTTTTATTATTAAGCTATAAAAGAAGAGGTGAAAGACTATAAAAGGAAGGTAAAGAGTTAGAAAAAATGTCATGTAAATACTAATAGTTATTATTCTTTATGTTACATGGAAATAAACATCTAGTAGACACCCTGCATCCCATATCCCACATTTAAAGTCTGCTACTACTAAAGCGTCGGAGATGCTGTCACTCTAAAGAGACAAGCGCCGACACAGGCCGCACTTAATATACTGCCGACAGGACTAGGGAATAGCAAACTCCGCCAAGTAGGCAAACTCCGCCGAGTAGATGTTTGTAATGACGACGATAAGTCTTAGTGCTTCCGATAATGCTCAATTATAATTAGTCATAGTGTCTATGAGACGAAAGTCCGACAAGCGCCACGTTGACGCCTTCTTTATGGTTATATATGTCGCCCTGCTGCCCGGGCACAGCTTCAGATGGCAAACATCCTTCGCCAACCAGCCAAATCGCTCGCTTCCTCTCCTCTTAACCGATCCAGCAGCTATGTCGTGGAAGCCTCTCGCCCTCGATCCCCGCGTGGAGGCAAAGTGGGACTCAATCAACTCTGAAGAGGCCTTGGCAGAGCTTAGCAGAATAGAGCTGCCCAATAGTATTGAGCAGGAGGATAGGTCGTTCCCCGGCCCCAACGGCAATGAGCTAGTCGTTTCTATCTTCCGACGCAAGATCTCGACGAATCGGAAACGCCTATGTATCTATCACATCCACGGCGGAGGAATGATTGCCGGAGATCGGTTCCTCGGCGTCAATTGGTATTTCGATGTTATCGATAGGTATGACGTGGTCCTAGTGACAATCGAATATCGTCTTGCACCTGCAAATCCCTATCCAGCACCAGTTGAGGATTGTTATGCTGGCATGATTTGGACGGCCGAGCACGCAGACGAATTAGGCATCGACGCGGAAAAGATCCTTACTGCTGGCGGCTCAGCTGGAGGGGGCCTATGCGTGGCCATGAACCTGCTTCTTCGCGACCGAAAGGGCCCCAAGGTGATTGGACAGTTCCTCCTTACTGCCATGCTCAACGACCGTGTCGATACCATCTCCGCCCACCAGACCTCGCATATCAAAGGCTGGAACCGAGACGCAGATATCTACGGCTGGACTTGTTATCTCGGCGAGCTTCGGGAAACGGATAGTGTCAGTCCGTACGCTGCGCCATCCCGCGCCACTGATCTATCCGGATTGCCCCCGACGTATCTCGATGTCGGTGCCGTCGACGTGTTTCGCGATGAAGACGTGAAATTTGCGCTAGATCTCTGCCGAGACGGAGTGCCGTGCGAGTTCCACCTCTGGCCAGGATGTACACATGGTACAGACGCCATGTTGCCCGACATACCTGTCTCGGTAGCTGCCAACAGAATCAAGAAGGATTGGTTGGAACGATTCTTTGCTGATAACGGTGTCGAATTGGTTGGCTAAGCGATGGCAGGGCCGCGAGAGTGCTCAATTTGTGCAAGTCCATTCAAACTCCTGCACTTAGCCTGCGACAATACTGAGGTTAGGAAGTTTGAGCCATGTTGATGGCTTGACAGAAGCCTGTTCACCACAAACTTTGAAAGAGGACGCTGGGTCCTTTTTTCAGTATAGAGTTATGTGTAGCCACCTATACAAAGGGAAAAGAGGGTATCATAAATGTAAATTCGGGGGAATTCTGTATTTACTTACTACTCCATAGTAGAGATGCTTAATGAGTTCTACTAGTTTATAGTATACTTAAAAGCTGATTGGATATCGATCGATTAATACTCGTTCTTCTTATCCCTTTCTGAAATGATCCTGCCCACAAATTGAAGAACCCAAACTCTCCCAACGGCGCGCTGAAGTAAGTTACGAGATCAGCGCTCCCCCCTACCCCCAATTACTCTATGCCGGTGTTTCGGGGGCGTCGAAGTTCCCGGAACAAAGTAGCACGGCATGAGTATTATCTATCGCGCCGGTTCCCACATGGCGTTTCACAATGCCTCCTCGAGTCAAAGAATAGGTTGCAATCTTCTTGCAATGCACTTGCGGAGTTTTGATCCTGGTCAATAAACTCCGCGACTTCGGCTTGTAACTCCTCGCAATGAATACCTACCCCACCTCCAGCATTGGCTCTTTTCCTACGCGCCTCTGCTGAACCTACCCATCAACTGACGTAGAGTCAATTCGATCTTAAAGGGGACCATTTTCGAGTCCAAGCTGAATGTCTCCCTCATCCTGGTGCCTGGCGCGGTACCGCGAGTGGCACAGATGATGTACATAGCGCTTTGTGAGGAAATTAGAGCCGTAAATAGAATCCATGCATATGCACCAAGACCCTACCCTACCTTGTATAGAAACAAGCTTATATAGCCATCAGTGACTTCCAACAGAGTCCATTACTAACACCGGGCCAACCACAGCATTGAAGATTAATAGACCAATGCCAGGCGTGGGGTGGAGCGATGTGGGATGTCGATTACGCAGATCCCGGGATCTTTGTCATCAGATGGCAGGGCCAGCACCAGCCCACGGTCAGAGATGCGAGTTTATAACCAAGTTACGGCCCATTCCAGTTCACAATATATCATTAGTCCTCGCCATTCCCATCTTGTCTTCAAAATTACTCATCATGCCCGTTGTAGCTATCGCAGGAGGCACGGGCAGTGTCGGTCGCTTCATTGCCGAAGAGACTATTGCAGATGGTAATTTCGAGGTCATTGTTTTAAGTCGAAAGGTGTGCTCATGGTAACCTGATGTCGGGACTCTCCAGCTAACTATGTCTACCCACAGGCTAACCCGGCACTGGAGAAAGAGCTCGGGACACGTATTCTGCCCATCGATTACTCCGGCCCCGATACTATTGCAACCTTGCTCGAAGATAATCATGTCGACGTCGTCATTGCCGCGCTAGGTGGACGTACACCTCCCGAGCAGGAACATGCTCTTATCCAAGCCGCCGCCAAGTCCAAAGCCACCAAGCGATATATCCCCAGCGTCTGGGGTGTCAAGTGGCGTCCGGAGCATTCTTGGTTCTTCAATGCCGCGGCCAAGTTGTCTCTCTTTGATGCGCTGGAGAAGACTGACTTGGAGTGGACCGCGGTTTTGAATGGCTTCTTTCTAGATTATTGGGGTGCTCCGAATCTCAAGACATACCTCGATCCTCTGACTATAGTTCTGGACATCCCTGCGAGAAAGGCTGCGATCCCAGGCAACCCGAACCAGCCTGCAGTCTTTACATATACTAAGGATGTTGCCAAGTTTACAGCTAAGCTCTTGAAGCTGGAGAAGTGGGAGCCAGTATCATATATTATCGGCGACAGGCTTACGTGGAAGGAATTTTCACAGCTTGCCGAAGAGGTTACTGGTAAGGACTGCCCTTCTACCCTCATCATAATATCTGGCTATGGAAGCTAACAAAGATCATCAGGCGACAAATTTGAGATTACCTACGATTCAGTCGAGCTGCTTAAATCAGGAAAGGTCACGGAGCTTCCGGGTCACATACCTGTCTACCCCTTCTTCCCTAAAGAAGCACTGCAAGGCATGCTGGCCGAGCTCGCTATCTTGTTTGACCAGGGAGCGTTAGACTTTCAGCCGGAGCAGACTCTTAACAGCCTTTTCCCAGAGATCAAAGTAACGACAGCTCGGGACGTTTTGGAGATTGCATGCAAGAAATAGTCTTATCGTATTCTCTCAGAGCACGACAGGGGCTAATAATAAAGTCCTTATCCAATTTATTCCCCATTTGGTTATACTTTAATATTTCGCCGTTGGTTGATTCATCTCACATTCTGAAATGTTTATGCCATCTTGACCTAAAGCAGAAAGGAATTCAACTCTTCGTAAACATATCGGAGTTAGGTGGTTCAGTTCAAACAGGTACTGTTCTCTTGAATGCCAGATTGCCGAATTAGGTAGAGTCGAAATCCCACATCCCACTTCGCTCAGCCAAGATCCCACATGGCGCGGTTTTGTGAACCGACAACAACAAGCATACGCTGACTAAAGAATACACATCCTCTATCCCACATCGCGCATCATGAGTAATTCTATTTTATATTGACTTATGTTATTCTAGAATTCCGATGTCTTCTGACCTATCCCGATTCCACTGCAACTATGCGGGATGCGCGCGGTCGTACAAGAAGAAAGAGCATCTCTTACGCCATGAGAGGGATCACTTGAACCTGCGCTTATTTGCATGCTCGCTATGTCCAGCTACTTTTAACAGAAGGTAGGAGTTCCCATCTGACTCAGTTCTGGATGATCCATGCTGAGTCTGTCAAGTGATCTGCTCAAACGCCATGAGGCAATCAGTCACCAATCCGACCAAGTTTCTGGGCAAAAAGAAGAGGGAGCACCATCAACAGAAAGCGCAGGTTCTGAATCACAAGAGCCTGTACCTGCCTCTGAGCCAATCCAGACCCCTGTTAACACACTAGACTGCTTTCTCAACACAGAACTTAGGGGTTTGAATCTGGCTTCAAATCCAACCATGCAGTTACTTGAAGCACCATGTCGGAACGACCTTGAAGCGTGCTATTTTTTGCACTTTCACCCCCACTGGCCGCTACTGCATAAGAAAACTTTCTTGCAATCAAAACATCCTCCAGAACTGACGGCTGCTGTTTTGACAGCCGGACTATGGGTGCTTGGTACTCCAGAGACCAGGGACAAGGCCCGGGTTTATCATGATGCCTTGGTGAAAGTGCTTTACGAACAACTCGTGAGATTAGTGACACCAATTGAACACCACTTTTCTGATATCTGCATAGTTCAAACTTCCCGGATCTGCCACGAACTCATCTGGACCTCGAGCTGAGTTCCTCTCTGCATTCCAGGTCCTTCTCATTGCCCTGATTCTTTGCACCTACCGTGGGGCAGAGACATTTCCATCTGCTCTTTTCAACAGCAAGCAGGTTTGGCAGCTGTTCCAATCCATGGGCGTCTACGATCAAAAGGCAATAGACGATCGAAGCCCAAGTCCGATAATCCGCGAGTGCTACCAGCGGTAAGCCCATAGTCCCGTTATCTGAGTAGCGCTGTACTGACATGGCGAGGCTGGCGCTCCTGTACTTCAAAGTCCACATCCATCTCAACTCGATCATGGTGTGCCACTTTCCGCAGTTCAAACCGTTCGACTACTTGACGCCGAGCATGCTCAAAGTTCGGATTCCTTCTCCAGCCTCATGTTGGGAGGGTGATGAGAAGTCACCTCCTCGCCAGGGACAAGGAGCTGAAACGGTGGCTGATTTGCTAGTTCCATGCACTGAACTAACTCACGTGTCGGATCTTATGGCTTGGGACTTTACTTTGGGGATGGTTATCGGGTGTTACTTGGTGAGACCGGCTGGGGAAAGCCATCGTGAGTTGATAAAGCGGTTGGACCCGTTTTTGTTTATACATCTAAGCAGTCTCAAAGACCATATATAAAAGTTATATATACTTAGCATGATTTTCTTCTTAAAGTAGAGTAGTCGCCCCTCTCATCTTCAGCCGAGGACATCACGTCAATGCACCCTCTTCTATCTCCGCCAATCTGATTCGTCAATGCACTTCCGCCATGCCAATCTAGTTTCATCCAGGACCAGGCCCTGCACGAATTATATCAGGGTATCAAACTATCATCAGCCCGCAAAGTTATAAAGAAGAGCTGGGCCGCTAAGAGAAGGTGATTCTATCAGTCGATTATGAGTCATGCTCTTGTTTTGTGAACTGAGCTGACGTGCTGACATTGCCTTTGGTATAGGGTATCGTTATTATCTGGGAGCTTCTATTCTATGATCACCGGCCAGGGTTAAAAATAGTCCATACTATTGATCTGAACTCGAAGAAACGCAGACGAAGAATAAGGGAATTTATCAATAGAGCTCAAGGTGAACCCTGTTAATTTGAAATTTGACGTTTCGCGGTCTGGTTTGTGGGTTTCCACGTGGTCAGAGATGATGATGGATGTCAAGTCCATGTAGGAAATTGGCCGCGTCATGTTGTTCGATGTACTCATTAGCCTCTTAGCGCAAGTGGCTATTTTGGATATGAGCTCATCGAAATACTACATCATGCCGCGAGATAAGAACATATTGGATGAGCTGCATGTGTTCCCAGATTTCTCCTCACTCAATCTAGCGGTGGATAATTCGACATCTATAAATAGACTCAACGGAACTTCCCATGCTTGGTCTTGAGGTGATTGGCCAGATTGCCATGGCGTCCCCACAGACCTGTCAATCTAAACCTAGCGTGCCTGAGTTGTGCCGCTCGTGTTCAGGACCTTGGCCGGCTCCAAACTGGAATCTTGGCGATAACCTCGTCATTCTTCTGTTATCAATCTGAACAGTCATCAATGCTCCCCATTGCCACACCAGACGACATATTCTCCTACAATAGACACGCCAATTTACTCTCAGACACTGGATCTGTCGCACCCGCCCTTGAGCCTCATTCAATCAAGGAACAACCAGGGTTTTCATTCGCCGTAAGATTACTGGACCAGCGAATTCGCCACCATGTCTGACAGCTTCTAGCTCGCGGCGATATAAGCGAGCATGCGCTCGCAGCACCACTGCTTCGTCAACGTCCCAATACCCCGCCATATTCCTCACCAAGCTGTTCTCGACTACGTACAGACATACGAACCTGTCCTACGCCACAATCCTGGCATGAGATCCTGGGAAAAGTCAGATCTAGATTATGAACTTGTCGCCAATGACCGCTTCTTCGACTCATCAGATCCAGGACAAAGTCTATGTTGTTACCAAGCTTATGAGGTAATGAGACTTGGACCGGGAGTTCAGAGGGATTTAAAATGGCCGATTATCTTCCAGAGAGTGCCGAATGGAATTGTATCGAGGGCTGATGCGCCTGCGGGGGTAATTAGCTGGACGCAGTGGTATGTTAGGCCAAGGCCGAGTGAAGCATCAGGGGAATCTGTTAGTACGCCGAGTACGGCGACGCCATCTAGTCCTGGGGATGAGGCTTGGGAGTTGTATGGGATTGTGACGATTGAGGCTCATAGAATGTTGATGCCGTGGTGTGCCACCAAGTCGGAGAGTTATCAGGTTGCGATTGGGCAAGGGATGGTGGATGATGCTTGTTCAAAGTTTAGTTCTGGAGAAATTTCATGACAGTACAAGACTATCTGTTATGACCTAGGTATCTATTGTGATGCATCTTACAATGTTCAATTTGTCAACAAGCCCTTCCATTCAGACTGGGGCAATGGCACAAACTGTGATCGAAATTGCAGATTCGTTCTTGTCATCAGGATGGCGCTCCCGGACGTTGCAAGTCCCGACAGACGAGAAGATAGAGCTGCGGGCAAATTTAAGCCCGCCCATCCCTGGGCTCAAGGCATAAAGAGCTCAGCTGCTGAAGCTGCTGATTTCTCACCCGCAACAGATCGAATCTCGTCACACATGAGACCCGCGAGGGACGCCATAGGCTGCAGGTCAGCGCCAGAGGGAGGAACGGCTCGGCAACTGTGAACTTTTATGAAGAGTTCCTTTTTAATCTATTCAGGAATAGGTATACAGCCAGTACAAATTAGGTCAGACAGCGCTCCTAGCACTTGACACATTTGCCATCACTCTCCCATAGCCCTTAAGCTTTCAACAGGTAATATAAAGGACTTGTTTTTAATAAAGCCGCAGTGGCGGCGCGGTGATTGCTGACCATACACTCTCGCTTAGATCCTGAAGGCATAGTAAGACTTATCAAGGCAAAACCAGTAGGATCTGGTAAAGTTAGGAGTAAGACAGGAATTTAAAGAATTCTAAGTACCTTTATTAAAAGGCAACTGTTTTTAATTTTTAAAATACCCTGATAATTAATTAATTTTATTTAGCAAAGTCCGAATTAAGAAGCTGCTGCTGTCTCAATAGCTGCAAGGACCTCAGGCAGAACCTCCATGTTCTGGTACACACTATGCCCGGACCGAACCTTGATAACATTTGTAAAGTTTCCCAGCGCATTACTCATTGCAATTTGGGCATCAAACGGAAGGGCATGGTCATTTTCACATGCAACGTATGTCTTGGGAACCGAGACGTCTGTCGCAGCGAACATCGACGGTGTCTCCAAGCTCGCAGTGCTCTGGTAAACGCAGCCAGCGAGCAAACGATTTGCGGTTTCCGAGTCAGAATCATTGAAAAGGGCATCTTGAGCACCTTGGCCCAAAGAAATGACATCTCCCTATGTTTCCTGTTAGTCAACGGTTTCCTATGAGAATGTTGAGAGGGCTTCAGTCGCAACAGAAGGTAAAGAAGTCATCGGTTTCTAATACCTTTTAAGAGCGCTGGCTAAAGTCCTGTACATTGAAAACTCATGGAATCCTGTTGATATAGAAAATAGCAACGTACCTTATTGTTCATAAAGGGTGCATATGCGCCGCCAATGGCTGATAACAGGGACATCCCTCTCTCGGGGAGTGCAAAGGCCGCCAAATAGACGATATGCTTGACTCCTCCAGGCAAGCCTTTCTCACGGCGCTGATGAGCCTGGTAGCCCTCCGCTGCTGCAGAACCAGGAATGCCACCATAACTGTGGCAAACTAGGACAATCTCCTTCCCTGCGGCCAGTGGCTGCTCCATTGCCGCACGGATTACAGCAATATCATCTAGATAAGTCTTTCCGCGAACTTCTGAGATGGCAGTGCCAGCTGTGGCGCTCTCGGGCTGCACAACGCTGAAGCCTCGGGAAGCTAATCCTTGTTTCAATGCGTCATATTGGGATGGGCGTTGCCATGCACCGTGAACAATGACGATGACCGGCTTGTCGTGAACCATGGTTGGTAAAGGGGGGACTTATTGGAAGGTTTTGAGCAGCGACACCAAGAAATAGAAAAGTCTGAAGGAGGTTGCATGTCTCGGGCCTTTAGACCTACTTATACCCGTCTTTCGGCCATTGCGGCATAGTAAGCGGCGAAAGCGGCAATCAGTTTATCAAGTCCCAACTAAATTATACCTTCAAAACGTTGTAGAGATGAGAAAAGAGTTTTGTATATTTTAATTACATTATTACCCCTATGTCCCTCCTTACTTCACCGACGGTATATAATAAAACTGCTGCGGCTCTACTTCTGGTGACATATTAAAGAGCAAGGCCCTCTTCAACACCTCTTTGGCAGGGCTCTACGACGAGTTGGCTTCTGCGCCAGCTCAATCTCTGCATTGCGCCGACGAACTAGACCCGGAAGTCTCTGGCCACTGGCATTACCCATTGGGGAAGTTCCTGCGAAATCACAGTATTTGGGTCTTCCCCGTTGTTGAGACGTCCAACAAGAGTGGACGAGTCAGCATTGCCGCGGCCCATGTTGAATGCCCAACTTATGAGGGCACCGTATTGGTTCCTGTTAAGATTCGCTTTGCTGTTCAGCATGGCTGGGTTACAGATTTCGAACTCCTTCGGAGTCGAACTGGGTTAGCAATGACGCTATTCTCTGACGGGGATGACGAACCTTCATGCCATCTGCTAGAAGTTTCTTGCCGTTCACTATAGAAAGCGGGATGGGATACTTGACTTCACTGCACTGGGCCGCGTCACAGAGATGACCATACCCAACCGTCGGATTGCCAGTCGGATCGTTTTCTAGAACCGTCAGTCTCTGCCCAAAGGAACATCATCTCAGAGATTTGACTCACAAACATTGGGTCTGAATCCCTCAAAGCTAGCGATGAGATTGATAGTCGCTGCGTTCGACTTCGGGGCTTTGCACGAACGGCACTTTGAAGTCACGTATCTGCTTGATCCTGTAGCGACGTAGTAATCGGAGACGTAGCACCCGAATGTCATCTTGTCCCAGGGGACATTGCCTTTGATGTGTGTGCCCTCTGTCTGGCAGGTGATGGCAACATCAGTACCCTTGGCGAACTGTCTCTAGATAGCGTTGCTTGTCGTTAGACCACTGCGACATCTGACACCTTCGTCTGTGATGAGAAAGGCGGCGCTGGATGCGACTGCAAGAAAATGAGCGGCAAAGATGTGGATTTTCATGATTAGTTGGTACTTGTGACTGAAATGACGGACAAGAGATCTGACGGCTTTAGAGTGGCATAATGCATGCGGCCTGTTTTATGTCTTCATGTAGTATTATTAAACAGGGCGTCGAGGTCGGTCATATGATCATCAGTCTACGAGCTCGAAAGAGGGTTGACACTGTGCAACCGCTGGGAGTCCGCTTCTCTTAGACCAGTATCGATGCGTAGCGGACAGGTAGGGGGGATCGGGAAGCACCGTCAGAAATAAAGATGTTTGTACTACCCCGAACCTTCATCCTGAAGCTCTGTTAGCCGCAATGGTAACCTATTTCGACAAGGTGTATGCAGTAAGCCTTGACTTGCCACGTGCGATACGGGACAGCTATCCTAGGGGCCAAGGTCCGAAGGACTTGGCCCAGGATCAACCCCTCAGCTTGGGACTGGAGGTGTCTGGCAAAGTTATACTTTGAGGTGGAGTGTCAGGAACCTTGATGCACAGAGCATGGGCTTACTTTTATGCTACTTCAGAAGGAAATTGTGTAAAGCTATGACTGTTGTATAAATTGCATTTCTTGGAATATAAATAATAACTATCTGGCTCCGATGAACTGTCCTCTCTCATCTCCATACCTCGCTTAGTAAACGTAACGGAAGTTGAGGTTCTTCCTGTCAGTCACATCAGAGATCTCAAGATGCTCCGTCTCATCCCGAAGACCAGAGCTAGTCTGCTGGAGCTTGTCACGTCGTTTGTTCTCGGCGATCAATACGAATCGGAGAACAATCATTACAACGGTGGAAATGCCGAAGCAGATCGAAGTCGCCAAGAAACCGCTCTATGATCCACGACGTCAGTAATGTCCCAGGTAGACCCTTTGATCACAGTGACTGGTTGACTTACCGAGTACTCGGGGGCTTCGCGGGGAAAGAACAGAAAAGGGCCGATGATGTTACCAGTCGTGTATGCCATAAACATCATCGCGGAGGCGACACTCTTCTTGGTAAAGCCAGCGACGTTGGAAGCGACCATGGACAAGGAAATTGGGAAACCAGCAGCGAACGCGACAAAGATCCAGAGGCCGAAGAGTTGACTTCCTTGGTTGGGACCATAGCGAACAAGAAGCGAGCCAGCCAAACTGTTACAGTTAGATGGTGAAGTCACACGAGGTCGGAGATGCTTACCTGATCAAGCTGAGGCATGCGCCGATAATGGTTCTGTAGCCGCTGAAACGACTGCAAAGGTATGTTGAGCCAAGGGCGAAGAAAGCTAGGATAGCACCCATGGGCATGTTGAGAAGGTAGACCTGGAAACGACTGAAGCCGAAGCCTGCCATGACAAGACTGCTGAACTACAAACTGTTAGGTTATTGCTACAGTCATGGACGAGGATCACGTACAGTGGTATGAGCACCGTTGGGGATGCTGAAAGCAATTTGAAAGACCATCAACAGGAGGACATTGGGGTCCTTGATGACTTCGCGGACTTGCTCCCACTTGAAGCTGTTGTTCTTCATGCCGGTTTGGTTACTTCGAATACGATCGATGGCATCGATGCGCTGTTGTTGATCGAGGAAGCGCGCGTTGTCGGGGGTGTCGGGGAGGAAGATGGCTAGGACGATGGCCCAGACGAGGGTGATGAGACCGAAGATGATGAAGAGCCACTGAAAACAAGAGTCAGCTGTTGTTACTCAGCACAGTTTGGGGGCACTTACTCTCCAAGCCGCAAGGGCACCGCCGATATGAGCGATACCATATGCCAACAGACCTCCAAATGAAGTGGCGATGGCATTACCCAAGAACCAAATACCGTGTCGGAAAGGCTGTTCCTCTCGCTTGTACCACATTCCAGTGATGAGGGAGAAACCAGGCGAGATGGAAGCTTCTGCTACACCAAGGAAGAAACGAGCGACCAGAAGACCGGGGAAGGTTTGGACTGCGGCGTGGCAGCACAGGATGATGGCCCAGGCGAGACTAAGATACTTTAGTTGGAGCATTGTGAAATATGGAAGGGTGAACTTACCTTGATCCAGCGAGATATTTGCCTAGAGGCAGACGGACCATCAGCCATGATGCTGGGTAGCTGAAGGCGAGGTAGCCGAAGTAGAAGGCACTGCTGCACCAGCTGTATCTTGATCCAACGAGTTCCTGCTCATGTCAGTGAATGCTGAGTACCTCTCGATCGATGCATACTGACCAAGTCGTCGATGATGCCCATGATAGAAGCAAAGTTGAGCGACTGCTTGTCAAGGAACTGCAGTGTGTATGATACAAGAAGAAGAGGCATAAGACTTGACGCCAATGTTAGCACTCATCATTTACAGCTTCTAAGGACAACTTACCAAAGATCAATCCTTCTCAGAACCTTCTTTCCTCTATAGTGGTTATCAACACCCTCTTCCGCAACCTGCATCGACCCCTGAAGACTCAACGTCTCACCCATCTTCACATCAGGGTCCTGAGCCGGGACGTTGATCTTGTCTTCTCTATCAGGAGCCATGATGTTGAAGTAAATCTTGCAAGTGTTGAAACAAGAGAATAAAGAACAAAAGTTGATGATTGATGATGAGTAGGGAGGATTGGAAGCCAGTTAAGTAGATATCCCAAGGGGTTCTAGATCCAGTAGCTTTATCTCTTGCTTCCCAACTTGTCTCCACCCCCGCATAAACTCCAGATAAGTCTGGGGATATTATCTCAGCACTGACGTTTTGATCAAGGAGGGAGATACCATTCAAGTCTGAAAAGTTGAAGTCATTTCACTACCCGTTTGAAAGAGCCGTACTGCTAGTTTCTCCAGCTCGGATATCGCTGGGTGGTTATTGGTTGAGTCGGCAAAGTTAGGTTGTGGCGTTGCCGATTGGTCAACTCGGCTAAGTGACAGTCGGTAAACGTTGGAAGACGGACCTGACATTTTGGGAAGAATGCGGAGGGCGGTGGCAGTTGGTACGCCGATAGTTCCCCATCATGGTTCCGCGGCGAAGATAATGACGATGCATTATCTTCAGCGTCAGAGACATGCATATGTGGTCTTATCACATGGGCGGTATCAAGGGTGACTCAGAAGGGAATTACTACGCGATATCATCGCCCCTTCGATAACCACTCCAATTAAGATGACATAACAGTATAACCAAGGCTTCATTATCTCATAATTTAGGCGAACTAAAGTCTATAACCAATCGGCTCAACATCCCTCTTAAACTCATCCCTCGCTTGATCCATCAACTCAGACTCAAGGAGCATCTCGCAAGCCGTAGCTGCTAATCCCTTTGCACAGTCTAAAGCTCGTTCAAACGCTTCTCTTGTTCCAGCTGCTTCTGCAAACTTGGGTGTATGGGGCTGGATCATAGGGTCTTGTGTTCCGACGGCGAACATGGGATGAATGCCTGGGACGCAGTATGTGACGTTGCCTGAGAATGTTAGTCGAGCTGAGGGTTGAGGAGGTGGTGGACTTGCCCATGTCTGTTGATGCGCCCATTGGTGGCTGGTTCGCGTCTCCGATGTAATCTCGTCCAAAGGCTTGCATGTGTTTTGTAAACTCGTTCGACATGGACAGGTTCGGTCGAAGCTCCATGTAATCTTGGTCTCTGCTTCTCGTTAGAACAACCTCCCAACTTCAATGGATTACTCACGATTCACAACTGCACTTTACTTCACACCCCGTAGCGATAGCCCCAGCCTTGAAACAAGCCTCTACCCTCCCCGTAAGCTCCTTGATCTGATCAGCCCCCGCCGCTCTCAGATAATACTCCAGATTCGTCGAATCCGGAATGATATTTGGCTCAGCACCTCCATTCCGAATAACGCCATGAATCCGCTCCGTAGGTTGAATCTGCTGTCTCAGCAGCGAAATATTCACATACGATGAAACAACCGCATCAAGGGCATTCTTCCCATGCCAGGGCGTATTCCCCGCATGAGCATTCTGCCCCGTAAACGCCACCTTCATCTGCCTCCTCGCACTCGACCTCGCCGCCGAAACACCATCTATATTCTTCTCCCCCTGCGGCGACAACCTTCCCGTCGGATGAGCCATCAAACAAGCATCTACACCCTCGTAAGCACCAGCCTTGATAAGGTGAACCTTTCCACCGCCGCCTTCTTCAGCTGGTGTGCCGAGGAGGCGAACGCGGCCGGGAATGTTGAGGGAGCGTATTGTCTCGGCGGTGGCGATGAATGCGGCGATGGAGCTTGTTGCGATGAGGTTGTGGCCGCAGGCGTGGCCGAGACCGGGAAGGGCGTCGTATTCTGCGTTGAAGACGATGAGTTTGCCGTTTTGGCCGGATTCGACTTCGAAGGAGGTTTGGATGCCGTAGGCGGAGCGCTTGACGTTGTAGCCGAGACGGTGCATGAGATCGCAGATGTTGTCGTGGGCTTTGAACTCTTTGTAGTTGAACTCGGGGTTCTCATGGATCTAAAGACATTAGACAACATCCCCCAAAGCTATTGGGAGTGATGTACCTTTTTGCAAATGTCTGCCAAGTCCTGCTCATGATGAGCGACAGACTTGGAGATCTTCTCATAAAGCGGCTCGTTGGAAGACATGTTTGCTCTGCTCGTAAAGTTTACCCCAGGAAATGAACTACCCCGGGCTTGGCCAGCTTATAAGAAGCTTCGTCCTAGCTCCTGCGGGTCATGACACAATTCAAGCTGAATTTCATGACGCCCGTTCGCTGCATGAATCAGGAAACTCCGCGAGACAGAAAGTGTCCCGATATGGCTATTTTCGGCTAGTTTTTGGCTGCTTACAGGGGAGCTTCAGGAGGTCTGTGTGGCAGTTTTCCGACGGGTAACGTAAACCGACGGCCGCTAAAATTAGCCGAGGGGTCCAATGGGAGCTTGGGGATGTGTTATCGCAGTTGAGGCTGATGAGAGGGACAAGATTTTCTTGGGGAGTATTAATAAACGGGTGATTTCCTTGACAATGTCGATTTCTGTTGCAGGGAGAGATAGTGATGTCGTTTGAGTTGATGGACCTGGTCTTGGATACGACGCAACTCGGATATACGGTTATAGATATGATATGGCTGGATGGACAATGAAACGCGAGCTGCAAAGACTTTGGAAATAATAATCAAGACTAGCTATTTCCGTACTAACACAAACTCAATTCATCGGCATCTCATCCCGACATCTCCTCATCCTTGGAAACGTCCCCCATGCAATCACCATCGCAAATTTCTCCCCAATCCCAACCCCAATCCCCCCCGCAGCCTAGACTTTAACGCCCTGACGATAACGAAAAAAAAAAAAAAAAAAAACTGATTCAGTTGCACGTTGCATCACAATTACACAACATATACGATCCCATGTTATCTGCACAGCGCGTCTGTATTCCCGAGTCATATCTCCGCCCGCCATGCCCTCCCCCATCGCAGATCGCCGAAAAGCGCGTTCCAAAAACGGTACGCCCGGAACACCACACCGTTTCCGATATCGCTGCTAACAAAATAAATTCTCAAGGATGTTTGACATGTCGTATTCGAAAAGTCAAGTGTGATGAACAAAGACCAGTTTGTAAACGCTGTGAGAACAGTCCTAACAAGTGTGAATGGCTTGAACCGGGCCAGGCACTTAGTGCAAGGGGGAAGAGGGTTGAGAGTCCTGCGTACGGAAGTCCGAGATTGCTTGCGTCTAGTGAATCGCCTGCGAGTTTTGACTCGGGAAGTCCTGTTTCACCAGCGAGCGGACATGACTTTCCACGGTCGCATTTAGCAGCGGCGCATATACCGCTTGCGAATTCACTGCAGTTGAGTGAGCAGGACAGAGCGGCCTTTGCGTACATCCCTTATTCGACTATGGTGGTGAGTTACGGAAAGCTCTGGCCGTGGAGTTGTTTCTCGTATATCTATGCGAATATCGCGAGTGTGTATCCCGGCGTGATGAGGAGTTTTATCGCAGTTGCGAATATGGAGCTACGAGCGAGGGATCTTCTTGAGGCGGGTGCTTCGGAGAGGGCGAGTCGGCTTGGCGCTTCAGCAGCGGTGCATTATACACAGGCATTGAAGGATCTGTCGTCGTTGTTGGATCGTATTTGTCAGACGCCGGAGCAGAACTGTGATATCGATGCGTTGTTTACGATGTGGTTTCTAATCATGAGGTATGAGGCTTGTGATTCCGAGACTACGGGGGCGTCGTTGCTGCATCTTGATGGGATACGGTTGTTCTTGAGGCCGTATTTGCGGGATGATGGACAGGCGACTGAGAAGAAGCTACCTTGTGTTGCGCAGGCGATGTTACTGTATACGTTGTAAGTTCACTGACTGGAACACCAGTGTTCTGTACTGACAGACATAGATACCTCGACGCGGACTCGGCAACAGGCAACATGAACAGCGGACAGTTCTGTCTTGACTTTCTATCGCGCGATGCTCATGACTACATCTCACATGAACATCTCTTCCTCAGTGTCAGATCAGCTCTTCCCAAAATGTGGGGTGAACAATATCCTATATCAGAACTCCTCGACGATTTGGAGAACTACCGCCCTCTTCGCTTATATCATCTATGTCAAGGATCAAAGCTTGAGCTCCTCAGACTAGCACGGTCAAAAACGCACGGTGGATATGATGATCTGAAAAAACTCTGGCGACATGTCGAAAGCTTCGGTGACGTACGACAGCCCATCCAGTATAACCATTGACATTCGACTAACGACAACAGGAATTCGCCGATATCCTCCTCCTAGCAAAGAAAACACCCTCCTCCGGCGGAAAACGTCTCATGTGGACAGTCTACGCCGCTGCCCTCGACTTCCACGCCCTGCAGATCCTCTGCTCCAGCCTAGACACCTACAACGAAACGCCCTTCAAGCCCGAGCCCTCCCTATCCTACATCTTCAGCGTCGCCACAAAAGCCCTCGAAGAAGACCCCCGCCAGGTGTATCGTTTTATGTGGTCGCTCTCTGTAGCACTCAGCAAGATGAATCAGGCTTGGTTATCTACGCAGCTTGCTAAAGCGAGGGTTTTACTACCGCGGTTTGGAGTTCCGGGGTTGATACTTGAGCAGTGTGTGGGGTTGCATGTCAGTAACGAGGGAGCACAGTAACTCGTTTATTCTTGTATGACCTTGTAATTAAAAGTTTATAGATTTGCTTTTTAAACTTCTATGGTGAAGGATTCTGTTAGGGGGAGGGCGCGGCTGCTGGAGCCGACGAAAATGGTGTAGTTGCCTGATTGAAGAGTCCAATCCTGCTTGACGACGTCCCAAACGCTGAGATCACGCCTTGTGAGCTCGAATGGAATCTCAGCAGATTCTCCTTTGCTGATCTTGACCTTTTCGAAACCTCGGAGTTGCTTGGGTGGACTATTCGGAATTGCAACGTACAGTTGAGTAATCTCCTCACCATCTCGTTTTCCAATGTTGGAGACGGTAGCTTGAACAGTGGCAAAAGTACTCCAGAGATCGTCATCGGTAGCTGCAGCACTTGTCTCAGCAACCTTGACTACCAAGTCAGAGTACTCGAACTCGGTGTAGCCAAGCCCATACCCAAATTCAAATCTCGGCGCAACATCCCGATCGTCGAAAGAGCGGTAATCAAGATACACGCCTTCAGTAAAGTCGCACTGCGGATCCTTGCTCCCCTCCTCCAGTCCACAAGGCTTGTATGGGACATAATCACTCTCGTTCTTTGCCAGGGTATACGGCAACTTTCCTGAGAAATCTGCTTCACCATAAAGAAGCTTAACAAGCGCTTCGCCACTATCTTGGCCGGGAAGATGAGCGATGATTGTTGCTGTGATGTTAGGATGCTCGATCCATTGATCAACAAGACGAATGCCTGCTGCGTGGATTGTAACAATCGTGTTGGCGCACTGTGACGCAACGTTGAGGATTAGTGCGTCGCTGAAATCATCGTGCAGACCATCGCGGTCCCATCCTTCTGTCGCCATGGCGTTTATGAAGACAAGGCAAACGTCTGTTGCGCCGTTTACGTCGGGGTTGGAAGAGGACAAGTCCCAGTTTACCCAACTTCCGTCCTTCGCAGCTCTTTGTTGGATCGCGCTGAGAGGCTGTAAAATGTTAGAAGGTTGTCAACAACAAGAGAAGAAACTTACATCGCTGATGTAAGGCGGCGAATTAGCAGCTGCCCTACCACCCGAAACAATAGTCCCTCCCTTGGCAGCTTGATCAAAGTGCTCTTCAGTCCCAAGAACAGCCTGCCCCATCTCCGGCGAAGACGTATATCCCAGCTGGAAAAGATTATCCGTATTCTTCGTCTTGGCCACGGTGGCATCATATCCAAAGACAGAGATCATCTTGGGCTTTTGAGCAAAGGGAAGAGTGTTGTTTTCGTTCTTCACGAGTACGTGCCCTGCAATAGCGCCCTCGAGCAGCGTTGGTCGTGACTCGGGAATGCGAGCTTCGACTTGTTCGTGGGGGAGGGAGAGGTTCTTCATTCCTACGCCGGGGGTTGGAAAGTCAATGTCTTGGCCGACGAGGTACCACGCAGCCAGGATTCTACTACTGTTAGTAAAAGCTCACTTGGTGCTTGAGGGAACTTACCTCATAGCCATATCCGTAACCCTCTCCTCCTTGACAGTCCCATTTTCAACAGCCATCGTCAAATTCTCACCCCAGAATCCGCCCATCGGCATCACCATATCAAGTCCCGCATTCGCACTCTCAAGATTATGCTGCGCATTCCAATCTAACAACACAAACCCCTCAAACTCAAGCTCAGTCTTGAGAAGTCCGTTCATAAGTTTGCTGTTCTCGCAGGCATACGTTCCGTTGACGCGGTTGTATGAACACATCACCGATGCAACGCCTGCTCTTACTGAGTCGACGAAGGGCCAGAGGTAGTACTCGTGAAGAGTCTTGTCGTCGATGTTGGAGGATACTGCTTCGATGCCGAAATAGGGACGGCGGTATGTTTCTTGTTCGTTGGCGATGAAGTGCTGTGGGTGTTAGTGGTGGTGATGGATGGGAGGGGGCTACTGACTTTGACGTTGGCGATGACTCCCGCGTCTTGGTGGCCGATGATGGTCTCTGCGCTGAGTTGCCCCGTCAGGTACGGATCAACTGAGAAACCCTCCCAGTTTCGTCCACCGAGTGGTGTTCTTCCCAAAGGTCCAACGTTAGGACCAAGAAGGACGTTGACTGACCATGATCAGTATGAGAAGTGTACCTCAGTTGATGTACTCACCTCCCTTGGCCTTGAATTCTTTCCCCATGTAATACCCCCGCTGATATGTCAAATTCTTATCCCAACTCGCACCAACATGCAAAGCAGAAGGATACGAGTTCACAAAATCCGTCGCTCTCACTCCATTGCCTGCATCATGGAGACATAAACCCGGCCAGCCAAGACGCGGAATCGTACCCGTGTTGCCAGCGCAAACATTATCAGCCGCAAAACCACGCGTGACGTTGACTTTTTCTTCAAGCGTCAATCGATCTACAAATTGCTGCGCTTTCGAGTATGCATCTTTCCAAATTCCTTTGTCCGTTCCTTGCGCTGTCATAGGTTAGCGTGATCAGGGGGTAAGTTTATTAGGCGGACCTTACGCGATGGATGCTCTTCAGTCGGAATCTCAGCAGGGAGAGAGAGCGAAGACGTGACTTGCAGCGCAAGACACAATAGCTTGGTCGACCACATCATGTCAGGAACTACCTCGCAGATCCTCATCTTGGAAGAAGCGGAGATGTTGTTGCGCTGTATTTATCAGTTCATCGCGTTACCTGAGCTTTGTTGCATGAACAGCGAATGAGCCGGCGATTAACCGATAGGTCCCCGTAAATACGTCATTGGACGAGGATCGCGGAAACTCCGTGCTTCACCGCCAAGAGATGGGGCCAATCGGAGGGTTAGCCGGTGGTACAGGGTATGTTGCGATGGATTTTGGAGTTGCGATCCGGGGCCCCGGAGGGTGAGAGTCCCCCGAGTCCCCCACGTGGAGTAGTGAATGTCATGCTGTTGATTCAAGATCGTCAGATAGATGAGGTTTTTCTCGAATTCCTTTGGCTATAATGTATGGGTTTTAGCCGGACGCAACGTTGCCTTCGGCAGTTCGTTTGCTTAATCAAACTAGCCTCGCCTTATTCGAGTCAGCGTCAGGAGGCTGGCAATATTAGATAACTTCACTGTTGTAAAATTAACACAAGTAAACATCCTGCGTCAATTGGGCTGATGCAGGTCAACATGGTATGCGACAATGGAATCTGGTTAGACTAACTGTGAAGAGAGACAATTGCTACACGGAGCATCAACACCACTTCCAACTGTTTACCATCGTGACTAACACGTGCAAAATTGACGTGGAACATTGAGAACAATAGTAGATGCACTTTCGCTTTAACTCGATGTCCGAACTCTCTGGTCTCGAAAGTCCGAATGCTGCCAGGCTGTATATCCATTAACCCAAAATCCTCAACCGCCGTTGCCGACTGTTGTGAAATCAGGCTCTCACATCGTGGGGGTTTCAAGTCACACAAGACCGAAAATGTCAGACTTTGGCTCGCTTTGCAAAGTGCAAGCGGCGCAACAACTGTCCGTGACCCAAATGTCTGCCATTTTTGACAACAAAAGTGAGGCTGTTTTCGTCGCGTCTACAGTGGGCAAAAACGCGAACCGAGTGGCATCATGCATGTGAGACGTAGTTGGCTGAACGCGTTGCCCATCATTTGCACAGAAAGGTCTGCTGATGGAAGCCCCCAACTTTGAGGCCCCCAAATATGCAGCACACCAATACTGAGATAATCAGGCTCTGCGTACACAATTGTGTGTACCAATCAAACGCAGGCATATCGAGATGGCAACGAGGTTCTTTGAGGCTGTTGCAAGATATAAGAGTGATAATCTCGTACCTTTAACAATGAAAAAGAACGCTCGTTATAAGCTTGTCTCTCATTTGAAATGGCTGTCGCTGGCTCCTCAGGAAAGCGCCCAGAATGGTGCCCCCCTGGAAGAAGTCTACACATCACTCCACCAAGAAGATCAGGCTCTCAGTCTTCGTCTGGGAGTTCTTCAAAGAGGCCAAATTCTTCTTCCTCTTCACGACATAGTCCATCACCGACGACTCCTTCATCTTTGGAGCCGCCTATTAAATTAAGGGGGAAATCAAGCAACCAGCCATCTAATTCCCAATATTCAAGATCAAGGTCGAGTTCCCCAGCTTGTAATGATGGGGCAGCAAGCCAAAGCTCAAGCCCGGATGTTCATGGCAAGCTCAAGGAATCAGACCTTGAGCTATCTCAGGGAACCCAAAGCATCTCAACTTTAATCCGTTTGCCGAAAGATTTGTTCTATGTACGTGAGAGTAGCCAAGCATATGAGTTAGGCCTTTCGTCACGGCAGGATGTTTTCACGCTGGAGCCACGATCGGTGGAAGAGATAGAAATGCGCTTCCAGGTCCAGAATCAGCTGGATGAGCTCGCTGTACAACTAGCGAATGTTTCCCAGGACCGTGACGAAGCTCAATCTCGTGCCAACGACTTAGAGCAACGATTGAATTCTGCTCTCGAAGTCCAGGCAACTCGGCAAGCATCAGAAAACTCAGAGGCCACCTCCACCTTGCCAGATGTTCGACCAACTGCTAACCCTGAGGAGTTTACGCCGGAAAATTTCATCTGGGTAAAACAGCAATGGGACCGCGTTGCAAAAGAAAATCTCAAAATGGATAACTCTCTATACATTGCTGGTGTAGAAAAACACCGGCTGGAGGCTGAAAATATCAGACTCTCTCGGGTAATAGAGAACTATCAGAAGCGGAAGATGGGTCATGGAAGGTCCATGAACGACGCTGCACAGCAGACCGAAAATGAGTCGCCGCGAATAGCAACAGTGGCTACCCAAACAGATTTTATGGATCAGATCTCGCTGCAAAACACGGCGAACAAGCCCATTGAGCCAGAGCATCAGGCAGTTCCTCCTCAGCAACCGAGGATTGTAATGACCGACGCTGCAATTCAAGCTGTAGAACAGCATGACGAGAACATTCTGCTTGATGAGTTACCCGACCAAACAATCAAAGACTCTGGGGCACTGGAGGTAACTATACAAGAGCTAACAGGCGACAAAGAAAGGCTTGAAAAGCAACTTGAAGTGTGCATCAAACAGAACGCTTCTGGACGGGACAGCTCGACACAGACAGAAGGGACAAGAGGTGAAAGGGCCGCCTGTCAAACTGCCATGATCCATGTGATCGTCGCACTATGATACCGAGAGCTGAGACACTGCAGTCTTTAGCTTCTCGGACTGATCATGAGAACAGGCTCGCTGATAAGAGCGAAAATAATGTTAATCGTCAGGAGAACACTGAGAGAAGATCTGCTCTCGAGCAACCTCAAAACGAAGACAGCCCTCCAGAAGAACCAGAGAGTCAAGTCAGTGACGCAAACCCAGAAGAAGCGCAAATCAGGAGTACAGACCCCGGAGTCGAGGTTCAAGGCGCCGATGTCGAGATGGGAGGTATCACGACGGGACAAGATTCACCAGCACCCCAAGACATCGCGATGGAAAACGATGCCCCAGCGATGCCAGCCACACCTCCAGCAAGATTAGAAACAGAAGTAATCCTGCGATTCGATCTACAGTGGCATTTAAACAGTATTAGTCGAGATTCAAGAACGAACAGCGACGATGCTAGACGCCGACGAGACAGCCGACGACCTGAACGCCAAAGACGACGAGAGCAGAGGAGGTTAGAAAGAGAGGAAGAAGCTCAGCGACCTCGCAAGCACCGTGATCGTTCTTACGAAGTGTATACACAGAAAAAGAAAACTCTATGGCCACTTGGATGGGTAAGATATCGCCGTCGAACCTTGATGGATTTCTTTTCGTTCAGCTACATGTTTTCTCGCCGCTTAAGCTATCGTAGCAGATGCATTTAAGTTTGTCATCGTTCTTCTAATCTTTATCTCTCTGGTATTGTATGTAGTTTCTTTCTGCAGAGCTTGCTTTGTCGTCGCTCCTTTGAGTCAACCTGGAAGCCAATCCTTCTCGTGCCCAGGATGATATCATGTTTCCTTACTGATCGGCTTTTATATCCTCTCATAGATTGATACTTAATACGAGAGAGGGTTCTATTTCTGATCCAACAGACTAAATTGATCGGGCGTACTGGTCATCGTATTGCCATTCCGCTCTTGATTCAAATGCGACGTCGGCATGGAGTCGGCCTCCGCGGGAGGTTATGAGCGGGAAGACCCCAAACTCTATAGTGTGACATCTCATGCGACGCAGATAAGCAGTAACCCCCAACCTGACGTCGGTGATTGTCTACGCTTACCTCAGATGGTGACAGCCACCTCGAAGGAATTTCCCGATCTAGATATTGTTCCTCATCCTTTTTCGCTTTCGTATTGGATCCTTCAAGGCACCACGGTGTAACTTGAATTTGCTATTAATAAAAGCCATTAGCTAGCTGAAGATACCATTATCACCCTCGGTGTCTTCTTTGACGCTCCAAGCCGCTAAAAGATGACATCTCGCAACCCCGCAAGCCTTGCGCCTCCACTAATAAGATTGCGGAAGCATGCTGCGATGAACCAATAATGTCGCATTCAATTCACATGCGAGATCCCAGCAAGGTCGGCAAATGCCTCCCAGATTAGAGTTTGCTGTCCTCTTACCGATTGTCCCGCTGACAACGCGTATAAAGACCGACTACGCCCAGTAAAACTTGCTTGCTTCTGCAATCAGCCATCATGTCGTCACGTCTCATTGAGCTAGTGGAGCGCGCTCCAAAAGACTTCACCTTAGCCCTAGGCTTCTCAATCCTCAGCGCGCTGTACCTTCTCCGACGCTGGCTACTTCCAAAGCCAATCCCAGGTATCCCATATAACGAAAATGCAGTCAAGTCCTTCATGGGCGACATCCCCGAGTTCAGAGATGCTCCTAATCGTCGAGAATGGTGGGCGCAGCAACCTGCGAGACATCAATCGCCAATCGTTCAGGTCTTTATGAGACCTTTCGGCGCACCATGGGTTTTTGTAGCGGATTACTTTGAGGCCTCGGATATTTGTATGCGTCGATTGAAGGAGTTCGACCGAAGTGATGTGACGTGGGAGCAGTTCAACGGTGTTGTACCGGGTCATCATATCACGCTGAAATCCTCGGATCCAAAGTTCAAGAAGAACAAGGAGTTGATTCGTGATTTGATGGCACCGACTTTTCTTCAGCAAGTAAGTACACACATGCTATGCAACGGAGTGTTGGCTGATTTCTATAGGCTTCGGCTCCGGAGATCCACGACAAGTTCGGTAGTCTTCTCAAGCTTTGGGATCGTAAACTAGACCTATCAGGCGGCAGGCCATTCGACATAGCTCAGGATATCCACAACTCAGCACTCGATATTATCCTTGGTGCCTCCTTTGGCATTGAATCTGGAGACGGGCAAGTTGGCAGGCAGCTCGCAGAGCTCAAGGCGAGAACCGTATCAGGTGGACAAGATGACCTCTTCGAGTTCGAGGACGTTACTATCGACGAAGAACAGAGTTGCTTCACTACTATTGCAGACAGTGTCGGTCTGTCCATGAGATCGCCTCTCCCCACTATCCATCACTTCCTCTACCGTAATCTCTCGTCAGAGATGCGAAGGGCAAGAGCTGGACGTGATAGATTGAGGGATCGTGAGATTGCCAAGAGCATTGAACGAAGAGAATCGGGACAACCTCAACGCTGTGCACTGGATAATATGCTTGCTAGAGAGGATGTCATCGCTGAGAAAGAAGGACGCAAGCCCAATTATCGAAGTCAAACGATTATGAGCGAGGTATGTTACTTTTACTACGTGGTGAGACTTGACTAACGGTTTGAAGCTGATGGGCTACTTGGTAGCTGGACATGAGACGACATCAGCTGTTCTGCGATGGGGCATGAAGTACCTGACTGCCAACCAGCGCGTACAATCACTTCTCCGTGAAGCTATCCGAAACGCACATCCAGAAGCAGTAAAGCAAAACAGGGTTCCAACGACGGAGGAGATTCTTAAAGCTCATATCCCATACCTCGACGCTGTCATAGAAGAGATGCTAAGGCACTCACGCGTCGCCCCAGTCACCCTTCGCCAAGCCACCGCCGATACCCAGATCCTCGGTCGATTCATCCCTAAAGGAACAACAGTTGGCTTCCTCGGCAACGGCCCTGGCGTCATGATGCCCAGCATCCCAGTCAACCAGGAAAAGAGATCTGAGGCTGTTTTAGCACATATGGAAAGAACTCAACTTTTTGATGAAGAAGACCTTGCGCAATTCGTTCCCGAAAGGTGGCTTACGACCACTGTTAATGGGGAAGGTGAGGAAGAGACGGTGTTTGATCCGCAGAAGAGACCGTCTCAAGCATTTGGACTTGGACCTCGTGGCTGTTTCGGTAAGAAATTGGCATATATCGAGATAAGGATATTTCTCGCGCTGTTCTTCTGGATGTTCAAGTTGGAGCCGATTAAGCCTGAGCTAGCGACCGAGGATGAGATGCTCGCGTTAACGAGGTCGCCGAAGAACGTGTACGTCAAACTGGCAAAGGTTCAACATTAAACTCAGTTGAAAATTAGTTTTTAAGCAACAATGGCATATAATTTAAGGTAGAAATAGTGTATGCCGGCAAAAAAACATACAACAGCGGGTATTCGCTAGTCGTCACCGTCCTAACTACTAATCCGCCCCTCATCAGCTTGTCTATGGGAGAGCAGACGGGATCCCGAATTTTCTGATAGGTGTGGTCGTATGTGATTGAACGAGCCCGTAGTCATTGCTATATAGAATTGTCGCGATGCTTGTTCACCAACATTGGTTATGTGGAAAGCATCTCGATGCAATACTTGAAGCTAGACTGCACCAGGGTTCTGATAGGTATATTCTGGAGCTCCACTCCATTGGAGATAACCATTACTTCCAAAGAAATGCTTGTCATCTCCTAGCCATCCATTGACATATGTTCTCTCAAGTCCTTTTTGGTGTTTCTTGCCTTGGAACCTATCCTCTAGCCACGCCATCCAGAGGCCTCGGACACCTGAGATGATGGGGGTATGGCCAAACTTATCGACATACATGTAACTCAATGAGCTGTTAGGATACAAATTGGCGGTATTGGCGACTGTTTCATTGGTAGTCGAAGCAGCAATGAAGAAATCCTCGGAGCCTTGGATCACCAAAAGAGGACCTGCGAATGGCTTGTTACCGACAATCCCGAGCTTTTCAAAAGCAGCAGCGTGATACGAAGAGTTGTACCAGTTCGACTTTTCAAATGCACTCTGTCGTTCAGTGAAAAATAGCTGCTGTCCAGCTGCAACGCTTCCCCCGATCTGCTTCATCAGCGTTTGCCTAGCAACTCCCAGTGGCGTTAACCATTGACTTGGCTTGAAGTCAGGAAAGATGCTTGACAACGCCACAGACGCACTGTAGCTGCTGAAAAGTCGAGGAGTAGTCAACGGCTTTGTGACGGGTGCTATTGAGATAGTGCCGACATAACCCTTCACAAGGTCCGTGAACGCCCTCCTTCCACTGGTATCTTTTCCTTTGGCTAGTGCCTCCGCTGCACCCCAGGCGATGCCGCCGCCTTGACTATGGCCCATGATTGCGAACTCCCCACTAAGGCGGTTGCTGAATGCCTCGAGGGCAGCTTCCATCGCAAAGAGAGTGTCTTGTGCACCAGCAGGTGTAGCAAAGTACTGATGTGGAATATCAGTTCCGTCCCACGACTTGTCTACACCAAGACCCGCATAGTCTGGCGCAACAACTGCATAGCCTTCTTGTGCGAGTGACAATGGGACCACGTTCTCGTAGTAGAGACCTCGGTGAGCCGATGGGGCAGAGTCAATGAAATAGCCAGATGTTCCATGGGCCCAGAGAACAGCCGGTGCTTTGCCACTAGACTTCTCATCGAATTGACGAGGCAGAAACGGCCAGAGGATATATGCACTGGCAGGAATAATCGTCCCGTTAAAGTTGCGCGTCGTATAAAGAATTCTGCTGAGGGAAGAGCCCGGTGCAATTGAGAATGGTGCTGGGTCCGTTACTTCTTGCACCTTGAGAACTTGGCCAGGTCGAAGATTGACCGGTTTGTCAGCAAGATTGTAGAAGTCATCTTGCTTTGGACCACCATTCGCTAGACTAGATTGATGAAAGTTGATGACAGTATTGACACTGCTTGCTACCGTTTCTGAAAGGTTGGCGTCTTTGATCTGGGGTGAAGAGAGCGAGAATGAGGAGTTGAAGCCTGTTGAGAATGGCAAAGCTGGGGGAAGGTTCTGGGCTTTAGTGGCTCCAAAGAATGATGCCGAAAGGATTAGCGAGAAGATTAAATATTTCATTTTGACTTTTTCTTTTTGTGATATCACGAGCAGATTGAGTTCTGATGCAGGCAGGAGGAATGATTGAACTATTGAGCATAAGCAAGATCTTTATCATATTGTTCCCATTCTGGCATGACAAATCAGCGAGCCCAACAACGTCATATCCTCATCAAAGGATCTATCGAATGTAACGAGATACTCGTCTTAAAATATTCTTGCTGACAAACTCGAGTAATATGACCCTTGAATCCGCATAGAGTCCGCAAAGAACCCGCTTCAGATCCGCAATGCCTCAAAGCCAAGCGTAAGCGTGATCAGCTGCCAACAGTAAGCACATCGCTTACTAGTTATGACCTAATCAGCACGAATGGTTGGAGAAAAGGTCATTATTTTGTTGAATATAGGGCTATCTTGCCTCATTCTCTCATTCCCTTCTCCGCAAGCTGCTTCGCCAACTTCTCTTCCCCTTCATAAAGACCATCATGCGATCCCCCAGCGACCACAGTCGGATATAGCGCTTCCATAGGAACTTCTCGCACATTGACCGAATTACTCTCTCTGTTCCCGATAAGCATCGTCTCAACGATGTTTCCATCGCCGTATTTCGGTTCAGTGAGAACCTGGAACATGACGTTGGCGCATTGTTCTGCGGTAAGTCCCAGAGTCTCTGGTGGCATTCTGTCACGACAGTATTCTGGGTGAAAGATGGGCGTCTGCATGGATGATTAGCGAAGGCTTTACAGGGAAGCTTCTTGGTGAAGGCACTCACGTGTACGGCACCTGGACAAACGGCGGCATTCCGAATGCCGAATCGTTTGCGTACAGTTGACAACGACTTTACGAAACTAACAATGGCTGCTTTGCTAGCGAAGTAGAGAGGCGTCTGTAGGGAGTGCAGGTAACCTCCGCAACTGGCGACCCAAAGGAGGTTCCCTTGCACGTTGCGGTTCTGTAGCCAATAGTCCATAGCAATCTGAGCCAATCTTATTGGACCTAATGCATTCACAGCGAAGGTCTTGTATACTCCCGGATTACCGTCGGCCTTATCCTCAGATAAAGACGACACTCCGGGAGGGTTCCAGAAGGTACTTGATGGGGGTTCGTAAATGCCAGCGCCATTACAGACGATGTCGATTTGGCCAAGCTTCTCAAGCGCTGCGTCCCATAAAGATGAGATCTGGGCCCAATCGCTAACATCGGTCTTTTGAAAGTGGACGGTTGGCTTGCCGCCCTCAGTGGTCGCCCATTTGTTGACGAATTCCTCTGCTTCGGGGCGGAGCTTGAGATCAGCTATCACAACGGAGCACCCATTCTCAAGAAGCTGCTTGGCAAAGGCAAGGCAGATACCTATTGCTCGATGTCAATTGTCCATTTTGTATGCAGGCAATGAGAAGATAAGGCATACCAGAGCCTGCGCCAGTAACAATGGCATTCTTGCCCTTGACGTCGTAAACTGACATGTTGATCAGCTCAATTGAAAGCAGAAACGGACAACACAACGATCGAGGGGCAAAAACAAAGATCGCTACTTCGTATCGAGGGACGTGCTTTATTTGTATCCTTGTTAAACCCCTCAGTACCCTTGAGTTCAGCTTGTGGACCATTGGACCCTGGCATGTTAAAGCTGCATGTTTGAACCTTTATCACACTCGGTCCGGCGCTTGCTTGGGATCGATCTTAAACACGTAGTCGGCTAGTTCCATCGAAATATGGAGGCCGATTACATTGCCTCCTGATAAATTATACTCACAAGTTTTAGAACGATGAACTTCCCATCACTCATAGAAGCCCGACTATTTTACCTGTCAGCAAGATCATATCATCAGGCCACACGCAGCCTCTCATGCGCTCCCCTGACGTTCGTATCAATTCCCTGTTACCATATACTCTATTATTCGTGCACAAAACCGTTCAGGCTAGATTAGCCCACTTCGGATACTCCCTCATGTTGGTTCCGGGAAACAGCTAACCCCGATGCAGAAGCCAAGGATTCGCGGCTTGCAAGGGTCCCAGATCTGTTCAAGTTGAGTCTGGGGATGAGAGCAATGACTTTGAGGTTAAATGCGCTTGGAGGAAGGATCGTTTAGTGGTTTCTACGCGTTTACCGCCGTTCAAGATGCATCTGAAACGGGGTTATAGCGAATTGATAGCCAGGTTCGACTTACTGTCGTCTTGTTGCCTCTTCTCTCATTGGGCTTCTGTTGGTTCTCTAAGCTAGTAAACTTTAATTCCTGACACCAGGAGCTGATGCTGGTCTTCCGGTGCATAATTGGCAGCATTTTGGCTAAAGCTCGACACATCAACAGGGTTGATCATCCAACCGACTACGGTAATTACTCGCGGACATGAGCTGTATGGCTAAGTACTCTTGTATCCCATCTTGCCTGACATTCAACGACCCTCGTTTTGAATTGTCCTGCATTGAGCTTCTACACAATACCTGCCTGTTATGGCAGACGCCTCGCAAGCATGGCACGCAGTCAAACCGGCTGGGCTCGCTGCAGCGCTTCTCGCTGTCACTGTCATATTCACGCCAATGATTCTCGTTGTTGTCGGTTTGAGAATCTGGGTTAGAGTGACGCATCACTGCTTCGGACTTGAAGATTGGCTCATGTGCATTGGAGCGACTCTCAACTTGGTTCACAATGGAGTTGTCATCTGGGGCAGTTTTACCGGGATTGGGACACCAGACTCTAAGCTCAGCACGGCTATGGTGATGGAGGGTTTCAAGGTACGCTTTGCAAGCTTGCTAAGTGCCACTTCTAACAGTGCGTGTAGGCCGTGACCTTCTGGCAGATCTTCTATATCAGCAGCTCTATGTTTATCAAGATATCCATCTGCGCTCAGCTACTGCGCGTCACGGATAATAAGAGAATAAAGATGTTTCTCTGGGGCTTGATAGGTTTGACAGTTCTCATTACACTGGTAGCAGGAATTATCGGCCTTGTCAGGTGCAGACCGCTCAGTGCATCGTGGGACCCAAGCACAGGAACATGTATGGATCAAGGTATACTCTCAGTATTAACCTATGTTGTTTCGGGGATCAACATTGTGGTCGACTGGTCTGTTGCTATATTACCAGTGATCATTCTGTGGAATGTTCAGATGCATAGGACGTTGAAGATCATGGCGAATGTGGTGATGGGTATTGGAGCTCTGTAAGTTTGCACTCGGCGTACCTCGACCTTTACTAACATCCTTTCAGAGCATCTGTTGCGACCATCATCCGGCTCCCATACTCGCCAGCATACTCTCAACCATCCGACCAGCTCTGTAAGTATCCACATCTAGTATATCTAGAGTTTGACTGACTAGTCCTCAGATGGCATCGGGAATATTATCCTCTGGACAGTCGTAGAATGCAGCCTTGGCATCATCGCCGGATCAATGCCTATGCTTCGAAAGCTCTTCAAGGCACTACGAAAAGACGACAGCTCATACGCCAGAGGGACCGATGATATAAACCTCGTCACTATTGGCCAAGTTCGTGGGAAGCATCATCCGATTTATGGTGGGGATGTTAGAGCTACTGTTGCTGCGGGCGAAGATCGAGAGAGCGACAGGGATGATGAGAGCACAAGGCAGATAATCAGGGTTACAAAAGAATTCGAGCAGATATCAGTGATAGAGAAGCCTCGTTCTCAATATTAGTTATCGATGTCTCGGAAAGATAGGTCTAGATAGGATAACAACAATAATACCTTGATCTTAAACACATGCATATACACAGTTAAGCCAAAACAAGGAATTCATATAGGTGCAAAAGCTGTAATAATAATCTAATTACTTACTGTTCTTCCCTACAGACTTGACTTTCGCCCCAGCCTTTGCTGCCTTTTTCCTACCTTTGGGGATCACCATTGTCACTGTTTTCTTCTGCCCCTGCTTGATGTTGATCTGAGCTTGGGCTTTTTGGCATGCCACTTCATGTTTCCTTTTCTGTTTCTTTTTCTTCTTCCTTGTTTTCATCGTCTCGTTCTTCCCAACACTTTGCTTCCCTGCGAGTTTGCCCAACAGCTGTTCGCCCCTAGAAGTCTCATATTTTAATGACTCCTTGGCTACCGGCTTTTTCTCTTGCTTCGCTTTTGCCCTCAACGCCTTCTTCGTTTTCTGTCCTCCTTCTTTTACCGTCATGTTCTTTGTATCCGTCACTGACTTGTTAGAAGGCTTTATAGCCTTTGCTCTGTTCGAAGTCAGTGGTGATGTTGGCCTGACGGTCGCTCCTGGCTGCTGTTGAGTGGTTAGTAAACAACTGCTAGACCCGTATCTCTGTCTTGCGCTACAAGAACGTTTACCTGCGCACTACATTTAGGTAACTTGGTTTTGCGCCATGGCAACTCGATATCCAGGATCCCAAATTTCTTTATCCAAAGCGACGAGTCATTATGTGGCCATATCTGATATATGAAATCGATCGCTACCTCGATGACTGGATGAGCCGTGTCAATCCTTCCAACTGGCCGGTTCCCAATCTTGCCCTTGATGATAGGCTCTTCATATAGTTGATAAAACGATTGCCCCGAAGGGTGAAAGAGAAGGGGTGGAGGATGCGAAAGTACAGTAACAAGGTCACCCTGAGAAACAAACCATGCGAAGATAATAGACGTACCATGGATGTATCTCGGAGGGGCTTGTGTCTGAGGACTCGGATCACCATGATAAAGAAGTGGACCAAGCGCGGTTGTTAATGTTTGGAATGCATGCGCATCGGCCCATTGTTGGGCGTGTTCACGCAACATGCCGCTCCACAGCACCTGGCGGTTGGTCATACATGCTTTCTGGAATCTTGACAAGATCTTGTTGGCCTCTTCGTCAGTAAGCCACCGGCGGATGAGCTGCCGGATTGCATCGGGAGGTTGATTTGTGCCGAAACTCACACCCCGAATTGGCTTGGAGGTTTCCGTGTGTGCGACACTCTTGGGAGAGGTCTGAGCAATGTCCATTGTGTAGAATGCTCTAGTGAAGTTACCTTATCGCAAGGTAGTGTTGGGCAAATCTAAAAAATCATTTAGCAATCTAATATTCGTCATGATGACGCATAAGCACTTAGCGGCCAGCATAGAGAGGGTCGCAGTACAGCGCTAAATTAGAGAGAAGAGAGATCGATTAAGGCTTGAAGTCTTTATCCTTGAAATTTGTTTTATAGACGTTGCTGCCCGGGACTTCCGAAGTATGAACATTGCAGCTGTCATTTATTCGACATAGCCGGTAGAAGTATCCTTGAGTCGAACCAGTAATACAACACAAGTTGCAGAGGGATGCTTGCGACTTGATGCGACATAGAGCAATGTAGAAGAAAGAAGTAAATGGCAATAGACGCTGATGAATTAGAGTCAAAATTTGACGCACTGCTATCAAAGTATTTTCTTACTTAAATAGATAACTAAGTACTAATTATAAATCTAAGTTAACCCTTATCAAAACAGAGTCTACCTTAATACTAATTTATTTTTTAAAATTCAAGTCTACCCCTATTAAAAATCAAGTTAACCCCCTGTAAAATAAGGTAAAGTAATTTAATTATATAATAATTGATTTTAGACTATAGGACTAGACTTGGAACGTTAATTCGAACCTTAAAGAAGAGATCATAATTTAATTTGACCGAAAAATGTGCTGGTGGGCTTTGAACCCCAAGTCGAATTTGCCTACTGGATTTCAGGAGATGGAAAAAGATAGGTGCACGGGCCACCAAAACTGGTATTGGATATCAATACCAGTAGAAGGTTTAGGTTTCCGTGCACTGATAACTCCTCTCAGTTTAACTCCCCCTGACAATCATTGTTTGCGTCGACAGCCTACTGTGCGCAGTCGAGTCGTGGTGGTAATTCGATGTAATACAACAAAAAGAGCTAAATCTGGTCCGTGCACGTCGCTGGGTTACCCGCATCCACTTCCCGGATTCCGAACTCTTTGCTAAAACCCCTAAAACGGCTTGCTTGACCATCTGCAGCTATAAAAAGCCCCTTAGCACAGACTGACCTTAAAGGGCTTGGCAGCGGGCAGCTGGCCATGTAGCAATAGAAGCACAAGGTCATCGGGCAGTCAGTGGCACTTATGATAGGCTGATAAGTGCAGGCAAGTAACTCAAAAGCGGCTCAGCCAGTCACTTGGTGGTGCGAGAGGATAATTTTTGCACTCTTGGCTTTTAGAAGTGTTACTGAATGCCCGATGGCTCTGTGCATCCGCTATCTGGTCAGCTGCCTAACATTAAACCTCTGTCAGTTTGCGCCGAAATCTGCCTTGCTTTCCCATTAATATGGCTATAGTAGGTATAGCCAGTTAAGCAAACTCGTTTTTAAAGCTTTTCGCAAGGCTTGCGTCGAAACCAAACACGGCAATAGGCTGGCAATAATTTCACTTTCCTCTAAGAGCTTCGGCAGCTGGCCAATAGGTACTCGAGCAATGCAACAGATACGTGAGCGATGGCTTCCTTGTGGCTTAATGCTGCGGCTGGCAGCTTGACATCTTGCGTTTTGATAAGCAATAGAAAATTGAGGGAATAGTTTGGACTGCCACCAAAAGTTAATTCAGTTGGTAACGTTCGGTTCGTGATGTGCAGGTCAGCTGAGAGGTTAATCAAACGCATATAAGACAAGTTAAACGCCACCTAAAGCCATCCCAGTCTGTAAGTTACCAATAGCAATCAGAATTAAAGCATCATTTGATGGAGAATCCGGTTTTTGTCACACACTGTCTCAAATCATGTAGAGCTGAACGATATCATCCAGTCTAGACAGGCGGTCTCGTGATGATCATCTGTAATGGTTGTGACCGTCCATTAGTTCAAAGAGATAATATACGATCCATGTGCTAGGCTGTGTTTTTCAGCACAAATTATATCCACCTCAACATGGGAAATAACAGTACTAAACAGAAATACGACCCTCAACCAAGCTTGCTGGGCAACCTTGAGCTTTGTAGCGATGAGAGGCTAGTCGCAACCTTTCGATTCGAACCGTGCTATTGGGAAAAGCATCTATCCTCAAGCAAGTCGTTTCCCGTTGGAATCGGATCGGTGGACGGCATTGGCCACTTGACAGATATGAGGCTTGTCCTCTTCTGGGATGTTCAGAACGCTTTGATGAAGGAGGCTGGAGAAAATACCTCTGAGTTTATCGGTAAGTCCCCTACGCACATTCGCAAAGCAGCCCTTTTCACATATTAGCTACATGCTCATCCTTTCCTTTCGTAGGTACCGCCCTGGACAGACAACATCATGAGATCCTCGGGGGTGCCCTTAGCGTAGCGGCAAAACTGTCTTCCCGCTCCCGCGAACTGATGCAGAAGAATGCTCGTTTATTCCCGCCTAATGGGGTTGCAACATGGGTATTGCCCGTCACCGACGGCGTCGACGAGTCGCATCTTGGTACGACCCCCTCTGATGACGATGAATGCCTGGGCCGGACGAAGTATGGCGTGTATTTTCCCGTCAGTGGTTCCCTTGGAGGACCTATTCAGCAGATGACATTTCGGCCAGACTTCATCGACTCAGGCTGGAACAACGATGGGTGGGCTGAGGAATTCGAAGAGGTTTTAAACTCAAAGATTGGAATCAAGTCGGAAAGGATTGATGAAGTGAAATTTACTACACACGAATTCATACCAGAAGCCGAAGAGTATATTCGCAACTCAAACTAAGAAGTTGAATAATTTATAGATGTCTTGAAATGACCTTGGTTCGCATATGTCATGGGAATCAGGGTCGGGTTTCAGTGAACGTTGAGTCTGTGTTGTTAAGGACCAAAGAAGATTCCATGCCCAAAAAAATATAGTTCAGGGTTTATTAACTCTAGAAATGTCTATGCAGCCAATTTAAAGCTCTGTTAGTAACCAAGTATCTCCTCTTATAGATAAGACGTTTTAGGGATATCCCGTTAATGTTTCAGAACTTGTCGTTTTAACAGCTTAATGCTAATGATCCATAAGCTATATGCAAAAAAAGTGGCTTGTTTATAAAAAAGGAAATTCCTGTATATTACAGGTGGCGACTCTCCCGCCGGGAATTGAACCCGGGTCTCAAGCGTGACAAGCTTGCATACTGACCACTATACTACGGAAGACGAAACAGGCTTAACCTGCTGTAGTGAGAGGATTCGATGGGAACTGAGCTGCAAATACAGTATATACAGGTTTTATTTATTCATCCTCAGGGCATTCAGTGGTGGATCATACCAATTAAGAAGCACAGCAACTTCACCATTTTATACATCGCTGCTCATTACTTGAGTTAATAATGCATTTATTGCCCATTCCTAATTTGAAGGTATGCATCCGCGTTCATCACGAAGTTTCTAAACGACGGTCCAACAGACCAAGATCCTAGGCTCCAAACATGCTCCTGCAAGAGTCAGTATAATCAACCCAGTCGTCAAGATGAAGAACGTACCTTGGCCAGATCAGTTAGATCAATTGTTCCATTAACTGGATCTGGTTTTAATGCATCTTCAAGCGCATACGGCCACTCGCACCGGATATGCATTGACATATCTGCCAACCACGCCATACGCTCCTGAAGCTGCGGTAACTGCACCACGAGATCGCGAAATGCAGGCCAGAGGACAAAGTCGGCCATGCTGATGTGAGGCGTAAATAACTGGTTGGTTCTGCAATTCATCAATATACAAAATGTCAAACAAATCAGGTTGACTTACGTTGGTCTGATCCATTCTGGCATCGCGGCGTATGTCTCCGGTGACGGGTTGATCATCCACCGCATCATGTACCAGAAAACATTCATGGATGCAAAGCAAGTAAAGTCATATCCTAGGTCAACCATAAGTTTCTACCACAGTCATTTGCAGGGCATGTTAGTTACCCTGACATTTCACGCTATGAACCATGCGAGCAGCCCATTGCGACAACAAACACGACCTGTCAAATTGGTGTTGGTCATATAATGCCGCAATGTTTGGATGGTCTCCAATCACGCGGTTGACAGGCTCTCCTTTCTTGAGAAGGCTCGTGGCCTGTTGATATATGTCGCCGAATGCATTGCTCATGTCCCCGGGGTCCAGTTCAGTGTTGAGTGTTGTAGCAGCCCAGCTCGGCAGGAAGATGTTGCGTATCTGCGCGTCTTGTATATGCCTTGGATATCCGTTGGCTCTGATACTATTCGAAAGCGCCAGGTTTCCAAAGTGGTTCTTGTAGCTTGGGTCAGTTCTAAGCGATGTATCGCCAAGCCCCTCGTGTACTTGGCTGTCGGGCTGAGTTGGCAAATATTCATCTACGATAACATCTTGCATGGCCCCTGCCAAATTAAGATCCTCATTGCCAGTTCCCAGGTCTGTGATTTCTTGTGGTATGGGCGTAGTAATTGAGGTAGAAAGATAATAGTCGTTATGGTTGAACAACGGCTGGAAGAACAAGCTCCTTCTTTCAGCCTGATGAGCTGTTGTTCTTCCGTAATTGTTTTCATACGCCGGTAATTGATCCACCAGACTTTCTGTCGTCGAGAACATCGATGGCTGGGAATAGAAGGGCTGTGATGAGTCAGGAGTAGTGTCCTCACCGCTATTGATACAAGACTAGAAAGGCTGTTAGTGCCCAGGAGGCGGAAAATGGCTTCGAGGTCGCATCTTACTGGGGCGTTGAAATCTCTCCGTTCGGTTAACTGCTCATTTGACATATAAGTAGAATGCTCTGTAGTGCAATTTTCTGACTCCATCATCACGCAGGAGTCTTCATTTGACGATGACTCTTCTTGTTGCATGGTTGGCGGTTTTGTAATGGAATACTCGAACTCCTCCACTGGAAACGGGTGCGGATGGCCTATTCCTGAGATGTCACTGCTGGTCTTCTGAAATATCGGATCGTTCGAATTTCTCGAAGTTCGATTATCATCCGCCTGGGGTATCTCGTGATCGTAAACTCTGCCATTTTTCAGCAACTCTATTATCTCGGATGGTTGTTTTTCTTGGTCCAGTAACTCAGACACATCATCTCTCAATTCAGCAGAGCCATTGGCCATTTGCTTCAGCAAAAGCTTCGCAGCGTCCAACTCTTCTTCGAGCTTTTCATTCGCATTTTGTAAGCCCCTCACTCGCGATTCCCTGATGTCCGAATCGTAAACGCATTCTCGGTCGTATTTCGAGCAGCTCACGCAAACTGGCTTTTTGCCATTGCACTGCCATCCGTTAGCTCATAGAAGTTCCATGCTTTTCGAGAATCTCACTTTTGCCTTCCGTTTGCGGCATTCCAAGCAGGCTGATTTGATGATCCCCGATCGCTTCGACACAGCTCGCTTGACGGGAGTCCTTGAAAGAACTGCATCCGCCTTGGGAGGTGCCGCCCTTATAGGTCGGTATGGTAATGCCATGAGCGATTTCGTCTAAAGGCCTCACTGAGTCATCCGCCGACCATCCGATCACGCGCGGTACTGCTTCATTGTGTGAATAGAAGAAGTGCGATAGGGGCGAGCTAAGGCAAGGGACGACGAAAATAAGTGTTCAACGAATCATTTAAGGGATGTGACATGATGAAAAATGGCGGAAATAGGCGCGCGGAAATAAATTACGAGAATGGTGATTGGGCGAGAACCTTTCTGCCTCTTTGTCATCATGGATGGTAGCGCTACGAAATTATGACGTACTATTTCAAGAGATTTATGCTTGTCCAAGTGGAACCACGGGAACAGCCTTGTTTCCGTACTTCCGCGGACAAGATCCCTTCTTCTTATCACTAGCTTAAGAGCGCTTCTTCTTGATGGACTTGCGCTCCATAGCTACCGCACCAACAATACTCAGAAGCGCCAATGCCAAGGGGATATACAGCGTCTGAACAACCGCGTTCTCGTAACCCGACAGCACGCTCTTCAATCTCTCAGGACCAATTGACTCTCTCAGTTTCGACAGACCTGCTTCTTGAATACGTGTAGTATTCGTCCCGGGCGCAGCGTCCTGGATCTCCTTTGACAGGCGATCTTGGAATAATGTTGCTGAAGCACAAATCCACAAAGCAGAACCCATTCCTGCGCCAAAGGTGATGACTGCACCGCCGAGGGATACGTCTTCGATGGGGAGGACGGCTTGGAGAGCCACTTGGGGACCTTGAAGACCGAGACCGACTGCTAAGCCGAGAAATGTGAGGAGGCCAACGGCTTTGGCGATTTGTTCTTCGAGGTCGAGTGTTGTGAGAAGACCGGATGCGATGGGTGTGAGAACGCTCGTAGCCAACATGAATGCTGGGGCTGTCAGTATGGGTTTAAAGAGCTTGGAGGAGACTTACGGTAATAGTATCCAATCCACGTAGTGCCAACACCAGAAATAATAAATGCAATGGCCAGGCCACCAACCATGGGTAGTGCAAGCAAACCTGCCTTTGTAGGTGAATACCCACGTACGCCTTGGAAGTATATAGACATGTAGTACTCAGTCACGGCCAAGACTCCCTCGCAGCACGCACCGTACCACATTCCTGCAATGATACTCCTCTGCTTCAAGATCCTCGGCGGTAGAAGAGCATTGTCACCTTGATGATACTGCAAGTATCCAAACGCCACGAATAGAAGAGCGCAAACAACGAGAGGAACGATGATCTGCCAGGTTCCCCAGCCAAACTTTGTGCCTCCCCATTGCAGTGCCATTAGAAGAAAGGTAATAGCTGGTACAGCCAACAGCGTGCCAAAAAAGTCAACTTTTTTGACCTTCTCCTTCAGAGTAAGAACAGGCGCATCATGACGCGGATGCTGTTCATGAACTCCATAAGCCGTCAAGACAAGACACATAACGCCCAGCGGCAGATTAACACCAAAACAAGCCCTCCACGAAAACGCATCGATCAGAGCACCGCCAATCGTCGGCGCAGTGATAAGCCCAACACTCTGGATCGAGCCAAAGAAACTATTGGTCATAGCTTGTTTGGACAGTGGAAAACATTGACGGAGGAGTTTGTGTGGCACGCACAGCAGAGGGTCACATAAGAGAGGGTTAAAAGAGCCTTGATTCTATGCTAAAAGGGGGCTGGCAGGGCTCCTTATATACCAATGGAGCGTTGATCCATAGGTGGTCAAGCGAACCAATCGGGCCAAACCCACCTTTTGACACACCCCCCATTCAAAGTCATTTTGAAAAGGGCTTTGGATGCTCTATCGTACATAGTAAAATCCGAAAATGAGCGTTGTAGATATCTTGCAGTGCGCGGAAGTGAAAGTGAGCGTAAAAACACCTGTAGGTCCGTGACTCACTCTCCAAAAACTATAAATACCCCCCTTTCATCCCGCCAAGTGAGACCTTTCTTCCTCATCCCTCTATCAAAATGGTAAGTCATTTCTTGATATGGCTTTCGAGCAGCGCAACCATGGGGCGCATGCTCGATACCTTCGCGCATTACCCTTTGGTATGCTCTGGTCTAACATCAATTGATCTTAGGCTCGTACTCGCAGTACCCCCAAGAAGGCCACTGGTGGCAAAGGTGCCGCCGCGCTCCTCAAGACCTCTGGTAAGGGGCAGAGCGCTCGCGCTACTAAGTCCGCCCGCGCCCCTGCTGCCCCGACTACCCCCGTCAAATCGCCCAAGAAGAAGCTTGTGCGCGAGCGTACCCGGGCTCAGGTTCGCGTAAGTACCCAATTGATCTTTTCTCACCTATTTCCTATGCGCTAACCACTTATTAAACAGCAAGATCTACGCGATAAAGACCGTGCTGAGCGCAAGGAGAAGGGACTGGCCCCTCGCACCTGGGAAGACCGTCTCGAAATCGCCGACGAAGACCTACCCCCTATCGTAACCTTCACCGACGACCACTACGAGCTCCCCTGCCTGGGTTGTGTGCGCTCTTGCCTTGCTGGTAAGGGTGAACTTGAGCACTGCAAGAGTGATCCCACTCGCCGCGCTCAACGCTGTGCCCTTTATGAGAGTGGTAGTCACAAGTGCGAGCCTGTGTACGTATTCTCCTGCTTGATTTGGCAAATAGCTAACCTCTCACCTAGTCCCAACCTGATTGAGCCTCTTGTTCGGGTCTTGAAGAAAGCCATTCTTGACGACAAGGAAAGCGTAAGTTTTGGTCTTCGAGCATTGCAACCCACGTTCTGCGCTAACATTTGTGTACAGAGGATCAGCAATGCCCGGGTTGCTATTCGCCTGCAGCTTGACACCCTGTACGACTCTGAGACTGCTGGGTTTTACAGTGCTCGGGACAAGGCTACGAAGCCCCTTGTCACGATCGGTGAAGCGGCGGAACGGGCCTTGGAGGAAGGCTTTGAGGAGGAAGGCGCAGGGGATGGGGGTGACTCTTCCGCTGAGCAGAAAGTTGCTGCTCGCAAGATCATCAAAACCCTGTCTGCCCTGCTTTGAGCGTTTCGAGCTTTGGTGGTCTGGTTGGTAGTGGTTATTTTTGGCGTCTGGAGCGTGACGATACCCCTCGGTAGTGATATGTAGCGCGGCTGACCTTCTGGCCTGCGCGGGTGAATTGATATGTGTTCGCCCCAATGTCTTTGTGCCTATGATTTTGTGACTTCAATTTTGACCATGTTTAGAAGGGCTCTGAAATGCTCGAAGCGCTGCCTTGATAGGATTTTGGTGAGCCCATCCGCAGGCATATTGGTCGTTGGAAGATATGTTATCTCAAATGAGCCCTTCTGATACTCTTGTCTTAGCCACATGTTATGTATGTCAATATGGCGCAGCTTGGTATCTATTCTCATGCTTTCAAGCGCAACCAAACGTATGGTCTGCTGATTGTCACAGTGAATATTCCAAGGGGCCTCTGGATTGAAGCTCATTTCGTCGAAAAGTCGCTTGAGGGCCATTGATTCCTTCGCTATCTGTACCAAAGAGAGCAGCTCTGCCTCTGTTGTTGACGTAGTGACCGTAGCCTGGCGAGATGCCTTCCAAACTATAGGGCCACCAAATAAGGTAATAAGGTAGCCTTGAGAGGACCTTCTTGTGCTCTCATCATCAGCAAATGATGCGTCGCTAGCCATCTGCAGAGCTTGTAGCTCGTTGCTGCCTCCGTATTGAAGGGCGAATTGCTTGGTGAGATACAAATAGCGTAGCGCTTGGTCAGCGGCTCTTTGGTGCTCCTCTGAGGGATTTGTCAGGTATCTAGATAGGAGGGAAGCTGCAAAGGCCACATCGGGTCGTATCATAATAGCCGTATATAGCAGAGAACCGATCTTTTCTTGATACACGAGCACCTCTTCCTTTATTGCCTCGCTCGGATTAGGTTGAAAAGGTGTTACAGGAAGCGGTATTGATGGATGGGTTGTTTTGGTGTGAATACCAAATCTCGTGGCGATCTTCTCAATGTAGGAATCGTGGCTAAGGTAGATTTTGAGCGCGGGGCGATCTCGAACTATCCTTACGCCGAGGAACCACTCCGCGTTACCCTTCTCGCTGAGCTCGAAGCGCTTCTTGAGTCCCTCGATGACTTGTAGAGCTGTTGTAGGGGTATCGCGGTGATAGAGAATGAGAATATCATCTACAAAGAAGACTAGGAAAACGTCTCGCTCTGGAGAATAGTAGAGGCAGGGCTCCTCTTTACTGGCTTCTAGACCAAGCTTCTTCAATGCAGCTGTAAAGGTCTTGAACCAAAGTTGTGGCGAGTCCCTGAGGCCGTATAGTGCTCGATCAAGCTCGATGCACATCCCGGCAACCTTGAATCCTGGTGGCAGCTCACAGGTAACTGGTCTACCGTGCTCGCTTCGTTCAGCGTTGACGAAGGCATTCGTTATGTCAAGTTGAACGATTTCCAGGTCAAATCTAGCGGCTAAGGCCATGACCAAGCGGAAAGAGCGTGCGGCAAGGGTCGCGGCGTACGTGCTTTCTATCGTAGCAGTCTCTTGCAAATCGCCCCTTACACAAATTCGCGCTTTGCACTTATCTAGGTAACCGTTTTTATCGAATTTGTAGGTATAAACCCACTTTAGAGGCAGTATCTTTGATCGTGCCGTCGAGCGTTGGATCTGCCTCCATGTGCGCTTTGAGCGCAGCTTGGCCACCTCCTGGTGCTCTGCTATAGAAAACAGCTCACTCAAGGGGTGGTTTTGCCTCTCGTTGTATGTCCTTGGTGGTTCAGGAAGGTCGTCTCGATGCAGTTTATCACTTGGCTTCTTGGTAGCTAGTATAGCATAGACTCCTATCCTGAATGCTCTTCGAGCATGCCAACGGGCGCATAACGCGCTTGTGAACATAAAAAAGGCTGTTTTTGCGCTCTCATCTGGCTTCCAAAGTTCCTTATGGTGATCAATCATGAAAAATCCTTGAAACGCCTTTCGAGATTGCGATCGGGTTACTCGACCCCTGGTTGCCGTGCTCTGTTGCGCTTCTGAGGCGCTTTGTCTTGCGCGGGTGCGCTTAGCAACTGGATGTTCAATTAGGGGATTCCTTGCGGTCGAGCGGTCAGTATATTCATCATTATCTGACTCTTGAAGAGGTGATGGAGGGATATCCTCTTCATCGTGATCTCCTGCAACTACAATTGTATCACCCGTCGGTGTTAGCGGTGCTTGTAGCGGGGATCCCGGGCTTTGTGGTGCTTCCTCCGCACCCCCGAGGGCTTCTAGCTCAGTCTGTAGTTGTGCACTTGGTGACTCGCTTGCCTCGGCTGTTGCGAAGCTCTCAGATGTTGCGTAAGTGTCTGCGATGCTTCTGTCATCCCCCTCGGGGTCAGGCCCGCGCGTAGGCTCTGGTGTTTCCTCTGGGGTTTGAAGTCCATAAGTGACTTGAATCGGTGCATGCTGGTTTTGGTGCTCGTTAGCGCTTTGCTGAGGGTCAGCGTTGCTCTGTTGCGCTTTAGTCACCTCTACCCCCGAGTTCAAATCCTCAGACGTATTAACTTGGATAGGTCTTTCCGGTAAATCAATCTCATCATCGTCTTCCTCGAGGTTTAGGATCCACGTCTTGAATACCCGTTCCGGAAGCTCCTCTGAGCGTTCCTTGGTGGGTTCATAAAAGATATGCTCATTAAACCTGACGTTGCGAGTGACTACGACCTTCTCAAGCCGAGGAATCCAAATCCGGTAAATGTTATGCGCTGTGTAGCCTACCAAGTACCCGATATGGCCTCTGGGGCTCGTTTTAAACGCCTTTCTATGCGTCCCGGCTTCCCTATCCCGATCCAATGGGTATGCGCGGCAGCCATAGGCATACACGCCGCTCCAATCAGGTCTAAGGTCTGCCGTGTGCTCTCTTATCTGTAACGGCGCTTCGCGCCTGAACCAATTCTGTAATACCTCTATAGGTGATAGCCATCCCCTAGTGGCTTTTGGGCTGATGTTGAGCAGGAAAGCTGAGGTTTGTGTGCTTTCCGGCCACAGCGAATGGGGTAGCTGTGCTCCGTTTAGCATCGCGTTGGATTTCTCAGATACCTCTTTTCCTGCTCGTTCCGAGCCTCCGTTAGATTCCTTCGTGTGTGGTGGAGCGAGCTCTACTTCTAGGCCTTCAAATCGCACCCATCGTAGGAAGTCTGTGTTTCCTGATGCATGGATCACGGCAGGCTCGTTATCACTGCGTATCTTGCAAATCACGAGTCCAAACTGACGTTTTACCCAGCGTTCAAACTGGAATAACGCGTTAAAGACCACTGAGCCGTTCTTGTTAGCTAGTGGCATTGCATATAGCCAGCCGCTGTATTCGTCTTTGATGACCAGAAGGTAACGGGAGCCGTTGTAACCCGGTTCGTACTCTTGTAAATCCCAATGGATCCGCCAAAAAGGCCTTGGGGAGCGCTCATCCGATGGACGGCGACTAATAACCTGTGTTGCATATGTTCGAGCGCAAGTCTCACAGTTGATGCGTGCTATTCCGGTAATTCGCACGTTCCTCGCATGTTTCACAAGCTTCTGCAGTGCCTCCTTCCCTAGATGCCCTGCTCGAAGGTGCCAGAGGGCTTCGCCATCGTCTCGCGGTTTCCTAGTATCTCGGGATGATCTCCAAGCTCGTGCTGCAAAGAACTGCATTACGCTTGCGCTATCGCGCCAGAGAACCACCTCGTTACTGATCGGAATCACACCTTCGAGCATAGGACGGTCTATAGGAGAGTAGGCAGAAATAGGCTTAAATTGGAGTATGAGAACGTTATACTTGCGTTGCAGCTGAATAAGAACTACGCTTTCCTGGGGGTTTCCCCATCGCAGTGAGCAGTCAAAGCCTGAATACCACGCTCCTGACGTCCTCAAAAGGGCTTCTGAGACGATATTCGTGTGAAATCCTTCTACAACGACCACATCGCTTAGAGTCAGGGACTGGGTCTTCGTCCCCGAGGGGCCGTTCACGATCTTGTGGATCACCCTAGTCCCCTTTCCTAAGATAGGAAAGCTTGTATCACCGGCTTCCACATAGTCCCCGTAGGTAGGGATAAAGGAGTTCTTTTCGAGCATGGCTATACTGTTCACCAAGTGCGTAGCGCCGCAGGTGTCCAGTAGAGTGCTTCGTGTAAGCGGGTGAAGGGGTCCCTTGTGCGCTGTGTGGAGCTGGATGTTACGCTCGGCTTCGGCTAAGATGTAGGGTGATAGGATGAAATTAATAAGGTTTCCGGGGTACGCGGAGGAACCAGGGTTTCCTTGAGCCGGGGAGCTTGCCTCACCGCCATTCCTTAAGACTTTTGGCTTCAACCATTTCCAAAAGGGCTTATCAAGCTCTTTTCTCATGCGATCAAGTTCACCGTCAGAGGGCTTCTTTACGTGCCGAGGTGCCGTGCCGGTCACGGCGTAGATGAGCAGGGCGCATTCCTCGGCCTTCCACCAATGGTTTTCGCGCTTGCAAGGGCAGTTGACATGCTTCTTTGGCTTATCTGAGCGGTTGCCGAGGGTTGCGTGGACCGCGTAGCCCCTGCCAACTGGGGTTCTTCTGATAACAGCTCGTAGCTCACTGGCTAGCTCGGTGAGGGAAGTCTCCTCATTCGCTTTCTCTTTCTTGAGAAGCGCGTTTCGCTCACTTTCCGCCCAAGAAGGGGCTATCCTCTTCTCTACGGCTTCCAAAAAGCGGTCAACACCTGGGTTTCCTAAGATCTCAGGGATCTCATATGGCCTTGCCTGTGCGTAGGCCTCTTGCCAGCGTTGCAGCCATTGTTCGGGGCTCTGTCGAGCTTTGGAGGCATCGTCGAGGACCTTGAGATATCGCTGTGTGATCTCACGAATCGTGGTAGAGATGCTCGGTGCGAGATCTTCTTTTAAGCCTCGGAGTAATTGACGAATGGTATAGCCCTTGGGGTGATCCTCTTTCACTTGACTGAGCACTGTAGTCAGGATGCTAGAGTCAACGCTCTCCGTAATATGGGCCATGATGCGTGAATATTCGGTGGCGCGCTGCCTATGCTGTCTTTGCAGGTGCGGTAAGGCTGAGAGATAGGCTTC